GACCACCTCGAGATGGACGGCTACCGCCCCGACGGCGGCGAGACCGAGTACAAGGGCGCCGCAGGCTTGGGGGCTGGCTTGGCCGCCGCGGGCCTGGGAGCCAGCACGTACGCCGCCGTGAACCACTCGGACCCCGACGAGAAGTCTGCGGCATGGGGTGGTCCTGAGGGTGGTGCGGGCGCGACGATGACGCGCTCGGGAGGGTACGCGGCCGTCGAGAATCCCTTCCTCGACACCCGGAGCATGGATGCCAGGAGCATCGACGCGAGGAGCATCGATACCCGGAGCGTCGCCAACAGCGGCTTCTCCACGCCCCCTCCCCCGATGGACATGACCGAGGTGGAAATCCCACGATCGCATAGCCCGGTCGGCGCGTCTGAAATGTCGCGGATGGCGTCGCCGGGGCCTGAGCAGGCGTACGGCGCGCACCGGATGCAAAGCTACCGGGATTGATAGGGCCTGGTCTTTGTGTGTTTATCTGCGTTCCTTCTTTCGTCAGGTTTCTTTTCTTGTTGTATATTGGGCGCAATCTAAGCCTTGGGCTGGTCTTGGGGCTCCCCTGGCACCCTGTTCCAATTATTGATTATAATCTCCAGGCATGCTCGCGATGCATAAGGCGTTGGCTTGTTATTTAAGGGAAAGCATCCATTTTGATCGTGCCAAGACGGGAAGGAGACGAGGGCATTTGTTGTATAGGTAGTTGAGAGATCACCGTCATTTTGAGTTTAGGATGCGATAGCGGATTGAATAGAACATTTACATTTACCTACCTGCCCTCGAGGCTGTTTATTGATATGTGGTGGTGAGTCACTTGATCGAGCTGCGTATGTCGCTTACGAGTCCAAGCGGGTAAAGTTCATCATTCTTTAGGTCTATGAGGATATACAATGATATCTTGCTGGGAGAAGGATTCACTCCCGAATCCAAGAGAGAAGAGGGAAAACGACAAAATCCGCCAAAGCAATCTGAAAAAAAAAAGATGATATCATTTCTCATACCCAAAGCAAATTGCCCTACTTGGGCATGTCCTTTCTTAACTATTTCAATTTTTTGTTCTATTTTTGTTTATGTCTACTGACCCTCGACCTGCTTGAGGATACCCTCGAGGTTGATGCTCTTGGGTCGCTCAATGGGCAGACCAAGCGCGCGGTCCCAGATGAGCTGCGCGAGGGGTCCGAGACCGCGGGAGACACCAAAGGTGGCGGTGTAGTAGAGGGTCTCGTGGAAGCCGTAGTGGTGGAAGAGGACGCCGGAGCTGGAGTCGACGTTGGGGTAGGGGTTCTTGGTCTTGCCGTGCTTCTTGAGCACCTCGGGGGCGATGCGGCTGTTGCGCTCGACGAGCTGGAAGACGGGGTCGCTGGCGATCTCGGGGCGGGAGGCGGCATAGGTCATGAGGGCCTCGAAACGAGGGTCGGGCTTGCGGAGGACGGCGTGGCCGTAGCCAGGGACGACGCGGCCTGAGTTGAGGGTGGACCAGAGGTAGTCGTGGACATCCTGGTCGGTGTAAGAGGAGGGGATGGCCTCCTTCATCTGGATGATCCAGCGGAGAACCTCCTGAGCAGCCAGACTGTTTATTGCCCCACTGTTAGCGACTGTTCAATTGTAGGAAGGGGCGGGAGAAACCAAGCACTTACCCGTGGAGAGGTCCGGCCAGACCCTGGAGACCAGCACTGTAGGAGAGGAAAGGATCGGAGAGAGCGCTTCCGACCAGGTGGGTGGCGTGGGCAGAGACGTTGCCTCCCTCGTGGTCACCGTGAAGGGCGAGGTAGAGTCGGAGCAGGTCCTGGAAGCTCTCGTTCTCCTTGCCGCCCTTGCCCAGCATGGCAGCAAAGTTGTAGGACCAATCTTCTCCGAGGTCAACCTCGGCAAGGAGAGCGCCGCCGCCGCGGTAGGCGTTCTGGTAGATTTTGGCGGCAATGGTGGGCAGCTTGGCGAGCAGCTCAATGCTGTCGTCAAAGGTGGGCTCCCAGTAGTCGGCCTTGTTCAGACCGGCCTCGTAGGCCTTGGCAAACTTGGAGTTGTAGTTGAGGGCGGAGACGGCCATGGCAAATTGGGTCATGGGGTGCAGGTCGGTCGGGAAGTTGTCAAGCATCTGGTTGACAAAGGCAGGCAGCTTGGCCTTCTCGGCGAGCTCGCGGGAGAAGACGCGGACCTGGTTGGTCGAGGGGACCTTGCCGGTGAGCAGCAGCCAGAACATGGCCTCGGGGAGCATCTCGGTGCCAGTCTTGCCCTTGGGCAGCTCCTGCTGGCAGTCCTTGATTGTACGGCCGTGGAAGCGGATGCCCTCGTTGGCGTCGAGGACGGATCCCTCCCAGACCATGGCCTTGAGGCCGCGCATGCCGCCGAGTGTGTTCTCAACCTTGACCTCGCCGATGACCTTGTCCGAATGGGCCTTGACCTTCTTGAGGAGCTCGCGTTTGGCGGGGATGACCTCCTTCAGGGTGGCCTTGAGATCCGGCTCAGCTGAGGAATATGCCCGGCTACCGACGGCAGCACGGGTGATGGGCTGGCAGCAGCATTGTGTCAGTTCCGGCTTGAATGTAAGGAATTGGTGGCTCAATTGACTAGTAGTACGGACCTTGATGGAGCTCCATGCTCGGGAAGAGTTGCGCAATCTGAGGGCCATGGCTAGTACTTGGTCTGCCTGGTGTGACGATGAGGAGGAGAGATGATCAGGACGGAGAGAGAAGTCAAGGAGGAGGAGAGAAAAAGAAGAGGAGAAGCTGGGGAGGGCGCAGACAAAAGAAGAAGTCAAGCCCCCCCCATGAGACGCTGGAGGACGGGATCCATTGATGGGAGAATGCTAATACACGTCCTTCCTGCAGTCCCCAAAAAGTACTTGGCTGGAGTGCTGGGTACCGCAGCTAAGCGGGGGCTCTGGGGGACTCTGGGGTCGGAAACTGCGCTTTCCGGAGCTCTTAGCAGCCCGGATTATAGCCCAGAAGGCCCATTAGTGGGTACATTGGGTACATCAGATCGCTGAACTGAACTCAATGCGGGGTAGCAGCAAGCTCTGCTATCCGTGGCCCAGCACAAGGGCGGGCGGCTGCTTGGTTTCGGCCGTGGCTGGCCACCTTATGCCGAGGAAGTGAGTTCTGGTCGAAGTTTAAGCGCAGGATACGAGAGTTGGAGAGAGAAAGTTACTAGTACGGATGGGTCACTGCTGGGAATGGTTACATCTGGGCGCGGAATACATATGTGATCTATGGAACGAGACGCAACCGTCCAGTGCAACAGCCTGTGATATTCACAAGACAGCCCCAATTCCCACCCTCAAGTGATACCTGCCTTTTCCCCCTCCCATCACTCTCCGGTGAACGGAGGATAAGCAATCCTCATAGTAGGGCCTCAGCCAATCCCCTTATCAACACAGCGAGTGTGGAGTACTTGAATACCTGGCAAGTGTCTTGGAGAAGCTGACGGTCAACACATGGTCTAGGAACAAAAGTTCTAGCCGAGGGCCAGCTATACCCCCCTCGGTCGGGCCAAAGGGGTTGGAATGATAGGATCACACGCATGTTGGACTTCCTAGGCAGTAAATTTGCAACAATCCATTGGCCAGTTTCATCGGTAATACGTTGCCGCTGCTAGCCATGGCTAAACGCAGCTTGCCATCCCATCTGGGCTCCAGGGTAGCCAGAGTTGCCACTCCAGCCTCGGTAGAACGCAGCGTTCCCCCACGATTAACCGCTGACAGTGCTTTTGCTACTGACGTACCGCTGTGCGATTTCCGCGAGCGTCAGAATCGCTACTCCACACGCCTTGATCGAACCCCAAATCTTCCACCTATTTCCAATCGCCGCAGTCGGCCGAGACGGAGGTGCTCGGCGTCAATTTTTATTCAAACCTCTTCTTTCCCGCTCTACCCGTTTCAGCCGACCACCGAGAGAACCCTTTCCCTTACTCTTCTTGATTCCCTTTTCCTTCTTGTGCTGGCGATTCGTTGACAGCTCCCTCCAGCTTCTCTATTCTCGACACCCTCGCCACGATGCAGAGAATAGCTATCCGCGCCGCTCCCCGTCGAGCTCTTATGCCAACAGCTCGCTTGTTGCAATATACCCCACGTCTACCTCTTCGAGCTCTCTCCACAACCACCAGAATGGCTGCCCCTCAGGCTCCAAACCCATTCTCGGCTTCCGTGCCCGCGGCCGATGCTTTCCAGCTTCTTCCCGAGTCGCAAAAGGCGGGCGACGCTGAGGATGCATTGTACGAGTCGCAGATCAAGGAGGTCGAGGCCTGGTGGTCGTCACCCCGATTCCATGGCATCAAGAGACCTTATAGCGCAGATGATGTGGTTTCTAAGCGAGGAACCCAGAAGATCTCCTACCCGAGCTCTGTCATGGCCACCAAGCTCTTCAACCTGATCCGTGAGCGCGAGTCCAAGGGCGAGCCCATTCATACGAGTACGTTTATCCAGATATCTGCTCCTAGTTTATCTTGGCTCTACGATCTTGAAAACTAACGTTTTGATCTTCTTGAAGTGGGCGCCATCGATCCTGTACAGATGACACAACAAGCTCCCCACCAAGAGGTTCTCTACATCTCGGGCTGGGCTTGCTCCTCGCTCCTCACCTCGACGAATGAGGTCTCGCCTGATTTCGGCGACTACCCATATAACACAGTTCCAAACCAGGTGCAGCGACTGGCCAAGGCCCAGTCCATGCACGATCGCAAGCAGTGGGATGCTCGTCGCAAGCTGACACCCGAGGAGCGTGCCAAGACTCCCTATACCGACTACCTGCGGCCCATCATTGCCGATGGCGACACTGGCCACGGCGGTCTTTCTGCCGTTATCAAGCTGGCAAAGCTCTTTGCCGAGAACGGCGCCGCTGCTGTCCACTTCGAGGACCAGCTGCACGGTGGCAAGAAGTGCGGCCATCTTGCCGGCAAGGTCCTTGTCCCCACTGGGGAGCACATCAACCGCCTCAACGCTGCGCGATTCCAGTGGGATGTCATGGGATGTGAGAACCTCGTGCTCGCCCGTACCGACTCTGAGTCTGGCAAGTTGATCTCGTCAGCTATTGATGTCCGTGACCACGAGTTCATCCTCGGTGTCACTGACCCCTCGGTACAGCCTCTTGCTGAGACCATCCAAGCGATGGAAGCGAAGGGCGCTGCGGGCTCCGAGATCGATGCTTTTGAGGCCAAATGGGTCAAAGAGAGCAAGCTGGTCACCTTCGACGAGGCCGCGGTGGCTCATATGAAGGACAAGGGCGTTGCCCAGGCCAAGATTGACGAGTATCTCGCTGCTACTGCCGAGGACCGTGATATGGGCATTACCCGCCGCAGGTCCCTCGCATCTCACTACGCAGGCTCCCCAGTCTACTTCAGCTGGGACGTGCCCCGCACCCGTGAGGGCTTCTACCACTTCAAGGCTGGCATGGATGCGGCGACGAAGCGTGCTCTTGCCTTTGGCCCTTACGCCGACCTCCTGTGGGTCGAGACCGGAGACCCCAACGTCGAGGTTGCGGCCAAGCTCGGACGCGCCGTCCGTGAAGTATATCCCGGGAAGGGCCTCGTGTACAACCTCTCACCGTCGTTCAACTGGATGGCACACGGCTTCACTGATGAGACGCTCAAATCTTTCATCTGGGATATTGCTCGTGAGGGTTTCGTCCTCCAGCTCATCTCCCTGGCAGGCCTGCATTCCACCGCCACCATCTCGAACGAGCTGGCGCGCGAGTTCAAGACGGACGGCATGAAGGCGTATGTCGATCTCGTGCAGCGCAGAGAGAAGGAGTTGGGCTGCGACGTCCTCACACACCAGAAATGGAGCGGCGCCAGCTACATTGACGGAATCCTCGGCGCCATCCAGAGTGGTAGCTCCAGTAGCAAGAGCATGGGTGAAGGCAACACGGAAGGCCAGTTTCACTAAGGGGAAAAGCACAAAGGGATAACGTACAAAAAGGTATCTTAGTTTCATGATCATTTATGGGGAAACGGGCATGTCAATTCGGAGCTTTGGATAAAACATTTTTTCACTCATAGCATAAGAGCAGGAGTTTATTGGATGGAGATTAGGTCGAATGATGATTCATTGTTTCCAATTTTTTTTGTTCATTTATTCTTTTCCATGTGTTCCCTCATGGTGGTATCATTACATGCTGTTTTGTGTCCTGCTCTGTGACCATCCAGTTCACAGAGAGTCCTTGAGCGCGTTGTTCTGAGGAGGGGGCACCGCAGGACCCTCGGCAGTGACGTACGCCTTGGTCATGCCGCCGTCGACGACAAAGTCGTGGCCGTTGACGAAGCTGGACTCGTCGCTGGCCAGGAAGACGACGGCCTGTGCCTGCTCGATTGCCTCGCCGAAGCGGCCCATGGGAAAATGGATCTCGCGGCGCTGGCGCTTCGGCTTGTCGTCGCCGAGCCAGTCCTGGAGCAGCGGGGTGTTGAGCGGCGCGGGGCACAGGTTGTTGAAGCGGAAGTTCTCGCGGGCGTGGACCATGGCGAGCTCGCGGGTGAGGGCGAGGACGGCGCCCTTGGAGGCCGTGTAGGCGAGCTGCGGGGTGGCGGCGCCGACGAGGGCGACGACGGAGGCGGTGTTGATGATGGAGCCGCGGGTCTTGTTGTGGCGGCGGAGGGAGAGGACGGCGTGCTTGCAGCCGAACCAGACGCCCTTGACGTTGATGTTGTGGGTCAGGTCCCAGATGGCCTCGGGGGTGTTGACGGCGTCGTCGTCCTGGGCGTGCATGATACCGGCGTTGTTGAAGATGACGTCGAGGCCGCCCCAGGCGTCGAGGTGCTCGACGAGGGCCTTGACGTCGGCCTCCTTGGAGACGTCGGTTTTCTAGAGACGAGGCTGGGTGAGCATTCGAGGTTGGGAGTTTGGGGTTTTATTGGCATAGTATGGAAGGTTTGGATCGAGGCTTCAGCAACTGACCTTGGTCTCGACACGGCCGGCTCCGGGAACGAGCTGCTTGACTTTGGCGATGGCCTTCTCGAGGGCGGGCTCGGAGATGTCAGCCATGAGGACGTTGGCGCCCTCCTTGGCGAACAGGATGCAGGTCTCGAGACCAATGCCACTGCCGAGTAGAAAATGTCAGTGGGTTGTCTTGGGGTCGTTTCAAGAAAACGGGATCGCGAGCTAGAGTGCTTCTAGAGAGCTTCTCCCGTGCTGTAGCTTACCCTCCGGCACCGGTCACAATGGCGTTCTTGCCAGCAAGGCGGCCTGTCTGTCCCGAGGAAGCCATGGTGTTGACTTGATGCTGTACTTGATAGGATTGCTTGCTTGCTGGGTAATCGGGCAAGGAGAGTGAGGACGCTGGGTGAGGATGGTTGAGCCAAGGAGCAGAGCCCAAGCTCGCTGGGAAATGCTTCCCCTCCTCTGCTCTTATCTTACGGCGGGGTTGTGTGTTATCGTGGGGCTGTATCACAGAGACTGATCGATGCCTGAGACACCCGGCGCTAGTGACTTTGTACTAAAGGTTACTTGCTTTTGCCGTCGCTGCTTAGAGGCACTTGTTGTTGTCTCGTGTGGAATTGGCATGCGGCAGACCCGATCTCGAGCGTTGATTCGTCTTTCTCGCGGTAGAGATGCACGTTAGATTTCGGGATGGACCCTTGCCATCATCGCGCACAGGGTCATGGCCCAATTATAGAAGGGCCCTGTTAGGTGCAATGTAGTTAGTTCCCACAGCAGACAGCTCGTGACCTCTAGCCCGGACTCACATAGCAATCCTATAATTGTAAGCCGGGTGTAATATTGCACTTCGGATTCCCTGAGCCCGACGGCACGATGGGAGACTTGGATGAAGCGTCGGACTGGGTTGCGATACTGGGCCGGTCGGGGTTTCATCGCCGGTGCCGGAACTGCAAGTCCACGCCCATGATGTGTCATGGGTAGGGGGACATCGGAGCCATCTTTGGTGTGTGTGGGCACGAGATTAGGGCCATTAGTGGCGGCTCTTGCGTCAGATAGCACCTCCCAAGCCCAAGTTCAATTTACACTTCACTGCTGGCTGTTGAGGGGGAAAAGGGGTCGAAACATGCCGTGGTTAGGATTATCTCACTGGCACTCTTGCTACAAGTTGCGGTGTGGCCTCAACGTGTTGATTAAATCAGTCAGCTGTCGGTTTTACATCTCACATTTGAGCCGATCGAAATCGAGTTGGTGTGGTGGGCGGTTGATCGTCGGTTTTCGCAGAGCCAAAGAAGCTACAACGAACACTGGGATGTAACATTTTAACCCAGGGAGAGAGTTCTTTCTCTCTTGGCGTTTACTCCCTATTTTTTTTTTGTGAATTCTGGTCATTGATCGCACATATTCCTCATGAACATTGACTACTACTTCCGTCGCATTCGAGGTCACTCTTCTTGAATTTCTCCGTTGCGATAGACACAGCAGATGAATGTATTATCGCGTCTCGTCTTTCTCATCCACCAACAGAAGGGGGCCTGATCGGATTGGCAAAGGACTGCTACAGATGTGAGATGAAATCATTTTATAGTTCAACCAAACCCTCTCATTCGTTTAATTTCCCCTTGTTCTCCTCATCTACCACTGTCACAACATCTGCCTCGCCATCATACCCATGCTCGGCCAGCTGGGGATTGCGCCTCCCCCACCACAACATCCCGAGCTGTGCGAAGATGGACGCAAATGCAAACGCCGTGCATAGCGGGAACCCGATCGGGTATCTCGGCGAGTCAGCGACCCTGAATGCCCTCAGAGGGATGGTGGCATGGCCCGTGTAGACGATTGTTACCGTGAGTGCCACGATGATGGCGCGGGCCTCGGGCTCTTTCCGCATCAGCTCTGCCATCCACGCCATTAGCGACGGGCCTCCGAAGCTAGTGGCGTACGTCAAGAAGTAGAATCCAAGCGTGACCTTGGGATTCGACGGCCAGGCGCACAGCACGATGAGGATGGTGCCGTAGGCGGCCGTCGAGCCGACGCTGATCTGCCACCGCCACCGCTTCCAGTCGGAGATGCCGTTGAATACCAGGTTGCTCAGGATCTGGAGGGCATATCCGCCCAGGGGGAGGATGTTGACCTGGTACGTGCTGTACAGACGATCGCCCGCGTCGTCCTTGAGACTTTCGAGGTAGAGCACAAAGTATGAGTTGGCGCGATGTGACCACGCGTCCAGGGCGAAGGCGAATAGGAAGAAGTATGTCACTGGGTGGACGATCAGCTTGAGCAGCTTGCGCTTCAGAACAGCCACGGGGATTAGCTTCGAGGTCTCGGATCCGAAACTGTCCATGCGCTCGCGCGATAACCTTCTCTCCTCTTCGGTCAGCCAATGGGCGCGGGTGTAGGCTGGGGTATCTGGGATGATGTAGAAGCCGATAAGACCCAGCCCGATGGTGATGGCGCCCGAGATGATGAAGAGCCACTGCCAGCCTGCGAGTCCATGGACGCCGTTCATATCACGGTACAGGGCGGCCTGCAGCGCACCGAGGAACATGGAGCCAGCTACGTCGGTGATATTGAAGAAGGCCAAGCGGATCGCGAGCTCAGAAGGCGTGTACCAATTGAAGATGAGAGACACCATGCTGGGCCAGAAGACGGCGGAGAAGAGGCCTAAAAAGAAACGAAGAACGTATATGGTCCTTGCATTCTTGGCCAGACATGTACTGTGGTTCACACTCTGGTTAGATTTTTCTTTTCCAGTTTGATAGGTTGATGCTGGGCCGGGTCTTGCAGCTTAATCAACTTACAAGGTGACAAAGAGACCCCATGTGATTTCACAGCTGGGGAGAAACCAAGACGGCCTGACCTGTGAGTTTCGTCAGCTTCGATATTCTATAGCGGCCGCATGTCGAATATGCTTGCCTTTGTCTGTGCCAGTTGTCCAGGGACAAGACCGATAGCATAGCCGATGGAGAAGAAGGTTGTGAACTCGACCAACTCATTGCCGTACAAGTTTAATGACTCCCTCATTCCGGAGACGTAGGCCTGGGTGGTGGCGGATTGATCCATTTCCTTCATGATGCCGGCCAGAAAGGACCATGCCAGGAGGAGGCAGTCGAGCTTGAACAGAAGGACATGTCGAGGGTCGTTGAAATACGGAATGACCTTGGACACATGCTTGAAGATGCCGGCCAGGACAGTGGACCGTGTGTCGTCGGGAGTGGTGTTGATATCATTGTCGGCCTCTGCCTGTACAGATGGCTTCTTCGATATTTCGGCCATTGCGAGTCGTGTGCGCCGGGTGCTCAATGGGAAGCAGAAGAGCAGTCACGCTGGGTTCCGTTGCCTGTGGTTGAACATATATACCTATGGCATGAAAATATCGGATCACCCTTGACTAACAATTAGACTTAATTCGGAATTGACTCGTAATAGGGTTTTCTGATGCCACTCTAACACCGGTATAAGTCTAAATTTACTGCTCTTTGTGGAAATGCTGCGTCGGCCCGGGCCCGACAGGCGTATTGCGTGCTTTGGAGCCCTGAGAACGACATTTGGAGGTGGCGGATGTATGGGAAAGTTTCGCAGTACTTTGCTTCATTGCGAGCATGCAGGTGATGGAATTCGTTCTGGAAATGTTCTTAAAAGTGCCGAGGGAGCCAGCTCCATGATGATATGGCAGTAGCTCGCTTTTGTACGGTTCCGACGAAGCAATTCGGCTGGCTCTTCCATCTGCACCATTGCACGCTATTGACGGCTACGAACGCCATCTCACATGCCGTAGGTCAGCCCATGGCATTGTGAGCTAATCTGGGATCCATAAAACATGACCAAATCCATGCCTGATGAGCTCGGAAATTCATACGTAAACGAATACCTGCGTCGTTGAAATGGAGCGTTTCAGCTCAAGACTCGTTCTCAAGGCAGATGCTTGCCGATGATGCTGCTGGTATCAAGTGACCCAGTGGCAGCCAACTGGAGGCCTACGGAAGCTAAGGGGCAGAGACAGGGCTCGGCTGGCCGCTAAGCAGGCACGAGACTAGGCGCTCAAGCACTGCAGCCAAGGCGACGGCACATGCCCACCACTTTTACCCCGCGCTTGATCCTGTTCCCTTGCAGCACCTTTTATCGCTAGAGCCACCGAATCACATGGCTAGAAGCTATCGACGCGATCCAATGGATCTCTAGTGCTGCTCTGCTTGAACTGCTGCTGCAGTATCTTTGGTTGGCCCCCGCCTCAATGGCACCAAAGATAACAGCCGCTAGGACGAGATAAGACAAGACGCACCAGATAACAATTGCTGCTTACTAGCTGGTATCGTCGTCGTCATAGGCACCTTCTCGATCTTTTCCCTCCCCTTCCCTCTACCCATTGCGCATCCCGGGCCCAGTCTTTTGCTGGCCTCTTCCTCAACTCCTGCGCTCCGATCTGCGACGAACAGACCTACCGATATCCTTTTTTCCCGACTGGCCATCCCTCCCCACCGTCTCCATCAGTCCTAGCAGCAGCTTCAACAGCGAGCGACGAAAATGGCATCGGAAAAGATCACGGTCGAGTCGCTCCCCAGCCTCCTCGAGAATGATACGCGGGTAAAGCTGGCAGGTGTCGATGTCGACGGAATTCTTCGAGGCAAACTTGTCTCCAAGAGCAAGTTTCTATCCATTGCGACCTCCGGTTTCGGCTTCTGCTCCGTCATCTTTGGCTGGGATATGCACGACCAGACCTATATGCGCGAGCTGGCAATCTCCAATGCGGAGAACGGCTACCGCGACATTCTGGCCGTCCCTGATCTCGACAGTTTCCGCCGCATCCCCTGGGAGCACAATGTCCCCTTCTTCCTCGTCAGCTTTTTCGATCCCGATACGAAGGCGCCGCTGTCTGCCTGCCCTCGTGGACTGCTCAAGACCCAGCTCGACAAGCTGAGCGCCAAGGGCTATGGAGCTATGGCTGGAGGTTGCTAGACTTATTTATCCCTTTTCACTGCCTGCGCCTCCTCACTCACAGAATACAGCTGAATACGAGTTCTACCAATTCAAAAACCCCGACCCCAACAGTTCCTCACCCGCTGCATTCCTTCGCGACAACCCTCCTCACCAACTCCCTTCCCTGACCGAGGGCATGTTCGGCTACTCTCTCACTCGAACCGTACACAACCAGGAATACTTTTACGATGTTTTCGATACCTGCGCCGCGTTCAAATGCGACATCGAGGGGTGGCATACCGAATCAGGCCCAGGTGTCTTTGAGGCAGCATTGCAGTTCGGCGAAATCCTTGGCATGGCCGATCGCGCAAGTCTCTTCAAGTACGTTGTGAAAAGTGTGGGCACGCGGCACGGCATTACGCCTTGCTTCATGGCGAAGCCGAAGCATGGGCTACCAGGTAACAGCGGCCACATGCACGTCTCCCTCGTCGACAGCTCGGGCAAGAATCTACTGGCAAGGGAGACGCCCGAGGAGAACCCTCAATGGAAGGATATCGCTGGGCTCTCCGATTTGGGGCGCCATTTCCTTGCTGGTATACTTGAAGGCCTGCCTGATATCATGCCCATCCTTGCGCCCACGATCAACTCCTACAAACGACTGGTCGAGAATTTCTGGGCTCCCGTTACTGTTTCATGGGGACTTGAGCATCGCGCAGCATCCATCCGCCTTATCGCACCTCCCACGGCCAAGGCCTCAGCGACCCGATTCGAAATCCGAGTCCCCGGCGCCGACACCAATCCCCACTTTGTGCTCGCCGCCATCCTTGGACTTGGTTGGAGAGGCGTAGAGCGCAAGCTTGCCATCCCTTGCCCGCCCCTAGCCGCAGACCAGAGTATTGGTGGCACAGGAGACCAGGGCCAGCGATTGGCCAAGAGCCTGAAGGACGCGACGCAGCGGTTCATGAGCAAGGATAGCATTGCCCGCGAGGTGTTTGGAGACGAGTTCGTAGACCATTTTGGAGGGACACGTGAGAACGAAGTTAGATTATTTGACGAGGCTGTAACTGATTGGTAAGTTCCCTTCTTTCCCTTGTTTTTTTTAGGATATCTTTGAAGAAGCCCGACTAACAGTTTTGCAGGGAAATGAAACGCTACATCGAGACGGTATAGACTCTTGGAGAAGTTTTAGCCCGCATTTTCAAATACCCCTGGCCTGCTGCGAGTTCAATTAGAAGTTATTGTTACCCAGGTAGTACAGAATACATACATATGCGATATCGTTACCGATCTGGTTTCCACACGACTGTTAAACCATTCGCCCATTCCACGTGCGCGAAAAGATGAAGTGATTGGTGTCGGACTTGTGCATATGGAACATCGCACACTTGTAGTTCCACTGGATGGTATGAGCGATGAGAGTATCAAGACAATACATGATACAGGATGCTTGTTCCATTGTCAAAACACAGAACGACCTTCAATGTTACTCTATCGATATATTTCTGTGTCCTATTGCCATTGCTCTGGCATCTAGTAACACGTATCTGAAGGGTGGAAATGTATCGTTAAATGTTGGCAGTAGCTGTTGTCTCAGAGACATCCGCATAGCCTTAGGTGAACGACGATCATTTGCCTGTGCATTTGAAGCGATCCATCATTAATGACGTTTGCGACTTCTCTGTCTCGTCTGCTGAACCGTGCTCACCGACTTGGGGTATGCTCTCAATCCTAACCAATGGGTGTGGTGAAGTGACAGTGCGTAAACCGGGTATCATTGCCTGCAGCACCCAGCCATGGAAGCCTGGCATTATCATAGCGATTCCGGCTTTTCGACATGGAGTCCTCCCGATTATGACCACCAAGGACCCCGATACTGGATACGCTTACCGTAAAAACAACTAGAGCGATAGCTTTGTTGATAATCATGGGGTGATCAACACGCTGGCGAGCCACTCGAGCGGGGTCCAGATGATGCCGTGCAACGTCTCGATGCAACTCATTCCTGTAATCGCTCGCCGGATGACGAAGCCAAGCGATGAGAATCCGATAGCTGGGAATTTCGCCATCGCCCAATGAAGGCGATGGCTCCAGTGTTAAACCTCCGCCCACCCCCTCTTGCTTTCGGCCAGAGCAAACACAGTCAGCTCTTTGAGGGAACATTTAGCTGAAGAGGGGTAGACCGTCCTCGCAATAGCAAACTACTATGATTTCTATATTGACATCCGTATTGGCCTTTACATCGGGCACTTCTGCCTGTGCACGAGACTTCCTGGCTGAGACTCGTCACACACATCGGAAGCCCATCTCCACGAGAGCCACGGATTGGCCCCCGGTTTTGACCGATCATGAGACGATCTTGGTGAACTCTTTTGATAACGTTACCTTAGATCAATGGTCCAATTACTACGGGCATCAGAATAAGCTCGCCGGCCTGGGGTATGAGGCGGCGCAGTGGACGGCAGATCGCTTTAGAGAGAACGGGTTTGAGACACGTTTGGATGAATACCAGGTGTTCCTTACGTACCCCCTCAAGCAAGAGCTATCAGTCACTTGGGCAAATGGAACTTCGGAGCCTGTTAACCTTGCCGAGCCTGTGTTGGAAGAGGACGATGTGACGGGACGTCCAGACAACCAGCCCACGTTCCACGGGTTTTCTGGCTCTGGAACTGGTACTGGAGAATTCATATACGCTGGGTAAGGCGCAAAATTGCCCAATTAGAGAAACTGCAGAGATGTGAACTGACCCGGCGCGCGAAATAGGCGAGGCACCTTGCTCGACTTTCAGCGGCTGGACGAGCTGGGCGTCGAGATCAAAGGCAAGATCGCCATTATGCGCTATGGAGGCCCCTTCCGCGGTCTCAAGGTGAAGAATGCCGAGCAGTTTGGAGCTGTGGGAGCCATCATCTACAGCGATCCGGGCGACGACGGCAACATCACTGCTGCCAATGGCTATGATCACTATCCCAGTATGTAGCGCACTGCCTTCCCAAGATTCAGTTGTAGATTACGATATCTGACAGGAGACTTCTCCATAGATGGACCTGCGAGACACCCCAATTCCGTGCAGAAAGGCTCTACGCTCTTCCTCTCGTCTCGGCCTGGAGATCCCACTACACCTGGATATGCGTCGCATGAGGGGGTACCGCGAGCGAGCCACGAGGATGTGGTTCCCGGCATCCCGAGCCTGCCACTCTCCTTCGCGTCTGCACACCCCTTGCTGAAGGCTCTGAATGGGCACGGCAGCACTGCCGCCGAGGTCAATCGCACTCGCTGGGTGGGCGGCCTCGACGTGGACTACTCGACAGGCCCGGCGCCTGGAGTGACACTCACGATTACGAACGAGATGGAGGAGAAGATTACTCCCATATGGAATGTCATCGGGTACATCAATGGGACTGACCCTGACGATACTGTTGTTCTTGGTAATCACCGCGACACCTGGATGATTGGGGGTAATGGCGACCCGAACTCTGGCTCTGCGATTGTCGTGGAGTTGACCAAGGCTGTGAAGAAGCTTGTCGATTCTGGGTGGAAACCAAAGCGAAATCTGTATGTTGCCCGATATCGTTGTGCTGGAGGTGCTTGGCTAATCATCTAGCAGCGTCGTAGCATCGTGGGATGCTGAAGAGTATGGATTGATCGGATCGACCGAGTGGGTGGAGGATAATGCCAACTGGTTGACCGAGTCGGCCGTTGCATATCTCAACATCGATGTTGGAGTCTCTGGTCCCCATGTCGACCTCTCTGCCACTCCGGAGTTGCACCAGATTGGCGGTGAGCTCTTCAAGAAGGTAATTTTCCCCAATAAGGGTGCGTACAATGAGACCTTGTACGATTCTTGGGTACGCGACTATGAAGGCATCGTCGGAGTATTGGGGAGTGGCAGCGATTACACCTCATTTTTGCACTACGGCATCAGTTCTGTAAGTCACTTCTCGATCCATAGGAAAGCAATTCTCAGAGATAGGCTTAATTAACTTGTATTCGCAGCTGGATGTAGGATCAGGCGGTGGCCCGAATGATCCCATCTGGCATTACCACAGCAATTACGACTCCTACCACTGGATGGCCACGTTTGGTGATCCCGGCTTTCACCAGCACAAGGCGGTTGGGCAGTATCTCTCACTTCTGACCTTCCACCTGCTTGACGACCAGGTCTTGCCCATCGATGTTCAGAACTATGCCGTAGAACTGCGCGCCTACCGAGACGACCTGATCGAGGTCATCGATCAGTACGGCGCGACGATTGATCTGACCGACTTGTCAAACGCCATTGAAGAATTCGCTCTCCGTGCAGAAGATGTCAAAAAACTGGAAATCTCTGCCCTCGGACTGCACGATGATGCTCAAATTCAGCTCACCAACAGCAAATACCGTGACTTCCAGCGTGGCTTCGTCTCACAGGGTGGACTGCCAGATCGGGAGTTTTTCAGACACGTTGTCAACGCCCCGGGACTTGACACTGGTACGTTGTCACCACGCGGCTCTGGTGTGACCTTGTGCTAACAGGACTAGGATATGCGGCAGTGACGTTCCCTGGCATTACCGAGGGGGTACAGTATGACAGGCTGGAGGATGCAAAGGCATGGGTCTCGAAGACAGCCAACGGCATTCGACGAGCTGCTGAGATTCTTCGTGTGTAAGAGGCATATACAGTAGATAGACGTATAGTTGTCAAACTCGCAGTGCACTCTGAAGCTATGTGTCATAATAGATCGGACTAGATGACAAAATGCCTTTCGCAAACTGACCTTCTGATCACGAAATTCCACCCAGACAAGGGAATGACGGAGGGAATCTGGTCACTGTCCTTCCCAGGCCAATCAATCAGTAAGCTTACATGAAATGCTCCCCGCATAGGAGTTCGTGATAAGACTCTCACCCCGCATAGCGATCCTTTCCCCAAAGGAAGGACTCCGCTAACTCAACAGAATGGAACACTTGACCTTCATTCTAGACTTAGAGAGGAGAGCGTGTATCTACCCTTGTCAGAATGTAATCTTTATCCGGAAAACAATATGAGGATTGTTGTTTCCCTGGTATTCTTTCCCTTGGGCCGGATTAGAATCGGTTTCTCTCCACGCCCACACCCTGCCCACTGGCTCTGCGTCTGTTGCACCCGGCTTCCCTTCCACCTGCAAGACCAGGGTATTCCACCACTCCGCATCAATCTAGATGTCCCATTGGGCTTTGGATCACCATAGATGTGTTTCGGACGGCACGTTATGACGGTCGGGTGACACAGTGGGCATGGTTGACCGCCAGGCGGGACGACCAACTCGGTTTATCCAGTGCCGATGAATACGACACTGGCTTTTCCGTTGACTTATCCTTTCCTCTAAAATGACCCCTCCCACCTCCCGGATATCTTGTAGTCCTCTCATGAATATGTCATGTAGGCTTGATACTTTGGGGGCTCACTCGAAACACGGCCATTTCAAAGCCACCTCATCTGTATCCTTGCCCGCCCTCATCATCCTCCTCCTACTCGCATCGCGCTGTCGAAATGGCCACAATAAAAGCAAATGTTGAAGAGAAGGAGGTAGCCGAGGATAATGTCCCCAGCTCTTCTCTCTCAGCCAATCCCAACCCCCAGGACTGGGCTGAGCAGTTCACCAGCCGGGGAGACGAGTGGCGCAACATCTACGAGCGGAAGCTCCTGCGCAAGGTTGACATGCGACTCATGCCCACGCTGGTCATCATGTACCTTCTCAACTTCCTCGACCGCTCCAATCTGGCCCAGGCCCGCCAGGGATCGCTGGAGGTTGACCTGGGCATGTCTGGGACCGACTTCAACCTGGCGACGAGCATCTTCTTCGTCGGCTACCTGCTCATGCAGCTCCCCTCGAACCTCGTGCTCACACGGGCCAGGCCGTCGCTGTATCTGGCAATGTCATGCTGCCTCTGGGGGGTGGTGTCGACCTGCAACGCGGCGACGCACAAGTTCAGCCACTTGATCGTCGTCCGCTTCTTTCTTGGATTCGTCGAGGCGCCGTTCTTCCCAGGAGCCGTGTTCCTCATGAGCTCCTGGTATACCCGTGCTGAGCTGACGCGCCGCATCGCTTGGCTGTACGCGGGGAATGCGCTGGCGAACATGTTCGGCGGACTGCTCGGTGCGGCTATCTTGGGCAGCCTTGAGGGTTCTCTGGGCCTTGCGGGATGGAGGTGGTTGTTTATCATTGTAAGTGAATTGAGTTGACGGGTATTGCTTTGGCGTTCAACGCCAAGCGACTGACGATAATCCCCCTTTCCAATGGGCCTGACTCTGTGAACAGGAAGGAGTTATTGCCATCGCCTTCGCCATGCTTGCTGCCTTTATTCTGCCCAACTACCCGCATACGACCACCTGGCTCACGCCGGAGGAGCAGGCATTTGCCTCGTGGCGACTCCTGGAAGACATCAACGAGGGAGACATGTACAAGAACGCGTCGATGTGGACAGGCGTTAAGCTCGCCTTCACCGACTACCGCCTGTACGTCTTCGTGCTCATGCAGCACATCAGTCTCATCTCGCAGAGCTTCCAGTACTTCTTCCCAACCATCGTTGGGACCCTGGGCTACGGAAGGATAACGACGCTGTGGCTGACAGCGCCTTGCTGGGTGAGTTTCCGAGATCCAGTTGCCCATCTCTCCTTCATAGCCGTTTGATCCATTGTCTGAACATCTTCTCTGTACAGTTTGCTACCTTTCTCCTATCTATTTGCGTCACCCTAAGCTCGGCCAAGACAAGGGATCGTTCAATCCACATCGCCGTCCTCATGACAGTGGCTGCAATTGGAAACGCAATTGCGACAGCCACCCCCGTCAAAGGCGCACGCTACTTTGCCATGTTCCTCATGCCAATGGGATCCGTATCTTCGTGTAAGTTGTGGAGCTCTCGAGAAGTGGTCGACCATGTCATCACACTTCACTAAGTTTCATTCTCGCGACAGACCAGATCATCGTTTCGTGGGTTGCCAACTCCTTCCCTCGACCTCTCGTCAAGCGCTCGGCATGCATCGCCATCTCCAACATGATAGGAAACACGGCGACCATCTACGGCTCCTACATGTATCCCGCGTCGACGGGCCCCCAATACATCCCTGGCGGGACAACCAACACCGTGATCTGCATGGTCGTTGCGGCCTTGGCGATTACTTTGCGGTATGTCCATATATGGGAAAACAAGAAGCTCGAGAGGGCAGAAGATGAACAGCGTGCGGCGGGAGAGACAGGTCAACAAGGAACTGCTGATAGAAGGTCGGAAGGCTTCAGGTACATTTACTAGACGCAGTAGACAGGGTGGAGATACACACGACAGGACAGGAGTTGGTTGCGCCATATCGCGCTCTCTGGGCAAACAGCCCGCATTGATATTAATGAAGATCCGATTCAAACGTGTGGTGATCGCGAATGCGACCCTGCACCCGACGAGACAAAAGACGACGACCATCGGCCAAGTGGCCCAACTCAGACCCCAATACATCCCATACATTCCCTACGAAGTGAGTATTGGTTCGCAAATGGTCAGCATTCGATATCAAGCCCGCAAGGCTAATTCTCTTGCCACCTCCTTTTGGGCAAGATGGTGTGTACAAAAGAGCGACTATTTAGCGGCATACGACTCTGACAGCTTTGCCGATTGTGAATCCACAAGCAGGGGAGGCAGCCTGTTTCTCAGCCGATAAACCTGGGAGTTCAGTGAGGGGAAAGCCCGGATTTTGTACCAATCCTGTTTAAATCCGAAGCTTGGACGGGTGATCTGCTAGAGCCATGACATGAGCATCTAGGTTGAGCGCAATTACTACAAGCAAGGCCTCTTCATAGAAGTTCATCCACGTTTACTTGAGGATACAACGCTCCCTACCTCGCTCGGTTATATTATGAAGCCAGATGAGGCAGGTCACCGCTCCTCTGAGGAGAGATGCACAGAGAGTGATCAATAGGTTGAGTCTCGGCAAGATGCAGCATCGTGTCTTCCTCTCGACCCCTCACTTGGCTCGCTCACACAGCAAGGCGAGCGTGGGGCCTGAACCTAGCCAGTGCGTGGGTGTGCCACACCCTTTGCTCTCCATTATTGCCTATATCGGCTTGTGTAGGCCGAGCTGAGTATTGTGGTATTGTTCCTTGCGGATAGCCCATGTCTGGCGTGTATGAACCGGCGACTGGGCGGCGCCGCAACCGAGACTTGGGTCACAGTGGCTCACTGTTCAACCACACAGGAGACTTGGATAATATGCGGCGCTCAAACTTGCAGCATACCAAAAGCGCCACATGCACGCCAAGACTAGACTCAGCCCTGTGTGTGGGCTGAACTGGCTTGCGTCGCCGATCGAGATGTGTGCATCGATATTGTTGGCAACGACCAGGGTCGGGGCCTATGATAAGTGAGGGCGAGAAAGCTGCCAACGAGCTAGTGCTTCTTATCATGTAGGCAGACTTACCATCGTATTGATCGTATCTGCGATCAATGGCCTCTAGACGTCATGTAAAATGCGGCCGAGAGAGATATAAATCAGTTGGATGCCGGCTCCCGAGCGAGCATGGAGTAACAAATCAGCCGTAACTTTGTCAAATTGATATCGGAAATGTTATCATCACTCTGCCTCTTGGTAATTCTTAGCATCAGCCCTTTCGTGGCTGGGAATTTGGTCAATGGCATAGGATTCAACTATGATCGGAGCCTCGAGGGTCTTGTGGAGGTCTACGAGCGCGAAGTCGAGGTGGTAGAGAAGCTCAGCATCCCATCCAAATGGCGGAAGCCAAAGTCCAGCGATGGCCTGGAGGGCATAAATGCGCGCTCGCTTCTAAACGCCCGGGAAGAAGCACTCGTTAATGCCCTCGAAGAACGCCAGTCCTGCAATACCGGATACTGGTATTGTGCCAGTCAGTCAGGCCCCTGCTTATCCTTTGCTTTCTCGCCATAGTGAGAAAGACGTTTAGAGAAATGAACACTTACACAGGGATCGATTAATAGGCTTTGGGAGGTGCTGCCCAAGAACCACAAACTGCTGCTCGGCAGGCTATTGTATCGAGCCCAACGACGTCTGCTGTCCCAAGGGTCCCTGCAATCCCGGCGAAGGCTGTTGCGGCTCAAGCCACTGCTATCCACTCGGTGGCCAGTGTTGCTCCGATGAAAGTTTCTGCACGCCGGGGAATAAGTGCTATATTCATCCTACACAAGGACGGGTATGCTGCACCGATGAAAAGTGCACAGCTCACGTCGATGACAACGGAAGCACACGTTATGCCACCACTACCACAACCACCCAGCCCGTCACCACGACCCTAACTCAGACATACACATGGACAGTGACCTACTGGTACTGGTATTATTACTGGACTGTCTCCGTGCAGATTGATGCTTCAATTGTGACATCAACTCGGCGAACCACAACCACTTGGTTCGTTGTCGCGACGACAGATGCTGCTGCTGCCTCCGAGTATTTCAGCAATCTATCCAAGACTGTGGTTCTCTCCACGCCAGCCGAGGCAACGAGCCTCGAGACATTGGCTGGACAAACTTCGTTTGCCAAAGCACCCCCATCGTCCACTAGCAGCCAGCCAAGGGAAACAGAGACTTCTTCAGAGAGCTCCCCAGAGCCAACAAGCCGCGCCACAGCATCGTCGTCGTCTGAGTCGAGTGAGTCAAGCGAGCTGAGCGAGACTGAGACCTCATCAACAGAGGATCAAACGACCAGCACAGAATCATCTACGTCAGAAAGCTCTTCCACTCAGTCCGAGACGACCTCGAGCTCCGCTTCCCCTACTGGAGGCTCGAGTGCCGCACATGCTCTATACTCTGACATGGATGCTTTCACCATCTGGTTTCTAACCTTTGGGGCTGGGGTTGGTCTTGTTGCCGTGATGCTATAGTGATCATCTATGTCCAGTATTCTATGAGTTCAATGTCAACTTGGCGCTGCTGTATATGACTGGAGAATAATGGCTGAATTGAGGCTACAGGTATATTTCATATGAACCTAGATATTGTAGTTTGAGATTGAAGTCTATCTTTGAAAAGATATAAGCACAATTCTACCAATATGAGCCGTATGCCTCTTTCACTCACTTGATTCCGCCTTTTCAAGGCCTTCATCATTCTCATCTCTGGCCTATTGCGTCTGATGTCAACAGGCTCATGAGCAGCATTCACAGGCATCATATCACAGGGAAGGTGATGCCAACGAGCAGAGATTCTCCAGTATGCGAGAACAGGGGAGCAACTGGACACCAGGGCCAAGGAGGCGCAGGTATTTCGTAGCAAAGACGAAGAGCTCCCATTGATGGACGAAGACTAAATAGAATTACAGTTAAAATGAAGGTCAATGTTCAATTACCTACGAAGATGCAACTTCTGACAGTGGCCAGCCCCCGTCGGGATTGAAGGCAGCGGACCATCGAAACCCCGCAAGCTGCCCGTAATAAAGCCGAGAAAAAACAGGGCCGAGTCAGGAGCAATGGCGGAGCTACCAGATGGAGAAATGAAGCGAGTTCCTCTTTTCTTACATCCTTGAAAGACCACTTTCTTTTGCTTTGGAAGGGAGAACAATCACTTTTCATCCTTCCCCTAACCGCTTCGTCTGCCATTGCTCGACTTCGCCATGTCTCAAACGGCGACGTTGACCGAGACCGACATCGGTGATGGCGCCATTGAGCTCGGCCACCGCCCCGGTCAAGAATCCAAGACAGCGCCCGTGGCTCGCGAGCTGCGAGAGACACATACTGCCTTGCAAGATGAATCTCCCCCTCCGACAAATGCGAGGCATGAGGTGGAGCGATGGAACTGGCCGAGGGGGAATGTCCCTCGGCTTGGCTTTGCTTTCCTGTCGTTCATCATCGCAGGGATGAATGATGCGGCGATTGGCGTATGTACGACTGATGCTAGATGGCATGTTCCTTTCCTTCTGGCTCATCAATTGCTGACTCTGTGACTCAAAAGGCTCTGATCCCATATGTATGTTCTTCCAGATGACCAGTGCTTACTCCGTTGAACGCCCGCTCACATCGCCCAGCTTGAGCAATACTACAATCTGACCTACACCATCGTGTCTCTCGTCTTCTTAACTCCCTTTGCAGGCTACGCCCTCGCCGCATTCACCAATGCCCGGATCCATGTGGCACTGGGTCAGCGCGGTGTCGCCATCATGGCACCCTTATGCCACATCGTCACCTACGTGGCCCTCTGTCTCCATCCGCCCTACCCCGTGCTGGTCGTGATCAACATCATCAGCGGCTTTGGAAACGGGCTGACGGACGCCTGCTTCTGCGCTTGGGTGGGCGCCATGGACAAGGCGAACACCATCCAGGGCTTCATGCACTCTTGCTACTCAATTGGTGCCCTGCTTGCTCCGCTTATCGCCACTGAGTTTGTGGTGACCTTGAAGCGGCCCTGGTACGAGTATTATTATGTCATGGTAGGCAGCCCATCCAATCGCCTGGAGAGGTGTGGGGTTTTCCCCTTCATGCAACGGCTAATCTTTGACCAATAGGTTGGTATCTCTGTGATTGAGCTCGTCGGCTTGAGCATGAGCTTCTGGCGCAAGACTGGTGCAGTCTATCGCAGTGAACATGTGAATGAGACTGGTTCAGAAGGCGCTGGGACGCGAGTTGCGCTGAAGTCTAAGGTTACCTGGCTTTGCTCGGTCTTCTTTTTTGCCTATATGGGTGTCGAAGGTAAGACAAAACCTACTCACACGCCCCCGGACGATCTTATAATAAGAGGATCAAATATACTAATATGCCGTCAGTTGGCCTCGGTGGCTGGGTCACAACGTTTATGCTCCGTGTCCGTAAGGCATCTCCTTATGCATCCGGTATCTCGAGTACTGCATTTTGGGCTGGTCAGGCTTTTGGGCGTGCCTCCATGGGCTTTGTTACTGAGCGCTTTGGCGAGCGCATATGTGTGACCGTATACCTGGCCATCTGCATCGGGCTACAGCTACTCTTCTGGCTGGTCCCGCGCTTCATTGTGTCCGTCGTCGCAGTCGCCTTCCTAGGCATGTTCCTCGGTCCCCTGTTCCCCGGGGCAGTCATGGTCACGGCGAAGCTGCTGCCCAAGCATATCCACGTGAGCGCCATTGGGTTTGCCATGGCCCTTGGTGGGACGGGTGGCACGGTTTTTCCATTTATAATTGGTGCCATCGCCTCGAGCAAGGGAGTGGAAGTCCTGCAGCCAATCATACTTGCTTTGATCATAGTTGTTTCCATAGTTTGGCTAAGCTTTCCCCGAATCAAAAAGCCTGAATAAGGCTGAATGTCAGAAGAGATAGATTGTTGGGGGCTGATGGTGTAATCGGCATCAGCCAATCACGGTCCCTTGATCACATACAGAACATGAAGGCTGCCTGTCAGCCAGGCAACAACGGCTTCTATGGACAGGATGATGGTGTAAGGGATGACTCCCTGTTGAGGGATGTCTTTTAGACGGGTATTGATAGAAATAGCCCACTAAATCACGACCCGATCCGCATGAGTGACGAACTGCACTCATGCTACTGAGTCACATTTTCTCGACCAGGTTTCATCAATGCAACGCCCAGGCTGGATTCAACACGAAACCTCGCAAGTTTCAACATATTCGTGATGAAATTAACTACCGAATGTGCTCGATAATCTCACTTCAACCTCCTTATACGGCTCGGTATGTGTTCTCTACCAGCTGGCTGATAGACTTGGTGACGCTTCATCAGCACAAAGTGTACATACCACCCCGCATTCCTGCTGCACATCAAAGAGAAACTTACCGAACCCTATATTAAGTTCTCAATTGTGTGCCAATAGGTCTAAATCTCAGCCGGAAGGCAGTTGTGCTAATACCACCGTGATACAACTATCGCGCATGTGCACATTCATTGGTCTCTCATTTGCTCTAACCATTGTCTCTTATCTCGCCTTATGCGTGATCATGCTAGATGTAAGAATATAGATACCTGCATGTTAGTCACATTCACCAGAGTAAGGGCCTCTCTTGCACTCGCGTGATCAGTGCCAACCGGCGTGAGTCAATGTCAACTTCTAGGCCGATATTTTTAGGCGGATAAAGGACTTAATTCACGTTGATTCTAAGCATCATTTTTGCATTCACCAACTTGACGCTCAAAGGAGGTGCTTAGCATGGATTTAGGCACCCAGCGCCTAACCCAGGAACTGGTATGAGGACACCAAAATGGCGGTGTGTGGCTTGCAGGAGGTTAGCAGAGATTTGCTGTTTCTTTTAGGCTCCCAGATATTGTGTTAGGCTTCTGGGAATACCTTAGCTGCAGCGTCGGAAATGTATGCATGAGTATTCGCAATAGTGCATTATATGTGCATGTCAGGAGCGAAAGGAATGAAGCGGTAAGGGAAATGTGATTACACTACCTTGAGGACGAATAGGAGGATTTTGTCTTCATCCTTCCCGTTCCTTTAAGATAAACCCGGCACTGGGCCGAAATGTGAAAAACTCACCCGCAATCAGCCCTTACCCAATGCTCATCCGGAGCCGAATCGTTGTGATCCGCAAGAACACCGATGGATGGTTCGCAATTCTCAGGCTCCAGTTCTCCTTTTCACGTCGCAAGTTGCGCCCATATTCAGTAATAAATGCAGAAGCCATTAAAAAATTGGCACAATTGTGTAAGAAAGATGAAATCCACCCCATGTTCATACTGACATTTGACTATATGATTCACACGCCAAGTTGCCTTTTGAGGCACAGCTGTGCTGAAGGCGTCTCGATGATTCTCCTTCTATAAAGTGATGCCTTTCACATCAACATAAAGCATTCTCATGATAACCATACATGTCTTCATTCTCAGATGGAAAACCCAACAGGCATTACTCGGCATCATGCGTGTCTATAGTGTGACAACAAATTCCTTCGACGAGCGGTTGGTCGATGTCAAGCAACCCCATAATCTTGCCATTCTGTCCCACGCTGTTGGCACTTCTTTCTCTTCCAGTATTCAACCAGCCTCAGAAGTTGCCATCAGGTACGGCGCCACGTGCCTCTGGGAATTCTCAATTTGCATTGACCAAACCTCCACCTCTGACGTCGGCCAAGCTGTTACGGAATGCTACTCGCGGCTTAAAGGAGCACTGGTCTGCCTGGTCTACCTTCATGATCTCCCCACGCTGAGCTCGTCCATCGACGGAGAGGCTTGGAAAGCATGCAGGTACTGGACCCGAGCCTGGCCATTAGCCGAATTCGTGGTGCCCAAGAGAGTAGAAATCTTCGACTGCGAATGGAATCACCGCGGGAGCAAAGGCTCCACGGAGCTTCTTCCCCTCCTCTCGGGAATCACGAACATACCCAAGCGTGTCCTCCAAGATCCAGAGACAATGCTAGACACGCCGGCCAGCCTCCGGATATCTTGGTGCTGCAACAGGAACGCCAGTCAACCAGAAGATGTGGCTTATGTTCTAATGCCAATCCTGGGTATCAACATTCCAACACGTTACGGAGAAGGCTCTATTGAGGCCTTCCTACGACTCCAGAAGGCGTTTCTTCTTAAGTCTCTTGATGCTTCCATTCTATTCTGGGGACACGGCCAGCAAGACGCGATTGACGGACTTCTTGCACAGTCTCCGGCTGAGTTTACACATGCCTCTACAGAGGGACCTTCCTACATCAAATCACCATGTTCGACACTCCAAGCGAGCTATGATTGGGACTGGGAAATTATCGACAAAAACCAGCTGAAGCCCTCTTCAAAAGGAGCTCCAATTGACAAGGTTGCAATGAGGCCAAAGGATGATCCGTCCGGAGCCTCGGAGGATGACGAATCACAGTATACACCCTTTCAAATTACGGGCATCAAGCGTAAAAGATCTGCCAGCTCAGTCACTGCATTTGCGACTGATCAAAATACACCCCGGGCCCACGTTGATATCTTTGTGCAGGAAGAATCAGCATGGGACGATGACTTTTCGGACAGCGACAGCGATAGCGACTGTAGCTGTCACTGCCACTCCCAATTCTATTATACTGAAGAAGCGGAAGAAGAGGATTTCGTGCTCGGTCCCTCTCATGAGCTTCATGGGCTAAGGCTGGATATTGTGGAGTACGCGTTTGATGTCATTCAGAGAAACCTGGAAGCCGCTGTCTACATTGCTCCGCCCGATGACAGGCTTCCTCCTCAGAAACGATTCAAGATGGCAAAATGGGAGACGCCTGGTGATGGAAAACCACTTGCATATCGAACCAAGGGCTACTTTCACTTAGCTTGTCCGTTCTATATCACCAACCCCACAAGATATCAATGCTGCCTCCTCCAGCATGATCTGCAGTCTATCGAAGACGTTATAAGACACGTTAGTGAGCACCATACAGAGCCACCTTATTGTCCAATATGTAGACGGGAGTTTGAGCGAGCTTTCACGCGCGATATCCATGTTCGAGAAAGGGCCTGTACTCCGTCCACAGGAGACGTGGACGGTGTGAATGATCGCCAAAAGCGAATGTTGGTAAAGAAGGACAAAATTCAAACGGGGGAACGGAAGAGGTGGATGCGAATATGGCGTACAGTGTTTCCAAATAGGGAACTCACGGACAGCCCTTACTTAGACAGTGGTTTGGGCCACGATATATCTATACTCAGGGATTGCTGGGCATCAAATGGTTATGATACAATTATGGAATTTCTCGGTAAAATTGAGATGTCGGACGGTTTCGAACTACGGGATATCAAGGGCCTCTCTAAGATTTGTCTAGAGGACCTTGTAAAGAGGCTGGCTGAGACGCGCGATCTTTCCTTGAGCAATACCCACACATCCTGATTCTTTTTATTTTGTCTTTCTGTATTTTGGATTTATAGCGTCAAGGGGGGATTTGAGATAGATTATGAATTATAAGATTGTTTTTATTTTAGACCATTACCTCCTGCGTAAATAGCCTGTTCTATACTATTGGAGAAAGCTGGCACTTCCAAAATTGAGATTACTATGCTTTAAACCATGTTTTCCAGGAATTAATGCAAAGCAAGACAATAGAGCTCTTTGCGGCTTAGAACAAGACTATTGAACTATAAATCCCAACTCTCTGGAATGACTGGTCATTTAATTCAGTTTTGTCCGAACCCCCGGTAGCAGATATGTGGTCAGCCACCAAGCCACTGCACTTTACAAACCGCTTTTGTATAACAGGCGCATCACCGGAACGCAGCCTCACCCTCCCCACAGCTGAAAGGGGCTTGTGGCACAGAAGCAATGTGGCAAATGGCGGGATCTATGAGGACATCTCGATGGCGGGAAGAGGCTGAGAGCAAGGTGCGGAGGAAGCTGTGCATACCCCTGCCCACGGTGACGATTATTGGCACACCTAAGCGTTGCTACGCCGCAACTTTTCTAGCCATCACCGCCGGCTGTACTTACTCTGTACTCTCATATGCAATACAGATCGATTTATCCTGTCCCGGAATTCTGAATCATGGAGTATTGCTCTACTATCATTACCAGCATTACCGGCGGCTATCCTCACTTTGGTGTCGGATGCCGTCCGTCGCTCGTCATCTGGCATACACAGCCTTATTCGCCCAGGCTGGTGAGCCTAGAACGGGCTGTGCATCAACAGCCCGCCTGGGTTGGTTAGCAGTGTCTCACTCCCATAGAGTTTCGCCAGCCGTCGGGAACGGCTGGCCACTAGATCAATTAAACTAGCTGGGGCTGGGTGGAATCTCGAACCAGGCAGCCAAGAGATCCTGCAGATCAGCTTCCATTGCGCAGAGCGCGTTTCCTCAAATGTTCCATCACAAAATTGTGGTAACTTGGACGGGCCGCACACTGGTGGCCGCCGGTTGGTTGGGCCCAAGTATCTCACATCTGTGTGCACGAAATCGCGTCAGGCGATGTCATACATAACCTCCGCCCTGCCGGCGCGTTGCCTGGCAATGCTCGCCTCGTTTTTTCATTATCCTTCTGTTCTCCATACCTTCCATTCAACCTCTTTGCCATTTTCAACCTTAAAACATGGTTATGTTCCGTCAAGGCCAAAGATCTCACCAGCCTTAACAACGAATCTTATAGACCTTGGGTTGAACCAGGCACTGGAGCCAACCATCCACCCACCATGGCAAACCATGGACGCCGTATGACGGCTCACGCACAATCGCCTCTGGCGCTAGCCAAAAGCTCTCTCTCCAAGCTGGCAAAGAGGTTCCACAGCGGCCCGGGTGACAAGTTCCGCGTGAAGATCCTCAAACGCGAACTTGTTCAATTATCAGATCCAGCGAGAAAGCTGGAGCCCCGAGACGAAATATCCCTGCTCACCATCCATCCCAAGAACGGCAGTGCCCCCCTTGTGGTCGCAACCGAAGATCCTCTGGCGGTTGAGCCTGCCGGGGATGCGCCAAAGGGACCACACAAGCTCCCGATCATGGTGGTGAGGCGGATAGGGGAGGAGTGCGCCTCCATTTGCGATGAGAATGAGTCAAAGAAGACATCGCCCAACTTGAACCAGTTCGAGAACTGCCTCGCCCTTGCGATAACTTACATACTGTCTTTAATCCTCCCATTGACAGAAAAAAGCCAGCCAGCTGTGCAGAAGGTTGTAGCGAACAACATCCAGCACCTCGACTTCTCTGAACTCTCCAGTCAGCCTCCACCACACCAGTACCCATTGTCGCCGTTTGGGGGTGACCCCTTCTATCTGCCTGACGGCAGCAATGGGTGCGGAGGAGGATCTGACGAGCTGCCCGGAGGGTTGTCCGGGGGCTGTGGAAGCAACTATCCGGACGACGACGACAGCAGCCACGGAGCCGGCCAAGGCAGCAATGGCGAAGGCGGCGACGGGAGCCAGGGCAAAGGGAAGGGCGCAGACACGAACAGCCCTCAATTCGCCTGCCCCTTCTTTCGGCATGACCCGTTCCTATATGAGAAGTGTCTCAAGTTTAAGCTGAGTCGGTACAGCGACGTCAAGCAGCACATCAAGCGATACCACGTGGTCGACTCGTACTACTGCCATTCGTGTATGCAGCAATGGAAGACACACTGCCCAGAGTATGAGGCTCACATGGCCGCGGACTGCATCAAGGCACCGACCCACAGGTACCTGGATAAAGAAGAGGTTGAAACCATCATCGGGAGGTCCAGGGCTAGAGGGCGAACCGGGATGGACAATTGGAGGGAGATGTGGCACCGATTGTTCCCCGAAGACGACAAGCCCGTCTCTCCATTCCTAGACACGTACTTTGTGGAGATGACCAATGCCTGCCGAGACAGGAACCGCCTGAAGGTTGAGGAGAAGTTGAAGTCCTGGATAGCAGCCGGGGGGGAACCGACCCCAGAGAGAATGCGTGAGATGGTCACCGAGATCCAGGACTTGTGCTTGAACACGGCCCCAGTTGAGGCCCGACCCTCTCGAGTGCCGAACCACGTGTATGCCAAGTCAGCCGGATCTCTTTCGATCCAGGTCCAGGAATCACGCCCAAGAAACCATTCGGATCCTGGGCCATCCTCGCTCGCGGTGCCCTGTGAGAATCACGCTCCAGAGACGGCACCCTTAATGTATTCACAGGGTAGCAACGAGCAATATCTCTCAGTGCCACCTAGAGAATATCGCCCTTCTCGTAACAGCATGAGCGCACTGCCCTTTCACACCCAATCCCTGGCCACTCAAGAGCAGCCTTTCCTGGGCCCAAGGAGCAGCTCGTTCAGTGGAGGCTTCGCAACGACAGACTTTTCAGCAACACAGAGCGACATGTTTAATGCTGCCAATGGCCTCCAATACAACGAGGCGGCGGACTCCAGCTTACTACATGTACTGGAGCAATACCCCACGATGGCGAGTCCATGGGACATAGAGGATGGTGGCCTTGGCGCCGCGCAGGTAATGGACAGTGTCGCGGGTCGCGTCCAACTGGACTTCGAGTCGCCGTATCTGCAAGACATACCGCCGCACATTGGCCCCCAAGACCTTCTGGCAGCAGACCCGGGGATTATCAACACATCTGAGCTTGGCAGCATCAGTACGGGGAATACGCCACACCTAATAGATGTGCCGTCGCCGTCATCGTCGGCAAGGAGCATACAGGTCGCGCAGCCGAAGCGAAAGGCCTCCAAGTCTGATGCAAAGCAGCCCACGGCCAAGCGTGGTCCGACCCGATACTCGGGCTAGGTACATGACGATGGCTGTGCGGTCGACTCTGAAACAAAGTACATTGAACCCTTGCGTCTTATGTCAAGCGTCATACTTTAAGGCACGACACGTCCGATTGAAGCCGGGGATGGTGATCAAGATTGTCGCGGGGTGGAGCAAGTGGCGAGACGGGCTCTGATCTGGGTGGCTGCCTTGTTTTTGGTGTGCATTGGCGTTCTTTTTTCTTTGGTCGCGATATGTTATAGGCGTTCAAGTGGTGTTTCTCATGATTCCCCTTCAGGTTGGGTTTCTTCTTCCCTTGCGTTCTCCTCAGTTGAGGAGCTCGGGTCATAGGTACATGTAAGGTAGACAATTAACCAAGCAACCAGGCCCCATGGAGGGACTTCTTTTTTAATTCCTTGTGCAGACGGCTTTAATCTGGTGCACTCAAAGAAGTGCTGACATCCCTGGATGGCTCCAGCTCAGGCCTCCAACGTGCCCTGTAAATTACCTAACGGTAAGCATAATTAGTGCTGGCTGATGGGGCTCGCAGCCTCGCACAGGGCTTCAGCTATTCTTACAGCGAGGGCCTGGGCCTGGACTAGCCCTACAGCACTTAGTCTCAGTACAAGGGCAGATCAGTCCCCGGCTCGCCCCCAAAAAAGGTCCAACAGCCCACTACCAGGACCTTGCCACTCCCGCTGTGGGCCCAGTGACCCAGCTGACCGGAGGCTAATTGCTCGCTGGAAGTCCCCTGTTCTGGGTGATGCACCCGACATCCACAGGAGCAAGGCCATCTCACGGACGGTTCTAAAAATGGCGTCTTGTTTATAAGACCAGCCTTCCCTCGCCAGCCTTCCTCTGGTTTTCCCTTTTGCTTCTTTTCTCTTCGTACTCATTTCACGTCCTGACAATCGTCATGTCTTGTTTGGCCGTGACCTCGAAGCAAAATGAGCCACCACTCTCCCTCCATCCGTAAGCTCATCCTCGCCCTGGCGGCGAGTGTGCATGCAGCTAATGCCGACTACTACGACTACGACGACGACGAATACTACACGAGAGGATGGGACGACATCGATGAGCAGACGCCCATGCTCACCACACGATGCTGGTACTACAGCTGCCACTACAACGGGAGCTGGCACCTCACTGGCCCTGCAGTCGCCGGCATCGTCCTCTTCTCCATCCTCATGCTCATCTTCATGGGCGTGCTCGTCCGACACTGTCTCAGCGACAGGGACTGCACCGACGCCTACTACCAGCAGCAAAACTACCAGGAGGCCTACCTGCCGCAGCAGAGGCCGGCGGCGCCTCACTACTCCTACCCGGCCAACGCGGGACACTCGGGCTCGGGCTCATCCATCTCCAACAGGCAGGAGATGAGGGAGCACACGAGGGAGCGCCGCCGCTACGCCGCCATGCCCGTCGTGCCTCTCACCATCCCCCAGAACCAGCACGGCCAGGTCTCCTCGGCGCCCCCTCCCTGGGAGCCCCGCGAGCCCCTGCCCGCGTACATGACGGACGCCAACAACCCCAAGGTCGCGCCGGCCGAGGAGAAGCCTGGCAACAACTCGGACGGGGCGAGCGACTACTCGTACAGGTGACGACGAATGGGGGTCGTCTTTAGTTAATTGGGCTTTCATTGATTGGATACGACCATCACGGAAACACAAGACGTGCAAAAGCAAAAGGGCGTTCCGGGTTTTAACACCTGGCGCGCCCTGGCAACAAAAAATCAAATCAATGAAACCCTCGGCCCCCATACTATGTCAGAGCGCTCTCACCAACACGACGAGAGCGACCCGTTGAGCGGCTTCCCGGCCTCGAGTTGTGGATCAACTCGGGGTCCTGGGAAACAGAACTTCCCCCTGGTAACACTATGGACGGTTTACGGTTTTGCAACGCCCAACACACATTACCTGAACAGTGTTCTTTGTTCGGTGTGTGTGGCCGGGCTTGCTGTTTAGTGAGCGATTTGCCAACTGCACTGAAAAACACAATGAAGCTGCCGGCGGCTAAGAAGAGGGCGGGGGTGTTCTTTGCTGCGCATCCCCCGTTCCTCCGTTCAGTAATAATTCAGTTGATTTGGTGGCTAATGCGCTCCGGTGGTAGACGGCGGTGCGCGTCCAGCGCCGGATGGGTGAGAGGGAGAGGCCCCTGCAGGGAAATTGACGATCCAGGTGCCTGCACCTCTCCCTCTCACAGGGTATATAAATAGCACTCGATTCGATGTATATATATTTTAGAGTGATTCTATGCTGCCTTCTCTGCTTTGGATAGGCTAGACTGGTCTTAGAATTGAAACACTTTTTTTTATAAACTTCTCGATGTGCCTTGAGTAAAATCGCTGTTGCGCGTGATGAACTTCGTGGAATGACAAGATGATGTACGCCGAATGGAGACGGAGCTTACTTGGCCCCAGATTGGAGCTACCCTATACCATACATTCCCAATTCTCTTCAACGTAAAAGATGTATGTAAGACTGGGTGAACGCATCGAAATAATTGCCATGAAGGCTTGATTTAGCCGATTATCAGTCACTGGAGTTAAAGTTTGAATGGTTGCTAGGATCTGGGTTGTTGTGAGTGAATTCATTGTTTGAAACCCTCAAGCACAAGATGCGCTTTGGTTTTGGTCAAACGTTGACCTCAATCCAACAAACCATGTGTTGTGACTCCGAGAAGACCATTCCATAATTTCCGGGCTCTTAAAAGGCAGTTGATTTACCTACAATTTCAATCATATGAGAACAATCCCGCAATTATACGCCTTGCTTAGATCTGTCGATGGAAACCGAGCTCAGTGCGGAGATCTGATTCATTTAATTCCTTGTTTGATAATATGCTTCCCGCCGTGTCAGTCCTCCCCTTTATGGTATTTAATCTGATTTCTACTCCCACTTTACGCCATTTTCTATTGTTCCCAATTGATCAGGATTGCCACCCCCGTGCCATGTGCCTGGCCAAATGCTCCATGTGCAAAAATTCCAAAAAATTCAACAAATTCTTATGTAAATGTGTTTTTGTGCCGCCATGTCGTGTATATGTTCTTCTCTACCGCGCTCCCAAAAAATGTCAATCAAAATACGTATGTCGTCGTTATCATTCGAATCATCGTCATCCGCAACTCATACAGCGTCATCATCGGCTTGATCTAAATGATCGCTAGACCCCGTCCAATCGTCGCTTTCTAGACTCTCTGAGTGAATGAACAGGGAGCCAACCCAGCCGCAGAGGGCGAGGCCTCCGAACAGAGTCCACGATAACACCTCTCCCTTTGGGTGGATGTTCTTGGAGAGGGCGAATAGGCTGCCGGAGACGAAAGGGCCGATGCTTCTTCCAAGGGCCGACAGCGTCTGAGCAACGCCGTTAAGTGTGCCGAGACTGTTGTGAGACGGGGCCGAGTTAGTGATCTGGTATTGCAAGGTTAGTCAGTCTATCCAGCGATATGTTGTGTCGAGGTATAGGGAGTGAGCGTTGAGAAATCCCCATTCGTCCCTCTTTGGGGGTGAATGTACGTACCAAGAGCATCACGCTCGATAAGCCGCCGACAGCGCAGATGTTTTTGACCACCAGCACAGTCAGCAGCTCGATATACAGCCAGACCTTGCCATCCCACACACCAAAGAGCGGCTTATCGTCGGCGTGCCCGACCCAGGGCATCAAGACCATGCTGACAGCAATACCGAGGAGCGCAATCCGATACGTCCCCATGTTCCCTAGTCTGGCTTTGACTGGCTGGAAGATGAAGGCCTGGAACACGATCGTGGTGAAACCTGCAGCGCTGAGAGTGAGTCCTATCTTCCCGGGGCTCAGATCGCGCCCGGCTGGAGGAGAGGTGGCCACGAAGATGGGGTAAAGACTGTTGAAGCTGATATTTGACAGTTGGAAAATAAGATAAGTAGCCAGGAGAAGCAGGGTGGTCCGATTGAGGAGTTCCTTCCATGGCGTTCCCCCATTTATTGTGGATGTACTGCTCCGATCGTCCGAATCGTCACCATCGCTGCCCACCGAAGGCGACCGAGATAGAAGTGGCCGCTGCGCCGCCTGGGAGCGCGGCCATCGAGCGCTCCAGGAGTTGCTTCTGGACAGTGAGCCTTTCCCACCTACTGATAGCCGCTTGGGCGATGCCCATGAGCCAATTCGACGAACCCAGGAGGGGACCGCAAAGGAAACAGCGTCTTCCTCGTCGAGGGTCTCCTCGAACCAGATGGCCACAACGATACAGCTGCTGGCCAGCATGGCAGCTCCAAGAATGTTGGGCGCCAGGTATGGGTACTCTGAGCCCATCTTCCCCACCAGCAGCCCACCGAGCGCGGGGCCTGTAATGCTGCCAAGGGAGTAGATGACAGGGAGGTAGGTGAAGGCCCGGCTCTGGTTCGATCGGTCTGTGACCTCGCCTAGGACGGTGGGCACGCAGGCGGCATTTCCATTCAACATACCCATGGCGATATGGGTGAGGATGAGTTGCCAGTAGGATTTGCAGAATCCGAAGGCGAGAAAACACAGCATCAGGGCGAAGGTCCCCAGCAGTAGGACGGGTTTCCGACCGACGATATCCGAGGCGTACCCCCAGAGGAAATTGGTCGACAGCTGGGCGAGGGCGAATGCGCTTGCTAGAATGCCAATGTACAGGCCGCTGCTCTCCGTTGGGATATCGGGCATGGACTCGACCATCTCGGGGAGGTATGGGGATATGGAATTGAGCGCCGTCTGCTCCGACAGCGAGAGGTATGCTAGGAGCAGGAGCTGGCGGACTGGCAATGGGGTCGCCTTGGAATCATCGTCGTCATCGTCGTCGGATGGGGAGCCGTCGGAATCAGAAGAGAGATCTGCGATGGGTGGCTGCTCGAGGGGCGTCTTGGGCGGCTGGGACGGAAAGGTCTGGTATCGCTGGGAGGATTTGCGCTTCAAGAAGGACTCGATCGAAGGCACCGGCGCGCCGGCATGAAAAGACCCAGACGAAGTTTGGCGTGACGAATGGACCAGTCGGTGGGTTGGTCGAGACATTGCGTGTATACGGTCCGTTGACTGTTGCCCGCTCTCGGACCTCTGGCTTGAACGAAGACGTCAATCGAGATGGGACAACGAGCGCAGAGGGCGGAAGAGAGTGCAAGTAGCGAGTAGATAAAGGAAAGAGAAGAAAAAAAGACCTGCAGTCTACGATGGCAACTGTGACGCAAGGGGGAAAAGATGCATTTCTAACTTATCCCCGAACCCTCGGCGCCAGCCGTGAAGTAAAAGTCCGGCAGGCGGGCAGGAAGGAAGAAAAACAACTGGCTACAGCGGGTTTTGGCATGCAAAAGAGCACGGCAAATTCAGGCAGGGGCTCGGGGTGACTCAGAATAGGCGATTGGTCGATGGGAGGATTGGTGAGATGGGATGTTGCAGCTAGCGACGGTGGTGTGTGTGATGCTACCCTTCCAATGGACCTGGAACCGCGTCGTCAGTGGCTGCTAGACCGGTTGGAGTTGAGCTGCAGCTGCAACGATGGAGATGTGGACTGATTGACTGATTGATAAAGGAATAGATTCTGCAGGTCTGGACGAAGAAGGAAGAGGAGGAGGGGTTGTTCCAGGTCAAGACGTGCAGCGGTTCCATGATTTCATCTGCACGCTGCACCAACAAGGAACCAAAAAAAAAAAGCCGAGATGGCAGTCCAGTGCGTCATGCAACCTTACTCCAGCCAGTCATCACATCGCATTTGCTGACTCATCGCGGTAGAGGGCACGCGATCCCCATAGGCTACGTATTGCGGGTTTCTGCCCGGCTGCTCCCGTATTAGAGGGATGTAATAGGCGCTTGTGGGTGCTGTTCAGGCGTGGTCACGCTGCAGATGAGCGCTGGGGCGGGGCGTTTGGCTACCTCTAGCAGGGCATTAGCAGGGCATTAGCAGGGCTCTAATGGTCATTGAGTGCGCTGTCGCTGCCAATCGCTCCCGAAAAGGGCAAAACGGGAAAAAGGAACTTCTCCATGTGCTTGGGTCATCCGCCTCGTCAATCTGGTGTCGATAAATCAACCTGGTGTCGATAAGTATGTCATTTTCTTCATCTAGGGGTTCTACTGAAATGAGTACAATTCCTCGGGCCTTGCAGCAGCTCCGGTCCATATCGTCCTCTTACGGCACCGACGCAAGCATCGAGCCATTCTGCACGCGGCATGCGACAATTTGGCGCCGAGGCAGCTGTCCTGCTCCACAGGATGCGGCATTTGCACCGCCTACGCTAATTAGCCCTCAGTCGATCACCACCTCTCACCTGCCCATCTGCTCGAATCAGATCAGATGTAAGCCCGCAGGAACTCCACCAGAGCCATCATGGCCATCGCCTGGCCGTAGGGCATGCTCGTCCGAGGGATGTCCTTGTAGTGCTGCAGGTCATGGCCCATCCCCGTCCCGAACGACGTGTTGAGCAGCTCGCCCTCGGGGCTGATATTGTCCAGCACCGCCTTGACCGCCCGCAGCGCCGTCTCCTCGCTGCCCTCCTTGCCAATGTACTTTCGCCGCGCCGCCTTGAGCAGCCCGTACGCGAACCCGGCCGTCGCGCTCGCCTCCAGGTATGAGCCCTCCTCCTCGGGGACGTCGAGCAGCGTTCGCCAGAGCCCGTTGGGCGCCTGCAGCGGGGTGAGCGCCTCGCTCTGGCTGACTAGCGTGCTGATCAGGTGGTCGCGGAGGGCATCGCCCGGCTTGAGGTCGAGCAGCTCGATGAATTCGGGGATGACGATCGTCACCCAGCTGTTGCCGCGCGCCCATCTTGCGTCGGCAAAGTTGTGGCCGCCCTCGTGGAAGGTCCAGCCGTGGAAGAAGAGCCCCGACTTGTGGTCGAAGAGGTATTGGATGTGCAGCAGGAACTGGCGCTTGGCCTCCTCGACGTAGTGTGGTCGGTTCAGCAGCAGGCCGATCTTTGCCAGCGGCATGACCGTCATCATCAGCGTGTCGTCCCACAGCTGCTGGTCGTTGACTTCGAGATAGGTGATGTGCTGCATGCCGCCGTGTCTCGTGCGAGGGAGGTCGTGGTATGCCCACTCGGCCCAGCTGTCCAGCCAGGGAAGGTAGGTCTGGTTGCCCGTTTTCTCGTACACGTAGGCGAGGGTCAGGAAGACGGCCATGGTGTTGATGTTCTTGCCCTTGTGGCCCTCTGCAAATCGGGCCTGGAACCAGTCCTCAATGATCTTGAGGTACTGCGCATCGTTGGTCAGCTCGTAATACTTCCAGATGCCGTAGAGGCCAATGCCGTGTGTCCATTCCCAGTCATTCCATCCCTTTGTATCAATGACTTGGCCGTCCGCGAGCGTCATCAAAAACTGGCCAGTGGTGTCTGTGATGTTGACCAGCTCGTGGATCAGCTTCTTGATCTTGTCGTGGACATCTTGTGAGGCGATGCCATTGACATGGGTAGGCATGATGGCTGCTTGCACGGACGACAGCTATCTTATTTGACGATTGATTGACGGGAAGTATCTATTGAATTGGCCCTCCCGCGCAAGATGAGATAGGAAAGAGAGTGATGTGTGATGACGATGTTATTCCCAGGGAGTGGCAGGGGAAGTAAATGAGGTGAACTTGGGGTAGGACCAATCGCGTCATATGCGACTCAACGAAGAAGAGGGCCTTCCCACAGTACATCAAGCTTATGTCGAAGCTGGTTTAATCCAGACAGCTCGCTCCAGGCCGGGTTCGCAGCAGCGAGGCCCCAGTCGTTCATGAGCGCTCACTGGTGGGATTATTTCGATCCAAGACTCAGACGTCGGGGCTCGGTTTAAGAAGACGACCTCCCACTTGCTCCACCATTCTTACCCCGGCCTAGAGGAAACAATCCCCATTCCCCCAAATTTCCTAATTGCGGGGATGAACCAATCGCCTGTCCCACCACCTCTCGGTTTTCGGTGTAGCTTGGCAGCCGGCCCAATCAGTGATCAGAAGCTTTGTCTTTGTCGGTGCAACGCTATGGCGAGAGTGGTCTGTCTTGCAAACCACCCTGTAGGCAGTGCTCCAGTCTAGCATCCCCGCATAGACGAATCCCCCTGGGGAATGGGGGAAACAGGCCCGTCCACCGTCTGCGGAGAATGTACGTTTCCTGAGTCGGACCATCAAGGAAGGGTCCCCCGAATGTGGTAAAGATAGTAGCCAGGGGGCCTGATGAGAGAGGGTGGTCTGCTGTCAGTGTTCCTTGCCGGCGGCACGTCTTATCCGGTTGTCTTGGCCGCCTTGGCCGTCTTGGCTGCCCTCTTAAGCCGCCCGTCCCTCCTCTCCAACTTGGAGGCTGTTGCTACGGTATATCGAATCTTTGTCGCTTGTTCTACACTTGTACTTGCTGAACGTGATCAAGTTTCCGAAACCATCCGTTCTTCATGGCTTCCACCGACAACAACATAGTCCGCAAGGACTCTGCTGGTGCAGATGTCGAGCGTGTTTCGTTAGACAAGCCCGTCAACGCTTCTGACAGAGTCGACAAGGAGCTTGCTCAGTATACATCTGACATTCGAATCAATATCTCGCCCGAGAGAAGCAAGGAGCTCAAGAAGAAGATCGACAAACGTGTTCTCTCCATCATGATCACGACTTATTTCCTTCAGGCTATCGACAAGGGAACGTTGTCCTTTGCTTCTATCATGGGCTTCCTCAAAGATAACGGACTAGCGACTCCGACGGGCAAGGCGAATCACTTGGTAGGTTTCTCCTAACGAGCCTAAATACTTTCTAAGTCTTCGAAGTGCTTGCTAACAATCAATCTCTGTTATCAGTACCCCTGGCTCACAACCTGTATTTACATCGCTATCCTGATCGTCGAGTACCCCCAAAACTACATCATTACCCGCGTACCGATTGCAAAATACTTGAGTTTCAGCATTATCGCCTGGGGTATTGTCCTTGGCTGCCATGCTGCCTGCAGCAACTTCACACAACTGGTTGTCGTGCGAACGTTGCTGGGTATCTTCGAGTCAGCATGCCAACCCGCATTTGTGATTCTTTCCTCTATGTGGTACCGCAGAGAAGAACAGGCTGCTAGTGTGACTTACTGGTGAGTGACATACAACTTCCCCTCCTCAGTTCTGCTAGAATCTTCTAATTGGATACTGACATTCTTCAAGGTACATGATGAACGGTGCCCAGCAAATTGTTGGTGGTCTCCTTGCCTACTGCTTTTCTCTCATCCCCGCGGGCGGTGTCCTCAAGAGCTGGCAGTGGCTCTTCCTCGCGTATGGCATCATCTCAGTCATCTACGGCATCGGCGTCGGCTATTGGATGCCCGACTCTCCCATGCGTGCCAAGTGCTGGACCGAGCAGGAGAAGCACGAGATGGTCGAGCGTGTCCGTGACAACCAGACCGGCATGCAAAACCGAAAATGGAAGATGGATCAGGCTATTGAAGGCATTAAGGACCCTCAGACCTGGGGATATGCTCTCATCGCCCTTACCACGACGCTCCCAACGTCCGGTCTCGGTGCCTTCTTTAATCTTATCGTGAAGGACTTTGGCTTCAGTACGATTGAGACGCAGCTTCTGGCCATGGTTCTCGGCTTCTACATCATTTTCGTTCTCTTGACTTCGGCGTGGCTCGTCAAGAAGACAAACCAGAATTTGCTGGTCATGCTTTGCTTCTGCCTGCCGTAAGTGAAACCCAGCTCGACACCCGGCGCTAGCTATTCAAGCAAGGATGAGGGTAATCAAGTACTAACTTGGAGAATCATAGATCCTTCGCAGGGACTGCCGTTCTCATGGCCGTCCCCAACAACAGCCTTGCCCAGAAAATTGGACTGTTGATCAGCTACTACATCACTTTGTCCTTCTGGTCCGCCCAAACTCTCAACTTGTCCATGATTTCTCGAAATGTTGCTGGGCAGACGAAAAAGTCAGTCGTTGTTGCAACCAACTTCATTGTCTGGGCGGCTGGCAATGCCATTGGTACGTATTTAATATTCGCCCCCATTATTCAGAGTAGACTTTCTAATGCGTGTTCTTTCATTAGGCCCGCAAGTATTCTTGGAGCGAGATGCCCCAAGGTACTTCATCGCCTTCGCGACACATTTGGGATGCTATGTGGTGCTTGTCGGTGCCATCATCTTCCTCCGATTCTATCTCCGTAGCCAGAACAAGAAGAGAGACAAACTGGCTGCTGATGGTGTTGCTGAGGCTCGTGATGAGAATATGACTCGTGCCTGGGATGATTTGACTGACAAGGAGAACTTGAATTTCCGATACGTGTACTAGAATGAATATTCCGGAGCTGTCTGAGCACGACAGGTAGATAGTGATAACTGTAGAAACCCACTCAAATCAGTTTAGTTTCTGTCAACTACGTAAAAAGAGATATTTTCAATGTGAGGTATAACTTGATTCTGCCTGTCTCTCTGTAAACTCTGCCAAAGAATATGGCATCTGTAAACCACAACTCACTGTGTGCCGGAGTCACTGGGCTTGTCGTACTGTCAATTTAGTGAGTTGGAAGTAGGATGACTTGCGTAGTGGGGGCTTTAGCCAGCGCTATTTGACATATGGTTTTTTTGCTTTCACAGTCCTCGAACTTTAGAGGTAATCGCTTCCATTGAAAGCGAAGACACGCAGAGATCTCAAGATAGTTATTAGTAAGACTAATGAGATATATATTCAACCTGGAAGAGCCTGGACAACCTGGGCCCAATCAGCATTTGTGTATGCCCCGGGAAGATGTTGACCGTCAAATAAGCTTGCCATGATCACACGATCAGACTGCTCGCCCTCCCACGGCTGCCTCCCATGCTGGGAGATGATATTATCATAAACGAGCACGTCCCCCTTTTCCCATTTATGCAGTACGCGAATTTCATCTGTTATCTTTGCCAGCTTCTCGAGGTAGTGATCTGGGATAGGCGTGCCATCTCCGTATAGTTGCTCCGTGATTTGCTTGCGGGTACTCGATCCGCCCTGAGAATTCTTCCAATACGCAGCCAAGCCGGTAAATAAAACTGGGAGATTGGTGCTTGGCTGGGTGCGGATAACTGGGATTCTGTGCGAGACTATGATACCATCGTCGATCCATTCCCATGTGGTGTGTTTCCCGCGCCCATAGCGACCAATCTGTGCTTCTATTTTTGCACGCCGGGTTGCATCGTCATCTTCGTCCTTGATCTCCTTTCCAAAGGCTTCCCTCAGAGTAGATCCTCCGGTGTACTGTCGATCAAACTTATATGTGACTTTGCTGAGGAGGCCTTCCTCGCTAAGCTTTTGGATGAATTCTGGAATTTCTTGCTGTGCACGTGCGAACAACTCAATCGAGGATGAAATAGGTGTCTGACCACCTTTAACAGGCACTTTGTGGCCGTAAAAGAAGATGTATTCAGGGGCGTGAGGGACCTGGGGTGATTCGTTATGGTTATAGATCTCGACATGTTTAGGTGCCTCGTTCGCCGGAGCTACGTTGGGTGCTAGCACCGGCCTATCGACCACGATGCCTATAATTTCATGGGGCTTGTACCCAAAGGCATGGGCGAAGCGACTGAAATCATCTGCCGAGGAAATGGGCAGCCCTCTGAACAGTATGGTTCCATGGCGGGCCAGTGCTTTCGTGAGTAGTCCGTCCTTCCCCTGGAGATTTTGGATACGATCGATGACCGAGTCAAGGGTTATTTCCTCATCTCTAGGAACTGCACGTAACGCGAGAGGCGTGGTGAATGTCTGATTCTGAGATGTAGTGACGACTCTTTGATTGCTTGCTGGGAGGTCGAATTCTTCGAACACGGCCGAGAGTTCCAATCCGGCCGTATCAAATTTCTCCGAAGCCGACATTTTGAAAGAATGCGTCTACAAATTGCTTTGGCTGTCGCCTAATGAAATTGTATCCGGAGTATGATATCAAATAGATGAACAATAGAAGAGGGGAAGTTTAAGCCGAATATGCCGAGGGCTGACTGCATTCCTTGTATCGTATCATGGCTGTTACATATGGCGTCATTCCGATCCGCATAGACTTATTGAAAGGCAGAACTGACGTCAAAGATAAGAGAAAAGACGTCGTCAGCAATAAGTGCATATCCATACGATAATAACTTGCCGATTCTCGGGGGATGCGACAAATGGACGGTGCAAGTGATGGCTCTAGGCCTCCTTCATTGCCGCTGAACGGATTGGATGGACAGCAATCTCATTAGCTAGATATTTAGTAATCTTTCGTATTCGATTGACCAAGAAATTCCTGCGAATTTGTTTATTAAAATATTGCTAGGAATATCCCACAAGGCATTTGACCTATAGTGTTTAATCACAGCCACTACATATAAACCCCGTTACCGACCGGGTGGTTTAGGCGGTAGCCTGGATGATGTGTATGGTGTTACATTTGACGTGATCAAAATGTACGCAAGTGTCCACTATTCGGCAGCGTTTGCCAAGGTACTATTGCTAGGGTATCTTGAACGTATATTATCATGTCTACCGTAACTTGAGCTTCTTACCTGCCCAGCGATAGTCAGACCCTTCACTTAACTTATCTACTGCCGTTATTACTCCTAAATATTTGGGAGAGTAGTGCTCACAATGCCGGAAATCATTCATCCAAAATCACGGGACGAAGAGTCAAATGTGGATCAAAGCCACTCCAAGAAGCCCGATAGTATCTCCAAGCAGAATGCTCAAAGTTCGGTGACACCGTCATCAGAGGATGAGGCCGGAGAACCGGTGCTCAAAATCCCCTTCTTCAGAACAACATTATTCCAGATCCTTGTTGTTGGCATATGCTCGTTTTGTGCGCCTGGTATTTGGTCAGCCATGAATGGACTCGGTGTTGGTGGCTCTCAAAGTCCGGATCTCGTCAATGCCGCTAATGCTTTGCTCTATGCTTTCATGACGGTTACCTGCTTCGCTGGCCCGTGGATAACAAACTTGATTGGGTTTCGCTGGACGCTGGCACTCGGGTCGATCGGATATCCTCTTTACGCTGCAGGTCTTTACGTCAACAACCGTACTGGAGGCACCTGGCTCGTGTACTTTGGCTCAGTCACCTGTGGTATAAGCGCTGGCTTCTTCTGGAGCGTTGAGGGAGCCATCTCGACTGGCTACCCAGAGCACCACAAACGTGGTCGATATATTGCCACATGGTTCACCTTTCGCAACTTTGGCAACGTCATTGGAGGTGCGATTTCTCTTGCGTTGAACATCAATGTCAACAAGCGAGGCCAAGTAGGGTACCAAACCTACCTCGCCTTTATTGCAATCCAATGTCTTGGGTTTTTCTTCGGGCTGCTACTCTCCAACCCGGAGAAGGTCCAACGAGATGATGGAACAAAGATTGAAGCTCCTCGAGACATCCATTGGCTGACTGAGGCAAGAGCCATGTGGTCACTGGTCACAAGCAAGTCCATCCTCATCTTGATACCGCTCTTCTGGTACTATGGCTGGATCCAGGCATATCCCGGCACATATCTAGCCACATACTTTAGCGTGCGCTCCAGGGCTCTCGGGAGTTTCCTCTCGGCCGTAGTTGGCACGTTCGCGACCTGGCTTACTGGCGTCTTGGTAGATATTCCATGGGTCAGGAGCAGAACAAGACGCGCGGTAACCACATACCTAGTCATTGCGACAATCAACAGCATAACCTGGATCTGGGCGGTGATAATCCAAAATGAGTATCGCAAGACAAATCCTGTACTGGATTGGAGCGACCAGAGCCAATTTGGGCGAGGATTTGGGGTATATTTGCTGGAGAGAGTCAGTGCAGGAATGGTTGAGAACTACATCTACTGGTGTATCAGCAACCTCTCCGACTCCCCTGGCGATCAAATAAGATATAGCTCGCTTTTGCGTGGGATTGAGACGGCGGCTGTTGCGATTGGGTTTGGTGTCCAAGCAGTCCCGACCGCTCTCATCATCACTGCGGGCATCAACTTCAGTTTTTGGTTTGTGGCACTACCTTTTAGCTATTTTGCTACTAGGAAGGTAGTAAGGAAATTCAAAAAGCTGTCAACGAACCAGTAAATTTACAGTGCTGCGTTGTGAGTGGCCTCGCTTACGCAACGAGGACTTCATGTACGGAGACAGAGTAAAGCCTATCTTTGTGATCATAGGATATTAGACAAACAACTACCTAACATTTCATTCCCACATTATTCCGTTCTGATGTATAATTCGATACGATCTGTGTTACCCTCTATCAGTGAAATGAACAGGAGAATCGGAATAGGAGAGGAGCTTACCATGATCAGAAAAATCTATAAGGTCTTCAGGAACATGCCACCAATACCCGCGTCTCGCTGGTGCGTCCTCAGTAGTAGCAACTTTCTGATCCACTGGTATTTCTCCAGCACACTAATCCACCGATATCCGCCCATTTCATTTGTGTTTTCTCTTGTCCCTGGCACTCTAGTAAATGGAGATCAAGTTTAGACAAATTGCGCCAAGAATTAGTTGAGACGGTAACCACCGTTGTAGGAAGCACCGCGCGCTTCAAGAGACGGTCAATACAATACGGAACTATTGAATATGCACCATATGCATTGCTAGGATTCATGATATGTAGCCGAAGAAGTGAAGGAAACGCAATGGACGGTGAATTGGGAGTGGCATCTCGACAAACTCTCGTAAAAGAATCCATATCAGCGTCGTGAGAGTTCATAGTGATTTCAAGAGATAAAATCAAGTCCAGTTTTTCTGGCGGTAAGAGGTCTTGAATACCTTTTAATAGTATTTCAGAGTCTATATGAATCGTGTTGGTGTGATAAAGAACCTCAATACCGTCGGCATATCTTTCATGAATGATATCAGTACCTTCCTATGTTCACGTTGGGGCTGGATCAACACCTACGCTTGGCGACAAGAGAGCAGCCAACCTGAGGCTCCGACCTTACAATCATCGGAGCTGGGACAAGGCTGAGAGAGTGATTCATCCAGAATGCCAGGACAGTCGAGCGGGTTCCTCTTCTCAGCGGTACGGATTCTATCCCGTGGCTGAAAGAAGTTGTCTTCATACCGCAGTTTGTGAGGTAGACCTGGCTTGCTGCTGTGGCAAACGCAACTGGACCATTTGAGTTCACCAGTTCCTGACTCTCGGTGCTCAAAATCAAGGTCAAGATGGATTGTACGCTCCCCAAATGCGTGAATGAGAATCTGACGTCTGATTTCGGCTGGTATATGAGTGAAAAGTGGCCCGGTGCCGCTACCAGATGTCGTTTTTGTGGCTACCGGTAGCTGTTGTCGCATTTTCTTGATCTTGTGATCTCTTTGCCTTGCATCCATGTTGCGTCTGAAGGAGCGATAATATGGAATTGGGTTCAGAGGAGGGAGAACGTAGTAATAGACGCATGCTATAATGTTGAATATATGCCGTGGTAGGTGACGCTCCAGGACGCGCATAATATATTCTGTCATTTTGTTCCTTCGCGAATTTGTCTCATAGTTTTATCGGGTTCAAGAAGAAAGTAGAATCTGTCGGTCTCGCTACGATTCATCAAGTTTTCCGACAGGACAGGCTGGCCTCATGTTTACTTGTGACGGGAGTGCCTTAGCTTGGAACTACACCACGCACGATTTCTGAACAACACTGCCGCCGCCAGTGGCGTGTGGCACTAACGCAGTCTAATAATTGAGAGTAGTACTCTATCTTAGGCATAGAATAAGTTTGAGTTTGGCTCGTCAAGCCAAGCGTGTTAGCTGTTCCGTGCTGTTTGAACTGTAAGTCCTTAATAGCCATCCTCATCCATATGCCATAAAAATACAACGACACTAGCAATTGTAAACTACTGTTTCATCTTTTTGGCTGCTTATTGGTCATAACGCGTAAAACTTGGTGGATATGAACCGTAATCCTTCTGAGGCCGGCGTGGCGCAGCATCTCATCGCAATTTCGAGTCGGCCAATATCTAGAACCATCCATCAATTTAGCGACTGTTTGTCCCTGTAACAAACACGCGTCCTGCCTGAGGCTACAGTCTCGAATTGAGACCAAGTGCCTTTCCCCTCATTCTAATCTTCACATACGATGGATTAACATAAGAATATTACAAGCAATCAAGACGTCAATAGCAACGAAATTTTCCAAGAATTGACAATAGCCGTCTCGTATCGGGGTATCCCTCCATAATCCATCACCCACCTCGAATCCTCTTTACTGAAATCGCTGCAATCTCAGCTTTACAAGAATGCCTCCAGGCAGATTGCCCCCTCAACTGGCGACGGAGCTTTCCAAAATCGCCAAACTATCCAATGTCCAATCTGCTCTTCCCTCCATACTGCGTCCCGCTCCAACTATTGCCATCATGGCAGGGGGAGCTATTGCCAGGGGAACCGGGGGCAACAACCTCATTGCGGAATGGATACAGGGCAAGGACGAAGCACTTTGCCTGGGTGCACCAATTGAACAATCACAGATCTTGGCCCAGGGCAACGCTGCACTACTGATGCAAGGACATGTGGCGCGCCATTCGGGAAGAAGCTTTAAGACGCCTATCATATATACCGAGGACCAGTTCGCGCATCCGATATGGAATCGACCTATGTGGACAAACATCCCAATTGCAGCCTCACCATTACGGCGAATGCTGACTGATGAAAATCTTCTACGACCTGGGGCGTCTTGGATTTGTATCAAGAGGAGCTCGGTGTAGAAAATATCACCTGACCTCGCTCTTCTCGTGTTGAAGCCCGGACGTATTCGGCAGCCTTTTGTATTTGTAGATTAAAAGCGACTCTCCTCTATACCCATATTGATTTGAAGTATAAACCCAATGCTTTAATCCTTAAGGAAATATGATAAGTCTTTGGATTTCATCCTCGCAGCACCATTTTCATTTCCCACGCCCAAACCCCCAAGTATTAGCATATCGGATTTCGTACCTCCACCGCTTCTTGGCACATCATCTGACTAGTCTGCGGCTTAGAGAAAGCTTCTCAACCTCTCTGAACCGTGATGGGGACGAAAAATCGACGGGCGTGGAACGCTCCTACCTATGAAGCTGTTCGAGTGAAGTACTGAGGCTAAAGCAGTAGTTTGCTGTGTCAGGGCGCATTAATCCCTATGGCCACGAATGATATACTCCAATCCTATAGATGATGTTTCTAAAATTCCAACGGAATGCTAATGTAGCGTATTTCTAGGACATCGAGGATATCGGAGATCTCCCGGGCCAGGTGTTCTGGCCAGAGCGCTTGTGTTGATGCGAGAACGGACCATCAGAGACCCGAGGGTAGATGGACGCCTATCGGCTCGATTAACAACAACACTCGGATAATTTTTCAGTTCATAAAGTTGCCCATGAATCAAAGATCATCTCTATAGATGAGCCATTTTGAAAGATGCAGCAAATTTCTCTCATTAGATTTCTGAGATGCTGATCTGAGCATCAACTCAGCTAGAGCTGTGGAACTTAAGAAGTTTGAAGCACAATACACTCTCAATATTGAGACATAACTGAATCATTCTTGACCGAATAGCTAAGTGGAAGCGTAGGTTGTTGTACCTATTTGGTTCTATTAAGCTATTTGAAGCTTAACCCCGCCCCTTCCCTAGAAGGGGAAGAGCAAAAATCCATGCTTAATAAAATTCCACAGCAATGGAAATGAAGTCGGCTGCCATTGCAGGGTGCCTATGTCCCATGCATTGCATCTGTTAATAAGGAGAATATATGAATTACGCGGCCCTGCGGAGCGAATGTTCCACTTCTTTAATGTTTAGTTATCCCCATTGGCGGGAAAGCAGTTCAGTTATAACCCTGCTTCCTGTTTTGGCCCGGACTGTCAATTACCGGATGAGACGCTGAAGTGGCATACAAGCCGGCAGTGGCATCCATCACTCTTCATTGGGATGCAGACCTTGATTTTGAAAGCCTACATGACCAGTCAACTGCTTTGATATGTTCGGAGGCAACACCAAACGGAATATCAACTCTGATATTCCCCTCGTCTGACTATGGTTAAATATGATGTGCCGGTTAGCCGATCCATCGATGTTGATGATTCTCCTCGGCTCGTCTTTAGAGTCACGCAATTAATTTCGGCGATTGATGTCCCGAGTGGGATTTAAGCAGATCCCCCGCTGCAAGCAGGAGAGACCATCCCGTACGGATGACTACTTAAACGCTCGTTAGGAACTGTTTAATTTGTTGCTAGAAGCCAAGGCCTTGCAACTGTTGTTCAACTCATTTAACGATGAAGATTCTTAGCTTGGCCATTGGCCTTCTTTCGGGGCTGGCAGCCACAGTTGAAGCTATCACTGTGACAAGCTCGACCGCCTCGTATGTTGTCGACACAGCGAGCTCTTACAATTTCATTGTCACAATCAGCCGCTCCACCTGTGATATAACCTCCATTAAGTTCTATGGTTCAGAGTATCAGAACCAGGGAACTTACAGCCATATTGCTTCTGGACTTGGAAGTGGAACCAGTGTAAGTAAATTCGATCGATCTAGGAGCAGAGTCTCAAGTCAGTTAACTTTGAACCAAGGTTTCCTATACAACAAGCCCCTCTGGAGACACTGTTATCTTCAAGTGTACACAGAGCAGTTCTAGCTTCGACCTTGACCACTATCTTGTGTTCCGAGATGGGTCGGCTAATATCTGGATGGGAACCAACATTCGGTCAGAACCTACTGTTGGCGAACTCCGATATATCTTCAGATTGAATGACTTGAACGTGCCTTACCCCCATGGAGATGTGTCCGTAACAAGTGGCGGCACTGCGATCGAGGGCAGTGACGTGTATCTTGTTAGCGGCCAGACACGGAGCAAGTTCTACTCATCTGACCGCTTTATTGACGAGAACATCTACTGTGCTACCAACTCTGGAGGAACTGTTAACGCTTGTTGGCTCCGCCCGAACCACCAAGCGACAGAGAAGAGCTCTGGGGGTCCTTTCTTCCGTGATATCAGCTCTAATCCCTCTGGATCTTACAATGCATTGACTTACTACATGAATTCGGGCCATGTTCAAACCGAATCCTACCGAACGGGGTTCCATGGACCATATGTATTCTCTATGACTCGAAGTGGCAGACCTACGCCTTCCTCAGTCGATGTGACATTCTTCGACAGCCTGGGACTGAATGGATATGTTCCAGTCTCTGGAAAGCGCGGCTATGTTACTGGATCAGTCTCAGGAGTTTCAACTAGCTTTCCCCGGGTAGTTCATTGGCACAATTCCAACTATCAGTTCTGGGCTACTGCGAGCTCGTCAGGAACCTTCACTTCACCACCAATGCCCGCAGGAAGCTATACTATGAAGCTTTACCAGGATGAATTTCTTGCTGCCACGCAAACTGTCACCGTCTCCGCAGGAAGCACCGCAACAGCAAACATTGCGGCCACCCACAGCGCGCTAACAGCATCAAGAACCACCATTTTCAAATTGGGAGACTACGATGGCCAGCCTACTGGTTTCCGCAATGCTGATAACCAGTTGCGCATGCATCCATCTGACTCCAGGTATGTGCTTGATCAAGCTTTTGTGAATAATGTGATCTGACACGTGTGCTATATAGGATGTCGAGCTGGTCCCCTGGCACCGTCTCGTCTGGCTCGGCATCAAATTGGCCGATGGCTATGTTCAAGGATGTAAACAACGGACAGTCAATCTCTTTCTCCCTCTCCAGTGCCATTTCACAGGCAACCACCCTGCGCATTGCTATTACCTTGTCTTTCGGAGGAGGTAGACCTCAAGCAAGTGTCAATGGGTATACATGCTCAGCCCCAGCTGCTCCCACCAAGATCGATAGCCGTGGAGTCACCAGAGGTGCTTACCGTGGTTATGGAGAAATCTATGAGTGCACTGTTCCATCTGGAACCCTCGTCAGCGGTTCGAATACCGTTACCATCAATGTAATTTCCGGTACATCTGGTGATGCCTATCTCAGCCCCAACGTGGTAAGTTGGCTTTCTTATATAGTATTTGGAAACATGAGTGCTGACGATGCTACAGATCTTTGATGCGATTGAGTTGTTTTACTAGCGAAAGAAGTAGTTAGTTAGTTTGAGAAAGCAATTTGATGATGCGGCACGTATGTTCAATCGAGCTGTGCATGCCAAGAATGATGATACTTGCAACTGAATCCTCAGGGTATATCACCATGGCTGATGCTGAATTCATCAGCAAACTGATTTTTTTTTAAAAACTTACGAACTAATCTTTAACAAGGTAAAAATGAACTATCTCACATGAAACTCCTTGCAGAATCTTCAAGTGTCATATCTATCGCTCTCATTAATTGATCCTCTACCTAAACACAACGATCCTGTTCCTAGTCATGTCTTAGTGTAAACTGTTATGAATGTTTGGTGGACTGATATGATATTTGATGGTAATAAAGTTACGCGCACCAGTTATCTGGGAGTTAGTGAAGACTATTACATTGGGCTGTTGATTCTCTGGTTTCTTCTTATCGGCTTTGTCTAAATCCGGAGAGAACCACTTTCGGTGAGCCTGCATCATGTTGAATCGACCTGCCCAAAAGCTATTTCGACCCACCTGTATTGCGACAAGAGCACTTGTTGAGCACGTTATACCGTCTCACTGGGAAGGTCCCAAGAAAACGGATACGACAAACTAACTTGTTTACAAGGAACTATCGAATGCAAGGTAACCACACGCTTCTGGGGCTCTGGGTCTCGTGTGGTGATTGAGCATATTATATATTACCCAGGTATATTACTAGTCCATATGAACCAAGCCATGGGTTATAAATTGCCTCTACGCTGGCCCATGAGCACGTTAGTGGCGCGGTTGGACCCAATGCCTTAGATAACACTCTAGAATACTGAGGGTTTGAGAGCATCGCGGCCTATTCCCAAAATCTTAGAATGTGGAGGACATTGTTCACGGCCGCCTTGGCAGGTTGGCTACCTTGTGCTCTGGCCGGCCGAAACACTACCGCCTCAAGGGAAATCGTTACGGGAACATACTTGGTTGAGTTGTCAGATGATTCGGTTAGTCAAACTTCATGCCCAACTATGAAGCTCCTGCCACTAATTTTGATAGAACTCCGGGTCTTTCTATCAGGGCCTCTCTGAAGAGGTGGGGGAGGTATCTCAGCGCCTAACTATCGACTCAGCGTTATTTAGAGGCGTTTCTTTCAGCTTGAAAAACATCTCAGATGACGGGGCTCGAGTGATTGAGCGCATGTCTCAAGTCAAGAGTATTTGGCCTGTATCACTCATTCCAGCGCCAGACCCGGAGATACGTTGGACTGGACAAGGTGCAGATTTCAGCAAGATATCCAACTTAGATGCTGAAAGTGTTTACGCTCCTCATCGTATGACCCAGGTAGACAAGCTTCATGAAAAAGGATACAAAGGTAATGGCACGCGGATTGCTATTGTTGACACGGGCGTGGATTACAATCATCCGGCGCTTGGAGGATGTTTCGGTCCCGGATGCCTCGTTAGCTTTGGTACGGATCTGGTTGGCGACGACTACAACGGATCCAACATGCCCGTTCCGGATGATGATCCATTTGATACATGTATTGGACACGGGACTCATGTTGCGGGTATCATCGCGGCACAGGCGAACCCCCTTGGATTCATTGGTGCAGCACCAGAGGTTGAGCTCGGGATGTACCGAGTTTTTGGTTGTGCTGATGGTGTTGGGACGGACGTCCTTATTGCAGCATTCATCCAAGCATACAAAGACGGTGCCGATATAATCACTGCATCCATAGGGGGGTTGAACGGGTTTGAAGAGGAGCCATGGAGTGTTGTCGCAAGTCGCATTGCGCTGGAAGGCGGAGTTCCGGTCACTATCGCAGCAGGTAACAAGGGCCAAGAAGGCCTATTCTACGCCAGTTCGGCAGCGGGTGGTAATGGCGTGATGGGAATAGCTTCATTTGACAATGATGACTATGTCTCTTATGAGAATGGTCAGCTGGTCACCACACCTGATCCTAACGGAGGGTTTCCATCCTACTTCTCCTCCTGGGGTCCCTTATTTGAACTCCAAGTCAAGCCCCAGTTTGGTGCACCTGGAGGGGGGATCTTATCCACGTATCCTACTGCTATGGGAAGTTACGCAGTTCTTTCGGGCACATCCATGGCAACCCCTTTGGCTGCGTCGATTGTTGCTCTCATCGGTCAAGTGAAAGGCAAGATTGATCGACAGCTTATCGAGAACGCTCTTGCGACTACTGCTGTTCCCAATTTACTGAGCTATAACGGCGTGTACCCGTACCTTGCCCCCATTCCGCAACAGGGGGCTGGCCTAGTCAAGGCGTACGATGCCGCGTTCGCGAAGACACTCGTGGATACGCCGAACATTAGCTTCAATGACACTGAATTCTTCAAGTCAGAGGTCAACATTGGCATCACTAATACGGGAAGCGAACCAGTCTCTTACAAGCTCGGAAATTCGGCGTCTGTAACCGCTTTTACTCTTTACGAGAACTCAGTCTGGCCGGAGAGCCTTCTGATGGAGATTACCGACAAGCCCGCATCTCTGAGATTTGAACCAGAGACACTCACCCTCGATCCTGGCTCTTCTACCACTGTCAAAATATTCGCGACACCTCCTGAGGGCCTACTTGCTCAGCGAATACCGGTATATTCCGGGTTTGTCACCTTGAACGCCACCAATGGCGAGAACTTGTCAATTCCTTATCAAGGAGTAGCTGGGAAGATGCGCGATACCATCGTTTTGGAACAAGAAAGGAGCTACCTCACCGAGACTGGAGACCCTCTCATGAATGAGGTGGCAAACGGAACAATATTTGTGTTGTCAGCGCCCGAGGGGATGGAAGCAAAGAATTCAAGCTTTTATGAGAACAAGTGCCAAGTCCGGCCTTTCGGAGTTCTTCCTCAAATGTTTTACTTGCTGCCTATGGGGTCTCCAGAGATCCGTATTGAAGTCGTTCCTTTGGCCTGTAATGGATGCAACGCGACAGAACACCTAGGGACAGCGACAATAGGCAACATTGCTGGATTCCCACAGGTTTATGTTCCTCCTTGGGGTTATCTTGCCCCGTGGGACGGCTTGCTTAATGATGGGACGTATGCCCCGGCAGGGACTTATAGGCTTCTTGTTAGGGCATTGAAGATTTTTGGTGATAGGACGAAGGCAAGTCACTATCTCGACGTTGAAACACCGGCGTTTAGAATTGTTTATGCTCGGGATGGGTAGCGCTCTAGATGCTGCTGTACAGGGCTATTTCAATTAGGAAATGCATATTGAATATAGTTCCTTTTAGCCCCTTGAAGGACAATTAGTACGAAACATCTCAATGGAACAACAAATGAAATTGAAGATCCGTTAGTGTTGTTGCTTTATACCCGGCCATCAAGACTTGTGCGAGGAAGAACAAGCCAGAAGCAGTAAATCGGATGTAGAAGGACTTGATCTACTCACTAGATTCTGAAGAACCAAATTATAGTACAGAAGATAAACATGCGATTATTGGGACGATTGTAAGTATGTATTAAAAGAGACACTCTTTCACTGATTTCTCACGCAGAGTTGTACGTTATGATACAGGTGCCGGTTGCGAGCCATATGGGATCATTCTCACCATATGCCTCCTCTCGTTATCTTCAAAATCAGGCACAGCGGAATGTCCGGCAGATCTCTGGTCCCAAATTACAACAGTTCCAGGCTCCCATCGCACACGACAGCTAAAGTCTAGGCTACGTATGTGGTTATGTAGAAAGGACAACAGGTTCTGAGACTCCTCGGGTAGGAACCCTTCGACTTGGCGCGCGATCGTTGGATTCACGAACAGTGCCGGCTTACCCGTCACTGGATGCTTTATCACGAGGGGATGAGTAGCGTTGATCGCTTCGGCAAGAGCTCGCTCCGCGCCGACTCGTCTCACCTCGCCTTCAGATGCTGACGTGTGAAGTAGCTTGAGAGGGTGGAGGGTTTCTCTAAATGCGGGAGAGAGAGCCTCATATGCGGCAGTGAGCGATGTGAAGGCTGTATCACCTCCTCCTGCCTTTGGGCTTTCCAGGACCCAGAAGAAGGTGGTCGATGGGACATTGGGAGTGAATGTCTGGTCAATGTGCCATAGGTCATACGTGGTTCGAGCACCCAAGAGGGTTCTCAAGTTTCCGCTGTAGTAGAAGTCAGTCCTGCCCCGGGTTTCACACAATGCTCTGGGGTCTCTTACGCCTTTTCGTCTGCATAGACCACGTGGAATTCAGGGCCTGTCCCCTCCGGGTACCCCATGGTAGGATGGAGATGGAGCGGTCCGTAATGCTTGACGATCTCCCGCTGGCGATCGAACCCAACATCTGCGAAATCTTGATCTCTCTACCCAGGGCTTTGTTAGCTTCAGCACTGGAGGTAACAACACGCCATTCACTCACAAACACTACAACGCCTCTCTCGGCGGCGAGAAGAGCTACTTCATCCAGTCCCTCCTTTCCCAGCTGACTGATCTGGACGCCCCTGATTTCAGTACCTATTCTCGGGGTGATGCGAGAGACACTCGCACCCTTGGCCAGGAGCGACGGTTTGGCGGAGTCTGCTCGCAATCCTGGCTCATCCCCAGCAAACGGAGGCAGAGCGGTTGGGGTGGCATACCCATCAGGCCGGGTAGGCAAGTAGTTGGGATACAATGGCTCGGATGGCATGATTTCTCACTTATTTTACGTTGAGGTCAAGGGTGATTCTATCCATGTTCAGGTGACTTTCTCATGCTACCGGCGACTGCTTTATCTTGTAAGCTGCCCTACGGGAATAAGTCCAAATCATGGCCGAAGCCGGCTCACACGACTTGGTCTGCATGAGCTGTCGGGCTTGGCCCGACTCCACTAAAGCGGAAATTCTAGTAGATTTCGGCGAACCGGCGACGTTGCAGTCTTCCGCCATTGCTTCTGCTGATGGCGTAATGAACCAACAACCAATCAATCACACATCTCGTGGCTTTCGGCGTGCTTAGTCTGGTCGGAATTTGAACCGGTTCAATGTCAGCCAGCGCTATCATTGGTAGCTGCCCATCATGGTGCATCCCAACCATCGCGGTTCGCCCTAATTCACATTGCTAAGCACGCGAGCCATATGAGGTTTTCTAGTGGAGAACAGTATGCACGGCAGTTGAAGCATATCTTTAATACTGCGGCAGATGTGGGCCGGAGGAGATCCATGTGGCTGGATCATGGATGAAGCTTGTATCGATAGTGTTTTGCGTCATCTCTAGTCTCAGTATCGTGATGGCTACCCCAGTCCTCCGGCCAAGAAACGGCAGGGTCAGCAGTATCTTCAGGCCTGCTAGCTGGCACTGAGTGACATTTATTCGGCTTGGGGCCGATTTACACTCATAGTAGATCATATAAAGATCTGCTACAACCTCGCCAGCTTTACCTACTTCTTTTGCTGTAAGTTCTCGGGCAAGCGGCTATTAGAACCTTCGAAATTCAACACCGATAGTTTCCTGTGTCTTATTTCTCTGCATTGAGACAAGCCTGGAGATGGTGGCAACCGATAGCCTCAAGCAGGACGCAGAGTCCGAGGAGCATCGATATGTCCCTCCACAAGAATCTACATCATGGCTCGCAAGAGTACATCCGTATTTCAAGGACCCAGCCCATGTGTTAGTCTTCAAGCTCGACGTGTTGCTTTTAGTATGGGCATTCATCGCTGGCCTGTTCAAGGACATGGACCAGTCTGCGACGACGGCCGCCTACGTATCTGGGATGAAGGAGGATCTTTCTCTGTATGGCAACGAACTGGTCGAGTTCACGACCTATTTCTCAATCGGATACGCCCTATTCATCGTGCCGTCGCAGCTCATCCAGACCAAGGTTCGGCCATCAATCTTCCTACCGATTTGCGAAATTATCTGGGGTCTTTTCACCCTCTTCACATATGCGGCTCCCAATGCGAAGACCATCTTCGCCCTGCGCTTCTTTCTCGGTGTCTTCGAATCTACATCCTGGCCCGGCATCGTGAACCTGATATTTAATTGGTATACGCCCAAGGAGCTTGGCAAGCGACTCGCCATCTTTGGCGTTAGCGGTGTGGCCGGAAACATGTTCTTGGGTATTGTACAGGCTGCGCTGTACAACAATCTCAACGGGTCACTGGGCCTTGCAGGATGGCAGTGGCTCTTTATCGTGTCTGGGGCCATGACTATCTTTTGGGGCATCGTTGGTTTGGCAGTCATCCCGGATTCGCCTGCCATTACAAGGGCTCTGTGGCTTACAGAAGAGGAGAGAGAGCTCTCGAAAACTCGGATGAATGACCATGGAACCAAGACGTCGGACATCATCCCTTTCAAGGTTCTACTACAGAAGATCAAGCTCTTGCTGAAGAGTCCGATCTCATACCTCTTCCTTGCCGCTTATCTTCAGTTCGCATGGAGTCAGAGAGCCAACTCTTATTTTCTTCTCTTCCTCAAGGGCCTAAAGAACGACGACGGAACAGCTCGATACTCTGTCTATACCGTCAACCTGATCCCCTTGGGAGGGTACGGGATTAGCATCGTCTGTAACATCGGATTGAACGCGATCAGTGATTGGAAAGGCTGGCGTTGGCAGGTGTCAGTCGGGGCCGCAACGCTCCAGCTCATCGCTACATCCGTCCTCTCTGGCTGGCCCGACTCGTGGAAAGTCATCATGGCTTTCTACTTCCTCACCTTCGCGACGGCAGCGTGGGGATACGCGTTGATTGCATGGCTTGCCGAGATCTTGCGCAAGGAGCCCGAGGTTCGGTCGATTCTGGTTGCCCTCGCCGTCACTCTTGTGTATGCCGGGCATGCTTCCATCCCATTGAGAGCCTGGCGAGTAGCCGATTCTCCGAAGTACCCTGTTGGCTTCCCTCTTGCGGCAGCTTTCAGTGTTGGTAGTATTCTTTCGATTCTCGGGCTGCGGTTCTATATCAAGAGATATCCAGACATCTTAGACTGGGGTTTGGGGGGAAATAGTCGGGATCGTTCTGATACAGAGGAAGAGAACGCCTAAGGCGCGAGTGGTCGGGTGGGGATGTAATAGAAGGTAATGATTTCAAGCAAGCAGAAGGTACAACTATCTCAAACAAATTGAATTATATCCGAGCGTGACAAGTCCAGCTCAGCCCAGCTTGCTACTTAGTTTCTCCTCCTTGAGTCTCTCCCTCTCCGTTGTCTTCATCATCAACATTTTGTACTGTTGCATCACCCTCCTTGAGGACCTTTCTCATTTCCTCGCTTCCATGTTTCGCATGTTCCATCGCACTCCCAAAGTTCCCCTTCAGATGCGGATCAGCCCCATGTTGCAGTAGCCATCTCACTCGCTCAATCGCCCCTGCCATCACGGCGTGCACAATGGGATACCGTGGTACCATGTGGCGAGTTTCGGCTCTTTGGTTCACCTTGGCGCCTCGCTCGACGAGTAGGCTCATCACTGGTATTCTGCCTATATCAAATTCATTGGTTGGTGTAACTCGGCCGGCGTGAGGGTTTGCTCCAGGCGGAGACACTCCCGCTGCAAAGTGTAGCGGTGTGCCGTTGTCGATTTCAGCGCCTGCTTCCAACAGCATCTTGACTGCCTCTGCCGTCCCTCGTGCGGCAGCTGCCTCGAGCGCGGCGCATGAATTCGACTCAGGCTCACCGGTCCCGGTCAGATGATTGTACTGACCACTGTGATTGGGGTTTACTCCATGATCTAGAAGCCATCTGAGGACGCTGATATTCGTGACAACTCTGGGGAGCATGACAGCCCCTTGGTAGTACGGGGAGTTGGGACTCCAGCCATGGTCTGCCAAAAGATCAAGAAGGGGCGCCTGGCGATCAGATGGCGCCGCAAGGACATTGTGAACAACGAGACGAGCGATTGGCGCACCAATGTCTAGCAGGTAGCGCGTGGCCTCGACATTACCGCCGTTCAGAGCCGCAACAAGGCCATGATGAAGAAATGCCGGCGTAGGAGCTTTCGAGCCAATCGCTGCTCGTATCGCATCTACCGGCCCTCCCCGACAAGTTGACTGGAACGGGGTCGGGAGGGTGAAGGAGTACGGCCTCAAGCTAATGTATTCAGGATCTTCAAGCTCCATTATAGGTATGTCATCATGAATAGAATGCATGATGTTGGAGTTCGACTGCCTCTGAGCTGTCTGCTGTCGTTGAGCCGCTTCCATCCTCCGCCGTCTCATTGCCTCCATTGCCATTTGCATTCGACGTTGCTGTTCCGCTGCCATCGCTGGAATAATCTGTCGTCCAGCTGGTCTTATATGTTGGCCCTCGGAGTCGCCCAGGGAGAAATCGATTCTTATAATTGTCTTCAAGCGATGTGAAGGGGAAGAGCAAAGAATGGAATAAAAATAGATACAGCCTCTGTGGTGGAGGCTGGTTCATGTCCGACACAGGCGCCATATGGGGCCAAAATCCTATTTTAGAATCTGAAAGTGAGGCGGAGGCTGGCAAATAATGGGTCATTGCCACTAAACAGACAGCGGCTCATGCCTGTGTTTCATGATGATTGCTTAGTTGAAGTGCCTCAAACGTTTATTCCTCGTTATGTCATTACTCCACGTCTAATTAGAATGTAAGTACCGGGGTTATCTCCAGCGAAATCGACAAATAGTGAGAGCCTTTGCAGCGCCAACCATATCTATACTAATTATACAAGGTGAATTTATATCACACCAACCGACGATTCCCATCTTTTATGTACGGTTCCATGTTACTCATTCATCCACCAATTGGAAATGCCTCCATCTGGGCCAAGGGTACCATACCACCCGCAGGCCCCATCCATCAAGTCGGCGTTGGCAAAGATATTACCGCTTGGTGGTCCATCTTGATCGCATACACCTGTACTTCCACGTAACAGGCTTGACCCTTGGTTTGAGCTGGATGATTCGCTGCTGGTCCCGTCGTTCTTGTATTCCAACTTGAGCACGTGGCGTGCGATGATTTGGATCTCCTTGACATTGCGAGCGGTCCTGGGCCACAGTTCGGCCAGCGCCTTGAGACATCCGATTTGAAGGCGGATTTGATCCCTTGCTACTTCAAGATCTCTTCCCTTCAGCAGATAATTACAGGCAGAGAGCAACGCCAGCGTGCCCTCGCTGACGGTGCAGGTCGTGAATGGCGAGTGGTGGAAGGGCCTAACTGGCAACGCCAAAAGACGTATCTGGGCCTCAACTGCGCGCAAAATCCGTACCGTGTGTACGTTCACAAGATCAGGTGTTGGTGTGTCTGGCGGGGGTTCTCGAGCACAGCTGGATATGTCCTCGACTGCGTTGAATTTGAGATCCGATAAGGGCCTATGCAGTCCAATAGTAGCACTATGATAGGAACAAAAAAACAGATCAGCGTTCTGCAACATGGCATTCGTGCGCGCAGACTTACACATGAAGGATCAGGTGCGCCTGGAACATGAGCTCATCAATCTCCCCAGTTTTGGTCATGACTACCTGCTTGGACTTGGGGAGAAGAAGAAGCCACGCATCGGCAGTTGAGTCGAATTTTTGGATTAACTGTTCCGAGTCCTCTTTGGTGACAAATTTTGGCAAACTAGTCATAGCCGATATGCCACATCGTACAGCACCAATAAGATAGGCGAAGGAGGAGAAAACAGTTTCCTCGAAGCTGAACTCCCGGGAGTCAAACTCTTCGAGAGTCCGAGGGTCTGGGATATCCTACATGACGGCTGGTTAGTAGAGCTTTCAACAACAATACGAAAAGCGGTGCGTGAAAGACGTACTCCTGATTCGTACTCGTGGTCTTCGCAGGGCAAGTCGGCTGTGTGTTTGACATGTTGGAAGGCGAATATCCTTGTACCCAATGTCCCTGCGTAAGAGCAATCAGCAACGTAAAGTAGCCACCAGGTCCTGCGCCACATCTCAGCCAGGACGGAGTCTCCGCTACCGTGATGAGGCGCAAACCCCTGTTGATACATTCCAAGCTCAAGGGCAAGTGCGGAAGCCATGTCCATTTGTTGCTTAGCCTCCGCATTGTAGCCAAACCAAAACAGCGGGATGGAGTATAGAAGCCGGCATAGGACCAGGATAGGATCTTTGTCTAAGACCTGCGTGAATGAGGCTTCAAGGGAACTCCTTAGTGGGGTCGACCATTCTCGATAGCTGTATATATGGCCAATAAATCGCAAGACTTGGATCAATGGATTCAGCTGGTTTGCCCTGACCATGTCCTGGCAAAGTCTAATCAGGTGCTTCCTGGGAGGAGCCACGGGGTGAAACTTGTGGAAGTTCTTGTAGTATGATTCTACCAGGGGGTCAAGGGTTCCAGGATTAGGGATGTTGTAATCAACGGAGAGTGGCGGTGTGATTTCGCTGACCCATTCGATGCCAATATCAACATCCTCAGAGAGGTCAAGGCCGTTGTGATCTTGCTGAAGTCCAGTCGACCTCGGCGGGCTTGGAGGATAGCCAGTCTCAGCGGCAGTCAGCTTCCTGCGTCGTTCTGCCAGCGCAGCACGGTCGAGGCCGCCACGACGAGACTCAGTGTAGTCGCATTCCTTGGACGTCTCGACACACCTGGTGCATCGCGGGCGCTGGCCATCGCATTTGATATGGCGGGACCGACAGGGGAGGCAGGCCAGCGACGAGCGGGTCAACCTGCGCTTGGATGCTAGGCTATCGGCTGTCTCCATAGCAGCAGGTGCTCAAAATGTGGTTAAAATCGCTAGGGTGGTGGATAGGGGTGATTGTGTCGTGATCGAGTCTTGAGCGGTTGCTTGGTTGGAGTCGAAGCAGGTCAAAGATGCTGCTCGTCAGCGGGAACTCGGGTAATCGGGTATCCGATCTGACCCACATTTCTCTGATAGCAGATAACGGCTGTGGCTTGGCTCTCAATGGCTCTGCTAGGGCTGACCGCATCTTTCATCTGATATCATCATCACATTCATCAACTCGTGTTCTTCCATTCATTCAATTCATGCTAGGTCCGACAAAACTCATACTACGTGTAATAGACTACTCATACCGCTCCCATTGCGCCTGCAGCATAAAGATCTGCCCCCAAGTGCCTCCGCTGTTCGCCGCGCTCATCCCGCTGCTCATCTCATTAAACTTCTGGCCAGCTGTTGCGCCATTCTCCGTGTCATGCCATCCGACGCTACTGTTGCCATGTAGATATCCATCAGTCGTCCCAGCAATGCTCTGGATCGCCCCTGCGCCCTGGTACATTAGCCCGGCCATGCCAGCCGACATAGCGGACATCATCTGCATCTCCTGCATCTGCCGCAGCATCTTGATCTGCGGTATCGTCTGCGTCCAGACCTGAATGCGCACCCGCGAGTATTCAACGAGCTCCGTAGAATCACCCTTCTCAACTGCCATACTGAACTTCTCACGCATGCGCGGGGAGTACATGGAGCACATGCGTTCTTCTTCTACTAACTGATCCTCCAGCTCGAACGGGAGGCCTTTCCTCATGTCCTTGATAACCTCCTGGTAGCAGTCTTGGCAGATCAGACAGTCGCCCCAGCCGTACCATCTGCGGCTCGCGACGTGGTTGTTGCGCGGGCACTCGGGTATATTGATATAGTTTCGGATCGTATCCTGCGCAATGGACCAAACGCCCTCCTGCGCCGCCTGGTAAATGCTAAAGAGGAATTGATACCGCCGTGGGCTGGCACTGTTGAAGCTGCAGACGATTGTGTCAGAAGATCCGCTGAGGGGGCTCAGCTCGAACATGTGGCCGCATTCCAGGAACGCGTCGCAGAACCCAGCGAAGCAGGCAGCGCACATCATGTAGTTGCTCGGGCCGCCTTTGGGAGTATACCAGGTCCCATTGGCGATACCTTGAGACACGCATTTGGGGCTCGACATGATCGTGCGAGCACATCTGCTGAAGACAGCGGCGTCCTGTCGTAGGAGGGCTCCAGCAATAACATTTTCAATCTGGGATACACGAGCATCGCTGTCGGCAATTTGGTTAGCAGGCTGAAGCACGCGCCAACACAGCGTCTCTCACGAGTAGAATGGGCGATCTTACCATGTCCATGATGTTGCTGGGGTTTCCCGGATTCCGAAAATATAATCCATGCGCTCTGAACCCCTGGCGGGCTTCTCTATTGGTATGTATTCGAAAGCGTCCTCCAGAGCCGTCCAGCACAGCTCATTAAAGTAACATTTCTCGCAAATGACCATTGTCTCTACTGGATCCTTTGGCCGAACCCATTCTCGACTTGACGCCTCCACGCCCTGGTCAGCTTCGCACTCCGGGAGCTGGAACAGTTTCGTTGCTTTAGTGACCCAGTCCATGAATGGAGCGCTGTTTCTCGAATAGATATCAAAGGACCTTCTCGAATAACCAAAGGCGTTGAGGTCGCAATACCACGTCGAACTCGCTGCCTGCGGTTCGGGGTATTTCTCCTGCCTAGGAATGAACTCCCCAGCATAATTGCTAGCCAGAACGCGATCCTCGTAGCATGCCTGGCAGGTAATAAAGTTCTTCATGACGTCGTTTGTCTCTCTCTTAATCACCCAGACCTTGATCCCATCAGATCCATTGAACCCTTTCTTCAGAGCGCAATCCTTGATACCGATCCGTTTTGCCATGTACTCTGCCAGGGGCTCAACGCTTCCCGTCTGTACACATTGTGGGACGAGCACGGAGGTTATGCGGGGGACATAGAAGCGGCATCTCGCACCGTGCGTTTTCTTCTTCTCAAAACTGGATGCCAAGTTAGTGTTCTTCAGATATCTTGCATAGCACCTGGTGCAGATCAAGAAATCAGGCGCGCTGGGTAGGTAAAACCAGGTCGCAACGTAGCCGTTATCGTGCGTATTGCCTGGACAAAACCACACTGCTTCGTTTGGTTCTCCATTCTCGGACAGTCGAAGGGGCTGCCGGCGTGGCAAATCCTCAATCCATGTGCTGTCTTTCGTATAGGCTGCGCTGTGGTAATCTCTGAAGGGCTCAACGGCAGTTCCCCTCACGACCGACAGCTTACCCATGCCATCGATGACATAACTTATGTCATCAGAGCTAGATATTGCAGGCTGTGCCTCTGCAGGGGGGCCAGGGGGTGGAACTTGACCAGGAGGCTGGAATTCGTAGATGGAAGTCTGTCCTACTCCAGGTGGTGGTGGCATCGCAGGGGCATTGAAGTCCTGGATGGGCAGGGCGCCAGGTGGAGGACCAGGGGGGAAATTCGGTAGCCCATAGTCTTGGATTGTCTGCGAGACAACAGGCGGTGGAAGCACCGGGGCATTGAGGTTTGGCATTGGGTTCTGCTCAACCACAGCCGGGGCAGGGCTGAAATGTCCAAATGGAGAGAGGCCAGGAACAGTCGCTGGAGCGTGGAAATCAAGAGGTTCTGGTCCCGCGGTAGCTGGATATGCATGATGTTGTACCGGCTCTGGATTTTGTTGTTGCGAGGTGATTGATGTTGTTTGGTCTCCTGTTGCGGGTATTAAAGACTGGGTTGCCTGTAAAGGTCTCACCTCCTCCACGCCTGAAGGCATAATCGAAAAGGTAGCCGGGGCACCAGGAACAGAAGGGCCTAATGTTTCAATGGTCTCTTGAGCTTGGGATGGTGGCAATGTGGTGAGTTGTTCTCTAGCAGAAGAGCCATTCTCCGGTGCTGTTGGTGGTGCCATTATCGGATTTGGGCCGGGCTTCTGCTCTTCTTGAACAGCGGTATTTGTTATAGCATTTGGCTGAGATTCAGCGGCTGTAGTGGTCGGTCCCGGAGCATAGATCGGTTCTTGGAGTGCAGCCTCTATCCTGGAATTCGATTGAGGAGCAGAAGGTGGTGATTCTGGGCTGTCGGCTGAGGTAGGATCAAGGAGCGCGGCATGGATTCTGGTACTAGGCTTTGGAGCCACAACTGGCGTATTCGAAGTAACAGTAACATTCCCTTCCTGGAGTGCTAAGTCTATCCTAGAGTTGGCCTGATGAGTCACACCATCTAACAGAGCAGGAATATGAGGCGGCTGGATATCGACGCTAGCGTTCTCTAAGGGCTGTTGCTGTTGCTGTTGCTGTTGCTGATTCTGGGCGATCACATTCGTGGTAGCCAATGGGTTTTCGCCTGTCTGCGGTCCTGAGAAGGCCGCAGTGCTAGGGTATCTGTAGCCAGTCTCGGGAATACTTTGCTGTAGCCCAGGCAAGGCGGCAGCAGTGCCTGGGATCATATAGCCGCCATCTGACGTGCTCTGCAGTCCCCCTTGCGAGATAGGGACAGTCGCTCCTGCATCTGGGTGTTGAGACCCATAAGAGACGTTGGCTACAGAGGAGGAACTGGCAACATTGAGATTTGGATTCGTCGAGGGAGGTTGTCCAGGAGGAGCAGATCCTGTTTGAGGATATATATATGCTGATGCACCAGCATCTGCGACAGGGTATTGGCTCTGGAAAGTAGATGCTCCCGGGAGGTTGTATTGGTATTGGTTAGCAGGTGTTGCAGCATACGGCTGGCTTTGAACATCTACGGTGTTGGAGTAATACGCTCCTGTAGGGTTTTGCGGAGTGGCCGGATTCGATTGTAACGGCTGGGAGGACCCGCCATATGCATATCCTCCTGGGGTTGACGGGCCCGTTGGTTGAGTGATAGGTGACTGTACTGCACCCGGATACTGATCCTGGTAAGTCTGTGCCGTTGGTTGCTGCAAAGGGGCTTGAAATTGAGCCTGAGGGTTTGAGGGTTGTGCACCAGGGTTATACTGGTAGGTCTGCCCGCCTGGGCTCGCGTATTGACTCCTATCAGGTGCAGCTCCATAAGCTTGTTGGTGTTGGCCTCCATAATTCTGAGACTGGGCTCCATGGCTGTGCTCATTTTGGTACTGCTTCACCGTCTTTGCCAAAGCACGAGCTTCGACTTGTGCTTTCGACTTGAGAGTGTTCATCATCCCACGCAGTGACGAGCTTGTACTCGTGCGAGTGACTGGGGTCGGCTGCATTCCCATCTGCGGCGGTGGCTGCTGCTGCTGCTGCTGCGGCAGTGGGACGGGTACTCCAATGGGCTTCCGCCGGACTGGAGGTGCTCCCCATTTCCTATTTGCTTCGTCGACTATAGCTGAGGAATATGACGGCGTGCGACCCCTTCCAGCGACCCCTTGGATGGGAGCCTGGCCGTATCCCATCGGGACACTCGGCTGGCCTTGAAAGGAGCCAGGCGGAGGGCCGGACGGAGGCACGATGCCCTGTGGTGGTGCACCAGGCGGCGGTCCCGTTGGCGGCGCATAGTCGGAAGTCTGTTGATATGGATCCATGAGAAAGGTTATTCGCGCGCGCCGCACGTCGATGTAGACCGACTGGCCACTACCCCGACCGGCTGCTCAGATTGATCTGCGGAGACTCCCTGGCAGATCTTTATATGCAAGTGTTGACGCCACTGGCTAGTATGCCGAGACGAAGAGCAGATCAGCATGGAGGGGATGCAATGTCGCCGTCCACCAGGAGCTGGGCAAGAGGCACGAATCTCGCTAGAGGATGGCACACAAGAGTTGATTAGCCCAACGGGAGCCAGATGAAGCGTAAAGGGAGCCTAACAATGCAATGCTGAATATTGACAGGGGTCTGTACCTCAGCCGCACGGGTCTAGACCTCTTCAGATGTGAGCAGTATGGAGAACTCGGGGAGAAAGGAGGGACAATCATTGGCCAGCGTTCGCTTCCTCAGCTCATGCCACTAATTCCGTCCTCCACAGCTTAAATCCTTTGCAAGACACGTTTCTAGCTTCCAGCACAAGGCAGATCGCGGCTCTATCGGATGGCGCATCATTTATCAGCAACTTTCGCACAGAATGGTATCACACGCTGTCTATACCTCGTATTCTGCTTCGTGCTCGGGAATGTTCTGATTTTGGGTTGCCCAAATCCATTGATGGACGTCAGCTCAGCAAGGAGCCTGCGGTACCCCCAACACCATTTGATCCCAGCTACCCTATACATCTCACCCCAAGGCTCCAAACTGAATTTAGAGCATAAGACGGAAATATCTAGCTAAGGGAAACCGCCTATTTTAGGTTATCTACTTTGGATCCTGGTTGTTACCGTCTTCTAATTTTAAAGACGGGTCTTGGCCTCCGAAACGATCACTGCCCGGCTTATTCTACGTACTCGTAACACGATACATATCTGAGCTTTGGGTTGGTTATCGATTGTGTTGCCATAACAGCTTGTGACTTTGACCTGAGCTGAGGCTAAGCGGTCAAAAAAAAAACAGAAACACTTAAAGTAGACATGAAGCAAAAAGATACGCAATTACGCATTTCTTCCCTTTGAAACAATGATTTCGGAAGAATCCGAATAGCCTTGCAATAGCCACTGAATATCGATCATTATTCGAGATATAACCGGCCACGCTGTAAAAGGTGCCCCAAAACAAATGCCGAAGGCCATGATGATTGGGATGGTACTCGTTCTCGATCAACGAAATGAAAAGGGGAGAAACCCTGTAGGACTACTTACTTGTAATATGACTATTGGCCTCATCGACATGAATGTTGTTCTTCTCAATAGGCGTGGTTTAGCAATTACACTTAAAAGAGCCTATGTTCCACTCGGAGAAACTGATAGTTCAAGAAAATCGTTTCCCTAGAACTGAATAAGAGAAAAAATCGACAACTCCAAAATCCATACCAAGAGGTCATCGTGTTAAAGAACCATGGGGTAATTGGCTCGGAAGAGCTTTGGCAGGCCTGGACGAACCCCGTATACTTGATCTTGTAGTTGGGGAGACAAATCAACAGAGGCTTTATTGAGTATATCCAAGTATTCACTAAGTAAGCCGGGAGGAGGATCCATCATTTGGGCGTGCTTATTGATCCATGCTGAAGCAAAGAACCTACGATATTACCGAGACTAGGCGCGGGGCCCTTTCCTAGAGGTCGCTGCGTTGAATATTTAAATCAATTGCGCCTGCCTTGGTCCCATAGCGGCCCCTCCTTTTACAACACTTGAAGGCCAATCTGGTTCGGAGAGGCAGCTCCGTGTTGTTTGCGATCTCAGCTGTGACCCAAACAGTAAGAGTAACCCTATCACTAGCTGGTCTAGCTATAGCTCCTTTGGAAAGCCTACAGTTCTGGTATCTGGAAACCTCTCATGACCCGAGCTTCGAGTTGCCTCCATTGATCATCTACCCACCCTGGTGGCTTGAGAATCAAGCGATGAGTACTCGTCGCTATTGTGGCCTAGCTTGTTGACGCTGAATCGACTCAATGATATAGGAGTTTGGAAGAGGGCTAAGGCAGTATTTGTCGAACATTCTGCTGGGTTGCCTGCTAATTAATTTTGAAGTGGCTAGCACCGACAATATGCTCTTCAAAATGAAATGAAGAACTTAGGCGTGAGGATATCTCTAACAATGCAACTAGGATCCAGTCCTGTTCACGAATACATATATTGCAAGCTGGCCGTAGTGAAAGATCTCGAATCATCTCAGGATCCGGTAGCGCGATAGTTAGAGGTCCCAAGATTAGAATGTAGAACATGACAAGCGGACAGGGGTACACAGCAGACAGACTTTACATTCAGCCATTAACTCTCGACAATGTAAGTCGGGGAAGAGACAAGGCCAAAAAATCATATCAGCCACAAAGTAATCCCGAGGCATTTTCTTCGTTTTTTTTTTTCAAGCATGATTGAGCAAGGGGCCCCGGCAAGTCGAATCATTCATCAGTGACATTATTGCTACCTCAGGTAGTAGCGAGTTGAGTACGCTGCTCAAAGAGACACGATATTGGTTCGTCCGTGGAAGCCAGTGGATTGCGGATCCAACATGACGACAGGGTTTGCAAAGCACGGACGGATGCATGGAACGGTAAGTTTTGCTGAGTTTTAGAATGAATGAAAGAACCTGCCTTTTCTGCCATATGGTGCAGGTGAAGAGGCCTTTTCCTCTTGATTTCACGTCCATGCGATCACGTGGTCGGCATATATGCGACATCTCATGCCGTTGCCCGGGATTCAGCTCCGGGTTGCCGTCCCTCCCCACATACAAGCCGTTAACTAACCAAGCCTATTACAGGGTTGATTATCATATCAAATATCGCGGATACCCTCTGCAAACCTCTCATGAGAAGGGAAAAAGCCTCAATATCAGCACTATTTCCATCTTCAAGGCAAATACTTGCTCATGACTAGCTAGAAGCCTTCGTTTCCTGAGAGCCATCCCTGAAGGACAACAAAAATATGTGACGATCAAAGTATGACTGTCGTAAGATCGTCATACCCATCTTCTAGACTTCCCCATTTATGAGGCTCAGCCAACTAACTTGGACTGAGTATGGCTTCGGGAATTCGGCATTGCCGCACACTCCTCGGGCTTGACTCCGCCCGTCTAGGATTATAAACACATGGATTGGCCTTATTAATATAATTAGAAACTAGGTATAGGAACATCATCGTCGCAGTTATCAGAGACCTGTGGGCCGATGGAGCTCTGAGGGTCCATGGGTCCAGGGATCCGTAATGGAGCGTGATATCTGGAGGAGGTTACTCTTGAGTAATGAAAAGCTGATTTGAGACGGGAATGATGTTTTTTTCAAGTAATGTAAAAAGTTTACTATAAAGGGGAGCCACTTCCCCAGAGTTGTGACCCCCTTTAATTTTTTTCACTTGACCAGCTTCCCCAGATTTCCAAGCGTTGACACCTTCTACCGTTCTCCCTTGATTCTCTGAGCTGGACTTTGGGGAATCTTCTTTCTTGATCTTGAAATTCCAATTATAGCCACTATGAAGAAATCAAAGACCTCGCCGAGCGCCAACGATGTCCCTGAGGCCTTTCAGTATGGCGAAACGGAGACACACGTTGAGGATGCTGTCTTCGGTGAAGTTTCCGAGAGTGGTCCTAACTACAGAAATGTACGGGCTTAAATTAAGAACCATGGTACATGATACCATCTGGCCATTCTTGCTGACAATATAAATGATAGCTTGGATGGATTGCAACTGTGGCTCTTATGGCGAAGACACAGATTGGTCTTGGGGTACTTTCCATTCCTAAAACGTTCCACTCACTGGGACTGGTCCCAGGAGTTCTGTGTCTGGTCGCCGTCTCTGTCATCACCACCTGGTCAGATTATATGATTGGGACCTTCAAACACAACCATCCAGAGGTCTATGGTATCGATGATGCCGGTTATAAGATGTTCGGTGTCATCGGACGTGAGGTGCTTGCTATTGTCTTCATGCTCTGTAAGCAGCACATGCCCAGGAAGCGCTGTCAAACGCTAATAAGTCCCTAGATTGGATCTTCGTTTCAGGTTCTGCTCTCCTGGGAATCTCGATTGGTCTTAATTCGGTATCAACTCATGCCGCGTGCACGGCAGTCTTTGTCGCAGTCGCCGCTGTACTCGGTTTTGGATTCTCGAGTATCCGAACCCTCGGACGTATTGGCTGGCTTGCCTGGGTTGGTTTAGTTTGCATCATGACATCTAGTAAGTCTTGAGACCCCTTACAATCATTTGCAATAGGAAGCTAACCTATGATGAAGTCTTCTGCGTTACTGTCGCAGTTGGCGTACAAGACCGCCCAGCCGCTGCCCCTACCGAAGGACATTGGGAATCCGATTGGCAACTTACCAACAACCCAACATTCGTCGATGGTATATCAGCCGTTTCTGCACATATCTTTGCGTTCTCAGGAACACCTGCTTTCTTCTCTATTGCGGCTGAGATGCGGGAACCCAAATATTATGCGCGGTCCCTCCTGACGTGCCAGACTATTGTCACCGTCACATACATCACCATTGGCGTTGTGGTGTACTACTATTGCGGCTCATCTGTTGCCTCACCAGCCTTAGGGTCAGCTGGTGTAGTCATGAAGAAAGTGTGCTATGGGTTTGCTCTCCCGGGATTGATTGTCACTGCTATGCTTATGACGCACGTAAGTACAAACAATCTATTTTGTGGTCGCTGCGTTACTCACATACTCTCAAGATTCCCGCCAAGTATCTGTTTATTAGGCTCCTGCGTGGCACGCCGCACCTCAACTCCAGCAATATGGTTCACTGGGGAACTTGGCTAGCTTGCACGGGCGGCGTGACTATCGTCGCATATATTATCGCGAGTGCTATTCCAATCTTCAGCAGCCTCGTGTCTCTCATCGGAGCTCTGCTTGGTACTTTGATGTGCTTCCAACCTTACGGCTGTATGTGGCTTTATGACAACTGGACATCGGGTAAGAAGGATAAGTCGCTGAAATGGTGCCTTATGGTTGCGTGGTGTATCTTTGTGATTGTTTCTGGCACCTTCATGATGGTCGCTGGCACATATGGCTCTGTTGTGACTATCATGCAGTCGTTCCAATCATCTGGAGGTACAGGTGCCTGGTCCTGCGCTGACAACTCTAACTCTACATGAAATTTCGTTACTGAGAGTGACCCAAATTCTTTTTCTACTTGGACGGAGGCTTGCATGGGTTAGACTATTACAGTATTATGGCATGATAAGAAATCGTATATCACATTTCCCAAAGGCTTGGGTGCGGAGCAGTCTGTGGTTTATTTGAGAGAAGAATCAATCGTATGGTTCAATGATAAGTTTCAGTTCAGATTAGGTTTGGGATAAGTACCCATTACCGGCCAAGACGAGCGAATAAGTGTCTTTCTAAAGCTTTGAAAAAATGGAGAGAGTGTAATTCAGTTATTGAAATCAGAAATGCTGAATCCAATTCTATCTCGGGATACATCAAGCGTGATATCGGCCCCTCGCCAGGTGAGTTAACTACCTTGTCGTAGCTAGGCTTGGACTCGGCTCATTGGTGATGTGAAGGCTTTTGGTCATGCCTTCGAGCGGTCGGTCGATGCTTTGAGGAATCTAGGATGAAAGATGATGAACAAAATCATCACTGAAATCATCGGAAACGCATCAAATATATACAGCATGGCCTCGTTCTGACTGACAAACCCATAAAATCCTTGCCCAAACTCGATCACTCGAACCAAATTGCGGACCCAGATGACCACAATGGAGACTGCCAGCATGATGACAGCCCAACGCCAGCGTCCACGGAGAAGAATAGTGCGGTAAGCCAGTCGGTAGAATCTTATAATCAAGGCAAGAAAGACAGCCATAACACAGAGTTGGAAGATGAGACCCCCCAAAACCACTTTGTCGCCAATCTTCATAATCTTAAGATTGCCTGTCACTTGTACTAGAGATCCACCAATCTGAGTGCAAAACGCAATAATGTCGGTGAGTACAAAGAATGAAGTTGGGCTGCAGCGACGCGTCGGTTCATTGAGCATCATTTGCTTGTATCGGCCGAGGGTGACGTAGATGGTTGCTGCAATGAAGACAGGCCCGACAAGGATGAGCATGAGTTGCAGCATGAAAGGACCAGGTCTGTTGGGCTCGCCCCCAGCCCAACCTCGTCCGTAATATCCAAAGGTTTCGCCTTAAGTTCCAATCAGACCAAAACCAGTACGTCTCTTGGGATGTAACTTACATATACCACCTAGTACCATGGGGATAAAATACCATGTTCGTGTTTTGAACATGAGCACGGCATGAAACAGGGTTACCAAGCCGAACAAAACCATAAAAGCATACCCAGCGCCGGCAGAGGGGACATATGGATAGTAGATGACGTTCCCGTCTTCAAATTGAACCAAGCCCATCTCGAGGATGTTTCATGAACGTATCGAAGCAGGGGAATATGTTAAGAAGCAATAGATGCCAAGTGAAAAGCTGAGGAATCGCTCAACGATGAGCGAGCATAGAAATAAGAAAAACGGACAAGATAAAAATAAAGATTCCTGTGGGCTTCATCTCTCTTTAATCCATCAAGCATGATTCAGGGCAGATGTTGGAAGTACCTTAAGGAGTGGATACCCCTTTGGTCTGTTTTCGAAGCACCAATCGGACAGTTTACGCATTTTAAACGCTGCGTCATCTCTTGAACGATGGACCTGGAGTAACTTTATGCTCTATGAATGCAAATTACGTTGAGTAGGCGCAGCACAAAGCAAAGACCTAGGCAAATGTGTTGAGTCGAAACTTGGCTGGTTACACCAAGCCGTGCGGTGAAGGAATGTTTATTGAACCTCCTAGCAACTAAAATACAGGACGTGGCAAGAAAATAATTTACAGCTCCTTGGAATTGGGATCAGGAATATTAAAAATACTTGATTCATAAAGGAAGCAAAATCAGGCCTTTGCGGTCACCGTTGACCTACAGTCGCGGCAAATAATTGACAAAAGCTTCAAGATTTTGGATTGCCACAGTTTGAAACTTGGAATGCGCGTCGGAAGAGCTTAGGCGGCTGAGAGATTCATATTATTGTCATTAGAAGTTCGCGGTTGGCACAATACAGGGGCAGCTCGAGATCACTTTGTCGCATTGATTAAGTAGGTTGTGAAGCAAATGGTTCCAATGATGCTTTCAAATTTAACCATTGGTTCTGCAACCCCAAAATCGCTCAGCAATGTCACAGAAACGTGCACACCACCTGTTTCATTAGCTATTAATAACACGACTCGCCAACGTCATGCTTGTGGCTGATCAGTGACGGTGTTTAATAGTGGCATGAAACTGGCCAATGAGATAAATTACGCATCAAATCCGAAAAAGATTTAGCGGGGACCCATTAAATGCTTGTGGGACAGACTAAAGCCACGATCCAGAGATTATTCGTTTTCTCCTCCACACAACCATCCTTGATACATAAGCTCAAGCTGTCTTTCACACCAGATAGCTCAATGCAAGAGTACGAGCGATGGAAAGTTCAAGCCCTACCCAGATAGGCTTGCCCAAGGCCCAACCTAGGAGGGCCCACCGAAAATCCAGAAACGGATGTGTCCAGTGTAAGAGACGCAAGATCAAGGTATAAAACCCTCTCCTTATGTGAACCTTCCGAGTCGAATTTGACCCTGATTCCCTAGTAGTGTGACGAATCAAAACCGGAATGTGGCAAGTGCACCAGTTTCCGCATTCCATGCAGCTTCTCCCCCTCTCCTTCTGCTAGTGTCTCGGGAGGGGAGTGCTCATCCGATATCAGCCATGGCTCACACGCTGAGCGCAGCAAAACATTTCACAAGACTCGTGGACGCCCACGCAAGGACTGGTCGGCTATTGAGTCATCTTTACAGCAGGAATCCAACAGTCCGGCCTCAACGCCGGGCTCCAGTGACAGTGGCCCGTCTCTCCTGAACGTGGATCAAGCTGAGCTACTGCATCACTTTACCACGTCTACCGGGCTGAGTTTAGCCAACCCAGATGATAGGGACGACCCCATAACGCGATTTTGGTCACACAATGCACCGCTTGTCGGCTGTGGCTCGCCGGCAGTCCTACATCTTTGCCTCGCTCTCGCCGCCCGGCATCTTCTTTATCTTGGCACGGGCCTCCACCACTTAAACCGCTCCCATTATGTCTCCTTGGCTGATGAGCATTTTGGGGCAGGCCTTGCCAAGGTTAATGAGGCTCTCCGAAATGTTAGTCCAGCAACTAGCGGTGCAACATATCTATCAACTGTTCTCCTATGCTATTGTACCTTTGCTAGAGGGCCCTCGGGACCAAAAGATTTCCTCGTGTGCGATTTATCAAAGAGCACGCCAATGCGTTGGCTTTCCATAGCCAAGGGTACTGCCGTCTTGCGTGAGACTTTTGGCGCAGATACTCTCTTTACGGGACTCATGTCTCCGTTCAACAATCCTTACGGGACATTGCCTGAAGAGGATCCACGTCCTAGCTGCGTCTGCCAAAAATTCCCAAAAATAGAATGGTCAGCGCCCCTGAAGGAGCTACGCTGTTGGATCATCTCATGCGAGAGCGACAGTTGTGAAGTGCTGCTTGCGTCATTGGACGTGTTGGAGAATATCTACGAGGCTACATTTGGCGACGACCAGGGTGGATTCAAATGTGCTCCGAGGTTCAAAATGGTATTTATATGGCTGTATTTTATGCAAGACTCCTTCGTATCATGTCTTAACAAGGCCGATAATAATCTGGCATTGCTCTTGGTTGGCTATTATGCCCCTCTGTTGAAAACTATGAGAAAGGTCTGGTATATTCACGGCTGGGCAGAGCATATTACAGCGGCGCTACAATTAGAAATCAAGGGGGATCATTCGAAGTTTATGGAATGGCCAGCAACAGCCATTCGGTTGCTCGAAGCGCCCGACTTTGCTAAGAATACGAAACCTCACTATTAGCTAATGATAAATAAGCTGTAACGCCTTTGCCCGACTGACGTAAGACTCCCATTCTCGTGTTTATGCGGTGGCTGTCGGAAGTGCGAGTGATTGGAAGAGAAAATGGGTCATAACCTCCATCTCAAGGTGATCATTTCTTGTACAGGTTGCTGGTGTGCCTCTTGGGCTTTTTTCTCTGCACATTCTGCTTATGTGCAGTCGCAAGTTCTATATGAGGAGACTATGATGTGAGATATATTCCTTCTGTTATTTTGTATATATTGCACAGATCGAGAACAAAGTGCTTGAGAACTCCCATCTTCTTTGTTCAAACATCTACTGAGTCTTGGTGACTGAAGAATGAAAGACAGAATGACGTCTCCAGATGAGGAAGCGCGAGAAATCCGGACCTCCGAAGCTGAATCTACGGATCTTTCGCTCCCCTCCATACGCTCTTCACCCTACCTGATAGATCACCACACGGGTCTCGAAGAATCAGCACCGGCTGCAACTCTCTCCGACACCTCTGGAGTGAGCCTAGAGGAAGTAACATGTGTGGTTGACGATATGGCTGCTCAAGAGGCAGTCCCCCTATCGATTGAGCCGGACTCAATGGGTCCGCACATTAAACACATCGCATCCGAGTCTGCTCAGGAATGTAAAGACTCTAAGAACATTGGGTTCTATCCTATATGTAAGGCGTGGGGTTTTGAGATTGTCTCCATCATACTCGGTATCTTGATGTTTCTCGGTATGTATCAATTTGTGTGCCCTAGCTCACGGTGAGCTTAGCATGTGTTAACTGTTTAATTGAAGCAATTGTCGTGGCTTTTACACAATTGAACGGTAAAAGCCTACCAAACTGGCCACTAGCCATAACGCTAAACACTCTCGTTGCATTTCTCACGATGAGCTCTAAAGCTGCTCTTACGCTTCCAGTATCCGTCGCGATCAGTCAGGCACAATGGAACTGGTTCCAGCAAGAGCGACCTCTCTATGACTTTCATACCTTTGATCAGGCCAGCAGAGGAGCCTGGGGCTCACTGGTATTCCTGAAGCGAATCCACTTCAAACACTTTGCCAGTATCGGGGCTTTTCTCATGGTTGTGAGCCTCTTTACATCTCCTATTACCCAACTCGCAATCAGCTATCCGATTAGAAGTATAGTTGTTGAAGGAATTGCCAATGTTGGCATCGTTCCTTTGATTTTCTTTACAAGAGAATCATTTCATCTTTCCGTCATGCGAGCACTTGTTTTATCAACCGCATTGGATACGGATCAATTTTCGACCCCTATTGAGCCCAAGGGAGCTTCCTGCTCTACCGGAAACTGTACATTTGATACATATTCGTCGCTGGGTGTCTGCCTAAAAACAACCAACATCACTTCACAGTTGCATATCGAGCAGCTACAAGATGATGAGCCAACAGGCATTGGGCTTTACGATGCATGGCCGAAATTCCCTGCTATATTCCCTGGGGCAGGGGAGGTATGGAAGGCCTCTATACCTGGGGGTCCAGTTCTCGTAAGCCAAACTGGCTTTGCATCAGTTTTGGCCATGTTGAACAGAAGTGAAAGCATTGGTTTCCCCAATAGCGGTGACTTGATGCAAACAAAGATTCTTTCTCTGGTGCTTATCTCCACGAAGCCCATTCTCCCCTCTAATCTTTTTGAAAATGGCACACAGCCAAATATGGACATGATATTCAAAGCAACCAATGGATTCCAGTTCGAGGCTTTGGAGCTCTTTTTCCATCTTTGCATTCAAACATACAACACAACTGTTCGAATGGGTAAAGAGACCACTCGAGTAGAGCAGTCCGTCTCCCAGCCTCTTAACAAGGAGCCCGGGGCATTTCTAGATCTTGTTTGCAGTTCATTGGTCATCGAGCAAGGTAGGGACTGCCGAGTGAACAAGTCACGGTACAACGAAACAATGTATTTAAAAGCTCCTTCCATCAACAGTCATGGCACAAACAACTCTTTGGACAACAAACATTTCGGTATCGATTACCAATCTATAGAGACTATGGGTGAGGACATGGCAGTTTCACTCCAAGGCTACACAGGCAAGTATTACAACCCCCAAGCGGATCACTCTGGCACCATTAATTTAGGCAAGGAGTTTCAATATCATATTTACACAGACGCTCTGTTCTCTCAGGAGTCCTTACAGAACAAATCTGAGCGAGATAACAGAGTGTTCAATATCTTTACAAATGTTGCCACGGTCTTATCATCCATGTTAGTTGAACTACCCAGCGCTATAACGTATTGACCAATCGTTGTCTAACTATTATAGGATACGTGACCCTAACTCTGGTTTTGCTTCTGAGCACGTCTCAAATTTTACTGGACAGAACTGGAAAGACGAGTCTTATGTGCATATAAACTGGGGATGGATTTCATTCCTGGCTGCAGAGAACGCGCTTGCGGCTGGTTTTGTTGTCCTTACAATGATATCTCAATCAAGGCGTCAAGGAACGCAAAAGGGGAAGAATGTTCTGGTTTATGAGGATGCTAAGGACTCCTCACTAGCCACACTCGTCGCCTTGGGGGGCCAGTGCCGTCAGAGGATGGGTGGTGGGCTGAGACCTATCAACGAGCTTGAGAAGGCCGCAAAGGACCTACGGGTCAGGCTTGACACCCGGGAAGTTGTTCCCGCCGAAAGCTCGTGATCCTCAGCTCAGTCTTAGTGACGAAAAATGCTTGAATGCTTCCAGCATGTAACGAATTTATAGCCGCTTGCGTGGTCATATTCTACCATTTGTTGATAGGACTCAAACGCATTGCAAAGCTAGAAAATGGACTCAATTTAGTTTGACTATTTATATTTAACCAAAGCAGAGAAATCACGAGATCAGACTATATATATATTTGACTAGTATTTTTGGAACCAATTGGCTGATTGACTAAAAGGTTTAACCTGTTATAGGTCTTTTGTTTATTATACTATTAAAGGACGAGTGAGATTTCAGATTCTCTACCTTTAATTGTATAACTTAGTAAAACTAATTAAAGATAAATAAGTTTTTTTCTTCGGAGAAAGAGCCATAATATCCTTAACAGCCGTAGACTAGTAAAACTTGTATTAATAGTAATAGTAAGTGAGAGAGCTATGCAGCTGCTGAAAAAAAAAAGGGGGAAATTCCCAAACACCAAGAATTTAACAACTTGACACCATACCCAGTATCACAACACATTAAAGAACTTGTATTAATATTCCGTATTTATTATATTAAGATATCGGGCTCTGGTATTTACCAATATTATTTAACTTTATACTCAAATTCTCTTATATCGGGAAAGGCGTCCCAAAGCTTGCGAATAAAAGTATTCTTCTCTGATGTTAAGAGACCGCATAGTACTAGAGGATAAATACAGGGATTAACGTCATTTCTCATGTTCTGAGGCTAGTAACGTACTAGTTACAGTTCAAAACGAGGCCGTGCTAGAATCCTTTCTAAGGATATTGGTCAAATGGATTTGAAGCTTGTGAATACCGGCATTGGACTTGGTTGTGGAGGTATTGATAAAAAAAATCCAAAATAGAATCATGCGGATGAGAAGACAAAGATGAGACTTCTCATAGGCACTTGCATGAGAGTCATTACTGTCTGTAGTATGGGTTAACCAACAATAAATGACTTTCTCGGTGCTGGATAGCATTATGATGAACATTATTCTCAGGTTTCAGAGTCAGTATTGTCTTTTTATATGCATCATATGATCTTTTATTTTTGCTTCAGGCTTTTTGCCCGAACCGTAAAATAGCTATGAAGGTAGAATTTTTAGAACATAACTTGCACTTAAGCGAAGGCTTTGCTGTAAAGCAGAGGAAAGGGAAGGTTAGATAGTTTTGCGTGGAACTCTTGAGAAATAGCACGTATGCATGAGGATTTTGTTTTAAAGCCTGGTGTAGAGGCGATGCATGTATATGCACTCTCTAAATTCGTTTACCCTCTCCTAGGACATCTGAGTGCCTTGGATGCATGGAAGGTTCACTCCGGAGGTTGTTCTTATACTCCAGTATCCACTGGTTGAGCGTCCATACAGCAATTTGCTACAACATCTTCCAAATAGCAATTCGTTCAGGTTTACAGTCGATCACCATGGCACTCTGTTAAAGATGACAGCTTGAACTATATTAATAAATGAGATTAATATAGCTCTTTCCCTTAGCTAATCTTTAATCGGGGGAAGACCGTGTCCGACGTTCTGGCTGGCGAAAGTCGTTATTCCCACTCGTTTAGAATCTTATCGTTCAACTTTCAGATTTTTTATCACAAGCTTTAGAAGACGTGTTAGCATGTAATGCTCATAGCTAGAAATGCGCCCTCAAGAGTAACACTTGCTTTAGCACCCATAAGACCTATAGTGCCGCCATATGGCACATAAGCATATGGTTCGCCCCCATGGCTACTTCAAGATCTTGACCTGCAGCCGTTTGGCCCGCAGGTTCGGCCCTGGTCAGAAGGGATAAGTAAGGGGATAGCGCAGTTCCGAGGACATGAATAGGTCTCGGACGGAGGGCCAATAACCGCACGGCAAACGGTACAAATCTCGACGTAGTAGTGACACATTGTAATAAATATGCAATTTGATGTGAGAAACTAAGATGCTTGGCTTTGCAGCTTGAGTGTAATGGAGGAATTATAAAGTTCGAGGGGATTTGCCCAGAGGATTCGAACTGGTTAAATAGTTTCCCATTTTCTATGACATGTGCGTGTCATGGCGACTCTACAACTTAGGTTTACATTAATTCACAGTCATTCTACCATCAACCAAGTCAAATGGGTCGCACAGTTGGTGAAAAGGTATTCTTAAATATATAAGGTATGTATGCTTCAGTAAATCCGGGAGTTAAATCACAGTAAGAAAACAACGGTGAGTGAGTGATCTATTTAATTTCTTCACATACACAACCAAGCTACAAAAAGTTGTCCACACATCAAGCATTGAATATTTCTCTGAGGTTTTCTTATTAGTAAATGAGAGATATGCGGCTTATTAACGGCATTTGCGCTCAGCCAGTGGACTATAAGAGCAATCCCCAGAGAATCCAAGAAAGTATTCATAAGGCCAAAAAAGAAGAAGCTAGTCCACGCGTCGACTCTGAGCTCAAGATCACAGGGTATGGGTTTGGGGGGCATTTTCCGGAGAATCAAACAAAGCATTTACGAGGCCAAGGCTATGAAAGAGAGCACACCTCTAGACCGCTCGCCGGCAATTATGATTTTTTTCCACTGCTATTTATGATTTCTCATGGGGTATGACAGTGAGTGGAAGTTAATTTTTGCTTCTGCTTCACACATAATAAGGTGGAGATTCTTCGGGCAACTTCATGATTAACACAATGGGATATGGAACATCAGATTCGACAGCCAAGACCCCAGTTCACAGCTGCTGCCAGTAAGTGAACTCACACCCACATCCACTTGCCTGCGGAAGAAGAGAATGGTTTGAATAAATGCGGCAGTACTGGATAATATCGTGGAAATCATTGTGTGTTTACCAAAACCCGAGGCGTGGTAGACAGACGTCAGGGCTTTTACTTTACTATTCGGAAGGGAATGTAGAAAGGCTGGACAAGGCTCGCATAGAGTACTTGAGAAGGCGAATCAAAGTTTCAGATCCTCCGCATGTTTTCTGTTTAGGTTTCGACAAAGATCTGGTCATGAGCATGGCCAAGAAGATGTCATCAGAACCCCATTGTAGAGAAGGCTTGAGTAATGTTTGCGAGTAAATACTTAGGCTTAGTGCAATAGGAAGCGAGTCTTTTCGGTTCAAGATGGCCAAGCATGAATCTTCAGAGCAAACGACAGAAAGCTGAGATCAGCATTATCTCAGGGAATACGTTGGGGACTTTCTTTTATTCAGGTCTACGAATGCATTTGCATCATTTATTATCAAACATGATGAAGGAACTCCTTTTTAGAGGAAGATCTGACTTACTGAACGTGTCCCAGGTCAAATGCCAAAGATTTTCTGATTGAAAGGATGGGTCGTTAAAAATCCACATCCGGAAAAACAAGCTTCTCACGCAACAAGAATCTGCTATTCCAATTGTGCAGTTGCTTGTGCAGCCCCAGAATACACTAAAATTGACTGCGGGAATCAAGGTGCTCTCATGCCAAGAAAACTGGAACAAGGGTATATCTGTCAAGACAGCATGGCTAAGCGATCATATTGATGTGTACGCTAAGCGAAGAGTGAGAAGGGGGCTAGTTGAATTGCCCTCCAAGCCTCCTAGGCATACTTGGTTCGTTGGCTCTCTAGGAATCACGTCCAAGTACAGTGAGATCGTGTCACCGAAAGACAGGGGCTATCAAATCGGCCTCGTTAGCGACAACCCTACCTAATCTACAATTGTTTTTTAGAAACACTTATCGCGTTCGCCATTATTGGTATTAACCTAAACAATATTGTTCAGGCAAAGTTTTCGTTTTCGGTGAATTGCCAAGCTGCGGATGCAAGACTTGACGCAAAGCTTGAACAGCCTGATGCGATGTACCTGGCTCCCGCTTGGTGCATAGACCCCTGCCGAGGCCCCTCATGCCGTATTGCTCGCGAAGAAGCTTGGCGTGGGTGTTCAGCCTCGTAAAGGCAGAGTGAGTGTGGCGTTGCTCTTTCATGCAGTTGAAACAATGAACAGGGAGTTCTTATTTAGGTTCCCGATGCAAGCAACTGAGACGGTAAACTCAAGGACGTAACATCAAGTTACTTCTCATCTTCACACACATCTCCCAGAATCCCTTTTGCATAGTGCATGAAACAACTGCTAGGGCATCGAAAAATCAGCAATCACATGGACAATCTTTCAATCATCATATATTGCCTTGTTTTATTTCCGACGCCTACGATCGCAGCCCCCAGCACTCCATGGCCACTCGCCGGCAGCAACGAGTCTTCCTTATTCACAAGAGCACGAGCGATCAAGACTAAATCAGATCGATTAGCTGTCGGGATTGGTGTACCGGTCTTTTTTCTTCTCTTCTTTGCAGTCTGTGCTTTCGGATTGCTTCGAGTGCGGTACAAGAATCGACGAGAGGCTCGCCGAAATGAGCTTCTAGAGAGCGCGGGACTCTCGGCCAGCCCCAGGTCTTCCACGGATGGCTGGATTCCTTTGGTGCCATCTTCTTCATCGTCGGAGCCGAAAGAGCCACCGCCGATCTTCACGCCATTTACCACTATGATCTTCGACAAACTGCACGAGGAGCCTTACAACCTTGGGCGTTCATGATCGCTGAATCCGTGGGTCTATCCATATCCAATCATCTAAAATACGCACAAACTCTCTTGGGCCTGCTCGTATCAAACTACCTAAACATTCCCGAGTCGGCTTGAACTCGACGATACAACTTTGAACAGGTGCTGAAGGGTAGGAGGGTGCCGAGAAATGCGGCCCAACAATCACCAAATTATTCAAGCCCAAGCTTGACAAGCTGACTGCGTGGTTGATGGCGCGACTCGTGATCTTATCTCCGCTTTTAGCCAATATTGGTAACAAGACAGGCCACCTAGGACTAAAAAATGGATTCGCTTTCGAGGCGAAAGCAAAGAGGATTCTAATGAATTTCTTGTTCGTGGGATGGATAATACAAATTTTGCACCTGAGCATGCTTGGCTCTTATCCTAGATCGGCTCACCAACTCCATCCCCAGCATGCATTCGTTTGCTAGGCGTTGAGACTTGCGGGTGGTGTAAATCAGAACAACGAGGACTAATGGCTTCATGTACCAGCCATCAACGTCATCCTTCGCCAACGGATTCCGCCTACCTCTGTCAACCTTGAGAGCCCTCCAGGGTGGTGGAGCTTAGATAGGTTAGATATTGTGTACATAGAGTATCGGACTCGGTGTGAGCAGGCCTCCCTCCAATCAAAATTGAAATCCTGCCGCGAATGTAACCCTAAAGGCAGACAACTTGTCTGACACAAGGGTCTGCGCCTCTGCACCCACGGACAGGGGTGGTGTTGTCACCCAACCCTCGCTTACCAGAAACCAGTTGGCTCATAAGGCAGCCAGCTGCCTTTTATCCCCGCATGCGGAACTTGTAGTAGTATAACTACATACGACATCACCATCATCAACGCAACCCAGGCATGATCACTACCACGCTTTAGCATGATGCACTGCCCTTCGTCTCTTGCCCTGACAGGGCTGTTGGCTTTATTTACCTCGATACCCGGAGTCTACGGTAGTGAGCTTCAGCAGCCGCTTCAAAACGAAAACCCGAAGCATGCCGAACAACCCATTACTGTCGACGTTAGCCCCTACCGATGGGAGGACAGAGATGCAGAGTTGACTCTCTACCACGATCCGAAATATCCCTGCTCGCCGAAACGAAACGGCTTAAAGGCCAGGCTTAACATCCCCGTTGGCACCTGTGCCTCAGCCAACTTCACGATGGACGACAACGTATATCTCGGCTCTCCAGGCTTTTGTGGGGGGACGAGGAAAGTGGCCTACATTGGCATTTATGAAAGCGCTGACTGTACCGGGGAGGCAAAGCATCCAGACTGGTACGACCGTGGACGTTATTCAATGACCGGTCACTGTCTCTCCAAGCACTACTGGGGTTCCAAGACCAAAGCAGACCAGTGGTCTATCATGTTCCACTGCACCGAGGACAAACAAGTCACAGAGACGACCAAGCAAATCAACATCAGCCTCCCACAACCTGCTCCTGTTGTGGAGAAGCCAAAGCGCCCCAGGCCTACCTTCGCCTCTGTTTCCGACTCAGCCTGCTACATTAAGGAACTCGGGTTCAAAGGCGCTCCGAGGTTCATCTTTCAGAAACCTGCGGCTGACAAGTGTATCAATGTAGCGCCATTGCATATGCTCAAGATCTATCGGACTGCTCTTTGCCCCGACGGAAGCGATGCCTTGTTTGCGAAATGGAAGGGCAAAGGATGCAAAGGCTCGCCCGAGTCGAAGCAAGTCGTGGACGAATCCTTGATCGCTACAAACTTCCCGGACACGTGCATCGAGATGGGAGGGAAGGATGCAAGTAGCTATGCGTTTTGGTGCTCTGGAGATTTGACTCAGGGAAAGGCCGCGCAAAGTCTCTTCGAGAATGATGATCCAAATGCTGCCCGCGTCCACTACTCAAATATGCCCAGTCAACGTCAAACTCGAGTAAAGAAGAGCGATGCTGATGGACTAAGGGCCAACAATATCTTTCTGTGTGGATTTATTGTCTCTTTGGTTGGATTCAATCTTTTTTAGATGCTTCGGTGTGGCATCTATTAAACACAGAATGGTTTGGTTACAGATGCCCATGTCAGACGCTTGCTTTCAGATTCGGAGAAGTAGAAGACCGTGAAACATTACTTTTCATTGATATCTTCTGGAACTATCAAGGGACATATTGGAGGAGTGGCACAATTGGAGGTATAGTGTAATTGGAGGAGCAGCGTAATAGAAGTCCCAACATAGTCCACAATAACACCATTATCTCTCTCGATTCGACCAACTTCTGTCAGGCGTTACGCTGGCCATCAGCAGCGGAAACATTGCTTACCAATGGTGTTGACTACTCAACCTATAGGAGGTTTGTGGTCTCGCTATCTATGCCGGTCGCGGAGGCTTTGACCTTCTTCTCCTTGTCGCTGCGCCTGATTGTAGCCTTTTGGAGCGAAGTTGACAGTCTTTTCCACTTTTCAGAGAAGCGGGATCTTGCGGGCTGTGCAATACCTTTTCCTTGCTCAGTGGGCATAACTGGCACGGAATTTGACGGTGGCATTCTTTTTGTTATCAAACTGCGTAGATGCGAAGATTTTAAGTCAAGGTGCTCTGGCAGAAAGCTCATGTCGTAGCCACGGTCAGCAAACTTCAGAGTTAGACCTTCCCATATCCGGCGCTTCGTCGTGTGCAGGACGGCCCCGTGCTCGATTAGGGCCCTGAAAGCATCATATATGGCAGAGTTGATAAAGACTGTGTTGATAGGAGAGATAATAAGAATAAAAGAATCCAGTACTGCGTGACCACCTGCATGGCCATGACCACTAGACTTAGGGTTCACGCCTAACGCCAAAAGTTGTCTCATGAACTCTGGTGGGCATTTGTGAATCAATGAAAGCTGGGTGTCTTGCTTTCGGAATAGAATGGTTTTGTCCGTAAATCCCTTAAGGGCTTCTGATGTTATGGTGATGTAATCTCTGCGGCTACAAACGCCCTCGTCCGATGCATCCGTAACATTGGAAAGGCGGTTTTCCCAAATCTTGACGAAGAGTTCATGCATACTATCCCAATCCCTTTCCATTCTATATCCATGTTCCACAATATCAACTATCATTTGAATGGCGTCCGCGGGCTTCAGATATCGTCTCTTTAGGGAGAGCAATATTGTTGGAAGAAGGCCACCTTTGCATTTGAAAATAGCATCTGCATGTTGCTGCAGAATTTCCCTCAAGAGCAAACGTAACCCGGCTGCGACACAAAATTTCAACGGGGTCCAATCCTCGAGTGTTCTATCCCTAATGAGGAAGAGCTGGCTAGTTCCGTTTGTTTTTTCTGCTTCTCTTGCATGGAAAAATAATAGAATTAGCCGTTCCGTCATCTCTTGTTCTGTCTCATGAAGACGTGCTCCTGCGTAATAAGTCTGATGGAACAAGTACTCCGCCATGAAGGAATGATCATTAGCATTGGTTGTTTTCCCGCGGACGCCAAGTATTGCATGCCGAAACCGGGGTTCCTGAACGAATTCTTGAACCGTCTGGTGCATAAACTGGATGATTGGCAAAAAAGAAAGTAGATTATACCAGTTGACCATACCATCAAACCGTTTCATGTTGGGTTCGGATATTTCGAGAAGACCTCCCGAGATCGCTTTTAGCTGGTGGATTCCTTTCGCAAGCTCAATTTTGGGGACATCCTTGTGCCAGTCCAGATATTTGCCCCAATCTACAGAAGTTGCTTCTTTAGACAGATCCAAGATTCTTATCGCTTCCTCAACGTTCAAATTATAGTGGGACCGGACCATGCATTCAAGCAAAACATATGTATCCCATCGGAACACATCGGGTCTTCTTTCCACAATTGTGTAGTAGAACTCATCTAGTTGGTCCGGTAGTTCTTTCAGCTTCTTTTCCAATCTGAAACTCAGTCCTCGGCCATCAGCATTCTCTTGAAATGGTTCAGCCACAACTGATGACAGCTGACGCATGACCAGCTTGACCCAGAGAAAAACGCCCTGTGATCGATACACGATTTGTTCTGTTAATCCAAGCAGCACTTCTGCGCTAGGCGGCACGGACTCCACGGCATACTTTAGGATATCATCTTCCGTGTGCTCATGAATCTTGAAGCCAGGGCATGAATCAAATTCATCCTGGAACAATTTCCACGGCCGGCTGGAAAACAAAATTCGGACCCGCGTCCGTGACGAAGCGTCAATCATTCGTTTTGAGAAATCGGCGATGAACTCAGGCCGTCCATCATACTCATCGAGCGCGTCAGGAAGAAGAAAAAGGTCGAGGTCGATCTTATCTTGAAGCAGGAGAGCGTACAAGGACTCTTCCAATGCCCTCCTTGTCCAAAGCCTCGCAGGCAACTCTAGCTCGCCGTCTTCCAACTCGACGTCATCTTCCGAACCGGGGCGATTTTCTTTCAACTCGGCACGAACTTCTTCTGATTCGGCGCGAACTGCTGATTCCCTCCAGGCAGCAAGATTTTCCGGTAATGTTTTCTCGACAATCCCCTCTAATAAGGTGCAGAGTTGAGGCTCTTTGCCGATGATTTGGAATAGAATGCTCTGGATGAGACCCTCAAATGACTTTTGAATGGCAGATCCCCGATGATGAAAGAAAAAGTTGATAAGAATCTGCTGGTGTTTTGATCCCCAAGGGTGAAGAAGCTCATAGGTACGGGGGTCATTCCAAATGAACTTCATCATGGTGGACTTTCCAGAGCCAGACTTCCCGCTCAGCCGGAAAATACCTTCCCCTTTTAGAAGCCACGAAGACATATTGATGTCTGGGTGATCATAGACCCAACCAAATGTGTTATTCGTGTTCTCGTCAATGGTATACAATCTCAGATCCTGTTCAGGGGCCAGTAGCGACTTTCTGAGAACTGGTTTCGGATTAGTTAGTTTTGGACAACAAAATAGGCCTCATTTTCAGAGGGTTTGGTACCTTGACTGAACCAAGTGATATCATTCGTAAGAATCTTGGAGGCTTTCATTGTCCCATTTCCTATAAACGCATTCGGCTCCGGACGTGTTGACCGGTTGGCCGGCGTTCCAGAGATCATCCGGCCAGTGTCTTTGCAGATGCATAAATCATAGCATTATCAATGATTTCTCTGATTTTGTCTGCCATTATAGGTATTAGCCGGTCCCCAGGCTTAAACTTGACCATGTTCGAGTGATCGGCGTCTATCTGGAGAAGGCGCTCCGGGGAGATTCCATGCCGGCCGCCAGTGGCAGACTCCGGTGAGACCATGACCGTGTCTGGGCCGGATCGCTTCCAACCTCCACTAGAATTCTATGGAAAACATTAAGCGACGTCATTGTAATGAGCAGAAAGATTCTCACAGATAAACTGGCGATGCTTGTGTTTCGTACGCCCAAAAGAGCACCATATCTCGAGTATAAGAGATTCCATCAAACTGTTTCTCCAGCGTCGGGATATAGTTTGAACGATTGGAAAGATCATCCAGGAGGGCCGTGTTCGGCTGGTCCTCGAGCATCTCGTAGATGTCAGGCACTGTCATTCCCACGGTCGGAACTCCGAAAAATATGGCGCCTTTGATGTTGCGGATAATTTCTCTTTCCCTGACTCCACTCCCCGCCAACATGACCATGCTCTGCTTCAAGACTACGCCTCCAAGACTATGGGCAAGGAATATAATAGGCTTGGCAGCCGGAGCAGCCCAGCCATTAGCTTTTAGCTCCGATATCAAGGACCCCGCTATGTCTGGCACAACCTGGAAAGATTTGCTCCCGGATAGGGCTGTATCATAGCCGTAAATAATAAATCTAACACCGGGGAGTCGGCTGGGTAGAGCATCACGTATCCACATGAAAGATAATCGCCCCATGGCTGCCAGGATCCCATCGGGTGGCTTGCCAGGCCGGATATCACGATACAGCTACGCTATAGTCAGCCCATCTAATCCATATATATATATCTTAACGCAATGCATATGCACTCATAGGTGTGGCCATTTTCATTGACCTCGTTCAACGGAGTGAGACCGTGGAAGTGGATGTCCAGGGTGATCGAACGAAGGGAGCCCAGGATCGGGAAGGACCATTCCATGCGACCAGGCCCTTGAAGAGCCACCGGTGCAGATTTGAACCTCAAGGTAGCTACCTTTGTGAGCTCGCTCACCCACGGATCAACAACAGGAGCAATAGACTCTATCTGGGTGTCTTCAAGGGTAATACCCGGGTTACACCGTACGAGCAACTCAGCCGCTGCTAGGCGATCCACATGGTGCGGGAGGTTCGTCGCTCGATAGACTTTGGGTGCTCCATATGACGCCATGGCGTGATGGCATCCACGTTGCCTGCAGGCAGCGCCTCAGTGGAAAAACACGCAGGCTAGAAGCTGAAATCTGAGGCTGAGATTTCTTACCCCCCTGAGGTGAAGGCGCCCAAAGCTGCGAGTGTCAGCCTGTCATGGGTCGCATTACTCGTATTTAGCCAATCACATACCGCGCGGTTTGGTTAAGCGCGCGACTCAAACCTCCAGAGAGCTGCGATGAAGGTAAACTGGTGAACTATAGGGTAGACTGAAGGTGAGGGCGATCTGCTTTGTTTGACGGCCATACTAGAGTCAGGTATTGAATTGCAAAGTAGTGTGATGCATAAACAGATGTGTTTACTGATAGCTGGTTCCAATAGAGTGTTCTCTATCTGGGGAATGAATTTATACATATATCTAGTGTGCTCAGTGGTTCCTATCACATACTCAGTGCTGAGCAATGCCTGCTCAGTGCTGAGCACTCGTTCCTGGTGTCTGAGAACATCATGTCATCTAGGCGCGGGGCCGGACTATGACCAGGGCATAACAGGATCACTCGTAGTCTTGTATAAGCTGTAGCCTGGACCACTCTGGCTCACCGGTGATCTATTGCGAGCTGCTCTGGATTAGTGATGAAAGCAGGTCATACCACGTGACTCTTTGTCCATATGTTTGGTTCGTAATAAGAGCTCAATGTTTGGCTTATCGTGGGGCTCGTTCAGCCCATAATATGTCATAGTTCCCTTCACCGTCAGCAAACATGAACTGTTCGATCGTAAACATGCCTGCCACAAATCTGAAACACAATAGTTGAGAGAGCTTAACTAATTAGTTATATGATCCAGCATTCGCTCGGTATTAGGCCCTAAAACTTTTTTGACAGAGCTTGGCGCATGACTTATAGTGGGTTGCGTCTATCCAAACGTACCCCCAGATCGTAGTTCGCTCAGCATCTTCATCTCGCACACCAAACGACAACTATTTGATCACGGGCAGTCATACGCTAGACAAGAGAAAGAAATGCAGCCTTCAAAACTTGGGAGTATCAGATCCAAATATTAAAAGATGTTGATTTGAATGTATGATGACACTTAGTTCAAAGACGTATAGTACTAAAAAAAAACGGCCCGAAGATTCCCTAGCCAGCCTTCGAAGCATTCGCCTTCTGAATATCTTCCAGGGTCTTCATAGTATGATCCCAAACCAGCTTCGCCGTGTCTGCCTGACGAACGTTACTATACGCGACCTTATTTGGTGAGTCGGCTCGCTGCCCAACCGAATAAGCGCCGCCGCCCAACTGGTCCTGGCTGCTCGTTGCGGGTTTGACTCCTTCAGGGACGTCTTGGCCTTTAGCTGGGAAGTGAGAGGTTGCAAGGTACACCATGACGGCTCCGCAGTCTTCGGGGGAAGTCATGTAGATGTGCCGAAGAATAGGCTTGAGGATTCTCCAAGTGACTCTAAACCACCTGGGCATGTCGTCGCTGAGGAAGCCAGGCCCATCAACCAGACCGGGGTAGATATGTGTTAGGCTAAGACGCCCTGCGTACTTCTCGGCCAACTCTTCGAACAAGAATGTCTTCATGAAGGCGGTGTACTTGCGCACACCAGCCACTCCGTACTCCGAATCAGGAGGGAGGCCGATGGGAAGTTTCCCGGGTTCGACTTCATCCTGAAAGCTACCGGTATAAACGGAGACGACATGTCCGGGTTTAGGCGATGCGGTCAGCAGCGGGAGTAGGTTCATGATGAATCTGATGCGAGAGTAGTAGACCGTAGAGAGGAAACTATCGAGACCCTCTGGAGTGGCTACAACATGAAGATCAATCATCAGCTGCGATTCGTAGAATGTCAGACTCCGGGTCGTAGTGCTTACTGTGCCTTTCCTTGAGGATGGGGTAACAATATGTCATATACAAAAGATCGAGCCTCACAGGACCGCCGTGAAATGGTGCCTCAGTCTCTTGCTTGATGATATCGTCACAGCACCGATCCACTTCACTGATGAGGGCAAGGTCAGTTGCCGATACGAAGCGCCATTCAGATCCTGGGCTCAATCTTTGACGCCCGGCTATCACGGATTTGGCTCGGACGGCGTTCCGGCCTACAATGTAGACTCGAAGCTTGGAGCCGTGTTTTGCATAGGTGGTTGCGAGCACCGTGGCAATGTAGGAACCAATTCCCGTCGTCGCGCCGGGGAGAGCCGCTACCAGAGGAGGGCCATCTGGCAGCTTTGAGATCTCTGCTTTGATGGTAGCAAGACTCGGCATTGTGTGAGGATAGATCGGACTCGCTCCAGTGTAAATTGGTAGCGTACAAGAAAGTGAACGGGATATTCCAATCCTAATGGGTGGCGAGGATTGGTGTGTCAGTTGAGTTCACTCTTCTATGTGAGATTGAACGAGACATGCTGAATTTATAGTTTGCACGAAGACTGAGATGACGGTGCTTGTTTGTATAAATGTGAGCATCATACCTCAGACAGACTCGGATAGAAGACCAATAAGCGTTGCCCTTAGAAGAATAAAGACGTGGGTGGATCATTCAGGTCAGTCTAACCTCATTTCGTATCCGGGGATCAAAATAAGCCGAACGGGTGGTATTCATCACCGGCATTATTGTTTTCTTGCAGCAGTGGCATGGATGGAACCATCACTCACCAAAGGAACTGCCCTTGTTATCTCCGTAGGATCAAGCGCCGGCATTTGAAGTTGTTTCTTTATTCTTAATTCCACTATCCTCAATACAGCAACAAGTCATTAATTATATACCGCTTCTGAAAACACGCCCTCCATTTTTATTCAGTGGTTCGCAGGTGGAGTGTTCAAGTCACGGAACTCCCCACGCAGGCTCTCGATCCCGTCCCTCCTCACATCCTCCACCAGCTTGGCCACCTGCGGCGCGATTTTCTCCCCGTTGAACCCGAAGAACTCGTAGGCGTCCTTGCCGGGCAGACTCTTGCCGAATGTCGACATGCTGTACCCGGCGTCGGCGTAGCGCTCCCACCCGTTGACGGCGTACGCCTCGATGACGACGCGGGGCGCGTTGGAGCGGTACCGCAGCGTCTCGCGCTTGTACTCGGCCGGCTGCGCTTCGAAGAGGCGCTGGCAGGGGAAGGAGACGACGCGCGCCCTGATGCCGAACTTCTTGGCGAGGACCTCGCGGGTCTTGACGGCGAAGGCCATCTCGGCACCGACGCCGATGAGGGTGACGTCGGCGTCGGCCTCCTCGATGAAGACGTAGGCGCCCCGGAGGACGCCGTCGCGGCTCGAGTGCTGAGGGAACTGCTCGAGGTTCTGGCGGGAGAGGGAGATGATGGAGGGGCTGTTGGTGGCCTCGAGGGCGGCGACGAAGGCGCCAGCCGTCTCCTCGCTGTCGCAGGGGCGGATGTAGAGGATGTTGGGCATGGCGCGGTAGAGGGCGGGCAGGGCGATGGGCTGGTGGGTTGGGCCGTCCTCGCCGGTGCCGATGGAGTCGTGGGTGGCGATGTGGATTTGCTGGAGGTGCTGGAGGGCGCCCATGCGGACACCGGGGGCGGCGTACTGCGAACCAATCAGTCAGTCGGTTTTGATCTTTAAGCAAGCGGGATGAGGTTGTTGGAGAAACGTACAATGTAGAACATGAAGAAGCTGGAGGTGACGGGGAGGATGGTGCCCTTTTGGTAAGCAGCGAGACCGTTGGAGATAGATGCCATGGCGTGCTCCCTAATACCCCAATGGATATAACGACCTTGGTAGGTTCCGTTGATACCAGCTGTTGTCCTTAGATCGGGCTGTGATACAAGTTAGCAGGCCATTCACCATACAGCTCGAGTTCAATCAAAATTGCAAACTTACGTGCTGGAAATCAACCTTGTCCTTCCAAGCCATGTTGACGGAGGGACTCAAGTCGGCAGTGCCAACCATCATGTTGGACAACTTAGCGGCCAGAGGGTTGCAGACAAGGCCAGCGGATTTGCGAGAGGGTGTAGGCGTGGTAGGGAAGCTGTCCTTGGAAGGAATGATGCTCCTCCAGTCTTGGGTGAAGCGACCCTCGACACGGGCGATGAACTCCTTGTGAAGCTCGGGATACTCCTTGGCGTAGTCGGCAACGAGCGCATTCCAATCCTGCTCGAGCTTCTGACCGCGGGCCTTGAGGTCGGCAAAGATGTTGTAGACCTCGTCGCTGACAACAAAATGCTCGTCGGGGTTCATGCCGAACTTGGCCTTGACGTTCCTCACTTCGTCAACGCCGAAGGCGGCACCGTGGGCCTTGGCGTCGCCCGCGACCTTGCTGCCGATTCCGATGGTGGTGCGGACATTGATGAAGGTTGGCTTCTCGGTGCTGGCCTTGGCCTGCTGGAGGGCCTTGATGATGCCCTCGACGTCGTAGTTGCCGTCCAGGACATCAATGACGTTCCAGCCGTTGGCGCGCATTCTCGCATTGAGATCCTCGATGCTGCACATGTCGACGCTGCCGTCGCAGGTGATTTGGTTGTTGTCGTAGATCATGACCAGGTTGTTCAGCTTCCAGTGGCCGGCCAGATCGACAGCCTCCTGGAAGACACCTTCCTGCGGGCAGGCGTCGCCAATCATGACATATGTGGTGTTGTTGACGAGGTCAAAGCCGGGCTTGTTGTAGGTGGCAGCCAGGCTCTTGGTGGCCATGGCCAGACCGACAGCGTTGGCTACGCCTTGGCCAAGCGGGCCGGTGGTAACCTCGATTCCCTCGTGCTCGATCTCGGGGTGGCCGGGGGCGAAGGAGTCATACCGGGCGGAGTGGTAGGACTTCAGCTGGTCCATGGTCATCTGCTCATAGCCCGTGAGGTGGAGGAAGGCATATTGGAACAAGCAGGTGTGGCCGTTGGAGAGCACGAAGCGGTCGCGGTTGAAGAAACTGGGGTTTGCGGGCGAGAACTTCATCGTGTATCGCCAGAGACTGAGGCCAATGGCGGCCATGCCCATGGCTGAGCCCGGGTGGCCGCCGCCAAACTGCTGGACGAGGTCGGCGATGAGGCAGCGGAACTCGCGGAGGAAGCGGTCGACGGTCTTGTCATCTTCCTGGGCAAAGAGGCGCACCTCGTCTGCAAACTTGGGAGTAGCGACGCTCAAGTCGGTGGTGGCAGAGGGTGCCATGATTGCTGTGTGTATTTGCCGATGTGCCACAGAAGGGAGGGTTTTGTGAGAACAATCGAGTCGGATGGTGATGCCAATGATGCTTAAGACACAGGCGACAATGGGACAAGAGCAGAAGGAAGGCAGTCCATGAAATACGACAATCGCCAGGTAGAGAAAAAGAAAATAGAAGTACCCTTTCTTCTTTTTCCAACAGCTTCACGTGGACGATTTCAATTGGGATCTCTCTCATAACTTCCATTACCCTTTATGGAAATCGCAAGCGCCGCCTCTCGTGCTCTCTCACCAAGCCAAGCGACGGGCATTGGACCTCTGTCTGATCTACTTGGTTAAAGAATGGGTCGAGTCATTCACCCAAGCTGCATTATTCCGTACCGGGGGAATCAACCCAATCGTGGGATGTGTGTGGGTATTTGTCGGCTTGCTTTCGAGATCATCCTTAGATCGCCCGAAACTACTGGCAGAAGCTCCCAATATGGGAACCAGAGCCGCCGAAGAAATGCCATGAGGGGGGTGTTTTGTTGCCCCTGGTTTCGCAGACTAGTTATCTTACACATATGTCGGCAGTACCTGTATTGCGTGGCGAGAGGTTCGAGGTGATGGGGCTGCCCTGAGGCTGGGCTCGATTGTTCAGCGGCAGAAAACACAGGTGTCTCCAATTGAGAAACATGCGTCGCTGGCTGCCTAGACATTCTTGACCATCTTAGCTGCTGACCAACTTCAGATCTTGATACGACACATGGATGGCGGGGTGAAGGCGGGGATATGCTCAGCTGTCACTGAAACGATGCATCTTGAACGGAGAGGCCCACCGACTTGATCGGAGAATGCGGGTGCGCGGTTTCTCGCCGAGAATGGTAGCCAGAAGCGGATTTGTCGATAACGCTGCATGTCATCAGCTGACGTGAAATTTCCTCCCACCAGCCATCGGTCTCTGTCCTCCGTGGCTCGATCTTTTTCGCGGCGGGGCTCCCAGGCGCTTCAGGCTGCCGATTTGGGAGAAATCCAACTCTCTGGCACGTACCTCGTTGCTGGCTGAGCGGCAAACAATTGAGTGTAAATTGGAAGCTGTAAGCTTCTTGCTTCGTCAGTTGTTCTGGAAGTCGGCGTCAGGATGGAAAGGGAAGTTTGAGCCACTGTAGAATTGAATCGGTAGAAGACAAATGAGCACTGAATATATGTACATAATGCTGTGAATGACGAATCATCTAGAGCCACCGTCATCAATCCATTCCATTCCTTTGTGTGCTGAGCGACTGTCAAAATGCCTGGAAAGAGCTTCATCAACGACATCACAAACCCCGTTGAGCGGGCGCTTCGCAGCCAATTGCTTCGCGATCCGTCTCTGGCCATAATTCTGTCAGAAAAAGGTGCATGCCATCGGATGTGCATTGTAAATCATGGCCTGGCTGACATTGTGCTCTTACAACAGTCTTGTTCCGACGCGCCGCCTCGCAAACCGACAAGGTCGTCCTTCTCTCGGGCGGCGGCTCCGGCCATGAGCCCGCGCACGCAGGATATCTGGGCGAGGGGATGCTAGATGTGGTCGTGGCTGGCGAGATATTCGCATCACCTTCCTCCTCCCAAATCCTGAGAGGCATCACAGCAGCGCAGTCCACGAAGGGGTAACGTGCATTCGCCCTCCACCGATTTTCTGCTCTAAGCTGACTCTAGACTCCCAACGAATTAGAACACTCTTGATCGTCAAAAACTACACGGGCGACAAGCTTAATTTCGGACTGGCCGCCGAGAAGGCCAAGGCAAATGGACAGAGCATCGAGATGGTGGTGGTGGGCGACGATGTGTCAGTCGAAGGAAGCTCGCTTGTCGGACAGCGAGGTCTAGCCGGCACCGCCTTTGTGCACAAAGTCGCAGGCGCACTTGCTGCGAAAGGGTATGATATTGAGCCTCCTATTCTAAATTGATGGCAGCTGCTAATCCTCCCCTCCAGAGCAAGCCTCAAGGAGGTTGCAGCCGTGGCGCAGAAGGCCGCATCACAGATGGCCACCGTCGCCGCCAGCCTCGATCGATGCACAGTCCCAGGTCGCGGCGCCCCGGGCCTTGCTGCTGATGAACTCGAGTTTGGGATGGGTATTCACAACGAGCCGGGAGTGCGCCGCTCCAAGATCGAATCCCTCGACCGCACGGTCCAATCCGCCCTCGACATGCTGTTCGCCCCCAAGGCCAACATGTGGCAGCCAAAGTCGGGCCAGAAGGTGGCGCTGATGTTGAACAACCTCGGCGGCCTGAGTGTGCTGGAGCTGAGCGTCATATTTGAGGAGGTAGCAAAGCAAGTCGCCACTCGAGGCCTGGAAGTGGTGAGGAGTGTCGTCGGTAGCTTTGTCACGAGTCTGGATGGGCCGGGCTTCTCCATTTCTGTCCTTGCCGTTGACGATGAGCTCTTGGAGCTTCTAGATGCACCAACAGCGGCAAGTGCCTGGCCACGGTCGATCGAGTACTGGGAGCCCAGCCAGGATGCTCAAATCACGAGCAAGATTCCGAGCAGCGAAGGCCGCAAAGCCGGGCCTGAAGGTGCGCAAAAGAATTACCATTTCCTCCAACTAGGAGAAAATCAAAGATGGATGCATAACTAACCTTGAAATCACAGTTTCTACCACGGTTCTAAAGGGACTGATCGCCTCCATCACCAAGACGGTCACGGAGGATGAGCCCAAGATTACCGAGTACGATACTTTAGCAGGCGATGGAGATTGCGGCCAAACGCTGCTCAACGGAGTAAATGGTAGGTCCTTCCGATTTTCCAGCTCAATTGGAAATTCTGTGATATTTCAGATGAACTGACGCCTTGATTTTCCAGGTCTCGTCAAAGAATTGGATGGAGATCAACAAAGCACAATCGACATCGGGGACCTGTTCCGCCGCATCGCCTCGACGGCCGAGAACTCAATGGGAGGCACATCCGGAGCCATTTACGCCATTTTCCTGAACGCAGTTGCCAATAATCTCGTCGCTTCGTCTGCCAGTCATAATGAGGTGGCTCCCCTCCTCCGCGCCTCACTTCAGCTTGGTATCGGGGAGTTGTGCCGATACACACCAGCGCGCATCGGTCATCGCACCCTGATGGATGCACTCATTCCATTCGTTGATACTTTCGCTCAGAACGGCGATTTTCCCAAAGCGGTAGATGAGGCCAAGAAGGGCGCCGAGGGAACAAGGAGAATGGAAGCGGCTCTTGGTAGGGCCAGCTACGTAGGAAAGGAAAGATTTGAGGAAGAGGGCGGCATTCCCGATCCTGGTGCGTTGGGTATAGTGAGCATTCTACGGGGCATCCTGGCAGAATTGAGTAAAGCAGTTCAGTAATAAGAAAAAATAGCTCTCGTCGACAACTCGAATCACTATAGGAGGGGCTTGTGATCCTCATTTTACGGATCAATTGATGCTAAAGCCTAGAGGGGGGAAAAAATAGAACCCCGATGAAACAAATCTATTTGCTTATAATTCAATGGTATGTTGAAGATACATAAGATGATCGATATAAATATGAAACAAATTAATTGTCAGTGGTTAAGTTCATATATATATGGATATGCAAGCGTTGTGACGGTTTTAAAGACAACCTCGTCAATATAAGAATATTTCGCAAAATGTGTCTCAGTTAGGAATTCTTGGTGCATCGCTTCACCGACAATTCGCCAGGGGCTTCACTTGGCTAATCCTGGGGAAAATATCACCCTGGTTCTGATTAATACCTGCACACACCCCTATCTTCCTACATACTTCCAAGTATCCACGAACAACTTTAGAGCTGAGCAGCATGCGTCAAACTTGCCTGTGCAAATATCTCAGTACGAAATGCAACCATCCTGACACTCTACGGCAGCTACCAGTGGCTATACGGGAGCGCATCTACAGGCATGCTGGCCTCATCGCTGGTCACCGCCTCATATACGGCGACCCGCTTGAGGACGATGACACGCTTCTATTGATGCGCATCTGCCACCAAATTCGCAATGAAGTTGAGGCATTGATCTCAAAGCACAACACCTGGCTCTTCACGATATCTATTGAGGAGAGTCTTCTTTCGCTCCGGGGATGGACGCCGGAGGCGTGCGCCAGACTCCGCGACGTGCATGTCCATGTGCAGACGTCGGAGTATTCGCCTCTTACGTGGAGCCTCGTTCGGGCCTGGCAAGGTGCCGCGAAGCACCTGCTAGAACATGCTAAGCCAGGTCAGCTCAGGCTTCATGTTATATGCCACGTAGGTGACGACGTGGCCAGGGCTAGAGCTATTGTCAAACCGTTTGAGCAATTCCCAGGTCGCCTTCGAGAGCTGGGGCTCTGCCTAGCCAACTATGCTTCCCCTGACCTCCTGAAACTAGCTCGCGAGATAGTGGCCTGGTCTCAAGCACCTGATGAGGAAGAGGCTCATCGTGCTACTCATCCTTTCCCGTTTTTCAACCTTCCTCAGGAGATCCGTCACCACATTTTTCAGTACACAGGCCTCGTTCTGCCCCACCGAAGTGTTCTCTGGTTGCCGGATGGCAATGGGTTCCGCCGTCAATACATATGGTGCGAATGTGATGGGACTGTGTGCCGTGAGAGGGACATCCACTATAACCAAAAGTTCTACCACTGTGATGCAGAGGAAGGCTTTTGCGCGAGGCGTAACAGTAGTTTTTCGAGACACTGTAAGCATGAGGCGGCGCTGTCTCTGTTGCTAGCGAGCCGGGCGCTTTACCAAGAAGCCATCGCTTTCTTCTACGCGAGCAATAGGATCACCATCGCCGCTCTCAACCACCCCGAACACGCGATATCCATGTGGGATCCTACACGTACTCATAGCCCACCTCCTCGCGATGATGATTGGGGTGTGGCGGATTGGGATCGTGAGGAGTCAGACCCGGCGCAGCAGATCACGCACGATCCTACGAGACTTTTCATTAAGTATGTCGGCACCGCTGCTCTGCGCCATCTCCGAAATATTGAGATTGTGCTCCCAATGGCAACTAAAAACTCCAGCCTCGATGATAAGTTATCTATATATACCGAATGGCTCGAGGCAGTCGACCTTCTCGCCGAGCATTGCAACGTGGCGGCCTTGACCATTTCGATCCATATCTTCACCATGCGCAAGTACTCCCGTCAGCCGCTATCGAGCACTGAAGACATCCGTCAGACGCAGAGCCTTCGCATGCTTGCCCCTCTGCAGAGGCTGCCAGGCCTCGGTCGGCTATTTGTTTTACTGGAGTGGCCTCAACATTGGTCATCTTTGAGACCAAGGCGGGATATAGATGCGTCCGGTATGCCCAAGAAGCCTAGTCCAGGGTGCGGTATCGGCGAGCATTTCATACCGTCCTCAGAGCCCAACCTCAAGCAAGAGGAGACACAGCTGGAAAGGCAGATTATGGGCGAACAGTATGATAGCTTTGCAGTAGGTAAACGGGAGCTTCTCCCCAGCCCGTGGATTCGTCGCGATTGGGACTCCTAATTGGCTTTACGTATCACTACGCCTATTCCTACATAGGGCTTATTGACCTCCTACAAAGATAAGTTCTAGGAATAGAATATCTCCTTGCAATATGTACCATCTTAAGAATAATATCGATGGATTGAAAGAACCATCCTATACCTGAATCTTAGTGCTCCTTGAATGTAGGCAAAGAGGCATATATAAGTGATTAAAGTATAAGATAATATGGTAGTTCAGGATATATATGATTAAATATGTAAACTTACTCTCTTCGGTGAAGTAAGTCACAATATGACTTCAAGAGAAGGGAGGCGGCGAAGGAGACTTCGAGTACGATGTAAGAAACCTCAGGTAGGCAATGAAAGATGCCAGATCCGACTTCCCGACATAATGAATACGTAAGCTTAAAATACTTAAAGAGAAGTCTTTTCCAGTATCCCTCAAATGAAATAAAGCAATAATTAGAATCAAATCTTACTGCTTTTACATAATGCTTCTACTAGACAACACGGTTGCAATGCCAGGAGAATAGACTGCGCAACCTTCCCCTAAAGTCATCCCACCCTCTCCCCTGTACGTTGAACATTAATTCTGCATGTTCATGCTTTAAAACAAATTCGTTATCAAAGAAAAATTGGCCCAGTAGCTTCAAGTTAAGCTGAAAATAGACCGCTAGCCCATGTCTCTTCATGGGGCTCAGAAGCAGACACCCAATTGACCCCTGGATTGCTGAGCCAACTCCATTCATTTTCTCGTCCTTGGATCTTAAGGTCGCCTTAACTCCCCTACCTGGAGAGCCGTGAATGGAGCTGGTGCTGTTTCATTCCCGCGATGCAAAACAGAGCCGTTAACGCCAGGCCGAGCATCATCAACCAGACGCCACGAAATGCCTCCATGAATGATCGCATAACACCGTCGTACCACTCATCTGGGAGGTGCTTCAACTCATCCAGATGTTCCCGAATGCGTCCAATCTCGTTGGCGGCATCGGGCCAGTCGCCAAACCTGGACCACAGCTGGTTGTAGAGAGTGTTTTGGTACACCACGGATGCTGTAGTGACGCCTAGAGTGCTACCCAGGCTCCGGATGAAGACTAAACAAGTATCAGCGTTTCGTCCCAACGGGGCACAAGATCATGGCGACGGGGGGTTTTTGGTTGTTACTTGCAGATAGCAGAGCCCACCACGGCTTGATGTGTGTGGTCGACAGCCGCGACGCACGCAACTTGCGTAGTCGTTAGCATGATACCGTAGCTACTTCCTAGGAGGAAAAACCCGCTGGTGCTGTACCAGGCTGGGCTGGTTTCGGTTTGTAACGAGAAGAATGAGGTAGCCATCACCAAGAGCATGACGCTCGGGATACCCAACCAGATGTACTTGCCCGTGTGTCTCATAAAGTAGCCCGCCCCAAGGGCCCCCAAGGAGTCACCAATTGGCGAAGGCAGGATCATGCGGCCAGCATTTGTGGCGGAGTATCCAATCACCTGGAGGTATAGCGGCATGTAGAAGAGAGCAGACATGATGACCATGTCAGTGAAAAAGTTTGTCAGGGCGGCGGAGAGGATTGTCTGGTTCAACAAAAGCTTGACTGGGATGATGGGTTGGAATGCCTTAGTTTCCCACCAGATGAAGCCGATGAATAGGAGAACAGAAAGCGGAATTGTGGTAAGGGGCAGTGGGTGTGACCAAGGTACCAGGTTACCTCCAGAATTCAGCCCCAAGAGCATAAGAATGGTGCACGAAACGCTCATGAAGACGCCGTAGAAGTCTATACGTGCGAGATATGACTTATCTGACTGCTTGGGGGGTACTCTGACCAAAAACAATACTGCTATGGCGGAAAGTAGTGAGGGCGGCACCTGGGCAAGAAACGCCAACCGCCATCCCAAGGGGGCATTATCGTTGATCAGACCGCCAATTAACCCCCCTAGCATTGCGCCACAGCCATAGCACAAGTTTGCAATGCCCTGGGTAATACCGCGTTGGCGTAGTGGCACCAAGTCGGAGGCGAGGAAGTTTTGGATACTTCGCAACCCCCCGCCACCAAAGCCTGCGAGGGCGCGGCCCAGCAGCATTGTGTACTGGTCTGTAGCCATACCGCAAATGAGGTTGCCGGTGGCAAAGAGAATGTTGCTTATGACCAAGCCAGGGCCACGGCCAAAGATGTCTGTCAGTCGGCCGGTGATGGGAAGAACCGCAGCGGCAGAGATGAGATAGGCCGTGGCAATCCATGACAGCATGTTCAGTGAGCGGAATTCGCTCGAGATGGGGGCGGCAAGCGTGGCGACGATCGTCCCATCCAGAGCCATGAGGAAGACGCCCACCCACGCTGTGCCCATGATGAGGCCCAGTCTCGTGGTCGACATTTCCGGCGCCAAAACCACCTGTTCATCGACTCGATCACGCGGCAGAATAGGATTTGTAGGGGCAACGCTCGAATCTCTTTGGCCGAGGAGAGGTGTTCGCTCCGAACCGTTGCACGCCGCGTGGTGACATCGAGGCATTTTGTCGGGGAGATCTTCGCTGGCGTCGTTGAGCCACAAAGAGTAAAATCGATTCGTTTCACACTATATATATGTCAATACTGGCTTTCAATGAAAGTAATTAGATCATGACTGCTCACATACCTATTTCGTGCTTCGTAATGGTCCCGTGCTGGAGATCATGAACGTTAACAGACCAAGAAGCTCTCCAGCCTCTTAATGTGTTTCCTTCGACCCCCTGTCTTAATTGACCGGTCATCGGTTGCATCAGGTAGAGTCAAACTAATATATTACTAGACAGGGTTAGCTCTTCATTGGCCGCACTGAGACATTGACTCGGAGTGCGTCTGTCTTACATGCGTTCATTCCTTCAGCCTAAGACTTACAGGTCACTTTGTACCTTGCTCGCAGTCTTTGATGTGGTCCAACTTTGACAGAGGATGAACTGTTCAGTGGTGGAACTAATTATTTACTTCATGTGAAAAGGAATCCGTTTGAACTTAGAAACTAGAGGAATACATAGTTACCTGAGTATGTTTTGCAGCTCTTTGTTACTTGTCAGTTTATAGAATCCTAATAACAACCAGGATCTACGGCTAATTTGCGCAAAAGCACACTTGGAAATTGTAAACTGTTGCTTTAATGTAGTACAGCTGTGGCCTCTTTTAATCCCTGACACTCGGAACGTCGAAAACAGCAGCCAAACTAGGAACAAATGGCTTCAAAGGGGGCATATTTGTTAACACCGGCTTCTCAAGAACCTCCAACTTAGGAACGGCATCAGAGTAAATAGGCTGGCTTGTAGTATTCTCGTACCAACGAGTCACATTGGGATGATCCAGTCGCCACTCTTTGTCAAAAAAGAACTGAAAGCCGCGGAAGAGAAGGCCGGCACAGAAAATATCAGCTAGGCTAAGAACTTCACCAACAATGAATGTACGATTTTCAAGGTGCTCTTCAACCACTTTCACGGCCCTCAGAGTTGCTTTGGAGCTCTTCTCTACTGACTCTTTGCCATAAGGTGCCTTGCTAACCAAAGGCCGAAACCAGTCGGCCAGTGGAATGAGGATCTCAGTGTTGAAGTAGGACATCCACCTTACGATGGATGCATATCTAATTACCCCCTTATGTCAGTACATCATTGAAGTAAATGTATGCTTCTAGGAATTCTTACTCCTCTTTATTCTTCCCTAGGAGAGTTGTATTTTCGTCCTGAGATGTAACTTAAAAACAGGGTCAGCAAGGCGCCAATGAGTGAAGAAGGCCAATGGTCTACATACAATAGAGTGCTACGGCAATACACTCGGATAAAACGAAGCCCCCATCACTAACAAAGGTGGGAATCTTGCCGAGCCTGTTCACCTCTAAGTGTTCAGGACTCGGATTGCCGAGGTTGGCATGGACAATGTTGAGTTCTAGCTTATGAGCCTTCGCAATCGCTTTAATGGCGATGGAGCGAGAGTTTTCCTGCGCGAATAGTTAGAGATTACTAGCTGAACAAGAAAGACAGATCACTAATAATAGAGATCAACACGAACCGCAGTGGTGAAGAGAGTCCCAAATGTCATTTTGGACAAGATAGGAGAGCTGATGCCTTAAGATTTAGCGTAAGATATGCCAAGTTTAACATAAAGGCCCAGGCTAGCGCCTATACGAGATCACAATACGAAAGAAATTGGGGCTGTGGACTTCTCGACGGCTGGTCTTTCATGTATTCCTTTTTTACAAGTATGAGCCGAGGAGTTAACGTACTTCTCATTCACAATGCCTTGGCGCAGTGCGTTACATCACAACACGGTGATCAACTTCCAGTTTCGGATTGATCCATTGATTGCATTGAGCTGAGCTGCGACAAGCATTCAGTGGCTAAGCTGACCACGGACGAGTTACTTCCCTACCCATGTCATGCCTCCGATAATACATGTCCAATAACTTTGTGACTAAGCTACGCCTTGTCTCAAGCAGCCATGAAACTGCACAATAATGCTGCAGTATGACGTTGAGAAGCACATCAGTATACATAATCTTGGAAGAGAAACATCCGAGAACCCACCCGGTCTGGGCGTTCCGGTGAGCGCTGGCGGCTACGCCCATTGGGAGCCCGAGGGCTACTGGCATCCAAAGTGTATGCTCTCGGTGAATCCTGCGCTGAGCCCAACCTCTTGCTAACGCAATTTCCTTCTCGGAGAACCACCTGAGACTAGTAAATCTAAATGTACAACTGAAACTTGTCTAAAAGATAAGTCGCATGTGGTAATACGTGACGTTATGCGAAAACATCCATCGAGATTATGATCCGGCATAGGAGAAATGCAGTCACATGCTAACCCCACACAATGTTGACCAATGGAATTTTCAGATAACAGCGCTGTTAACCAAAAGTTCCTCGTAAACGTACTTGGGGCGAGAATGCGTTGCTTGGCATTGATACAGGTTGACCAATTACCTGGCTTCCGGTGCTTGACTTGAGATGAACAGCAACGGCCACGGGACTTTTTTTTGTGATACATAGGAGGATGAGAAACGGTCATACAACCACCTAAAGCTATTATCACAGAGAATCTACTCCTCGTTGCGGCGTCACCATACGTGATAGTCGAGAAACAAACAAGAATCTTAATTATCTACTTAGTCAATGACTATAAGATAAGTTATCATGAATATGTTCTCTTTTCGGGATATTTGAGAAATCCCAGACAGCTATAGTGTTTGCTTTGAGATGTGCCTAGATGCTTTGAAAGTGCCCGAAAAGTTGTTCAAAATCCATTTGTGTGATAGTGCTCGCAGCCTATTATTTTATCCTTCATTGAAGCAAGATCTTGTCGATGTGATTTCACAATACTCAATGTATCGACACTTGTGATGAGCATCTTGAAGTCGCGTAGCCAAGCTATGTCGTCGGGGTCAGCCCTGAAGGCGGGAGCCATGAGAGGTATTCCGCAGCTCTTGGCTGCAGCCACCAGCTTAGCAGAAGCGGCATAGAAGCTTGGGTGCTCCCTGTGGCCGGGAGGATTTCGGCATGGTAGACCAAGTGAGGCCCGAAGGTCACCTGATCCAATCATGAGACCATTCACGCCGGGTGTTTTGGCGATGGCGTGGGCATTCTCAATCCCAAGCTTTTCTGTGGTCAGAAACGGCACTGATAACTCATAGAATCAAACGGAAGTCTCACCACACTCTCAATTTGGCATATCACAGCGATGTTCCTATCAGCGACTGTCTCTGCAGTCCAGCCAGGCGGGGCAATATTTGTGATGCCATCAAGTAAAGCTACTGGTGACACAGACCGATCTCCACCACTGTATGCATACCGGACCTTTTTCGCCGCAGCTCTTGCCTCGGCAGCTGTCTCGATTTGGGGGAATATGATTCCAGCAGCGCCTTAAAAGTCAGCAAGGGTTCTCTTCTAGTTCAGTGAGTGTTTGGCAAAAAAGATTACCTGCATCCAAAGCGTACGTCAGGAACTCCGATTCCGGGCTTTGGATTCGAACAAGTGCGCAAGTTTTGCCCTCACTTGCGAAGTTAATGGTCTGGATGATGTCCACGAGTTTCTCTGGATCAGTTGGCCTGTATTGTCTGAGCTAGGAACGGCCTGTTTTCATTACGGATTGGAGAATCTTACACATGTAGAGTATCAACAAAGATGAAATCAAAACCAAGCACTGCCATGATGCGGGCGACTTGGGTGTGTGGGATTGTCAAGTAAGCACCAAACAAATGTTCGGGCTTCTCATCTAGCTCAGCATCATGCCGGGACTCGATAGCTGCGACAAAGTTTGCTGGTTGGAAAAGTGAAGAAGCTCGAAATGGTTCCATAATACGTTGTTTAGACCTGTGTATCTAGATGTAACGAAAAGACAGATTTCCTTCCCAACAGGAACGGCTGAGAAGTTGTTTTAAATGCCTCCGAGTCAGGTCAGAGCTTCGAGATGACCACGGAGCGGGCTCCTTTCTTGCAACAGCAAGCAACATGTTGTGTATATTTCGTGTTTGCACCATTCGAGTATGACGAATGAACATTTCTACCAACATGAATACGGGCCCTTGTGTGCACGGTGTGCCCAATTAGCCTAGGGTACAAAAGCGACGCAATCAAGGGACATGCACATCTATTCTGAACGGCGTCTCAGTACTCGAAATCCATGTATTACCGGGGCAATGTCTCAGGCCGAAGGAATCCGGTCGGCGGGGATCGTCTGAGCCCAATAGATTGCCTTCCCTATACACACTATGTTTTGACACTCTACTCACCGTCGTTGGGGTCGGACAGAGATGGTTCGTGCTATGCTCCTTTCATGGGGAGGTGTATGCTTACCTTCAAGTCGGTCCGAGAAAGCTCCCCATGATCCTGTAATTCTTCTCATTGATGTTTAGATCCCGTCCCAGTGTCGGAAAACATATGCTTGCTTCTCTTCATTGGACTGTCTGTCCGTCTCACGGCAGTAAGATGCGCATTCCGTGCATACTTGTGGCTTAGGTAGAGTACAGCTGAGTTGAAACTTTCGAAAACCCCACCCCAGTCCTCGCGTTATCGTGCGTGGCAAGCTGAGAGCACGGCCTAGAATCTAACTTGGCTGCAGGATGTCGTTCAGCCAGCCACAGTGAATGCGTTCTCGATCCTTCTCAGTGCTTCAGGGGAGAAGATTTACCCGAAAGTTATCGACCCGCATCATACGACAGTAGCGTTGATTTCTTCTTGCTTCGATACCAATGACGTAACTACCTGCAAGCGCCGAGGCTGATCAGAGACAGTACGGTGGGAAAATGTCTCAGCTTGTTCCCGAGAGGCTGACCACTCTACCTAATTACCCCTCTTCTGTTGTAAGAGAAGCCCATCGGTTCTATGCCCCACGACACCCGCTGTTCTAGCCAACAGCTTTCTGAGATTAGAAGCAACAATAAGTGATTCACTTCCAATTCCCACTTTGTATCAGCTTTATGCGTGGTCTCTCAATCTGGTGATTTGTTCCGCTCAATTCACCCTTCCTAGAATAAGAGCACATTCGAGAAGGGCAATAGCAGGCCTCATCAGACATGATTGTAAGACATGCAGATTATGGGGCTGCCACTGAGAAGTTAATCACAACTAAACAAAAGCCGTCAAAAACAGAGGCACGACACACTTGCCTTACCTCAACAGTTGGGCCATAGTAGAGAATAATATTCATCACTGGTGAATGCTATAACGAGCTTGCTCACAGAGGCACGTCACACCCCATTCAACCCACAGACCGATGTCTTGTCACTACAGTCAGAAACTTCACTAACCACTGCATTCTACTTATACACAACTCCCAGCTGGATGCCATTAACTGACCTCTCTCGCAACAATCACTGCTATTTACAAGATGGCCCAACTCGACACATTAGACAGGTTGTCGGCGCTCGACACCAACACAGTCGCCGATGCCTTGGATTTGCTTGGCATCAAAGGCGCAGTATATGGCCTACGGTCACTGTGGAATTGCCCGAGCATTGCGGGACGTGTCAGCACCGTCAAATTCCACCTGAAGGCCGATGCTGCTTCAACTGCCCCTCTGGATACCACAGCATTATCTGAAGCAAGACATCGCAATGTTCTGGTCATTTCAGGCGGGATTGACGGCGTTTCATGCTCGGATTTTGTTGTCGACAGTGCGTGGAAATCAAAGCGCATCAGGGGTGCCGTGGTCGACGGCCTCTATCAAGCACTTAACGACGGACATGAAGATCGCTGTCCAACGTACGGCCGCGGTGTGGCTACGATCAGTAATTGTAGCGAGATGATGCAGGGCGACTCCGGCCTACCGCTGAACATTCGAGACGTCATAGTCCACCAGGATGACTATGTTGCTGCAGACAGCTCTGGGACTGTGTTTGTTCCTGCCAAACGCATTGAAGAAGTTTTGGACCTCGCAGAGCGAGTCAACCATCGTCGTAGCCTTATAGCGGAGGCTATTGAAGCTGGTCGACCCGCATCTGATGTCATGAATGACCCTGAACTTCAAATCATCTCCAGGGATGGCCGGTCTCAGGCAGTAGCAGTGTCCTCCAACTTGAACCCTAACAAGTCTACTCCTGAAACTCACGGGTTGGTCTCGATGCTTACCAATGTGGACACTGCTGCTGTCTCCGATGCTCTTGACAAACTCGGCATATGCGGACAGGCACTTGGTATAATGCCTTTAGAGAACTATCAAAAGGTCACCGTCGGACCAGCTTTCACCGTGCGTTATGTGCCTGCTGGTCAGCCCGCAGGAAGCGTCGGCGACTTCATTGATGATGTTGGAGAAGGCGATATTGTAGTCATCGACAATGGTGGCCGTACAGACTGTACTGTTTGGGGCGACATCATGACCCAGTACGCAGGTCTGCGAGGTATCGCGGGAACCGTCATCAACGGTGTGTGCCGTGACGTGAACCGTGCCATTAGTGATCACTATCCCCTCTTCACTGCTGGGCACTGGATGCGGACCGGCAAGGACAGAGTAGAGGTCGGGGCTGTCAACGAGCCCGTCGCTATCGGCGGAGTTCGCGTCAACCCCGGCGATATTGTTGTTGCAGATGCAAATGGTGTTGTCTTCATTCCACGCCATCGCGCCCGTGAGGTGGCAGAAGTCGCCCGATTGATCGAGAGGAGCGAAGCCGGGATTAGAGAGATGATTGTTGATGGGGCTACACTGGCAAAAGCTCGAGAGGTGTTCAAGTATCACAAACTGCAGCGCACTTAGCGGCATTGAGCTTGAGAGTGGTCACATTAGTCTTTTGTACCTAGCTAAATAGCAAATACAAATGCACGCTCATCACGAAGTTGTCGCCAAGTTGCCACGGAAGCGCACCGATATATCAAACCACACCGTAACAGAGCACAGCAATGAGAAGCATCATTCCCAGGCTCAATATTCCTATATAATATGCCTGAAGTAATTATTGGTCGAAGCTTCTGCAAACTGATTCTTATTCTTGCAAACTACCAACAACTATGATGAGGGAGAATAGGTAAATAAAGTATCCCACTCTGTACACATTTCAACTGCAGACATCTACTCATTCTCTGGAACCACAACGCCCCAGCTGTGGTTGGAACGGCCATACAAAATGTCACCTAGCACAGTCTTGATCTTGTGCGTAATCTCCCCAGCCTGGATTTCGGGATCGATTGGGATCATTATGTCCTGGCCACGGTGGCGAATCTGGCTGATGGGGCATATGAAGAACTGCGCACAGCGAAGGTTAGTATTGTGATGTTTGTTGTTCGACAAAGCAGAATACTCACCCCTGTTCCTGTGGCGAAGGACTCGAGGATACGGCCCTCTGCTTGGGCCTCAAATAACTCGCCGATGGTAAACTTGCGCTCTGCGACTTCAATGTCACCAACCAATTTCTGACGGACAAATTCAAGGCAGCTACGACGAGTAACACCACTTAGAATTAGTTTGTCATCCAGGGGAGCTGTTATGAGCTCCGTCTTGCCATCCTTGCGCTTCCAAACAACAAAGAAGTTGCTGGCACCAGCCTCGGTGCATTCTCCCTTGTCACCGTAGAGCCAAAGGATTTCGTGGAATCCTTGCATGTGTGGACCTTGTTTGGCTATCATCGACGGGCCATAGTTGGCACCAATCTTCGCATAGCCGTAGCCACCAGCCCAAGCACGAACCAAATCATCAGGTGATGTGTGTAGGCGCATACCACCAGGGTAGCTATCCAAGCGGGGAATGAAGCCAGCCATGATATAAAACAACGCCTCCTTAGGGGCGTTGACACCAATCCGAGGCTGGGTGCCGATGAGGATTGGGCGAATGTAGAGGAACCCTCCAGCACGATCCTTGGGCAGCCAGCGGGGGCCATCAACACTCAACAAAGTCAGGATGAGCTTTTCCATTTCGGCAGCGTCAAATGTAGGTAGGGAGATGCGACTGGCAGACACATTGAGACGCTCGCAGTTGAGATTTGGCCGGAAAAGTCGGAGTTTGCCATCATCACCTCGGTAGGCCTTCATACCCTCAAAACACTCCGTGGCGTAGTTAAGAACTGACGCAGTGGGCATAATACTGAGAGGGCCATAGGGCTTAAGCTCAGGAGCTTCCCAGCCCGTGTAGGCTCTCCAGACAACAGTGATCATATGATCAGTGCAAATCGTCTCATCAGAGGCATTGGCAGTTGCCTCGTCAGGGACGGCTCGAGGGTTGGCTGTGAATATGTACTTGATTTTGGAAGCGTCCAACTGGGCGGCGTTTGAGCCGTTTGCGAGGGCCTCCGTGCCCTTGAGGCCAGATGCGTTGACCTGGGTGCCCGATAGTGGGACAGTAGTTGGAGCCATTTCGTCGGTTACTTTGCAAGGATAAAGCAATATGCGGTGTTCTTTAACATGAGCAAACGGAGCTTCTTTTATATGCTACGAAAGGTTGAAATAAGCAAAAGGCTCTCGCCAGTGTCTAGCCTGGGTACAGCCAGAACCCCTAATATGCCTGGCGAAGGCAGCTACGTAGCGGGTAAAGCCTCACCAGCCGGAACAGTTAAACTTTGCTCCGACATCGAGTACAAACATACGCACATTCACGAGTGTCAGCCGGGAAATGACCAGCCTTGACATACATGTAGGCTGTAACTGATCGCGATTGAGACAAGTCTTACTGGCCACAATTCCTGCAACCCTGGCCGAAAACCCGATGAATGGTCTTGTGTTACAAGTGTGATTGTCTGCTGTACGTAAAATAAGTTCCCTCATATGGAAAACTATCAGCTCATGCTTGCACTATCATCCAAGGCAGGAGTAGTTCCCCTCTCAACATTCAGCTTGTATGTAAAACACAATGCCACATCTAGCTTATCACGAACCAAAAGTTATAGATATCCAGACTATAATATTAAGTAAATATACACTATTAATGCAATGTCCATGGGCCAACTTTATTGTGCTATTCTCTCTGTTTCAGGGCAACCAAAGGGTCACAATGCATGGCACCCAATATTGTGTGTTGGTCAACCCGAGCGCGCACACCCCCCAGAATCCTTCTACCTTAATCTTTCCGGGGCACTGACGTAAGTTCGGAATGTCTCCCCTGCAACCATTGGCAATAAGGACGAGATAGATCCCGCCAATGTCTCGGATGGCGCCACCCTGCAACTGAGACATGGCTGGGAGCAAATAAGGAACCTCATAGCTATTGGTCACAAATGAAGGTTTATCGTCGTATTTCTTTTACGACGAGAATGGGCTGCTCCGAATGTCTTATGATTGATTAACGCTGACCACATTGTCCAGTACCTCAAGCCATGCAATAGTCAGACCACAAAGAAACAACGGAGAAAAAACAACGAGTAGATTACATGATGGGATGGACGCTCTTCTATCCCAGGCACAGGCTCGGAGAACCTGCCCCTAAAATTGGCCCCTCCAAGCCATCCTCCTACACGTAGTACCTAACTTGCAGGATAGTAAGCCCACCATTCTGGATACCCTAAGGCTCATGATTTCCATATTTTACATTACATGCTAACATTGCAATAGTGCAATTAGGTATGAGCGATCAATGAATGGCTCAACTGTGCCAAACCCCCTAGGCTCTAACAACCCTCAAGACCTCTTTAGCCAACATGTTTCCCTCATAGAAAGGAGCGCCCAGGTGTCCTCAAGGCACAGGCCGGAAGATCTTTGAGTATTACGGTTTCGTTGATTTTCATACAAACAGCTACAGTAGCATTGAACCCCACCACCTCATTCATCACTCATAGATCTAGGAAATCAAGCCGATCTATGATTGTATGTAATTTAAGCTTTTTACCTACACTAATGATGATGTACGTCGTCAATTGTACCGCATACCCCCTCACAACCTCACCGGCTTGTAAACAGCATTCTTCAAGAGATATTTCCAATCTCACTCCTCACGAAAGATCTAACAAATTACAATACGCATTACTTATATTTCAAATCAAATCATAGACTGGTTTTTATAGCCCATGTATAATCACGAGCCTTTTCCTCATGAAACAGCCTTATCGAGACAAGCCTCGGCTGGCCGTACAACATTTATACCTGTAGAGGCTGTGGGTCTGTCTCGACTGCCGGTCTAGACCTTGTTACTTACCACTAGAATAAATCAAGACACGGAGAGAGCCTCCCGTGGACTTCGAAACAGAGATCTCAAATTACCTAGGGATCTTGGCATTAGATATGCGTTATCGCTTAACGGAGGAGCACGCAAAAACACAGAATTCCCGAACCAGTACCAATTGTGCATACCAAGGCTCTATCACCTGCCTTTTGAGGTTGAATACGGGTGACTGTCTATGGACAAGCTTCGGGGCACGGAGCCTGGGGTCAAATAGAGTAATTAACTGCCCGCGTGGCGAGCCTGCAACCCTGATTTACGTACCCACTGTGCCGCGATGGGATCGTTCGATATCAGATCCAATTGCTAATAACGTTCGTGAGCAGGACACAAAGCCTCGCATTTTCTTGTCAAGGAAGACTTTTGCCCAGAAAGGAAGCCAAGAATCAGGAACGAATGCCCTGGTCTAGCGCTGAGCGGGAAACACACCGGCCTGAACGGGATGTCATTGCTAAAAACCAGGTGTCCCAAATTGACTCGAGCAACGACCATGTTTTATTGGTCATATATTGGACACAACCACCCTCCCACAGATAGTAATGGTGCTGGACCGACATCGGGTGGTCACCGAGATGCGCGGAGGCCTCGGTGGCAATAGTGGATGGTCCCAACACTTCGGATGGGTCGATTCAACACTCAATTGGCAAGGCTAAGCGAATCTCCTGACTCGGTCACCCACGCTATCTGCAGGGAGCGCGAAAAAATAGTGTTCCAGCAGCCAACAAACACTGTAGTTAGCCTCGGGGGCATCTGCCAAATGCCGCACATCTCCACCCTCTAAAATCAAGGGGGCAATACGCCATCAAGGTGGGCAGAACCAACGAACAGGAGCTTGAGACAGCCGACACATGAAGGCTGTGCCCCTTGAATATGTGGGAACGGTGGGTTCTGAAGATGATAGTCTCTCGCGCCCCTGACCCTACCATGAAGGGGCTAGGCTATCGGTGCCCTCGGATCGTGATTGTACAGAGGAGGTTATGCGTCTAGAGATGCAGGTCAGCTCAGTGGACCCTGGAGCCAACATCCAATCGGCCCTGAAGACGGGCTAGAATAGATCAGATGAAGAAAGTTTTGACACGCAGGCAATCGTCATCGCTTGTGAATCATGGGCGAGATCCGCCTTTATGGGGCCATGTTTCCTTTTAATTTTCCCCTACATACCCCATCCATCCCCCAACCTTGCCCGTTCGACGGCGGTGCATCATCTGCAGCTCTTTGACAGAGATCATCGATCCGTCCCTGCAGGACTGCGTCCGATCTTAGATCCAATCCCCGCAGCAGCGGCTGCAACAGCAACTATGTCTTCGTTTGTTACTGAGATGTGGTCGTGGTACGCAGTTACCGTACTCATTGTACTAGCGAGACTGTAAGTTGATTGAGGGTTTTGTATCTGTTGATTCTTTGAGCTGACCCGACTTGGTAATAATAGGGCATCACGGCGACTTCTCTACAAATCCTTCAAGGCCCTGCAGCTCGACGATTGGCTCATGTGTTTCACCCTCATCATATACACCATTTTGCTCGCCATTGTCTGGGTACAGACCTACACTCCGACAAACCTTGTTCACCCGGGCGACGAAGTCGGCATGTCGGACGAGGAAATAAAGACGAGGGAATATGGATCCAAACTTGTTCTCGTAACTGAACATTTGACGGTTGTCACTCTCTGGGGAGTCAAGGCTTGTTTGCTGTTGATGTACTCGCGATTGACGTAAGGCTTGAACATCCGCCGTTGGTTCTGCTTCGACTCCGACTAACGCCACACTTTTAGCATGAGTTTGAGACAAAACCTCCTCGTTAAGTTTGTCGCAATATACGTCGCCGCAAGTTTTGTTGTCATGGAGATCCTATGGTTTGTGTGGTGCAGACCCTTCCATTACTATTGGAAAGTTCCCCCACCTGATTGTAGGTCAACTTCCTTCCCCTCACGAGGATATTCGACCAAGAAGATTGACTAATGCATCCTTTCCTCAGTGAATTGCTCCGCTGAAACCAATCATATGATCACGGTGAGTTTCCTAGAGAGTAGCCCTCGTTGTAAGTTTACTAACTCTCTATCTCAGCAAGCCGTGTTTAATATTTCATCGGATATCATGATCATTTGCCTTCCCATGCCAGTTCTCATTCAATCACAGCTCCCTACGAAGAGAAAACTCATTCTCTGCAGCGTTTTTGCTCTGGGTGTCTTCACGGTAAGACTTCTACCAATGGCAGAGTCGTCGAGAACGATATTTCAAATGTTCTATGCTAACTCTTCGCCTCTCTTTCAGATTGTCGCTGCTTCTCTCAGCAAGTATTACAGTCTGGGCTCACCATATGGTACTGAATGGATATTTTGGTACATCCGCGAGGTTTCTACCGCCATCATCACCGCGAACCTGCCCCTCACATGGACACTTCTTCAGAAGATCTTTGGCCTGTCAGCTTTTTACAACTCAAGATACGGAAAGTCCTCCAACCCGCGCACGGCCGATGCCACCACTGGTGGACGCTTCCGCTCTGCCTATGGAAATTTGAGCAGTCGTGTCCGAGACGAGCGCACGCCAAAACGGCCTGATCCGAACGAGATCGAAATCAGCCCATCGTCCAGCCAGGAGCAAATCAACGGCGAGTACGGGCTTCCTCTCAAAATTTGGCAGCAACGAGAAGTGCGTATCACCACTGAGGAAGTCACAACCCAACATGGGCGAGCGCTGTCTCACGATAGTACACCAGGGGTTGTTGAACCTGTCAGTTACACTGTCAATAATAGCCCACCTGGGAGCATCCATGGTGACAAGTCCGTGGATGCCGAGATGGGTGTAGTCACAAAGGTGTCACACGGAGTATAGAATATTCCCTGCTTTAATATTAATAGACATAACTATAGATAGTAATTTGTATTATTTTTGTAACCTACTGGGTTTGCATTACATTGGGTGAAGCTTAAGATCAACATACCAAGCTAAGGGGACAACGATCTGCTCCTAGCACTTAGCATGAATTAAGATGCACCATTCAGCTAGTTAATCGTGCCGGGTTGACCGGCAGGATTTACCGGCAGATTTGACAGCCAACCGGAAGCCATGCCTAACAAGGATTCGTCAACTACTAAGGCGACAGGACAGCAAGGCTAGTGAACACGTTGGTTTCCTGGTGGAGTTTTCGGTTCTTCTTGAGTCTTGCGCAACACGTGCGGCTAATCCTAGGAAATTACCAGAGCCCTAGTCCAGCGGTATGAACCAACAACGAGTCAGCCATTCTCAAGTACGTGAGTTTTATAATAGGCTCGGGAAGAGACCCGATTCCACTCCCTCCCCTTCTCAAATAGATACATTGCAATTTATTTTGAGTTACAACAGCCATGTGCGGGCTCGGATTCTGTTTTTAGATACATAATAACCACGGTCAATTATATCAAGTGTATAATTGAAGACACACAATTCTTCAAATCAACCACGATATTATCGAGGAAACAAGCTGTCTTTGAAGGAGAGCCGAGATGCGTTCCATTGCTATAAAAAATGATAACTGAGAATCTTACTACCTAGCCATACGCGCTTCGGTCAAGTTCATGTATTAAATTCCAGACTGACAGAAGTCAAAACTACCACGTCTTTTCCCACACCCTGCGCCAAAATGGCATCTCAGCCAGACGAGCCTTCTCAGTCTCCTCAAGGCCCCCTTCTTCCCATTGTCTACACTCAGCATTAATCTCCGCCATACCACTATGGAGATCCGCCTCAGCTGGCTTAACGAATCCATAGCCGCACCGGCCCTCGAGCATATATTTGATTTTGCCAACCAAAAACATGAAAAAGGCGAAGAAGAGAGCAAAGTAAGAGGTGATGAAGCCTCTAGTATCCCACGGAGAGAAGACGTCGAACCCAACGAAGAACAACGCTACACTTCCCATGACCAAAGACACGATGGGGCTCCAGGGCGTATAGGGGGCGACGTAGTAAAAGTGCTCATCAGTCAACCCCTGGGCTTGACGGGCACGCCAGAACCCCATATATGTGATGAGCATGAAGACGTATGTTGCGATGAGTGCCGTTGTCGTAAGATCGACAAACCAGTAGAATACGTCAACGGCCTTGTTAGAAGCGGCAAGGAAAGTGATGCAGCTAATTAGGGTGGTAATCAGCACACAGTAGATCGGCACTCCAGCTTTTGTGCACTTGTTCAGGAAGGCTGGTGCTTGGCCATCTGAATCACGTAAAATGTTAATTTCATCTGCCAGAAGATCGAATTACGGAGGGGCTCCAAAACTTACCGCGAGCAAGACCGTAGAGCGTCCGGGACGCCGAGTAAAGATAAGCATTACCACAGGACCATCCAGAGAGCAGGATGAAAGCGTTGATGAAGTGAGGAAGAAAGCTTATACCGAGATTCTGGATCCCAATAACCCACGGACTCGCTCCAGCACCAGGCTTGCCGTCCTCAATAGCACCGAGTAGCCCTTTATCTCGGGAGGAGCAGATGACACCGACGGCGACAACTCCGATGATGTAGAATCCAACAATACGGTATAATATCAGGCTTGCGACGCGAGGGATCGTTCGGCGGGGGTTTTGAATCTCTCCAGCGGCTAGAGCGATCATATCAGGACCAGCCACGGTAAAACCAGCGTATATAACAACCTTCCAAACCCCAAGGAACCGCCCTGTCGCACCTGTCGTGTGGTATGCATGCATAGCACCGTCATTCCAGTTCCGGAAACCATACGCGTCATGCAGGGGATTCCCGCCCGACATCGTAACGATAGTGATAAGAACGAGGAGAACCAGCAAAAAGACCTTGGTAGAAGCCATGATAAACTCGGACTCTCCATACCACTTCACGGCCACGATTATTGAGAATAATGCAAACTCCCATGCCCATAGCTATCCATGCCGCGGCATTTGTTTTTGTATCCCAATACCTAAAAGTGACGAGTTAGAAATGCCATACGCAAGAGGGAATGGTTTTACAGACTGCATGACCGTTGCAATGGCACTCAATTCAGTACAAACCAGCATGAGTCCCGCAAAAAAATACGTCCATCCCATGGTGAAGCCGATCGATGGGCAGACAAAGCGAGAGGCCAACTCGAAGATGGAACCGCGGACGGGCAGATAAGCACACATTTCCGCAACAACAAGATAGAGAGGCCAAATGAACAAAACACCCCAGATTGCATATCCCAAGATTAGCGAGAGGGGGCCAGCCTTGCTCAAAACACCACCGATACCGACCTAAACGAGACAAAAATCGTCAGCTTGAGCGATTGTGTCTTCGCCTCAATCTACATACCCAGATGCCGATTCCAATGGAGCCACCAATAGCCATGAGCTGTACATGTCGGGGTTTCAGACCACGATGGGTCGAACCATATGTTTGAGTAAGTTCGGTGTCTCGGCCAGTCTCCTTCAGCTCGCCTTCAGGTGCCCGGTGGCTCCGCACATTGGTAATGTCGCCAGCCTCGACTTTATCTTCCGCCGTCGCCATTGTAACAATTCCTCCCCCGGATGTAGCAGTTAGATAATTCCAGTGGAAGCACACAAATTTGTAACCTTCAGGAAGAGGTGACAGGACAGGGGATGTACGGAGGCAAGCGCCCAAACCCCAACGCCACCATGCTCATCAATCAAGGTGTGGCACGACTCATGTAACCTAAGCTTACAGCCCGAGACAGAGCTGATCTGCTGCCCTAGTATGCTTCAGATCAGTGTCCTAGAAGCCCGGGATTCTCGATACCATCCCTGAATGATAACAAACGCCAACTACTGCCTATCAAGTGGGCTCATAAAGACCTGTTAACGTATCAGACGACCATTATTCGGTAGGCATTCGGCCCTGGTCCAACTCTGGCTGGCTAGCCGACACAATACGACGCTGGCCGGCTGCGAGGTTACTCAGGTGGCAGGCAGAGCAGGGGTGTCTGACACAGTTCAGCAAGGAGACAGTCGCCGGGGGACACAGATTCTGCCACGCACGATGGGAGAAACAGTTGTTCTAGGAGCCAATCAACACTTTACTTGAGTAGCCGTGCTAAATGATATTGTCAAGCGTGATTATAGAAACCAACTCATCGGTAATCGAGGTTGGGAGGATCAAGTCTGGAAGAATGAGGTAATTGAGCTCGGGCAAACCCGAGTTGCTGAAGTGACACCCCCGCACCTGATGCTTGAAGATATGTCAGATCCCCCCAGGTTTCCCAATGACACCTCCCCACCCTTATCTAGCCAGGATAAGTTGAGGGAGAACTTCCCTGATGATTCAATACACAGTGCCATACATTGCAGGCTATGGCAGCAGTTCGTCTGATCGTCAAGCATGGAACAAGTGAGAGGCCTGTCTATCACCAGGTACCCGCCAATTAAAAGCAATCGCTCACAGCCATAAGGGCAACGCAATAGCATCCCGTCCCCAGCCTGGTCGGAACCATGTCGGTCGCTTCCGCTGTCCTTATCAGCATTGCATCCAAAGACCAATCGCCGACCTGGACGAGATGCTTGATCCCGACCGATATGTAAGCGAGGAAATCTCGCCACCAGTCGTACGATCTCAGGGCTTGTACTTGATATGGACACTACTACTGACTGTACTTGTATGTGGAGGATGAATGAATTATGGTGAAACTACAGAAGCTTCTCAGCCACTCTGCAAATCTAACTAGCAAATAAACCCACGAAACGCCAGAATGTACAGCTTCCTACATGCGCCTGCCTGCCTTACCAGCCACCGATACCTTTGTTTTTTTTTGGGGGGGGGGGAGGGGGGAAGATCGCCAAAAATTCAGATAAGTCGGAATCGAATAAGCAAAAGAATAATAAAGGAAAAGATTATGACCGCACACGCTTAAGTTCGAAAATATCCCGATTTATTTATCCCACATCCGGTCGCCCCGTGGCACCCTGGTGCCCCTGATGATGACGGGGATGGTATTGCGGGTGCTGTTGCTGGTGGTGCTGCTGAGGATGGGGATTGCCGTCCATGTCCACACCGAACCCGTAACCCTCTTCAAGCATGGCCGAGAGGCCTTCGAGGACGGGCATCGTCGAGTAATTCCAATCAATCCCGAAAGTAGATGCCGTATCCGGTGGCACACTGGTGTCTGCGCTGTCTGGTCGTAGCCTAGCCACGGTGCCAGGATCGGCACCCCAGGCTGTCCCTCCCGGTGTTGTGTCGAGTGGCGGAAGCGCACCTGCAGTCGAGAAAGATGCTGCAGCCAACTCCTCCGGTACGCCCGTCGAAGAATGGTCCGTTGGAGCCGGCTGGACTTTCATACTACTGCCTGTCTTCCATGCGCTCTCCCATCTCTTGAACATCTCGTAGCTGGACTCGACCGCCTGGCTGGAAGCCTGGACTTGGTTGTTTCCATCCTCCATCCTTGCAATGGCGTGCTCAAACGCTTCAATGAGCGATGCGTCGAATCGTGCCGAGGCACCCCAGTTGGACATGCTCTTCAGCATCTGCAAGCCCTCCCACAGGGGCTGCCGCAAGTAATCCGTCCTGTTGCGCTTGGCCAGAAACTGGGAGAGGATGACAAGCAGCGCGATACGGAGAGTGCTGAATTCGGTATACGATGCTCGCGCGAGACCCATACTATTATTCAGCAGGCGGCAAGTGTCCACGACGAACAGGGCCGCGTCGACGCAATCGGCCACCAAGAGCTGGCGTCTCTGCTGAGAAGTCTGCGAGGCAACCTTTGTCCTGGGGCTCGGTTCGTCTGTGGCCGAGTGGGAGGAGGAGGGTACCAGACTATCGGTTGGCTTGTTGGTTGGTACAATGAAGAGTCGTCCAGCATACATGCGTACCATGCAAAACTCAAGGCGTAGATGAAGAGCAGCACGTGGCACGGGCATGCCCGCCATGAGCCCAGGATATGACACATTATCAGGAAGACACTGCCACCATTTGTGAAGGTCTTCCTTTATCTTGACCAGCCTTGTCAGGACATCAAGTGTGATCTGTTTATTTTGCGTTTTGAAGCGAGCACTAGAGTCATCTAGTTAGCGAAATGCCCAAGGTGAGGGTGACTTGGTAACAACTCAAACTTACATCTCTTTCGAAACCTGTCCAAGAAATTCTCCCAGGTGCAGAGTCGCAATTAAGAAGGACGTGTTAGTCGGTGGAGAGCCGGGCCAGATCTCGGGCCTCTCAACAGGCCAGTCGGCATCCATCTCTCCGCTAGAGATAGAAAGTGGTCGGCCATGAAGGGTACCAACTCGTCTAAACAAGTCAGCCACGACGACTCGGGCGGGAAAGGATACTTTGCTTTTGGCTTTGGGACGATGAGATTGGTTTGTACATACTTTTCCAGCAGATATAGAGTCCACCATACTCGGTTCCTCGTTTCGCTTGTATAGGGATGCAAAGCCTGGTCCGGGGCCTTCCTGTGCATACCGTTTTGTATTGCAACCTTTGAGGCGAGATTCAAGTAAACCCAGGATATCCCCGAGGGGTCCAAAGGCAGTGTGTAGAGCCCAATGAGAAGGCATGCTTGGACACTCTCAAGCGACGCTATCGTGATGACGTCGGGGAGTAATCTGCACGCATCTTGATATAGAGTGACGCCAACATTATCCTCTGAAAACATATTTTGGTCTTCCCTACCGCCATTGCTTGTTCGACAATCCAGATAAGCGTACTGCGTACCAACCGCAAAAACCATGAATACGATGCAGAGAGTCGGGACATCTCTTTGGGTGAGTGATGAAGGGCTATCGTAAATAACATCCAGCTTTCTATTCAGCCATGTCCGATCAATAAAGAAATAGTTAGACTCGGCGTGGTTGAAAAAGACCCGTGTGAGGAAGTCGGCAATGCCGCGGGGAGGGCAACTTGATAGTAGCTTGGAGGCATCGGAAGGGCTCTGGAGCTCCTCTATGCGATAGAATTCCCTGATCTTGGGAGCATCGGGGGCATCCTACAGGCATAGTCAGCAACGTGCGCATGTCAGATACCTGAGGATGGCTATAAGACAGAGATAGAAGGTAGACAGGGTTAGAGGTGACGAACAGTTCGATAGGGTCCGGATTGGTCAATCCAATTTTTGATACGCATGGAAAAGTTCCAATGGGAAAACTCTCCGGAGTAATCTGCAAGCACCTGATCAGCACGACGCGCCTGTATAAACCAATACGGCATATCAAGCAGCAAACAAGGTATGGGGACCCGAGGAATTGAGCTGCTAGTTACGTACGGGTGACATTATTCTCAAGAGGCTGGACGGTGATATCGTCGAGCTTCACGTCATCCGCACTGTCCGAGGAGCTGTAGGTAATGCCATCATCACGGGAGGCCTCGTGTGGAGGTAGGCCCTGACTAACAGCATCGGCTAGTCTCTTTAGGCCATCGGCATCCAGATTGATGTTGCCGACATAGTGGGAGACAATCCTTTGCAAATTACCTACAAGCTGCTGGAGTTCTTCGGGTGTCTGCTCGGAGATGGGCCGGGGCGTTGTTGTTACACCGGAGCCGGGGACAGTGTCCTCACCACCAGCTGTGGCAAATTTGGAGGTGGCCCCGGAAAATACACAGGGACGCTTCAGATGAGTGCAGCGGCGGCATGGCATGCCACCCTCGCACCTCTCTTTGACTTTGCGGCAGCCATCGCAGCTAGGGGACAGGACAATTAGCTGGCGAGCCAATGACGGGGTAGCTAATGCAGGACGGCATCTGGACGCAGTTGGTTGGGACAGGACAGGGGAAGACGCGCAGTCTACAGGGGAGCGGGTCCATTGGGGACAACGTGATGGCAATCAATACAGGGTAGGAACAGAGCGCGGGCAGGGAAGAGAAGGGAAGAGCAGCGAAAAACAAGGCCGGGCCAGGCGAGGCGAGGCAAGGCAGGCAAGTCGGGACGCCAGAGACTCAAGGCAATGGCCCTTGCAGACACCCGTGGACGCGCGCAGGGGCAGGCAGCACTCACGCTCGAGGGGCTCGACGCCGATTGGTATCATGCGGGCGGCGAGGCTTCTGATTCTTTGGCACCTCGTCACTCTCAGGCATCGCTGCTGGTCATCAGTCAGGGCATGAGGCGGTGCGGTCGGCTTCCAGGACAGTGTCGCATTCCCGGTTTACCCTATGGGGCGCTCTGCAGGTCCCGAGGCGGTGTCCGATTCGACCAAGGAGCAGACGAAAGGTCGGATTAATTATCCCTCACAGCAAACTTGCATCGCAGTCCTTGGACAAGGCACCCCTAAAATGAGAACCGAGGCCAAAGGAAGCCTCTGATCCGGATGAGTCAGCAGTCGCCCCGCTGCTCTTTCCCCGCAAATCGGCCGCAGCGACTTTGATTGCTAATGAATGGCTTGTCCTGAAGCCTCGCTCGCTCCTTCCGCCGAGAGCCGCCATTGCTTCTGCCTGAGGCCTCACTACCCTATAGCTCGCTCACAATCTTCCTGCTTTCATGCTCCGCCTTAGGTAGACAGTTCATCCAAATATTCTTCTCTTATGCGCGTAAAATAATCATTCGAGTGTCTGTTATTATTCATCACAACCATTTTCTCTATGCCTTCCTCTGGCGATGTTGTTGACACCTCGTACTAGGGCGATTCGTGCCAAGGCTCCCAGTCCCAACAACCTCCTTTCTCCATTCAAATGCCACTCGAGTCCCGCTCACTTAGGTTCTACGTACCTACTATGATCCAAGCGGTCGATCATACAACATAAACAGACATTCGTCTAGCTGGGCCGCGCGCTTAATTCGGCTAAACGAAGGCCGAAAGAACGTGAATGCTAACAAAAACAAGGATCTTATCTGATCAGATAATTAATTGACATCTCATCAGCACATCCATGTTCGGTCTGCTAACTTCCGCTAAATAAAATGAGGGCTTCCCCTGTTTTTACTTTGTTTTACTCTTCCTTTCTTGTTTCCAGCAGCTTGGCTATCCTACCACCATGACGCAGCTTCGCCCATTTGCATCTACTCCTGTCGAATCCGCCGAGAGCTGGAAAATCCAGAGCCCAGCTGGCGAAGTCTACTTGATTCAAATCGGCTTTCCTCGCAGCTGGGGCGACAGCTCTTCACCCGATCAAGACCAAACCACTGAAGCCAAGATCCCTATCTTGTAAGTATTCCCTGTTTCTCTATGTTCCGCAGAGCGCGATGTTTATTTACATGTACTCTAGGTATCTTACTGATGGAAACTCGGTTTTCCTGACAGCGCTCGAGGCTCTTCACCGACGCCTCTGCGCGTCGCCCGCCCCCTTTCCGCAGAGCATCATTGTTTCCATTGGTTTCGACGTCCAGCCGCACTCAGATTTGCTCTTTGACAAGCGCAGAGGAAGAGACTTGACGCCTCCCGCGCCTGGTTGCGGCCCAAATGCAGGCGGGGCCGACGTGTTTGCAGACCTGATCCAAAATCGCGTCAGGCCACTTGTCCACCGGCGATTGAAGGAGCGCCGCCATGGTGCCGTCCCTGGAAAGGAGGCACTCTACGGCCATTCTTTTGGTGGGCTCTTCTCGCTGCATCTTTGCTTCACGAGGCCGTCCATGTTTGATACCTTCATCGCGAGCAGCCCGAGTATCTGGTGGCACGACAATTTCATCTTGCAGGAGGAGCTGGCATTCCGCCAACGCAAGAACGAGACTGCAACCCCGTCGCTCTGGCTATCTATAGGTGGGGACGAGCAGGACCCAGCCCGTCGGAGAGGAGAGACTGATGAGGGCTACGAGGCGAGGAAGAAGAGACACAACCAGAGGCAGATGATCACCAACGTCACTGAGATGTATGGACGTCTTCAGCAGAGTGACACTTTGCAGAATCTTTCCTTCAAGAAATACGACGGGGAGGATCATGGGACCGTAATTGCGTGTTCCGTTAGCCAAAGTCTAGCCAACTTTTTCGAAGATTGGCCATTTGTAATCTGACCGTTGAATTGAGTAGGGGTATATAGAATTATAGACATCCAAAAACATATCTGTCCTTCCTCCCACAGGCACAGCATATTCCACTATGATTAAAAATATCCATGTTGATCAAGGCTGTAAGAGAGGCCACCTAGACCTTATCAGGTCCAGCCACAACCTTCTCTGTTGCATGGCTTCTCTCCTCGCTTTCTTCACGCTCCCGCTGCTGGCGCTCATGCTCCTCCTCCTCCTTCTCGTTAGCGGCTAGATCCACATTCTTGATGAACCACATGGCAACGAGCATGGGTATCAGCACACACGTTGACGCAATGGCCAAGAGCTTCTGCGTCTCGCGATAGGCTTGATCAATAGCAGCGCGCTCGTCTGTACCTGCTGCGTACTTCTGCGCTACGACAATCGAGCCAAAGATCTTTGTTGCCTGCGCCTTGGATTTTTCTGGCAGGTAGGAGGTCAATTTCGGCAGAAGGTTGGATCTCCAGATGGCCCCGGAAATACTAAAAGCACAGTACACGTTAGTCAAAAACATTCGTAAATTACCCGCCGGGCTTCTTCATCACATACCTCGTGCCGATGGCTCCTCCCAGATTCATGCTGGCGAAGAACACAGCTGTTGCAATAGCGACCTCATCTCGCTCTACAACCGCCTGGACGGCAACTTGGGCAGCTGTTTGGTAGAAGCCTCTGCCGACACCGACAAGAGCCTTTGCCGTGACGAAGGAGGCCTCGTTGGCACTCCGTGTTCCGTCAATATTGACGAGGTAGATTTGCAGACCTTGTCCTAGGAGACACATGGGCACACCAACCAGAACCCAGAGCTTGGCTCTCTTAGTGTAGCGCATGCCAATGGCGCCGACCATAGAGGAAATCTGGAAGGCAACTCGAAGGGAATTACTGTGAAGAACAGCTGTCAGAATCGCTAGACTGATATAAATAGCAGGGGGGTAGGTTGGGGATTTCTTACTCGATTCTGGTCGAGTGACCGGCCGAGTAATGGCCAGCGACCTGAAGGTAACTTGGGAAGAACACCGCGAAGAGAGAGTAGTGCATGAAGTCGAAGCAGGACATGACGCAGGCCGCAATGATGGTCTTGTGCTTCACCAGACGGAAGGGAATGAAAGGCACCTTGGCAAACCGAGCATCCCAGACGAAGAAGGACACGAACAAAACGGCCCCCACCACAACCATTGCAATGAAATTGCCCTTGCCCCATGCTGCACTGTTTTGGGAACCCGTGAGAGATACAGGGACCAAGATGAGAGAAAGGCCGGCAATGAGCAAGAGGCATCCGAGTAAATCAAGCTCGTGCCAGATCACGACGTAGAGCTTTCGCCAGAGGGCGTCATCTCCACGCACGTTGCGGAGAACCTTGGGGGCGGTCGCTTCCTTGACGTCTAATACTTTCCTGTCCTTGAGTTTCCGGACCAAGAGCGTGCCAAGCAGCGGGATGGCAAGGACTGGCGTGACGATGGCCCACATTCCATAACCCCAGCGCCAGGTGGAATGATCAAGGAAAGCCTGGGCGACAATGGTACCGAGATAAAGAGTGGGAATAGCGCTGAGGGTTTCTGGGAGAGAAAGCCAGATGCCTCTGTTTCGAAGACCCGTCAAATCGGCAATGAAAATTTGCTGGGTGATGCCGAATCCTACACTTCCAATGGAATCGAAGAGACCTCCGACCTATTTATTTATAGCACTATTAGAACCGAGATAAAAAGTGTGGGTTGCATCAGTACTGACAAAATAGGTTTCAATATTGGTACATGCTGCAAGCAAGACCAAGGACAGGATGGAAAGAAAGATAGAGAACGTGAAGAGCTCAAAGCGGCCAAACATCTGCAGAGATTATGTCAGAACAGAGCACATTCTACCTGGAACGCAAGGAGAATTTACGTCAGAGAGACGAGCAATTATCGGATAGGCGAGCAACCCAGCAATTGTCTCAACCACACGGGAGGCACTCAGGAGAGAGTGCCCCTTGAACGAACTTGTCGCATACGCACTGTAAGTGCTCGTCGAGTACTTGTTGAAAGTGTCGATAAAAGTAAAGATATAGATACTGAGAGACTCAAGTTAGCCAACGGCACAGAGACACCTCGATGTCGACATGGTGCCACGTACCCGACAAACGCTGTGATGACCCATTTCTTGCCTGCTCGCTTGAGCATGTCCGACTGGACAACACCAACGGACTTGCCATTTTCCTGCTTCGGCCGATCCGGCTCGCTCTCGGCGCTGATGGAAGTCATATTGGAAGTCTGAAGGGCAGTAATGTTCACAAATGATTGCCTAAGCGGAGATGTGGATGGAGCGTGCAGTTGCTGTCTTAAATATCTGCATGTGTGTCCATAGAACAGGGATCCTCAGGTCCCCTAAGGCGAATCGGAATACCGACAATGGCGGCACCTAGAACGCAAAGAAAATTTCGGTTCAGCGAGCAGGAGAACAGACCACGACCAGGGTGCAAGCCCTCGGCAATCCGCGCAAGCACTCTTGGCCCTGGTGCATAAGTTTATTTGGTTGGTGGCCCGGGTTGTAATCTAATCTAATCAGATCCGCATTTTCACTGCAGGATTTGAGCTCATCACGCCACGCCGCGGAACAGTTCCAAGTTCTGGCTCGTGGACAGGCCCCTCTCAAGGCCCAGCTCACCTCCCCCCCCCAGACACTGTTCCGCCATCAAACAATCAATGCCGGCACCGGGCTGCTGTTCATTTGCGTAAAACCGGGGCGTTTTGAGACTCGACAAGCTTGTCTTTAGTCGACCCGCTGCTCAAGCTACAGTAGACGAAATTCCTCATTGGGCCAAAATCGCCGAGCCGTCTTCGCGGGAGTGGCACCATTAACCTACCTTTTGTTTCTTCATTGGGCCCTCGGGAACCAGGATGCCGATTAGATGTTGTTTTGCTCAAGGCTACTTCCAGTTCATTGTCGTAAGCGAGCCGAAACCGTCGCGTGGTCACCAGAATTTGATACTTGGACTGACGATCAGGCAAGTAAGCGCATGGTAAAATGGCGCACGCCCTTTGCCACGCGTTCACGAATATACCGAGAAAGATTTCCACATGGCAATTGCCCCTCATATACTCCTAGATCTATCCTGTGATGGCTCAGTGTCTCTATGGGTGTGTATATTTGCAAAAATGAATCAATATTGTAACGCCGTATATCCGCCTTGTCAGTTCCGCTATATGCATGCAAATGGTAAATCCCAGTCCACCGTAAAGCTCCCTCCCTGTGCGATCTATGATACCCCAGCCGAATCCATACCCATTCCACGGTCATGGAATTCCGCCCCTGCTTCATCGTGTCGTTCGTTCAATGCCTGGCCAAGGGCATAGTCTCCTCCCCAATCGATCCACCTTCAGCGAACTTGTACGCCTTGAATTTCCTCGCCGGCAGCCTCTTGGTAAACAGGTGATCAATCTCCATTACCGACCGATCGTTGAGCTCCGGCATCAGGAAGAAGACCAACGCTAGGGCGATGAGGCAGAAAACCACGTACACGAACCCGTACTTGGCGCCCAAGCCCAAGCCGTCCCGGGCGTAGATCTGGGACATGACACCTGACAAAACGGCTGATAACGCCTGGTTCGCCACACCTCCGATTCCCTGTGTCAGAGCGCGAAGCTGGAGCGAACTGAGGGCTCCCAACCAGGCATAGCTGGCCGGCCAGACACCCAAGCCGGCAAAGACGAGAACTCCAATGATGGAGCCCGCGGCGACCCACTGGGGGATTTCTCCACGCCAGAAGCCGGAGATTCCCATTGCTGTCCAGCAGATTGTGACCAAAGAGAGCGTGATCAAGCTCATCTTACGCATGCCCACGCGGCCCATCAGCCAGGCTCCAAGACCGTTTGCTATCATTCCTGCTGCCAGGCCGCCGATGAGGGCCGTGGAAGGGTCCTTCATGCCGAGATCTGTCAGGAAGGGCATGCAGTTGGCCAGCATGTCCAGGCCGAACAGAGGCGGCATGATGGCGGCTAGAATACTGAGACCGGTTCGACGTAGGTCAGCCCCCCTGAAGCAGGAGATGTATGTGGCGTGAGCAGTGAGAGCCATGTCTTCGAGCACCACGGCGCGGATTTTCTCGAGAGCGACAGTTGGGTTGGTCTTCGGGGCGAACAGCCGTCTGGTGGCCTTGACCGCTCTGGCCTCCAAGCCTCGACGGATTAGAAAACCTGGGCTTTCGGGCATGATGATCGAAGTGATGAGCCCTGCGACGGCCACGATCCACTGCACTGCGAACGCCATTTGGTGGGCCATCTTCTCCGTCATGTCCTGCGTCGCGCCGATGAGCCCGGAGCCGGCAAGCTGGCCAAAGAGGGTGAAGGCAGGAAACATGGCCATGGCTGGGCCCTGAAGAGACCGAGGTGCGACCTCAGACACATACGCTTGGCATGCTGTCATGATTGCACCGTTGCTGATACCCGTAATGATGATGCCGCAAGCATATAAGATGCGCATCGTACTTTTGGCATCTAGTAGAGAGGAGAAGAAGAGAAATCCAACCCCAATCCCTGAGATCACACTGCCAGCCATGATGGTGAACTTGCGGCCGATTTTCTCCTGAATCCAGCCCCCTACTAGGAACCCGATACATTGTCCAATTGGGTTCACAGACTGCCAGATGGTGAGCCAATCCTTGGGTATGTAGTATTCGTCGTTTAAAATTTCGCCATAAGCCATCATGAACGAGACACAGCCAGTGATGGCTCCAGCAATAATAATTGTTAAGCCCATACCGGCAATTATGAAGATGATGCCGACAAAGTAGCCGACGATCTTGGGGTGCTTTTTAACTGCTTTCCCGAAAGGCAGATCATCCTCGAGCTCTGTCGCAGGCGTCTTGAAGTTTGTTTTCGTTTCCGACTTCTGGTTGTCATATTCGTACATTGACGAGTCGTAACCTGTATCAACATTATGGATGAACGGCTGGCTGGCATTGAGCGAGGAGAGTTCAACTGCGTCAGGACCCAGAGGCCCTGCCGGGTTCGGCACGAAATCGTACCGGGACATTTCAAATCCTTCTTCAACTGCTTGATGCTGGAGGCCAATAACAAGTGGGAAGTTACCGTTGTCGCAGGATCACCAAGGCCTATGAGTCAGATCTGAGATGGTATTGGATTGAAAGCCCTGAGCTGAAATATGAGTGCCCTTGGGTATACGTGCACGAGTTGGAATGGGGTTGAAGAAAAGAAGTGTAAATCCTTAGAGTAAATGAGAACGATTTCCGCAAGAGAAGTTAGATTCAATCTATATTTATAAGATGAGCTTGATTGGCAACAGGAGACAGATGCCAAGGTCAATGAGGCGATGGTTTTGCGACGGCCTCGCTTTCGGGAGGGCCTCGCCTAGCCACATGAGAGGTAGTAGCCTGCATAGCAGACGCTGATGGCCGCGATTGGTCGTTCCTGGGCAGTGGCTGCAACAGTCGCGTAACTGGGACCTTTTGGAGTTTCTTAGCATTGAAAACCACTGACGGATCTGAGGCCATGGCCACTGACAGGTTCAATCCCAAGCCTCGGAGGGTTCCGAAATGGGAATGAAAGTTGCGAGCTGGTGGAGCTGATCGACCTTTCCACTCACGCTACCTCAATCTGACAGACTGATCTACAGTGCTATGTGTGTCTGCCGGTGACTGTTTCTCAATGAGGCAAAAGTAAGATCAAGTCTGCCCTGAGACTGATACCTATTAATAGGTTTGTGGCCTTAGAAGCCCTCTTTCTCCCTACAAGGAGGTTAAGCGACCCCCTTTCATCGTGCTCGTATGCTGACAGCTGCTGTCATACCCTTGTTTGAGTGTCTCGTCCATGCCCTCAGGGAGTAGGATTCTTGCGAATTACTATGCCGATGGTGTCAAATAAATGTAGAATCTTTTACCATTCTCATGCAATTTTTGATCTTCATGCTGTATTCTTTTTTCCAGCGACTCAAGTTTGCCGCTCGACCTTCATGTCACAAGAGGGCTCATTGTGCCCACTTTGTTATTAATATTTCTTTAGTTTTTTCTAAGCTGGCTTACAACGTGATGAGGAGATGTAGAAGCCTCAACCCTGAATTGCAAGACATGAATAAACATGTCACTATGTTAGTCTCAATTAATACTACAAAGGCAGATAATATTTACTTTATCCATCGCTTCTGCTACTCTTCGAATCCTAGCTTAGGGCTGGTTACGACGGAGGGCTTGACGAAAGACCGAGACACGGCTCCTGCCCTAATGTCATAATCATGCCTCCTTGGATGGGAGTAATACGTGGTGATTGTCTGGAGGCCGATCGAGGCATCAATATTCAAGGTTGCTCCTTCAAGTTGGATCGTGCTCTCTGTTAAGGAGAACTTGTCTACGGCCGGTCGAGAGATCGCATAATTAACTACAGGGCAAAAACTTTCCCTCCTAGGTAGCTCTGGTTAGCTTGGGTTTCTTACTTAGGTTAATAATTGGGTCTTTAATCACAGCGGTGTGATACTTTCAGATTGGATTGCGACGCCGTGAGAGGCAGCGTGACGCCTCGCGTCAACCTGAGAATCAAACCTAACCCTGTATCTCGAATGTCAAATACAGGCAACCTGCGACCCTAAACTGTATGATCGAGCAAGCTTGAAGCCAGAAATTTAAGTCTTGCCGGCGGGTGTATCATAATTGTTAAAACGAGGCGTGTCGGTAGGATCTCTTCCGCTTCTGCAGCCGGCTCAGCGTGATGCTCCATCTTGGAGAAGAAGCCGAATGCTCACTCATCTTTCGGATATTCGCCCAGGGTGCGGGCAGACTAAAAGGAACAGGGACGGTTCAAAGGGCGGGGAAAAAGAAGATATAAAGAGGCCATTGAAGGGGGGAAATTCTTTCTTTCGGTTACTGAATCTTAAAATGTAGATTTTAAGATACGACTCTACCGAGCACCTGACTTAGGATGAAAGCAGAGGGCCAATGAATCTCGTCCCAGTCTCTTACCGCTCAAAGATGCAAACTGTACCCGTAAGTCTCCGTGATCTATTCGTCTTTTGGATTCTAGTCAAAGGATTGAACAGACAAAACGTACCAGCATCCATCTCCGTGTAGGTGTTTGAAGCTTAACCTAAGGTAGGGTGCATATTTATCATTTGAAAATATTGAAATAACTGAATGTGAGAAGCCAGTCATTGATTTTAAGGCCAATCTCTCAGATTATGCATCCGACGTTCAACAGACCGCAGCGCCGCGAGAAGTGGAGGATACGTCCGACTATATAGCACCTACAACACTGTCGCTGGGGTCTATGCAAAAATAGCTTCGGTGTGAAATTTTAACAGCGGTAGCATCAGATTTGACTGCGGCGATGTTCCAATCTATTGTTCTAGCGCTTTTATCTACATCGGTGCCGAGACTGCTGTATCGTGCGAGGTGTACTGGAACTATGCCGCCCTGAGTCAGTGCCATGATGAGTACTAGACTGACCTACACACATGAACAGCATCAGAGGAACCAATTGTTACGATGGCAATTGCAATGGATACAACTTGTTCAGTCCCCGGGTGCTTCTCAGAACCAGAACCACGTTGACAACCACATACTCTTTGCCAACGCCATCCACTTTGGCTTCTATGTAAGTTGGATAGGACGTTGTAGTTAAATAGCACTAGTAGCCGGTACTTGTTACTTGGGCAAAATTGAGATTCAAACTTAGGACACAAGGGATTATGCTGTATCCGTGTTTGAAAATGTCTGATGTATGAATTTAGATCCCCATTGGCATTAAATGCTCAACGACTTCTCTTGGACCGATAGAATGGGCCGGATATTGAAAAATCCTCCTCCTAGTGCTTTGATATTACGCACCACTCATTTCTTCTGACTGCATTTGAAAATTTCTAAAACTACATAAAATTGCCCACTCGTATCTTCGCTGCCGTTGTATTGTGTGTTGGCATGCTCTTGCGTTGTGAGCAATGCCCCCTTTGATCTCTAGGAGTCTCGCAGGGATTGACTGCCGTGAAGCCATGAAAGCGATGGCATAGCAACATTACGAAAGGGATAATTCGCCTTCTTGATCCCATACACCACCTCCATCATGTAAGCTTCGATGGTAATATATCATAATCTTGAGAGTTTCTATCTCTGGCATGCTATACTACTCGAGAAATGGATTTGAAGGCTCACATATTTTTCGGTTACTATAACCAAAACTATCAAGTATTTTATGCCTCCACCAAAAGAACTGTGACCGCCCAGTGGCATCAAACGAAAATTCCAAAGAGAGTTAGAACATAATCACTTCCTGAGAAATTAGCTGACCGATCAATTTTTTATTGTGGCTTGAAGATCGAGAGGTAAGATAAACAAGATAAGTAAAGGGAGACTTGGAAAGAGGAGATGAGAGTTTGGCGGTTATTAGAAGAGTAGGGCTGATGACAATTATTCGTTGTATTGATATTTCGGGTCTGGCCTCTGCTATTGCTATTTTTAACTGTGTGAGCCACGCCACTCAAGCACTATCACCCAAGGCTGATGATGATAGGAGAGATGAGAATTTACGATTGCTTGTAAGGTAGCAGAAGACGTTTCGGAGCATGTGACATATGAAGGCACGCTTGCCACAGCACGCGATAAACAAGACATAGGGGAAAAGCGCTCGAGACTTAAGGACAACACCGAGAGGGCAGCAGAAGGATATAGAAGCTCAGAAATCAATGACCTACAGAGTAATCACTGATATCTATATATAAATGGCACCAAGCCTGCATGTTGGACAAGACACGGTTTGTTATGTCCTTTTTCATATGTTGGCGAAAACATTATGACATCTCCCGATAAGGCGATCATAGAAATTGAGGGGCGTGATCCGGACTACGAGATAGATAGACTCTTCCAGACAGTGGTGTGGTGGCTCCGGATGAGGAATGTGGAAGCGTGACATTCCAAACTAGTGTAAAGCTAGAGTCAATATATTGGACCGTTGGCGATATCTAGTCAAGTGGGTGACACACCTAAGCACTCCCTCAGGCCACCCTTACATAAATACTTGATCGGCTATCTTTAGTAACTGATTATAGCATTACTAAGACAAGGATGAAGGAAAGAATGCTAGGATATCAACAACCATAATCTATTATCTCTACATAATATCAAACATTCGATTAGAGATTAATGTATTTAGTTAGGTGGTAATTGGTGTTTGCTTTGGTCTCAATTAGAGTGTGCTATTGCCTGTGTCTAGTCTTGTGGAGAATGCTTGGATGGGATGGAATTAAGTTAGCCATGACACCCAGACGATCCACAAGAACTACCCCGTAGATATCAGTCTAGTAAAGAACGAAGCGACTAGTCGAATTCAAAAGAGGTATCAGGCTGTCTCTTTGGGGGGTCCATCGCTTTCGCTATCTCGCCGTGAATCGAGAGCGAAATGATCTCATCTTACACTTCGGGGTTGATACGGCATGTTGAAGCCTTTCTTTCCCTTTCTTCTTTAATCTGGGTACGACAACTGACGATAAGGCAGAAAAGAGGATTAGAGGTGCTCATGATGAAGATCATAAGCCGAGAGAGAATCTCAGGTGGGAGAATATGGGCGGCCATCGGAATGCAATCCGAGATAGATGGATTGAACCTGGGATTCACACAATTTCCACCCAACGAATGCAGTCACACTAGCTGCCACTATGACTTCAGTATCCTTCGTTCTTGCTTTAGGGAAAAAGGTTGATGTTTCTTTTTTAAACTATACGTTTGATAATTATATGGGTGCCCGAGGAGGAAGCCGATGGTTGTGGGGAGTGGGGCTTGGGCTTCCTCAATAGAAAGATCTATCAGACTACAGATGCTACATAAACGAGTTGCTGAAAATGGCGATAGATCAAGATATGTTTGCCAATAAATAAGAAAATCCAACCCGGTGGAAAATATTAAACGAAGACTCTCCTCATGGTGACGTTGCTAGGCCATCTTATGATTCCCTGACGGCAGAGATGCGACCACTCTGCCCAAGAAACGAGAGAAGTACACCACATCAAAGATCTTACGTGGTTTGAAGAGAGTTCTTAGATTTTAATATTGGTCCTACGAAAGTTTGAGCGCATTCATGTTATTCTAAGCACACGGGCGCCCCCGAGGGTCTGGCAAAAGAGGCCGATAGATCGAGTAGGTAGCTGGAGGTAGAAATTGCTGGCATAGGAATAATGAAGGAATGAACTTGGGTACGTAGACCCCACGCCAAGCTTTCCTTGGGGGCACAATACGCGACAAATGAAGAATTACCTGGCGGGTCTAGTTCCAACGTACCCAACAGACCTTCAGTGCGGCGCAGTTCGTGCAGGGGAGAAGGACGGTGGGCATCGTGTGACTTTTGTTGGCAGATGATGTCAAGAACAAATGCAACGAACAAGATTACTGAATCAGGAGGCGCCTCGATCCCAAAATCCCCATGTAAGAATTTAGAGATCATTGCCTACGTGTATGCTGACAGAGCGACATCGTGGTTCAGCGGGCGATTGGTTGGATTGAATGCCAACTTGATATATCCTTTTCACCTAACATACTAAAAGTGGCAGACAAGTCGCATATGCTACACGTTCGGCGCTTCGGTAAGTCAGGCTTGCATATTCTTATGCTGGCTATCACAACTATCTATGCTGACTTTCCTCTATCTCCGAACCTAAGAGCATGATTCGGGCGTAAAAAGCTAAGATTCTAAAAAGGTCTTTGACTAGGGAATTTTGCTCTTTACGGTGCTCATAGGCGAATTATGCGTTGTCGATCGCAGGAGGGCGTGGCACTTGTTGACATCTCACCTCAGTCCCTTTTTGCCTGTATCAATGCTAAATCGTACCTAAAGGGAAGAGATGAATTTTGAGATGAGCAAAGTTCTCACGAGATCAAAGACGATAATCGCGACTCTCTACCGTGTTACTGAGCTAACACTCGGCGGTCTCGAAGTTGCCTTAAGGAGCTCTGATAATCAATACTGAAGCGAAGACTTCGAAGTTGATATTATAATTTCAAATATATATGTATGAAAAAGGCTCGCCAAAACTTGGCTCTAGTACTGATTGTCCGATGAGGCTTTGGATACCATGAAGGCAACATGATCCTCGTCTTCAATGTGTGATCTTAGGCTGAAACCCTTTGCGGCATTATTGGCTCGCTTCCGAGGTTGATTATCCGCTGGCTTCTTATCTACAGTTACCTCCAGGCGTACGCACTTAGCCGAGAAACGGGCGGCCCCTTCTTAGCCTGTATTGCATTACAAGTTGGTCTTTGTGCCAAAGTCTTTGTTGTCCGGCGATAGTGAATCCCAGACACGAAATCAAAGATTTCCACCATCATAAATTGAAACTTGTTTTCCGATGGGGGTGGCTCGACCCAACCGAATATGCATTATGAACAAACCTCGGGTCAGATTTGTCATTGGTGCGTTTAGTTAGGAAAGCCGTAAAAAATCTCTCACATTCTTTTTGAGTAGCTTTGCATCTCACATTACAAGCCACCGCCATGTATACTGGCGAAAACGGAGCCGCTTTCATTTTTTCTCCTTTTGTTGCTTCCTTAATCGTCGGCTATCGCGTTGCTGGTGAATGTGGTATGAGTTGTGAGGAAAACCTGGCGAGCTCCTAGTGGTTGATCCGGTTCCAAGGAAGCGTTAGTGGGTACATGGGAGGGTTAAGTCCGGTGATCCAAGTGAAAAATCGTGGTCTAGAAGCGCCAGAGAGGGGAGTCGCTTTGGATTTGGGTTTGACAAGTCAATGACGTGGATTTTTGAGTTGGGGTCTTAACACGGTGAGTCACAGAAGCAGAGAGGTCATTCTTCTGTGCGCGGAAAAGCCCGGCTCGTTACACATGGCTTTCTGAAGGCTGCTGCGTATAAGTAATCATTTATCCTGATGCCAACTTGCGAGTCGATAGGCCGTGTGCAATTAAGTGACTCAAGCGAATAAGACCAGGCTTATCTAGGCCAGGATAGATCGAGGAGGGCTACCTACTTACAGGATAATGCAATCGAGCCAAGCCATGATCCAATCATTTACTCAGCGGGGTGGCGCTTGGCACGGTCTCAGCTGAGTTGGCTTGGCTGAAGGACGGGGTTCTGATTTGTCGCGGCTGCCCGGACTGGTGTGTTGCCCCGTGACTACACACATGCTAACACCTAGCATGGTTCTGGGCCGAGGGGTTTTTATTTATCAATGGCGAACCATGTTAATGGTCTTTGATGGCGAGGCGTTAGAGCAGAGTGTGTCCAAGCATGTGGCTGATGGGACCAGGGGGCAAGGATCTGTCTCCCTTCATGTAACTAACCCTGATCCCTCCGGGCCATCGTAGGATCCTGGCGGCGAACTGCTTCATTTGACAGGTGAGTTAGACGATAATAATACCATCGCCGGCCCACTTAAAAAAAATGCTTTCCGAGTGTGCGCCTATGGGTGTTCTGCGCGGCGCACGCGGCCTCGCATCCATCCGTATGATGTGATCCGATTCTGGACAGCACCGTATTACGGTGAGTGTGAACCGAGCGGGGCTGTGTTAATCAAGTGGCGGGGCTAAAATCATTCTCTCGATGTGCATGTGTGGCATTCATCATACATTATTACTACATTGCTTCTGGTTGCGTGCGTTGGCCTCCCTCCCTCCCTTGTTCATCCATACCTCCACCCCGGTCACCTCATGACCAGTCAGCTCAGCTTTCCTTCATCTCCCTAATCTCCCGGATCTCACTATCGACTGTTCCACTATCCACGGGTTGGCAAATGAGTCTAGCAGTAGAACTGTCTCCTTCTTTTTCATCCGTATTAGCCAGACATACCGTCTCTTGTACGGTTGTGCAGAGTAATGAGCTAAGATTTTGGCCGCGCGGAACTGAGTGAGCTGCGAAACTCTCTGCCAACTGGTCGGGCGCCTGCCACAATTTTTTATTAATCAGACACGTGTCGAGGCAAGACACCCCTTCGCCACACTTTACCCATCCATCTCTTCCGCAGTTCCTTCATCCACAGTATCATTCAAACAGGACGGGCTTCATACCCGGGAAACGGCCGTAAAAAGAAATCCCAGGGAAAAGATGTCGCTTGAAAAGTTATCGCCAGAGGTTCTGCAACTCATCCTCCGTTTTGCTCACCCGTCGGCGCACTTCTCTTTCGCCCTGACGTCCAAAACTCTATATGAAAACTCTCTCAACATCCTTGAAAGACATCGCGCGGCAGATCAAAAATACGCCATCACATCGGATATCAACCCTCTAAATACTATCCCAGACCTGCTAAGAAGCGCGTATGGATCCGGCGCTGACGGCATCGAAGCATGGCATGTGCGTGAGCTAGAGGTCTGGCGAGATAGGTCTTTGTGGGAGGAGTGGACAGAATGCGATCTTAGCACAGAAGGGAAAATCTCCTCTGAGAAAGATTCTTCCATCACGTCGCCCTTTTCATTAGGCGAGCAAAGAAAATTTCTTCACAACTCGCCGTGGGGCGAGGCTCTGTTTTTGGAGGGAAACGAGGAGCTTTTCGCCAGCGCACAACGCGAAATACGATCAGGCCAGGATGGCTTTCTGAAAATGTTACTGATCGCAGGACTTCCCCGTTTAGAAACTCTCAAATTTGTTAAAGACGGCAAGAAGCGCCCTGCTAGTTTTATATGGCTAAGCAAAGCCATGAAGCAAAGCATCAAGACCAACAGCTGGCCGCCGGGGCTGCAGTCCCTGCGCAAAGTCTACGCCGGCATCGCGGTCGACCTAGAATCAGAAAGCATCGCTATTCCAAAGGGCGGTATCGAGCTTGCCAGACTACTGCGACTACCAAATATCGAAGAGATTTATTTCTGCGATTTAGACCTGGTCTTCCCTGAATACTTTGACCCAGAATTATATGAGCGCGATCCGAGCCATCCGGAGGCGGGAACCAAATATGACAAGATGGATTACGACGATTACTGGGAGATGGAGGAGATTTTAGCACAACGCAAGACATCAACCGTCAAAAAACTGATTCTCGACAGAGTAGCGTCATTTGATTATGATGCTCGGGAGATCATCCTCGGCGCCCCCAAATCGCTTGAGTCATTTCTTGTCCGAGGCATTAAGAATTTTCTACCAACATATGATCATCCCCACACCAGATTTAACCAATTTCTTACGATCGTCACCGCTCTATCAAAGTATCAGAATCGCTCACTTCGGGATCTGGTCGTCTATGAAAAAGAACACATAGATGGAGACCCTCGATACCACCTCTATTCGCCACCGGAATTAAAGAACTTTAATCGTCTGCAGATGGTAAGCGTCTGCCTAGAGGATATGATTCCTACACCAACTTGGACACCAAATACAACCTGGAGCCGCGAGGTCTCGCTGCACAGAAACGATCCAAATTATCCGAGCTTGGTTCAGAAATTTATAGATGCTTTCCCCACAAGTATTTCCGCGCTGGCCTTTTGCAGTACTAAAGCGAACGTCTCATATACTGCCAACAAGTTAGACTACCTTGAGGATGGCTTGATAGCCATGATAGAATCAGGAAAGTATTCAAGCCTGACAGACATTTATATCGACGACGTTGAACGCCATTCACTAGAGCCAAGGACCACTATCGCATTTCGAAAAGCGATAAGAGTAGGACTTGAACGAGGTGTCAATATCCATACTCTCACCAATATCCAACTGTCAAATCACCAGCAACCCGTCTTTCCGGTTATGCCCGATAAATACTTCCTCGAAACGGGGCCTTTCGGGTTTCGAAGCCCTAAGCAAGTTTTCAACCCGTTAAGCGGAAGCTGGGCCAAACGTAGCTGCAGCGGTTGTGGCGCATGTCAGGCGTGCACTCGTGCATATACCCAGGATGCCTGGACTATTTTCAAAGCGACAGAAGCTAGAAGCTACGACTGAACATCTTCAATTGGCAGTCATCTTAATGATGTCAAGTTACATCGGCAGACAATTTTTGAAGTCGGAGGAAAGGTTGTAGGACGTCACTAGACTGGATTTCGGTTTGGGCTATTTTTGCTTGAAAGAAGGTGGCGAGCGATCAGGAAGGAGCTGGGGATGAAGCCGAGCGAAGGATTGATCGACGAGTAGATCATGGTTCGCGTTGGGACTAATCCTAGAGATTCTTAAACTTGTTTCGGGTTTTGGCGATGTCACGGCAGTGGATACGCCAAAACACCGGCTTTGATGGCGTTCTTGGACGAAATAACTGTGTTTACACAAGACTTTACAGCTTTTGATTTTGAGATGGCTTCGTATACCCTCGTGGGTTTCGTTCGTTCTATTTGGCTTGTTGCTGAGGGGGGTTTCGGGAATTCGCCTGCGTTACACTATCATGATCAATTATATCATTTGTCAAGGAGTCCGATTTCTCGAATGAAAACCTCTTGTTGTAGATGTAACTTACCGCCTGAATTATTATTACCAACATATTACCAAAAAAGGCCGCATGAAGTTCCAACAGCCGCACTTGGACAGGACGGAGCTACGTCCTCAATGGATAGAGGTGGGGTAGTATTCAGCCTTGGTTGCGATTGGCCCCCAAGCCAAATGCTTCTGATACGTCGTCATGCAAGCGAGGAAAAAATTATTCATGCAATCTTATTCACCCAATACGTGCCATCCGGCATGCAATGTGACGCTGATGGTGGGGTTGATGTGGACCGTAACCTTCCTGATTCGATATTAGGAATCCTTCCTGATGCACGATCGAACCGAAGTCGTTGTTTAATCAATACTCTCTGTATAATGGGCTTATATTTAGCAACCGAATATACGCAAAACTACTCGTGACTGTTAGTAATTGGCATGTGTTACTTTATTCTTCTGTTACGGCGCATACAGAGCACGTTGAGAGGCGTGCTCGCACAATATCAGGACTAATACCCCTGGCGAAAAGCTCAAACTGTAACCTTGAAAGCATATATGAAACAAAGCTCGTTCAACCATCAAGGATTCGCATTTCGTGACTTTGTCACCAATCTACTTTTGTTAAGATGTCATGCCTACAAGATTCAGGGCAGGGTCACTTCAGCTCTTCCTGTCCATTGTGCAACCCTAAGGCAAAATTAATCGAGCGCAAGATTACATATAGATTAGCATACTATTAATATCGATGAGTATTGTAATCACATGTGTAGTATAACTTGCATCTCGCGTATTCATTCATATGTCATAATGCAGCTCGAAATTGGGTATCATTGCTCTACGTATAGCATATTCTGTTATCAATTGTATGCAACAACAACGAGCTTTTTTTTTTTCAAGAGCCTCGTCAAGAGACTTGGGCCATCCTTGGTACTCTTCTCAATCACAATTTTAACTACAACTGCTAAACATCTTAGTGAAAGCGATTGGCTGTGTAATTCAAGGTGCTGTTGTTCCCAGTTCTGTTGTATCGCCTCTGCGACGTACAGATGTCACTTTTCTCCATAGACTTTGCGTGTCAGCAGATCATTAGTGGTTTATATATGCTTGATACTTGGGAAAGTCCTTGCTATAGTACAGAAAACAAGTCCCCATAAAGGTGAGATTGGGATCTCCCTCACCTAGATAATAATGTCTACGAGCGAAGAGAAATTAGCACATACACCCTTTTCGCTAAGGATTATTACATTTTTTTTATAAGAACCATAGCCTTGACTATTCAAGTGAAAAAAAAAAAAAAAAAAAAAAAACAATCTAAACATTCCATAACAGCTCAAATCTAAAGTCTCTAAAGTCTAATTATTCAGCTTACTCGGATTCTTGAGGTGATACATTTCGAACCGTACTTTGGATGTCTAGGAGCCAACAAGACGAAACGAGAGTCAGATCTGATTCCTGTTATAGGCGTATGCTGTATCACTCGTCTCAGCAAATCAAAGCTTGACAAGTATGTAGCTGTCATTCATGCAATGTAGATACGAGGATGGGTGCGATGCTGACTTGCATCCCTGTGACCCACCATGACTTCTCACCTTGTAGCAGAGAATATACCCATATTGGGCTAGGAGAAACGGTGCTGACTGCATAGCGATTCCAATTTCTTTCTTTATGACTCATTTTCCGCTTACCGTCTTATTTTGATATCGAGCACCTCATCGTGAGAATGAACAGAATGAAAGAATGTCGCCAATTAGGCGACAACATCGTAGTTACTAAGAGGGGCAGTTGTTGATTGTGTTTATTGATGTTTGAAAACCCCCGAAGGGTTTGTATTCGGTCTCGTTCAGAAGCATATCTGGGGTTCTTTTCTCTATATTCATATTCATTCTTCTCTTTGTAGCTATCCGTAAACTCATAAATACACATCTAAACTTTTACCGCCCTATGGTCTTGTAATAGTCTAAAGGGTATATTAAATAAGTAGCGACTAAGAGGTAGATAATCAAACGGTGTCTGGTAGGGGAGAAACATCCAGCCACGGGACATGCTTCATCACCTAGAACAAATTGCCCAAAAAAGAGTAGTTTTTTTCAATGAGTTATCCGGCCTCGGTCAACTAGGCTATATCATCAGTATACTCTATTAAGCTTTAAGAGATAGTAGAGGTCACCTTGTTCAACTTCCCCGGGTGATGTTGGGTCAGAGAGCTGCCAAACTTAGGTGTAAGAATCAAGTCTGACCATCATGATTAAGCAATCACCAGGTTTCGTGGTCTAGTTGGTCATGATTTCTCGCTAACAATCACCCGATTGCGCCGAGACGGTCCCCGGTTCGAGCCCGGGCGAAACCACACTTTTTGCCTATAGCGCTAACTGGTGTGTCAAAATACCATGACTTAGTGAGCAAGTCTTCTTTTTTATTAAGTAAGATCTCAACTTGAGGGAATAATTTCCCAGAACCCTATAACCCCGTCTTAAAACTCCATGGTTGAATTACGTTTGTCAGTTCCAAGAGCCTATTACAGAGTCATGTTCAGGGTCACAGTAGGGGAAAAAAGAAATAGGACAACAATCTAAGTCCAGTAAGTCGTACCGGAAACTGGTATACATATCTAGGTATAGGTATTGTTAACAAGTAGGTGGAACAAACACAGTATGTGAAGCAACGTGGCTATTGTATAGAAGTGACTCTTGTCATGACAGTGAAATTGTAGTCTCTTTCCGACGGGCAAGGAAAAGCCGTACACAGTATGTTGGTACCAATGGAACAAAAATGCTATAACGATTATGCCAAGTAAAATATAGCACTTCCGGCGGTTGCTCTACCCAGAGAAAATGGTCAAATGTATCAAAATGTGAATAGCCTAATAAATTAACAACAACGGAGAAATATGATCTTAGTCCAATACTGCTAATAGGGAAAATAGTAAGTATCTGCAATCCAACTTCGAGGATCAAACCACACTCCAAACATAAATTCTGTGTAACACCTCGCTTGCTAATCGTCAAAATCGGAAGGAAAGATAAATATGAAACAACATCGTCCAACATCAAGACAGTGAAAAAGATCACTTCTCCCACATATCAACAAGAACATCCATCCCTTTGGCCGGGTCAGCAATACCAAGCCGTGGCGTTGTATCATCAAGCCTGGGAAACTGGGGCTTCATTCCGTTGCCACCCATCGTCAACTTCATATCAAAGCGACGGAAGAGAATAGCTACCATACCATAGACCTGCTGCTTGGCCAACACGCGGCCGGGGCAGTAAGTCACACCGCCTCCAAATGGTCGGAAGGCGGGATGGCGATCCAAAGACCTGTTCTTCAAAAAGCGAGTGTGGTCAAACTCCCTTGCGTCGTAGCCCCACGCGCTCTCGTTCATGTGAAGTTGACGGGAAGGCATGATGATTGCGTGCCCAGGTTGTAATTCCTTGTTTCCAATAATTGTCTTTCGAAGCACTTTACGGCTGATGACGGCTCCGCCATAGCAACGTAGAGCCTCATTGAAGGCCGCTTCAAGGTGGGGACAGTTGGCAGAGAGATAGTTGATATCGAGAGTGCCATTTGGCCAGGCAGCTTCCGTCTCCCTCTTGACCAACTCCAGCAGGTTTTCATCATAGAGAATGTGAGCAATCACCCAGAAAGCGATGTTATGTTCATTTGCGTTGGCACTAAACAAGAATTGGTCAGCTCTGTAGGTAAAAGATTGTGTGAAAGGATTTATCAACTCACGCCCAGTACATAAGGAGTAGAACAGATGCACGCGACTCGAAATCAATATCGAAAGAATCCGATGCGTCCAGGACATTCTTAATAGCCCAAGCCTGTTCTGATCTCTGGCTTTCGGGAAGTTGGACGAACACGCGCAATGCATCCATGAGCTTCTTGCGTGGTGCTGTAACATCGAGGTTCAAAAAGGCCGGAAGTCGAAAGATAACCTGCCAAGCATGATCACCGAAGCTTAGCATGTTCTCGACAATATCTGAGTCGAGGTTGTGTAAGTGTGATCCGAATAGTGATCTTGTAGCGGCCTCGACCATCGTGAAGCGACAGAGGGAGTACAGTGAGATTTGTCTCCCGTTCCCGTTGGAAGATTTTGTACAGTAGTCCAACTGCCTCCACTGGATAGACTGATGTAGTGTACTCATGATATCATCTCGAATTCTATCCATCTTTTCTCCCGAGAGAAGCTGCCTCTTGAAGATATCCTCGGCCAGATGAATAAAGTTCATCCTTTCCGGGTTGATTGTCTCGCTGATCATCTTTTCATCATCATCTGATGGCTTGTGCCAAATCTTCTTGATGGCTTCCTTAGTAAAGCCAAAGCTGATAAGAAGCTCATTCAGATAACCATCAAATCCCAGCGAGGCGGTGTCCCTAAACACGGCTGAGACATCTTGTGGGTCGGTGACAATGTACAGTTTTCGGTCTACGGTTTGTACGCCAAAGACCTCGTGGTTGTTTCCAGTGTACTTCCTATCAGACAATATTAGACTTTGATAATACACTGCGAGCTACTCGGTAAACTCACAATCCGTATTCAATGAGCTTATCAGAGCTGCGTAGAAAATCGACGGTGTGACCTGAGACAGTATGAGCATGGTGTTTGTTCCGAAACAAAATGGTAAGACATACCAAGAACTATCTTTAGATTAGCCTAGCCCAGACAAGGAGACGGTCACATGAAGAACTTACAAGGGATCCAATATGGGATTTCTTTTGGCTCGTGAGGCCTTAACCAAGGTCTTACGGTAAACCTCCAAAGACGCCAAACTAATAGAAAAGAAACTGGCAAGAGGAAGAATATGAGTGAGGTATGGCAAGCCCAAGCTAGGGCGCTTGACACCAGCTGTATGAGCATAGCAAATGATGAGGTAGCTGACGTCGAGTTTGTATGCGTGTAGGTCAATGTAGATGTCTGTTAACAGAACTGAGAAGAAGATGCTGAGATGAAGTGGTCTACAAAGTGTAGAGATGGGGGAGCTATGGGGCATAATATAAGGAAATCTTCACGGGAAAGAAGCAGTTCCCTCGCTTCACTTTAAGCTGAGCCTCGTGTCTAGGGCAGACCAGTCAAATGTGCTCAACGCCAAATCCCCAGGACTTGGACGTCTCCAATAATAGACGTAGGACGCCCGACGCCTGGGCACAGAACTAAGCGCATGGCCAATGATTGGCTCCTAGCCAGAGAGGCATCAAGGCGCGGCTATCCAGGTGACCACCCTCCATGACTGGGCAAGACAAGTTGGGGGCAGGTATGCAGGCAGCCCTCAGCCGCCAAGAATGACGGGACGGTGCCGGTGAGGCATCTGCGGTGCGTCACAATGTGATAAGGCAACCACACAGAGAGCTGATTCCAGGCAGAGATATGGGCATGCCCGGGCGTGATGGGTTCTATTGAGCCCGTCGCAAGGCAATGGCGACTCCTCATTAGCCAACGGCCGTGAGGAAGTGTGACACATCTTCAATCCCACCAGCTGGATACCAGGATAAGGGTCCTGTCCCGATCTCTCTAAATAGAATAGGGTGTGAAGCACCCCAAGGGTGGCCTTGTGAAAACCATACCATGACGGTGATCACAGCACAGACGCACCTCCAATGATCTCATTCGATGCGCTTAAGATCCCGCTAGGGTGCATATTCACCTCGTATGGAAGTCCCTGGGGGCAGACGGGGGCTAAATCTGACGGATCCAATCCGGCACAGCCCCCGTCATGATCCAAAGCACGACCCAGGCCGAGCGTCGCGAGCAAGAACGAGAAGCACTGGGTTAGATCCCGCGTCCATCCGTCTGTCAGCCAGCTCGCATGTCGAGGGCTTCTACAGGGATTCTATTGGCCAACTGGAGCAAATCTGTGTCACTTGGCTAAGCTAGAGATCCAATGGTCCAACACCATCCCATCTCGGGGATCAAAGATTGGTTAAACTCCCTGCCTGGGCTGGGATGCGACCCAATCTAGGCCTTTTCTCCACGTGGCTCTCCACGCCCTCTCAGCTTGACTCACTTGACTTCAGCCCTAGGCGGAGTAACGGCTTCCTCCGCGGCGCGTGTCGTCTTACGGAATGGGTTGACATCATCCAGGGGTCCGTCAAGAGACACGGTCTCAAAAATAAGACGATGGGGGCCGCCGGATCCCCATGAACGGCCACTGTAAGTGACAGATTCGTCGTGTTTCAATCCGTCGACAGTCTCATTCTTCCGCCCCATTGGGTCTTTCGAGACCTGTTTTGGGAAGGCTGTGCGTCCAATCTTGGCGACGTCCCTTTCTGCCTTGCTGGATACGATAAGTGGGCTGGCACATTCCAATGGTGTGAACACTATTCAATAATATTACCCCGCGGGTAGGATCAGGGGAGTGATTTTTAACAAAAGTGGGCAAAGTCAGGGTAGCAACAGACACTCGCCCAAGTTGCCAGGTCTGGAACACTCTGCGCAGCTCGGGGAGGGTGGAAACTTGGCCATATCTTTCATCATCAGCTCACATTCAGCTATGTTTCGATCCCACCTCATCGGCTAATGCCCCTGTGACCCGTACTTATGGGCGGTTTTTCTCCGGTCGCCAACCTCTGGTTCGTGGGCAGGGACTGGCTGACTGCAGCTGAAAAACGTGAATCAGCCTCGTGGAGCTGAGTGTGTCTGCCAATCGGAGACCGCACAAGGCACATATCTTCCCTGAGATGGTCCCTTCGCTGCGGGTCATCCGTCAAACGTGCGCACTCAGCTTTGAAGAATGTCGTAACTGGGCGCTCATCTGTGTTTCCTCGGCACATCATCGAGATTAAAGCACAGGGGTTGTATCAGCCAAATTCAGGCACGCGCCACAAGTCTGCCATGTAACGGCAGCATCAGCATGCAACGTCTCCTCCCGGTGTATCGTATCTGCATTTCGGACGAGACAACTTAAATCGGCCCGGCCCAGAACGGCTGAGTGGGATGTGGTGCCCTGAACGAAGGTCCTAAAAAGAACTCTGCTGCCTGGGAGCGTGGCGCATCATCCAGCCGTGGCAGACAGGTCAGTCAATTAGTCACTCGCCGACCCCCAATGTGACGAGCCTGGCCATTTTCTGCCTGTATGCACGTATCCGCTGTCGTTCATGGTCCAGTGCATGATACACTGCGAGAGACGATGTTCCATTCGCCAAACCCTTTGGTTCAGCCCAAACGTGTTGCATCCCTTCGAAGGAATATATTCAATTTCCAAATCAAATGCGCCTGAAAAATCACCTCATTCTAATTTCAATCCTATTCCTCCCGTGCAACAGGAGCAGCGAGGCCAGAGGGGCTGAGAGACCTTTCTGCAAATCCCCCTGCACAGCTTTTGTACATGTAAGATTGGGACAGTTGAAGGAAAGAATGGTGTTAGGCCGAGTACATCTCAACTGAAGACAGGATCCTATGGACACTGAACACTTCCCCCGATATTCACGTTCCTTCTAACGAGGTCATTTGTGTCAGAGTTCGCCGTCGATTTGATCCCCAACACATCAAAATTGCAAGGTGCCTATCCCCTCCCGAACCGCATCACGAGCTAAGAGGGTGCTAAGTTAGTTACTACGGCCCGCTATAGCGACCAGGAACCACGGGCCGAGCCCTAATGAGGTCGATCTTACCATAGAGAGCTCGCTGGTGGAGGATTTGATGGGAAATGAACATGGGGGCTACGGCGGCACAAAAAAATCAAGATCTCATTATGTTCGGGTCATAAAATTAAAGCAGAGTTGTACAATATGCTTCTCTGTCCCAAGTATCCGCCCCCTACTACGTCATGGACTCGAAACATGGTAATAGGGCCAACTTGTGAAAATGAGCAAGGGGACAATCCCTGAAAATGGGAGCCTAGCCCAGGCAATTGGGGCACTTTGGCAAGATACCAACGATGTCACACATCTTCACGGCCTCCTTGCCCATACGGATGGAACACAGGGCCTCCAGACAAGGCGAAGTTGGCACAAAAGTGCCGAAATGCGGAAATCACCTGCCAAGTGATGCGCAAGAGCCAATTGCAGTGAAATGTCACCTCTAGCTACATACCCTATACCCACTGTCCTGGTAGTCTGCCAGGATATTCCATTCCTCAGTTTGATTGAAAGGGGCAGCCATGAGTAGCTTATGCTTTGGTTTTAGCATTAATTCTAGGAATGGTAGGCTGAAAGATATTATCTCCTAAGGGTGTCTCCTTTTAAACTTTAATCACCCTTCTTTATTCGCGGCTGACAGATGCATGTTAACTATCTACTCAACTCGTCATTTACGATTCTTTTCACAACTAGCGCCATTTGTTCCATATGGCGTAGAAAAAAGAAGAAAGGCTTGAATAACCCAAAAAATCAGCCAAAGTGAAATCCTTTGGGCCACATGCAACTTGGCCACCCGACACAGTTGTAAGGTTTTCATCCCGAGAGCTTAATAGGCCACAACCTTGCAGTGACTCACTTCCCAAAAACTAAACTCTATTGAAAGTTATTTATGTCATTGCCGGTAGTGACGGCGTAGAAAGCAAGGACATGAATTTCCGGGTCATTTGGTACTGTTGGTTTGTATGGCACGTCCGTGGCTCTCAACTGCCGGGCAGATGCCAACACCAATCTCTCATTTACTTAATTTTAATTAGAAAGCTCCAGGGGCTATATCGCGTCCGCAGCACTGGGTTCAATGCCTGTGGATGCCAACAAAGCTTAGACCTTCCATCATTAGCCACAAGCCGTCGGCCCAGGCCGTTGGTGATTACGGGGTACTATAAATATGATTGATATCCACCAATTACGCCAGAAATTCATGCTGAAACACCGAGATTAGGGGACATATTTAGCCACAGGCAGGCCTCTTACAGTGGTCTAGCTGCTTGGATCACTCTCGCTGGCCGATTATGCCCATCCAAGTTGGATCTTCACCTTGATGAATCGCGGCTGGCGTTCGATTGGGACTGGTAGGATGAATGCTCTCTTTTCCCGTGAGATGCCATTCATACAATCCCAAGACAACTTTGCTGCTCTGTTGTCCAATGCAAAGGAGGGACATTCGCGAGGAAAACTCACCTGTAGGTCGTGCCATGTTCTGAACCAGGCGACAGCCATCATGATATGCTGAGAGCGGCTGCGGACTGGAGGATTGACTGAAAAACCTGCGTTGGGCGGCAAAAGTCTTGGGTTGGCTGAGGCTGAGTTGGGATAACCCCTGTCATCAAATCCATCATAATGCACGCGCTCTGCCATCTCACATTTCCATTTTTAACTGAGTGCAACCAGCCCGTGGCGTGCGGGTTCCTCTGAAGTTCCAAGGAACATCTTTAACTGTTCTACCCCGCGTGTTGCTTTGGGTACTCCGTCACGTCGTGAACTACCAAACTACAAGACAGATCGTATCAACCCGGTGCATATGATTCGGGCACCAATCCAAACCATTGCCCATGACCGAATCCCCGCCCTCCGTGGCCCCTTCCATTGTCTCGGGCCAGGAGTATTTCCACGATGATCGCCTCCCGACCGCCAAAGGCGCAGCATTCGACTTTTGCGCCAGTGCCCGCGGGTGTCTACCAGGCACACGGGTTGAACTCCTCAATCGGGTATCAACATGGGCCGCTGCTGACGTTGATGTTAACGCCGACTCCGACGAAGGCGACGAGAAGCCTAAGGCCATCTTCTGGCTCAATGGCATGGCCGGCACCGGCAAGTCGACCATTGCGCGGACTGTCGCTGCGAGGCTGCTCCGGGGCCAGGCGCCTCCTCAGCGCCTGGCGGCTACCTTCTTCTTCAGCAGGAGTGAGACGGATAGGCGCAAGGCGGGGCTCTTCTTTGGCACCATCGCTGGCCAGCTTGCCGACGGATCACCCGCGTATCGAGATGCGCTCTTGAGCGCGCTGAACCATGACCCTGAGATTTCGCGGAGAGCGCTGCGTGAGCAGTGGGAGAAGCTGATTCTGCTGCCTTTGACTGTTGCGCAGGAGACCCAGACGGTTGTATTGGTGATTGACGCGCTGGACGAGTGTGAGAGTGAGGATGACGTCTCTACAATCATTCGCATCTTGGCGGAGGCCAATGGGCCGGGCCACTGTCCGGTGCAAATAAAGGCATTCTTCACTAGTAGGCCAGAATGGCCCGCAGAACTTGGCTTCAAGCAAATTCAGGGCCAGTACGAGAATATCATTCTTCATGCGGTCCCAAACGACGCCATTAGCAGTGATTTATCTGCTTTTTTGACACATGAGCTTCGCCGTATCAGAGAGGAGCATAACGAGACAACAGAGGTAAGACTCTCAAAAGAATGGCCGGGCGAGGATAAGATAAAGGCCCTGGTCTCAATTGCGTCTCCTCTCTTCATCTATGCGGACACAATCGTTCGTTTCATTCAAGACCAGGAGATTAGCAATCCGAGCGAACAGCTTTCTAAACTGTTGAAGGAAGGAGGACAGGCCATCACCAAACCCTCGAAATCTCCCCTGGATGGGGTCTATATGCCTGTGTTAAATCAACTCTTAGTTGGTGTTGGAAAGGAGGACGTTGGAACTGCCATTCAAGAGTTTCGAGAGGTTATCGGTAGTCTTGTTCTCCTATCCGAACCCCTCACTGCGAAAAGCCTCGCTGCCCTGCTCGGCAAAGAAAAAGCCAAAATCAACGAGACTCTCTTCCACCTGCGCTCCGTCCTTGAGACACCGGGCCCATTTGAACCGACCAGGATACTGCATCTCTCATTCCGCGATTTTCTTGTTGATCCTGCCAATAAGGATGAGAACCCATTCTGGATAGACGAAGCAGCTTGCCATATAGAGCTCGCTACACAATGCTTTCAGCTGCTGATCATCAAACTGAGGAAGGACATCTGTGACCAGAGCAACCCTGCCGTCAAACGCACAACCATCCTGACAGGGATCATCAATGCACAAATTCCTGACCAGATTAGATACGCTTGCTTATACTGGGTGTACCATCTTGAGCAGGGCACTGCTGCCGGAGCCTACCTGACGCAGGACCAGATAGGATGGGTCAAGAAGTTTCTTGAGATCCATTTCCTCCACTGGATCGAAGTCCTGTGCCTTTTAGGGCTTGGATATGAAAGCATCTCCATGATAGATACCCTTTGCAAATTAATGCCTGTAAGTAGTCGATCACTGTGCGAATTCTTTTGTTCGATGGATTTGGCTGACAACGAGCAGAACGGTGAAGGCTTCTTGGAATTCCTCCACGATGTCCGCCGGTTCCTTCTCAAATTCATCCCAATTACCAACCAGTACCCCCTTCAACTTTATTCCTCTGCGCTCTTCTTTTCTCCCAGGAATAGCAGAGTCCGAAAATCATTCTACCACAAATCCTCGGGTTGGTTGCCACCCATCTTTGCGCGAGAAGAATGGGGGGCGTGCACACAAACGCTCGAAGGCCACACGGGTGTGGTCAGTTCCGTCGCTATTTCGAATGGGAACGACCTCATCGCTACTGCATCCCATGATGGCAACATCAAACTATGGGACCGGATTGGCTTCTGCAAACAGACACTTAGAGGCCATACTGACAGAGTATACTCCATCTCTTTCTCCAGTGACAATAGCCGGCTGGCGTCTGCGTCCGCAGATAGGACAGTCCGGGTGTGGGACAAGGATGGAGTATGTGCCCAGACACTTACAGAACATGAAGACGCAGTACACTCGGTCTCATTCAGTGATGATGACATGTACTTGGCGAGCGCCTCGAGCGACAAAACCATCAAGATCTGGGACAGGAAAGGGGAGTGTTCTAAAACGCTCACCGGGCATCGTGATGAAGTTGTCTCGGTGGCGTTCGCGCACAGGGAGTTTTGCCTCGCATCTGCAGATTCAGAGGGTCAGGTCAGAGTCTGGGATAAGATTTGGGACCCAAAAGGGCCAAGTGAGCGAGTGCTCACGGGGCACAAGGACTGGGTCACCTCTGTTGTGTTCTCCCATAACGATCGCTTCATTGCGTCTGCATCTCTTGACGGCAGCATCCGGGTGTGGACGCGTACTGGGGCTTGCTACATTACCATCGCGGCACGTCCTGGCAGCTCCATCTCATTTTCTCCCGATGACAGTCTTATTGCATGCGGCTCCTCTTGGGACGGGTCTGTCAACCTGTGGAATATCAACACAGGTCACTGTGACTTGAGCTTTACAGGCCACACAGACCCCGTGACGGACGTGGCCATCTCTTCGGACAACAACTGGCTAGTCTCAGCGTCCCGGGACAAGTCGCTGAAGGTTTGGGACTTTACCAATGCCCGAACCTCTGGTGGCAAAACTTCAAAGGTTGATGATACATCGAATAGCATTCACCTATCCATGTTCTCAAATGACAAGAAGTGGCTCGCCACAACTTCCCGGCTCGACAGAACCTTAAAGTTATGGCATCGAATTACGGGCGAGTGTGTCCAGGATTTCCAGCAGACCCCTGACGAACACTGGCTTTCCTCGACGAGGACCAAGGTGATTGACAAGGTCAAGCTCAAGCAATGGCGGGGACGAGACTCTTTGTCCCCAAGTCCATCACTGGCAGTACGATCCATGGTTTTTTCCCACGACGACAGGTTCATCGCCACCGGCCTGGATGATGGGTACGTAAGGATATGGGATGTCGGCAAAGGAAAGTGTATTCGCACACTGAAGTCGGGCGAAGGCTACATTACGTCACTAGATTTTTCACACGACGGACAGCGACTGGTTGCGAGTTCTCTTAGCGGTGGAATGACGATTTGGAGTTTGGCTACGGGCGAGGTCCTGTCCTCGTTTGAGAAGCGATCAGACCCATTCTGCTACATTGCTTTTTCCCAAGACGACAAGTATATTGCCTCGGCCTCCTATGATAACTGGAGGACAGTGAAGGTGTGGAAGTGTGAGGATAGATCCTGCACCTTTGAAAGTCACAGTGCCAATGCAGAGATTGTTGCCTTCTCGGCGGACGGCTCTTGCCTTGCCTCGGCTTCGAAAGAAGGAAGTATTCAAATATGGAACTTAAAAACAAACAAGTGTGCCCACTCATTTCAAGCTAAGGGAGAGGTTTTCGGCATCTCAAGTGTAGGTTCCGGCTTCAGCATTGATACAGCAGCAGGGACAATTGTGTTCGGAGCTAGTCAGGATATGGCGGAAGGGAAGAATCTGGAAGTTCCCGGACCCATTGGGTACGGAATTACGTCTCAGGGTGACTGGATCACTTGGTGCGAGGACAATGTTCTCTGGCTACCCCCAGAGCATAGACCCCAAGTCTTCCGGGCAGCTGGTCCAACAGTGACCATTGGATGCACTTCTGGTCAGTTTCTCATACTCAACTTTCGGAGAAGCTCCAGGTCCCGTGCTTTTGATTCGAAATCGGTGGATGCTACGCGGCGAAGCCTAAGTACTGGGAGGCTCAGCTTGAGCGCTAGCCGGCGCAGCTCGAGTCATCGAAGGGACAAGAGCCAAAGTTCAGTACATCGCGACCGCTTCTGGTAAACTTGGGTGACTTGCTGAGATTTCTCGGAGTGGTGTGCCAACATTTCCCTCACATGGACGCCCCACGATGTAAAGAACTTGTTCTCCGTGCGTGTTGTACTGCAACTAGGTTGATAAGTACCGGTCCTGGAGATATGACTCTGCCTACAGTACCTCGATTAACTTTTTAGGGCATATGGTTATGGTCATAAAGACACCCTACCTCAGGATGAAGCCCCTGCAGTGAAGATGATGCGTCCCGAGTCTTGAAGCCTAGACTTTAGATTTCCGCTCTCCGGGTCAAGGGATGGAGTTGCGACTTATGTTTGCCGCAACGATGGCACGGCCAGTGCTTTGTGCTTGGCTATGAGTGTCCATGATCACTCCTGGTCATCTTGATTGACGAACTGAGGGCGGTATCTAACCCCCTCGAAAGCAAGCAGCATTGGCCACTCGCTCTTGTGCTCACGGCTCGGCCCGAAGGCAACCCTCCCTAAACTGTGATCAGTCAAAACTTTACTGCAGGGCTTTCATCTTCACTGAAAGGTTTTGTAGCTTACTGATAGAGGTGCTGAGCCTCCAACTCAAAACTGCCGGGACCGCAAACTTTCCAAGTAGCTCGACACAGGCAGCACAGCAATGGGGCACATGGGGCGCCCACCACCAAAGGATAACTGCGTAAATGGCATCAGCCCGCCTTTCTGAGTTTCGTTGCTCTCTATAAAAGGAATGGAAATCCCCAGTGGACTGGCAGGAGCAATATTCCCCCCATCATACCTTCGTTCAAGACTTCAAGTTGTGATCTTGACAACACCCACCAAAGATTTCTCAGACTTGTGTCCATTGCCTTCGCCCCCAGTCATACAATACACTCTATACAATACACACTTACAAACATTCACCTGCTTTCTTCCACACCAACAAAATGGATTTCGCAGGCGTTGAAACGCTGACTCCAGAGGAGAGGATCCTCTATATGGCGTTGACGATGGAGGCAGAGCGGGCCGCCGAAAGTACCCAGAACAACGCAGAGGACCGCGAGCGTGATACTAATGTCAATGACACGACTGGTATGGATAACAACAATATGGCTATTGTTGACAGTAATGATACAAATACCATCGATAATAACGTCATGGCTGGTATCGATACCAACGAGATGGGTATGGTTGATGCTTCCTATACGACCAGTACCGATTTGGCCGATTTCAATTTTGATATTGATACTGCCGAGACAACCGGTGATATTGATATTGCGGAGATAATCGGTGATGATGAGAATCATCAGCCTGTTATCGATTTGGACAATTTCATTGCGGAAATTGAGGCTGGTGATGATGAGAATCGTCAGCCCGGTACCGACAACCAGAGCCATCAGCCCGGAATCGATGCCGAAGGCCTCCAGCCTGTCACTGATACGGAGGACCTTCAGCTTGGCACCGCGGGAACAGACCTGCAGCATCAGGAACAAGCTGCGCCCAGACAAGAAGGGAGGGGGCAAGTATCGGAGGAAGAACGCCTCAGAGACCTCAGAAAAGGCCAGGCGAAACAGAGGGCAAGGCTACAGTTGCAGCAGCAGCAGAGGATGATCCAGGCCATTTGGCAGCAGCAGCAAGGATTTCGGTGGCAGCAGCAGTGGCAGTGGCAGCAACCACAGCAGTTGCAGCAACAACAGCAGTTTCAGCAACAACAGCAGTTTCAGCAACAACAGCCATTTCAGCAACAACTGCAGTTTCAGCAACCCCAGCAGTTGCAGCAACACCAGGACCGGCAGTGGCAACTGCCACGAGAGTTCCAGCAGTGGCGACAAAACCAGGAGCAGTCCCGGCAGTGGCAACAGCAGTGGCAGTGGTAGCTCCGGCAGCAAAGCCGACAACTGGAGCAGGCCAGGCTGCTCGCCATTCAGGGACTGTCCAACCTTGGACAGGTGTTGGGGCGGTGGCATGTAAACCAATATCGCGAACCGACGACACGATCTGCGAAGCTATTGAACCAAACAGTCTGTCCATCGGAAGGGGATGTGTTACGCAGTGTTTCGAAGTGTAACAATAGACGTGGTTCTCACACTGGGAAAGACGGGATCCCTTGGCCGATGCTTATGAGTATTATCTATTATGATCCTAATAAAATACCCTTCCTTTATATCGAGTCCTTGCTCTAAGAGACTCTGCTTAACCACGTAACAGTCCAAGAAAGTATGAGCAACCTGAATGTAAGACCTATCCACAGATACGTAGCAATAGAATTAAAAGCTCTCCTACTCCAGGTGGTTGGCATGTATCCTTATTATAGGTCAATCACTGAATCGGCAGAACACCCCTTCCCATGCGAACGACGACCTGGCTGCAGCTAGAACCAAACTATTATCCATGTAGTGTCCCGGCACCATCACGCCTCTTCGCACACCACGGTAACCTGGTCCGCGTTCTTCAGTCTAACCAGCATCACCAGGTCTACATCATTCACACACTTGTCGAACCGCCTGTACGTCGCCTCGTCGCTCTCCCCGTCGCTGTCCTTCTTGATCCGCAGCCGGTGCGCTCTGAACAGACATGCCAGCACGGCGACGGCCTCCACCTCGGACAGCCTCCGCCCGGGGCAGATCTGGGGGCCCTCGCCCCAGGGGAAGAAGATGTTCTTGCTGGGGACGAAGAACGTCTCCTGCGCTACTTGTTCCGAGGTGGCTGCCGGGTTCATGATCCATCGCGACGGGTGCCACTGGGTCTCGTTGGACCAGTACTGCGGGTGTGTCTGCATGGCGCGCAGGTTTGCGGTGAAGTTGACGCCGACAGGCACGGTGTAGGTCCTGTCTCCGACGGTTACCTGCTGGGGATGGTCACTGGTGATGGAGGGCAGAGCGGGTCCGGGGGGGAACAGACGCAAGGTCTCGTAGAAGACGGCCCGGCAGCACTTGAGCTTGGGAAACATCTGCTTGTAGTCCCATTCCTCCACTGGCCTGCCCTCAGCCACAGCCTCGATCTCAGCGGCGAGCCAGGCCTGGACGTCCGGGTGCGCCGCCAGCAGCAGTGTGGCGAATGCTCAGGTATTAGCGGTAGTATCGTGGCCAGCAAAGTTGATGACGAACAAGTTGCCGAAGATCTCGTCCACGGAGAGCCCTTTCTTGGCGCCTTTGGCATCCGGATCGGCGGCGGATTCGCGGTGATACTGGTCAACAGCGCGCACAAAGCCAGGCATGATGCCGCCGGAGCCTTTCCTCCCCTGTTGCAGCGCCTCCGTCTCGTTCTCGAGCATCTTGACCATGTGGCTCTTGAACGAGACACCCGCGTTGCCGATCCTGGCCCAAGTACCGGGGACCATCTGGAGTACGCGAAAAGGCACAATGAGCAGCAGGATAATGTTGTCGAGGACGGTCTGCAGGGAGTCACGGTACTCGCCAATCTCGTCAACGGAAGGCTCTGTCGAGCCGCGGAAGTCGTAGGGCTTCCCGAAGCCAACGGCGGCGAGCACGTTGAGGGAGAGTGTGTGTGTGTCGCGCTGGTAGCTGGGGATGCCGGCATCGGCGAACTTTGTCCACGACACCAACATGCCGAGGGCCTGGCGGCGAGACTCGGCCCAGACGGAGGCCATGATGGTCTCGTTGAAGGGCGTGGCCATGGGCTTGCGGTGACGAGGCCAGTCGGGCCACTTGGCTGTCGATATGCACGGCCCGTAGAGCTCTAGTATTTCTGGACAAAGTCAACCATTGTTGCAAGCAATGTAAGGGAAAGGGAGACGTACTGAGCTCTGCAGTGGGGCGTTGAAAGTCGCCGCGGCGGGTGACAATGTCCTGGATGGCATCAGGGTCGGCTACATGGATGTTGATGCTCACAGGCGACACGAGTGCCCAGATGGGGCCCAGCTGGAGGTGAGCATTGGCGCGCTCGGCAAAGTACCATCCTCTGCGAGAGAAGCGCACAAAGGACGGGTAGGAGAGCCAGCGGATGGGAAGACGGTCGAGGAGGCTGTAGAAGTGAGGCTGGAAGAGGATCCAGAAGACGTTGTTGGCGTCGACAGGCAGCCGGGCAACGGGCAGGCCGAGGGCGCGAGCCTTGCGCACGTTGGCCTCGAGGCAGACGACGCTCCAGATGCTGTAGGCCGAAGCGAGGCCGACCAGGATGACGCCCAGCATGGCACGGGAGACAGCCGATGGCAAGGAGAGTATGAGAATGGCGTCGAAGCGATGGTATGAAAGTTTTCTCAAAGTTGAAGCGATGGGAGTGTGTGAGAGGCTCCTCAAAGTTATGGCGGCTCAAGAGAGAGGGAGGTCACAGAGCTCACTGTCAGTTTGTTCCTAGACCAACTGTAGTTACTATCGCTGCATGAAGCCAACATTGAGCTTAGTACTATTCACTACGATCTCACGTAATTCGTTTAGACCCAACACTGATTGTTGGTCGCATCGGCCGCACTGCAGCGTCAACATATGCATGTTGGTGCTGCCTGCATCATTTCGGCCTATGTCTATATATCGACGAGCATCTCGACGAGCATCTCGACAAGCATCTCGTCGCCTGCAAAGGCGTTGGGCACGAGTGTGTTGGCTGGCAGTATCCCCGAGCAGGATCTCCTCATACTTTATCCTCTACTCGTAAGCTGGACTGATCGCTTCGCCATCGTCTAGAGTCTGCACCATGATCTTAGTCCTTACTACATCTGCCCCGAATGCCCCAAGAGTTTTCAATGCGGCTTCGACGATGTCTGGAATCCACAGTCCAGCTCAAAGTAATGGGGGCTTCCAAGCCCTTGCATCACACCGCTATTTATAACATAATCATAGGATAGAGAGTATGGCTCTCGGTTACCTTAGCTTCAAGCTAGTTTTAGTGATCTTTAGAGGTCAAGTCATGACAGATGTTGGTGGTGGTTAAAGCTCAGTGCTTAATTCAAGAAACCCCATCAACCACTCCCTAACAAAAACCTGTTTCTCTTCATCATGGAGATCTTCCTGACCGCAGACATCATAATACACGCTGTAGGGCCCTAAAGTAGTCAAATCAATGAGGCATCACATAGAATATCACACTAGTATCAACTTGAATAAATCTCTAAAACCACCAATCTGAGTATCCAAAGGGTCCGAAAGAAAGATAAATAATTACATAGTAGTAGTTAAGAGCATGGACCATGAAGTCTTACTTTGAGTTAGCAAACTTGATGTTCTCTGAATAGCTGGTGTTCAGCAAGTTCATCTGCTTCAGTGAGGTAGCAGGCTTCGTGCTTCCTAGCATGTACACGTCTGAAAAGGTCACACCGCTGACTTTCGACGAAGCGTTGTAGCCTTGAAGGAAACCGTTCTTGTGGCCTTGGTCCCGAGCCTTGATGTTCTTAATGAGGATGTCCTCGATAGGGCCAACGCCTCTGCCGCCTTGGCCAACCCATACGGCCAGCCATGTGCCACGCCCGCCAGGGCTTCCGGCCAGGTTCTCAATGTCAATATCCTGGAATGTGACCCCGGTAGCCTTCTCTGTCCCGAATAAATGATGGATGCCAATACCGACACCAGCGGCGTACACGGTGCCATCCCTGAAAGTCACGTTGTTCTGTCTTTGGTGAACACCCTGGCCAACCTTGTAGCCATAGCACTTTGTCCAAGCAACCGTGTTTTCAAAGACAACGTCGCTGAGAGGTCTTGGCGAGTAAGGGTATGGCACAGTTGTTCCAGTCTTGTAGGGCCAAGTCTTCGTTGAGAAACTATCGTCGTTGGCGATGGCAATGGCGCGTCTGACCGTCACTCGTGTGGATTCAACAACGTCAATTCCGTCATTCTGAGTGACATCGAGGCGGTCGAGAATCTTCAGATTCGTAAACAGAGCATCCTCCACCTGGATAGGAGTAACTGCCCAGAAGGAACTGTCTCGGACCAAAACTCCGTCGCAACGGAAGTTCTTGGTACCGACGGGCACCAGCAGGTCCGCCATGTACTTGTTTTGTCGTGTGTTGTATCCGTTTCCATCAATAGTTCCTCGTCCATACACCTTGATATCTGTAGAGTCGAATTCCGTTTGGATCCACCATGTGCCGTCGTGAAGATCGCTCTTGTGGTAGAGCTTCTTGTAGTCGCTGGGCTTGCCTGTAAACCGCAAGACTGATCCGCCCGCCAGATACAGAGAGGTCTTGCTGCGGAGCATCAGGTTTCCGATTTGATACAGACCGGCAGGGACATATACGATGCTTCCTGGTTGCTTGGCGGCTGCGTCCATAGCAGCCTGGATTCCCGTGGTAACGCTCTTTCCCGTATTATCGGCCTTGTAATCGAGCACGTTGAAGATACCGGTTCCCTTCGATTTCGGAGCATTTGTTTCTGTAGGGTCGACGACGATGACAAACTCTTTCAGGTCATCAATCTTGACGATCAGATAGTGCGCCTTCTCCATGGACCAAACGAGTTCGTTACCCTCTACTTTGGCTTTGATAGGGAGCTGCTTCGGTGTAATCGAATAGGACTTTATAGTAGAGCCTTGGGATAGAGTTTTGATTCGGAATTCTGTTGGGTGGCCCTGATCCATGGAGAGATGGACGTAGTCATAGCCAGCATAGCTGACGGTGTACATCTCCGTTCCATTGACCTGCAGTGAGAAGTGTGCAGACTTGTCGTAGATGGATGGACGTTCGTATCTAACAACTTCACAGTAGGCGCTCGCTATCAGGAGCGATAGCACTCCAATGAGAGTACGGAATAACATCTTGAAAAGAATGACGGTACAAAACTGCCTTGCTTGGTTGATACACTCGATAGTTTAGGAGATCCGCATCGACCTCTTTATATGACAAACAGGTAGCCACACTTGATCTCCACAAGTTTTAAAATAAATCTAGTTTAATGAGCTGTTAGTATTTAGAAGAGACCGAATGCCGTTTGGGTGGTGTGGTATTAATATGCGCATTGCCACTTGTGTGGCAGGTGTCATATTGGGATCGCATCAATCAAGCTGGCGACATGAGACCGCTAGGCTTGGACAGGTATCTGCACCCACTGTTGTTGTAAAGAAACCGGGTCGTTTCTAGCGAGTCAAGGGGGCTACAGAGTCTTTGGCCGGGTCCGTCTTTAGCAGAAGGATTGGTAAATGGCTTCCCTTAGCCTTCTGTTATGCACCAATTTGCCGGCGATTACTGCATTTGGGTTACGATCGGACAGTGCTGACGAGGAATATGGGACTTTGGGCTGCTAAGTTAGTTGGACGGATCTCGCCATCGAAAAGGAGTACTGGGATCAACATGTCCGAACGGCACGTGAAGCCCAGGGTTTAATTCTTGGAATAAATGACAGTGATATCAAGACTGTTCCAATGTAAATAGCAAACGCTTAGCATTCAATAACTACCTATATAAGGTGATGGGCATTGAATTACTTCAGCAGTCAGAGGACCTCTATTTGGGTCGATTTGTGGCAATGTCTAATTTTGTCTTGAAACACCCCGCTCATCCCCTGCTAATTATAATTGCCGTCCAGAATATCGGCGATTGCCAGAATATGCCATATGCCGTTCTTCCTCTGTATGATATGCGTAAGGATTAAGTGAATGGCATATGCACAAAAGTACTTATGTATGTTGCGTAATGATAGGGCTGCGATGAAATATGTCCCGATTGATAATCCAGTAGCCATCACTGTGCGGATCGTGATACTGCTCGCTGCCAGGTCTACTTCTACGTATTATGCGTGGCCTCGAGTGTCTAAGTTGGTATGGAAAGGGATACTTTTATTTTGTTGCCACTGAGTAGCAAAGATGTGGCAAAATGCAAGACCACTTGGTTAGTTTCTTTTGATTCGATCCAAAGGTAACTCGGCGAGGGCAGCATCAAGAATGTTTTTGGGGCGATTTTCAATGAAAGCACGGGTGGCTGGAAAGAATTCATGTTTACGCAAAGTGCTGCTCAGGTTCAGGCAAGCATCACGGCCCAACTCAATCGTTTCTTTCTACCTTGTCTGCCATCTTCACATATCTAACCTGAGAAAAAGCGAAAAAACAAAAGGACGTTGATTTCCGTGGGCCAATCATGACATCAGCCTTCCTTAGTTGACCATCCCCCATTTATCCCCTCCTTCTAATGCTGTTTCCCATAAAATATTTGGCGCTCAAGATGAGTTTAAGCCTGCACATGGCTTTCAATCTCCTCCATCCCCAGCGGAACAACTTTGGCCGCCAATCGTCGAGATATCCTGATGAGAGTCTGAGTATAAAGTGGGGGAAATAACAGCAATGTAAAAGACCAGACCCGACATCTCAACACAATGACTATGCTGAGATATTCTTTTCCCTCTTCCGTTGGTCTAGGAGAAGAGTGTATGATGTGTCCTGTGGCATCTAGTCGCTGCGAGCCTTTAAGTTACCCCCAGCAGTGATTGCAAGAGCCACTTGGTGGGGTTAAAATGTAGGAGGCCAAATTTGCATCCTTCGACGAGAGTTGGTGAATGCTTCTTCTGTTTGGGTCTCGATATTCTAGATGGCAAGAAATATCGGTGTGCCTTTTCTGGTTTCTTCCGGGCTTCTCCTCCCAAATCAGAGCTTCGTTGTGTCGCTCGGGGGTGGAGAGTAACAATATCAGGCCTCAACCTCCCTGGGCCCTTCTACCAACATCAAGCTGGCCGTTTAGGATCTTCCACTATGGCTTTCGTCTTCAATCACCAATTGCCATTTCATAATATGGTGGGTCGTCATAATCGGGGAGTTCCATAACTGTGTCGTCCACCCGAATGCTATCCACCAAAGAAACTGGGAATCTTTGCTTAATGATGCGTCCCACTCCGACTGCGGTAGCCTCGTCTTTTTTGCCCTCTGCAAATTGCTCTAGAATGACCGAGAGCTCCAACGTTAAATAGTGATGGATTTTTAACGATCCGACATTCGGGCTGTCATAAGAACAAGTAGGAGGGAGCTTTGCCGCACTTTTCGTGGAAAGGTCAACGGTAAGATCGAGAGCTGCGGATGATTCATTTGCCGGGTCAGACTCCCATCCTCCGTACATCACCTGCGCAGCCAGGTTCCGTGTTTTCGTAACCGGCTTCTGCGCAACTCTCAGCCAGTCCAGCCCAGGGTGCTTTTCACATGACTGAGAAGGGAACGTAACCACCTCGTCTAATGCCCACTCAGTTCGCATGATTTTCCATTTATAGTTCATCCGGTCCGTTGTGGACTGGCGGAGGAGTCCATCCAATTGAATCGAAATGTTGCTGGGGCTGTGGATTTGTATCGCTTCCAGAAAGGCACGAAATTCGAGGCCGGTTGAAGTCGAGGTATGGGAAATGTATGGCGGGAGCTGGGGCTTTGACGACACTCGACAGAGAGGGATAGAGTGATCAATAGTAATGACTGATCCCGCATAGCTTCCGTGCTCTGGACGTTGAACGAAGGCAGTTGCTCGAAGCTGATAGTTGATCGAGATCATGCTTAACGATATTGACGGTGGAAGATGGCTAGGCAGAAGGTCGTAGAAGGCCCAGTCTCGTTTTTCCGTGAGATGATCCAGAGGTTCCTCTACTAAGTTCCATCTGCACAAAGCCTTCTGATCCCTGCAGCAGTTGATGCAGCTTTTGTGGACGGGCCGTTTGTAGGTGGTAATTATATCCAGCGTAACATCCAGACGGGTGATCCTGACATCTGGACATCGAGCATCGATCTGTACCTGGCCGGAGATGAATGAACCTGGGCCTCGTTCCGAGTTGTCGTCGACTAGAATCGGCGCACATGATATTCTCAAGTCTAACGGTAGCGTCTTCCGGGTTTGGCAAGGCCGCGCCACTTTGCTGAGCATCGATAGTACCTCCATTGAGTTAGATACAGAGCTTCGACACTCTTGATTCTAACATGCGGGCGATGAGCTTCCAACAGCGCAGGAGCTATACCTTGCTAATATATATGGTCGGTTCAGAAAATCCATCTTGACATGTGATGTGATGAGGAAAGAGGAAAGGGATAAATCTACATTTATGGAGCCGAGAGATCATGTAACAGTTCCTGGGAGGGGGGTTACGCTCACAGGTCATGCAATCACAAGATCATTGACTCAACCTCCCAATTCTTTCAAGCAGTTGTCTACGGTTTCGTGATGAGAAGCTATATTGGGAAAGGCGTATATTGGACTTTCGTTCATACATTCTGAACTGGGTCTAGCGTAGAAAACGGCTCCTGTCACCGTGGAATCTGATTATCAAATGCATCGGAAACTAGCCCAACCTCACATCAAGCATCCCCCGTCGCCAACAACTTTGTCGTCACACACGGCCAGCATGGGGTAATTGGATTTGAAATCAGCCTCCAACACATCCCCGTCCTAATTTGATGTGTAGGACGTCTGTGGTCGCCACATATGGACAGGCCCCGCCCCATGGAGAACGACGAGCCGACCCAGACCCCGGCCACAACAAGGCCCACTAGAAGGCGGCACAAAAAGGTCTTCTCTGGCTGCTGGACATGCCGCAGCAAGCATATTAAGTGCGATGAAGGAAAGCCCACCTGTAAAAGATGTGAGCGGTCCGGTATAACTTGTGAGGGCTACGGCGTACGGCTGTCTTGGTCATCGCAGCGAGATCTTACCAATTTTCAGGAGTCCCCCAAAAGATCATCCCCAAGGGTCTCGGGAAGAAGGGGATCGACAAGAAAATCGAGAACCCCAAGCCCTCGACCAACCAATAACGCTTCTACACACAACGAAAAGGAGTCAACCGAAATAACATCTACTACAGGACTACCGGGTGAAGACGATGGGCTTGAGAACACTGCCCAGAACAAGCTACACGCTGGGTCTCGTTTCCAAGTTGGTATCGACAGCCCCGAAGTGGAGACTACAGCAGATCCAGTAGAGTCGCCAGCAAATTCCAATCAATGGGGTAGTGTTCGTGGTTCCCTGTCTGCCGTATGGAATAGGACAACTTTTCAACAAAACAATGGTGCTACAATCCATTCACCCGTATTCCAAACTGAAAGTCTGGCTCAAAACGTTATCTCGCTTCCCCAAGACCCTAGCCCAAGACCCAACACAGAATCATCCAACCCTTACGCAGACATCTCGTGGCTCCCTCCTCCACAGCAGCCGGGTTCGTGTTCGTCTAATTCTGCTGTTCAGTCGCCTGCCTCAAAAGGCCCTGCTTCATCAGAGCGTCGGCGACGACACCTGGACAGCCTTTCGGATCACGCAAGCCGATCCAAACTCTTGGAGCACTGGGATCTTCATGTATGCGATGCCTTGAATCCAATATCAGGAGCCACCAACCCGGCTCGCACGATTTTCACACCATTGGCCCTTCGAGGAGCGCGCGAAGATGCAACCGTTTCTACCGGCGCTGTTGCCCTGTTTCATTTAATTTGCTCTTCCTCGGGATTCCATCTTGCCAGAGCAGAGGCAACATCTGGAACAAGAAACAAATATGAGCGGCTAGCCCTCGAGCATCAGAACCTTGGAATAACTCACCTAAGCCGAAACATCCAATCTGACGATGAGAATCAATATATACCAGTTCTTGCTTCGCTTATCATGTGTCTTCTTAACGAAGCCATCACAGTTTACGACCCTTTCTGGCGCTTACATATCCAGGGTGCGGTCGAATGGGTGAACCATGTTGGTCGTGAATATTGGCACCATGATGAGACGGCGGCTACCATTTACCAAATGTTCATCGGCATGGGAATATTAATCCAGTCCCAGATCCTCCCGGGCGACCGTAGTGGCTATGGCTGGGACCTTTGCCACGCATTCGAGACACAGCCCGGACCATACTGCTTGGACGTGATAATGGGCATACCACAACCCATCCTGGAGGTGATTCATACTATGAACCGCATTCAACAAAGCTCTCAAAAAGGCCCCGGTTCAAGCGAAGACCACCCCGGTCAGCAAGAAATAGATCCCAACTACAGTCTTGACTCTCTCGAATTTGAGCTCTTCCTCATGGTTCCAAAGAGGTCAATATCCCCTCACGCCAGCCCTGAGCACGGTCTTCGTATTTACCATTTAGGATACGCGTACTACTACGCCACGCTGCTCTACCTGAAGCGGACTATGAAATCGGTTCCTATCCAAGAGGTCCAATCGCTAGTCAAGCAAGGCTTGGAACACATCGAAGCACTCGGGGCGACCAACGGCCCGTCATCGCCGAATCTGTGGCCGATTGCCATCATTGCGTTTGAGGCCTATGAGCCCCTGTTGCAGCAACGCATGATTAGGTGCCTGGAAGAATTGACCAAGGTTTCAAAGTTGGAAGTGTGGGACAAGTTTTCAATAGCGGTTCGAGGATTATGGGCTCGACGCCGGAGCCCTGGAGAGACAAACCTCAGCTGGCACGCATATTCTCCGGTCTTTTACCATAATTACATATTTATCTAGATTCTAATTTTGATCACAAGATTAGGAACAAGCAACTCGCATATTTGTGTTAATTTCCCCCTCGGCGATGTTCATTCCAGAGCTCATGCGGTTGATGCAACAATCCAGAAGGGTATCGACCAAGTTCATCGTAATCAATAGTAGGGTTATCATTCCAGAGTTTGAGACTAAGATCTGAAAATCTATGGTGTCTTAGATGATCAGGATCAGTAGCCCTTGCGCACTAACTGTATTGTCGGCCCATCTCGAGTGCTCATTATCCTCCTCAGCCGGACACAGGAACAATATGGGTTATAGGACGCGGTGGAAGGTCATTGCGTAGAAGAAGCCCCCAGTGAAGACCAAGTTCATCTATGGCAATACGCTTGGGATCTTGAGGCCGGAACCTCGAGTACGGAGCGGAAATCACTGTTCCGGTCGCTAATGAGACACGTTTCGGTTGGATCACCCGCCAACATATCTTTCGTTTTATTATGGGTTGGCGGCTGATAGTATTATAAAGGAGGCAAAGCCAGCTTGTAGATTCAATCTCCAAAGACTTCCATCATTTCAAGAAATCTTCTTAACTTCTTCCTCCAATCTATTCGCCATGAAGCTGAGCGTTACTATTGTTGGGCTGTCTCTTGTAGGAGCCGGCCTCGGTGCACCCCTTTTTACCGATTTGCTACCAACCCGCCAAGTTGCTGATCTGGGTGTCGTTGCCCTCCAAACTCTAGCCAAAGGCTGCAGCAGCAATGTTTTCTCCGCCCTTCCGGGTCTTCAAAAGTACTGCGACGACAATCTCCTGACTTATCGCCAATGATCATGATACGCCTTTACGCACTCAATCATAACGCCAGGTGGTAAAGGAGAACTGATCAGCTACTGGGCTGTCCGAGGATTGGGAGAGATTGGATATCGGTGATAAATGGCTGGCTATTGATGAAGTTGTGCGTAGGGGAAGAGGATTGCAAGGTGTAGCTGTTAAGGCACTTACCTACCCTGTAGCTTGCTTAATCAAGGGATCCAATCGTGCTGTCACCGCTTCAATCACAAAGACTGTTTCAGAATTACTAAAAGATGAGAAATGTATCTGATGACCTCATTGCTTTCGTCCTTGTGAGCTAAAGTGATAAATCTACCCATGAATGTTTGGGATCTAGTGATGTGGTGCCGGTAAGCAGTTGAGGTTACATTTGATCTGCGGGCCGTGATGTTGGCTGTGATCGAATGAAGTTTCCAAGTGAGTGCGCTGTCGCTACAGGTGGGTTCAGTGGATATCCAGTGGACCGTAGCGGGTAATCTCCACCAAGCAGCATTGAAACGATTCATTGAGGCTGCTGATGTGGTTCAAATAAGCGCTGGGTGGCCTGTGACAGAACTCGCATGAGGCGAGTGAACTACAACCCAAACGCCAGCGTAAAGACGGCGAGAGAAAAGGGAAATTGAAATAAGGTTAATGGACACCGATGAGGGGCAACTAGCCCTTCGGGAAATTTTGGTAGGCCTTCGTTGAATCTGGCGGGAAAGCCCGGAAGGATCGGATGCGACCATGCTGATCTTTCCCAGGAGCTGGGCTGCTCCCGCTGCAGGGCGATTTACGTGCCACATACCGAATCTACGGATCAGGTTTTCCTACGAGAAAGATCTGAGTATTTCTGGGACCGGCCAGATTGTCGAAACGCGGCCGCTGCAGTCTCGGGTAAACAGGTGGTCATGCATGCGACAACATCACTTTTCATATGTAAGGTTGCGTGGGTGAAACATTGCACACTGTCACTCTGCGCCCATCTCAGTTCTAGACCCTGCAGCCCGACCATCCACCAGAAATCAATGGTGGTGTAGCTTCTTATCGCTGTCCCCCATGCGAAGGAAATATCCTCGAATAGAAGAACTAGGCCTTTCCACCCGTTGATATGGCTGAAATGCGACGTACAGACGCTGGTTGAGAGGATTCATGGCCTCAGCAATCCCCAAGTGGAAGCTTCGGAACCAGTGGCCCCGGATCTAGAGTTAGTCTCGTCGCGGGCTTCTCGAGAGCTGGAAGCGGTCCAGTAACTGGCCTTGAAGCCCATACCGAGCAGGAATTGCCTTCCAATCTATGCGACGGAACGGGCAGGCTGATAGTAAGTGCCGGAGCAGGTTCGTTGCCAACCGAATAACCATCACTCAATGTTTCCACCAATCCGTCGCGACAAGTGGCGTGTTCTGTTGACGAGGGGATATCCCCACGAATCGCGGTAGAGTTCTGTCAAAGTCGCATCGGGGTAAAAGGAATTGAGTTTCTCAAGATGCAGGTCCCATCGCGTCCCATCGAGCTCGCGTTCTGCCGCCGCAGTTGGGATGCCAAAGGTGATTGCCGGATTTGCATGTATAAATGAATGACATCTGCTCCCCATCTGAACCAGAGGGGCTTGGACTCAAGTGAATGGTCAGCGTGAGTTCTCTCTAGCTGAGAAAAAAAATGCGTCTTTTTGGAATTCTCGCCGTCTTGGTGTCTCTTGCATCATGCTTCACCAACCCTATCCGGCGGCCTACAGGCTCCGACCCGTTCATCACTTGGTCCGGAGACGGGTACTATTACCTGTTGACGACCACATGGACCACAGTTGAGATTGCTCGGGCCACGACCATCGATGGCCTGAAGTCGGCCTCGCGAAAGGTCATTTACCAGTCCTCAGAGTCGTCGCGATGCTGCAACGTCTGGGCGCCCGAGGTTCACTGGCTGGGCAACAGGTGGTATGTCTACTTCACGGCGGGCAACGGTAACAACCTCGACGGGCAACGGATGCACGTTCTGCGTGGAGGAACGACACCCTGGGACTCTTACACGTACGTCGGGAGGATTGGCCCAGATCAGTGGAACATCGACGGGTCGATCCTACGGACTAGCAACTTCGGGAATTTCTTCGTCTCCAGCTGCTTCAACGGCGCAACGTACCAGTCCATCTGCATCCAAGCCCTCGGCAGCGACTACGTGTCGACGACCGGGTCGGTGTCCCTCATCTCACAACCGACCCAATCATGGGAGAGGGTGTCGCATCCAGTCAACGAGGGCCCGGCAGCCTTGTACTTTGGCGGCAAGACCTACCTTGCGTACTCGGCCTCGTACTGCTGGTCGGGGAGCTACTGCGTCGGCCTGCTGACATGGGACGAGGTGACAAACCCGACGAACGCGGGCGCGTGGACCAAGAGCAGCGGATGCGTGCTGAGCTCGGCCAACGGCAACTATGGCACCGGGCACAACAGCTTCTTCCAGAGTCCCAACGGGCAAGAGACGTGGATTGCGTTTCACGCTACGACCACGTCCGGCGGAGCCTGCGACGATACTCGCTACACCATGGTGCAGCCTCTCAGCGCCAACAGCAACGGGAGCCCCAACTTCGGAAGGCCTGCATCCTTCTCGACATCGTTCAACGAGCCGAGCAAATGAGGACCGGCGGCGGCGTGCGGCGGTGGCGGGGGTTATCGATGCAGAGGTGCATCCTGTCGTGGTTGGTGTGTCATGCGATGTGGGAGATGTGGGAGGGGAGGTTGAGCGAGCCATGTAGCGCAGGCGAGCAAGTCGTAATACCAGCAGATAATAGGTCTGTCTGGTAAGTGAGTGGGAAATGAGTACATACATGCAATGCAGAGCGAAGGCCGGGGGGTGTGGAGGTGGAGGAGAAGAGGGCAGATGCTGCTGTTTTTGCTTTTTCCTTGCCCGTTTCTTCTGCTTTGTCACGATGCTGCACTGCTTTAGCTCTGGGCTGTGATTGCTCGTTTCTGAAAAAGGCATCCACGCACAGTACGAACGTGGTGACCCTTGCACTTTGATTTGATGGACCCTCTCTGCTGATCTCGATGTTCGTGCTTGCTGATGCTCGTTTAGAGGGCGGATGGGGCGGTGATGCAGAAGCTGTAACACCCCCACCCTCAGATGCAACACGTGTACGCACAGTCTGGACAGTGCGAGCCCTGGTCCAGTGTTTCCCAGCAAGGGCAATATGCAGCACCGCAGCAGAGGAAACAAGGTTGGCCGTATCGAGGTGAAGCTCATGCATGCGCTGGGCCAGGGAGGGATTAGCCCGGACCAGCGTGGCCAGGTTACACACATTGCGTGCGATTTTCTGCAGGCTCCCTCGTCTAACCGTTAATACGCCCATGGGGGGAGGGACCGGAGGATCGTCTGCTGTGAATGTGATAGGAGGCGGAGGGTGAGAGGGGACCGAGCGAGGACCGAGCGAGCAGGGCCCCAGACGAGGAAAAAGAAAAGAAAGAAGCAATAAATCGCCCGCGGGATGGAGCAGCTGGGAGTTGAGATGTGACGGTGCGCATGCACGCGAAAGGCAAATCTCGCAGCCAAGGCAGCTCAAGCCAGGGCGACCCGGCATAATTCATGGACGCACCGATCGTCGACCTACCTGAGAAGGAATTGCAACTGTGAACGTGTATGAGCGTAGATAGGCGGCAAGCTGGGAGCCAGGCAGGCGTATGCAGAGGCGGCTTGGTTTCATGCGCCGGGCTCATCTCCATCAATTGTCACGGGTTTGGCGATCGATCAATTAAAGTCGAATCAAGCCGAGACGCGCATGGTCGTATCCCCACCCCCCGTCAGCGGTGGTCGCCATCGCTGGCTGCGTTGTGCTCTGCTGCTGGGAGAATACAACTTCCAAGGGGGAGGAGGGAGGATTGTGCTCAACTGGGAGGTGAGACAACAAGACTGAGTCGAGGAGAAAAGAGGGGCCGGCAAGGCACAGAAACTCGGCCTGAGCCGGCCGTGAGGAAGGGACGGTCGGTGGCCACACACGTCGCAGCGAAGGAGCAACCCAGGCGACGAGTTTTTGCCGTGCCTGCCCGAGAGAGCGCCATCGCAGCGCCCGCGATAGGAGGAGATAGGCGGGAAAGCGCAGTGTTTGTTTGAGCTCCTGCACAAAATATCTGTTATCTTGCAAGTTCGCACGGCAGCTCCCGCTAGGCCCGATGTGGCCGGTATGCCCCACCCAGCTGGATGCCTGAGATGTCGGGTGGCCAATCACACGCCGCCGAGCCCTTCCCCGCGCCTGGAATCCCATCACAAGGCACTAAAAACCCAGCGTGATGCCATTTTCCGAGCTGACACACTCCCAGGTCCGTCCTCTGCTCAGCCCAGCACCGCACCACAACGCACACGCACAGCACAGCACCGCACGCCCACCAAGCACCACCACCACCACCACCAGCGACGTCCGTCCAAGCACATCAACCCCCTCCGCATCGCTGCATCGCCTGCCCGAGGCTACCATCCATCCCCATCCCACCACCAGATCCATCTTAGCTCTTCCATCATCTAGGGACCGCCCGTTCCGTCCTGCTCCCGGGCCCAGTCTTTCCCTTTGTCGTCTGCTCTGCTCGGCTCAGCTCAGTGCTTATCTATAGTCTTGACCGAGTCGCCAGGCTTGCGTCCTCGCTCTCTCGCCCACCGCGGCCTCTCCCATCCCAATTACCTTAACTGAACTGGCCCTCTACGCCCTGAGCCCTCTGCCACCTCCGTCTGTGCCTGAGTGTGCTCACCGTCCACCCTGCCCCCCCGCCAGTGCGCGCGTGCAAGGCTAGATGATGCTTCAATGGACAACCAGGCCGGAGAGCAGAAGCCGAAGCAGCGTCGCGTGGCCGACCGTGAACGCAAGCGCGCTGTAAGAGCGTGAGTTGTGCCTCTCTCTTTTGTCCTCTGCCACCTTCACTCTTCCTTTGGCCCTGCTGGTTGTCATATGATGCGACGGCTATGCTATATGCCATGCCATGCCACCCTTCAGCCGCCCCTCCTTCCGTCCACCCATCTCCATCTCTACCGAGGAGCCCATTCCGGCTGCCCACCACGGAGGCAGATACGTATCGTATGTGACGGACGGAGAACTGACTCTGGGTCTTCTACTAGGTGCGATGGCTGTCGTCGCCAAAAGGAAAAGTGCGATGGTGGCGTCCCGTGTCGGCGCTGCATTCGTCTCCGGAGACAATGCGAGTTCCACGGACCGACCATTCGCCAGGCTATCCCGGGTCTCGAGCCCGGCATTAGGTGAGTGAGAGGCAATTGAAGTGGACAGTGCCATATGTATTGTCCAGACTCTCCTTCTTTCTCTGACTGGTCGTCCTCTCTTCCAGGCCGCAGGTTCAACCCCATGACAATGCGGACGCAGCTCAACGACTAGCTTACATGGAGAAGCTGCTCGCCCATTATGTCGGCGATAATGTTCCCATGGACACGGACAACCTCCGTGGGATGGTCGAGGCAATTGAGAAAGACCAGAAGATGGATATTGTCGACCAGCAGCCGGCGTCACCAGGCACCGATTATCTTGAAAACGAGGATGGCAACGTGGATGAAGTCTTCACTGTCAAGGCCCTCGGGAACAATATCACTCGTAAGCTCCTCTTCCTCGCAATACCTGGCCAATTGGATTGTTACTTACCATTATCTACAGACTACTCCGGCGAATTCTCTCACTGGAACTTCTCTATGAGAATCAAGGAGTGGATTGAGCAATGCATCCCTGAGCATCGCAACGTACGAACCCCCGCCGTGACCGCCCCCTTGTTTTTACGTCTTTCTTACTCTTAATGCCCTTTAGGAGAACGGCGAAGTCCCTAATTTCAAAGAATACTACCGTGCCGAGGAGCTGCAGTCGCCCTCTGGAATGATATCGGCGATTGGCGCCCTCCCCCCTCGTTATGTCGCCGACTTCCTGGTGCAGGCATTCTTCAAGCACGCCGAGACCAATTATTTCTACGTCGAAAAAGGCTGGCTTTTGGAGAAGCTGGAAATTGCGTACGAGCACTCCTCCGCCTTCACGCGACGGGACGTTGGCACAGTATGCATTATCTTCATTGTCCTTGCCATCGGCACACAATACGCCTACCTCGACTCTCTCACAGAAAACGGCGGCGACCAGACCCAAGGAGGATCCACCGGCCCATTCTCCGAGGATGCAATTGGCGTCATGTTTTACCAGCAGGCGTGCAAACTTGTCCCAGATGTCATCACCCTCTCGTCGCTTGAGAGTGTCCAGGCCTGTCTTCTCATCGGCATCTACACCCTCCCCCTCGACGCCTCTGGGCTTTCTTACATTTATCTTAATCTGGCAGTTAAGCTGGCCGTACAAAATGGAATGCACAGAAAGTACCCTAACGAGGGTCTGGACCCAGTTGTCCACGAAACGCGCAATCGTGTGTGGTGGACCGCGTACACGACGGAACGGTTTGTGCCCATCCCCCACATGTCCCCGTGATACCATACTGACAACTTTGTTCAGGCGTGTTGGTATTTTCCATGGCCGGCCGACTTCCATCTCTGGAGCAGACGTCGATACCGAAATGCCCATCGAGCGGTCTGACATATGGCCGCAGCGGTCATCTGTCTACATCGCCGCCATGCTTGCGACATTGCAATTGCACCAGTTGCTGGCAAGAATATCGCAAGAGATGTGGGTGTTCGTCTCTTACTGCAAATTCTCCTACGTCCGTATTGCTGACTCTGTGCATTAATAGATCTACACTCAAAGCTACACCAAAGCATAGCCCTGGAGACACCATGAACCGGCTCGTCGAGCTGAAAAACGACCTTCACAAATGGTGGGGTGGCCTTCCCAATGAGGTCTTCTGTAAGAACCCCCCACCACATGCAAAACCCAGCCGATCCGACATGCATCTGAAACTGGAATGGTGCCTCGTGCGCATGTTTACTGGGCGGCCGTTCATTTTTCTTCGTATGCCTTCACGAAGCAGCGCCAGCTCATCAAGCTCACCCAATGATCTGCCTCATCGCAGCAGCTTCAGCAGCAGCACCCGCAAGCTCGACTCTAAATCCATCCTTGTCGCCGACTGTGTTGAGGCCTCGCTTACCGTGATTGACACGTGTAAGCTCCTCCGGAATACCATCGGCCTCGCCCGCGCCTCTTACACCGAGTTCAGCGCCTGCCGCGCTGCCCTGCTCGTCATCATCACGCAATGCCTCCAGGAGAAGACGGAGAGACTACGACAATGCCTACGAGACGGGGTTTCAATGATCAAATTGATGTCTGCGGGTGGCGAGTCAGCCCGCTCCGAAGCATCGCTCATTGAGCTCTTTGAGCGGGCCATTGCCCGACTCGATGCCTCCTTCGACAACGTCGCATCCTCGTCCGAATCCGACTATGCGCGATTCAAGAAGTGGGAGATGCTGTGGAAGAATGACTCCCCTGGCACCGACACCAGGGGTGGCCCATCCGTGCCAGACACTCCTGCCCCCATCCCCCCACCCCTCAGCAACCTTTTCAGCGGAGCTGGGCCGTTTGATCGAAACACGGTGCCTGGAATGACACCATCAACGGCGGTGGACTGGAATTTCGCGTCATTCCCGCAGACGATGGACGAATTCTCATCCATGTTTGGCCACAGCGGTTTCGGACCCAGCCCCGGCGACATGTCCAATCCTCATGGTCTCAACGGGGGCGGCCCAAATGCTTGGATGGGTCCCTGAGTGGGACCGAGCATTAATTAATATTGGCAGACAAGGCTTTGCTTGCCTGCACCTGTCTGAGTGTCACGTCACCCTGCTCTCTCGCTGGGGCCACTCTGCCAAAAGTCGGTGCGCAGTCATGAGATGGTTGCGTGCCGCTAGCTGCTGCAGAGGGCAGATGGTTCGGCCAACTTAGATGGGTTGGAGGCGCAAGTCAGCTGGATGGGATAGATGATCCTTGGAAACACGAAACTCAATTGATGGGAATCAGACATATGATTTTTCTTTCTTTCACGGCGGTAGGAGTTTTTTCGCAATCTGGATCACTGGGAACGCATTTGGATAAAGGAAAAAAAAAGAAAAAAACCCCAGCGATGTTTTTTGGATGAATATTGCGACGCGCATCTATCGGGTTTTGTGCGCCGAGCTATTGGCGTCTACATGGGGCGATGGGTTAATAGTGGCGGTTTGCCAAGCAGAGCTGTCACTGCAGCTCCCAATCCACCCCAAAGACCAAGCTCATCCTCTCGGTAGCAGTTGCTCTCCGGGTCTCGCTGGCGAATAGATGGGGCAAAAGAAAAAGAAAAACAAGTTAGAAGAGGAGGTAGGCATGGGAAGAAAGCGATGGAAATCGTGAGGAGTTCAGGAACAAGAATGCTGCCTGCAATCGTTTGTCATTGCAGCCCCTTCAAACCACATCAATGGATGAGCCTCGGAGTCTCGGGATATCCTTGCATTTTGCATCGAGGCACGTCGCAGCCAGCACAGCTTTTCCGCCGAGCGCCCCCCGTTCCGGGATCATTTGCGTGAAGCACGAATCGGTTCTTTTTTTATCATTTGGGAGGAAAAAACAAAGTGTGCGGCTTGTGATGGATGGAATTTTTACCAAGACTGAATTTTAATTGTTGATTTTTTTATCACTGCGCTTGCTTTTTCCTCGTATCAGGAGGGGTCCGGACGGTAAGCTTGGATGGAGATTTGGTCAAACCTCATTCATTAATATGAACCATCTCAATTGATGGGCCCTTTCAATATACTTCACGTCACAGCTCAAGTCCAAAGAAGGTGGGAGAGGAGCGAAGATGTCATCAACTGCGGTGACCTGAACCTTCACGTCGCAGGCGATTCTCGTGGGAGATGAGTTCTCGCAATGGGCCGGCATTGTCCTTCAAGCCGCACAAGCCCGTCCGGCAATGGCCTATTCATCAACCAGCATGTTTTCAATCGAATAATGCTGATGACACTGCACTACAGGCGCCCCGAAGACGCATCTGAACACGAGGCCACAACACCTACCCCCCCTATCCTCAGGTGATGGGCAGATGATTCAACTGAATGATCGTTATCTGTATTTCAATAGGCTTGCCTGTTGTCTTTGTATATATATAGCATACCAAACGGCTAACAGAACGGAATGAACCGCCAGCTGCGGTTCCAAGAACAAGAATATATTTTCTTCTATGTATCCCTGTTCATCTGTCATACAATCCTGTCCTCTCACTTCAACGTGAACAATCTTGGTACTTTTATACACCCCCAGTATGCCCCTCTGTTAACGCGTGCGGGCAATCGAAAAAGAATGTGTCTCGGTGCGATAAAATCTCCTCATCCCATGTATAGCATACCTTCTTTCGACTAGCTCAACATCAAACATGATGCTTGAAAATGGGCGATGTTAAGAAGGCCATAATTGATAACTTGAAGTAAGTTAAACCACATTGGGGATATTGTAGATCGAAATTGAAGATGTTGGGCTCAGGGCGAAAGGAGATGGACCTTGAACAAACGGAATACTAGAGTTCTGGCTATAGGAGGATACTTGTATCTCGTAGGCAGTCATATGTTTGAATACCTATATAAAAATCTCTTGCCTAATTCTTATAGGCATCTCATCGTGGAACTTTTGATGAAGAATTTGGGCTATTTGGAGTCTGATGAAGCCTCGCCATGGTAGGTAATGATGCATGTGTTTGGAAATTAGGAGAATCTATAATCTATTTGCCTATATACCCGATAAACATCGACGCAAATTGACAGCATGGACAGATGCTATATATACAAATGTAATTTCTAGTGCAGAATGACCTTAAGGTCCTACAAGTTCTTGATTTCGTACTTGGTACGAAGCTTCTCGCCGTATTGTTTGATAAGAAATGAGACCGGAATGAGAGGAACGGCAATCAAACCAAGCATTGTATTGCCCCATCCCAATCCAAGTTTGTCGTACATCTTGAGCCCACAAAGTGGGAGAAGGGCACCTGCAAATGATCGAATGATGGTGTTCGATGCAAGAGCGGAGGCCGAGTATGTCTCGAAAGAGTCAACAAGGTAGACGCAAATCGTCATGAAGCAGATGAGATTAGCTTTAGAGAGAGTTAGCATATTCCGACGAACTGAATGAAGTCATTTTTTGAGGTTTCTCTGACTTACCAATACCGATGATGACCAAGCCTACGATGGGGCCTATCCAGTGCGTTACATGATGTGCTGTCCAGCCGTAGATGAAGAAGCCAATCGGGAAGATGAGTGCACCGTATGGAAGGATCTTCAGCCGGACCTCGGGCTTGAGGCCGCCGTTTTCGATTGACCGCTTGACCTCCCTTTGAGCATCCCAAGCGAAGATGCCCATGCCAATGATACAGCCGACGCCCAAACCCAAATATACCAAGCCAACAGTATTCGTGGAAAACTTATAGGTGCTCTCAAATACGAAGGTGACAGAGGTAAAGAGAAGATAAAGGTAGCCATAGCAGAGACCTAGATAGATAGCAAAGATCGCGCACAGGGGAGAAAATACCAGCATCTTGGAGGGCCGGATGATAGAGTGCTTGAACAACTCGGCCTTGGTTCTCCCACCATCCATCTTGGAACGCAGATTGGGGTTCCCAGTCTCTTTCCTTAGGCGCGCCGCCTTGCGAGATAGCACAATGGGCGCATAGCTCTCGCGCATGAGAGCGGCCATGGCGATAGTAATGGCACCTGCGACAATGGTGATGAGCCAAAAGTCCCACCGCCAACCCTTGGATTCTGTGAGGAATCCTCCGATGACGGGGCCGATGATGGGACCGATCAGAGGACCGACAGTAAAGACAGCCATAACACCAGCCCGCTGCTCGGGGGTGAACATATCGGCGATACTCCCACCACCGTTCGTCATGGGGGCGGCGCCAAACGTACCCGCAAGGAAGCGAAACACGATGAGCGCCCCCATGGACGGGGCCTTGGCGCAGGCGATGGTAAAGGCGAGGAAGAAGACGTTGCAGACGTGGTAGACTGGGACGCGACCGACCATTTCCGAGAGAGGAGCCAGTACCATTGGCCCGAAGGCGAAGCCGAGAACGTACACGGAGACAACGAAGGCAGCAAGCTCTGTGTTCGTAGTATTGAATTCCTGCAATACCAATGGTACTCCTGGCGCAAAGATGGAAGAGGCGAGAGGTTCGACGAAGGTGAGGAGACTTATCAGGGCACAGTTGCTCCATTTCACCCAGTTGGGCCAATTGAGAGGGTTCTCGGGATCATCAGGGCCATCCCAAAACACTATGTTGCCGTCAACTGAGGTTGTCTCAATTTCCTTGTCGTCCACAGTTGCTTTCTCGGGTCCCTTTTCTACATCTGTGTTTTCTTGAGACGGACTCGAGGATGCCTGCGCGCTGCCGTCTGCTTCGCTCGTTTTCGTTATTGCTGCCGGCGGGTTTGTGTCCGTGTCGCTTAGAGCTTCGTCCGGCTTTGCCCCCGTGCTGGATTTATCGTCATCGCCCCGGATGGTAGCTGTTCAGGTAGACGAATTAGTGAAACTCCTTATTAAATTTGAAGAAAGCAGAACGGAGTATTTGCAAAAGACGTACAAAGTAAAGAATTACCAGCTGAGGTTGTGAGCTTGGGTTGCGGATCTACTGCCATGATAACCTCTGCTGCAATGAGCCAGATTACAAGTAATTAGTCAAAACATTAATTATGAGGCTCAAATAAATGAATTATAGAGCACCAAGATTACATAGAGGAGAGAATCTTAGGTTACATAGGGGCCGCGGCTTATAAACATCTGGTCTGGGGAATGTCTGAACGAAGCCGAAGGCTCAGACTGGGATAAATACGTGTATTGGTAGCAATACGCCGTTATTGGAGGAGATAATCCTCAAATACGTGTAAGCTCGCACTTTCCCCTCTATTTTGGCGTTTCCGAGATGACATGGTCTGTCCCTTCGTTATCGCTCTCGTATTGGGGTTCGCTTGTGATCACCGATCAGGCCATGCGAGAGGCACATGTTCCGAGAAATAGGCTCAACGGGTCACGGCGTTTACAAGGGCCAGATGTACGATTAGGGTTGCAATGCAGTGACGGGTATGTGCCCATGGGTTTGCTCAGTACATATTGCAATCAATGGCGGGACAGGGAGGCAGCTAAGATCTCAAATGAACAATAACTCTGAACCCTGTACAACACCACATCTTCATGCAAACAGATTGCAATGTCATATCCCAAGATCTTCTGGCAATGTCTGGATTTGACACATTTGCATCTCTTGTTCGCTAGATTCAGTAAACCACGACCTACCTACATCTAGTCTAAGAAGATGTACAGCCGGAGAACGTTGTTAATATTCTTCTTGACACTTTCGTCCCGACATGGCTGTGGTGACCGTTGATTTAGCTAGAAGGACCTTGAGAAGTTGATTCTCGTTTTCTCTACTTGAACATCCCTCACGTTACTTAGCCATTTTCGTATGCTATACCACTCGAATCTTGGTCAGTTACTAACGTTTTCCCTTAATAGACCCCTTGGGGGATAGTGAGATTTAAGAGCGTTGATGTGATGTATGAATATAATGAGAATTTTCGTACTGATAGCCTATAGATAACGAAAACAAAGGCGCTTTCGGGGTTGGTGAAACATCTTGTGCAGCAGAGGATGTTATGGCTTTTTAAAAATTGGGAAAGTGTATGATATCTATTAAGGGCTGCAAAAACTACCTATGCTATTGGTCTAGCTTCAGCATTAATAGAAAGCAGCAGAGTCCCTCCATTATAGTAACCACTTATCCATTCAATTACGAACTAATAAGACCCTATAGACTAAAGCAACCCACGGATTGGTGGCTTGGGAAGAGGGATATATAGTCAAAAAAAACGACTGAACTGAAGAGAACAAGATAGGTCCCTCCTTGGGTATATCTTTTTGTAATACAATAAGGCGCTTCTCGCGGCCGAGTAGATTCGAGAAGTATTTGGCATTTCAATCCGCGCTACAAAGATATTTCGTACTGGCTAGAAGACAGGCTCCCGGCGGAGTTTATACAGGCTGGTGGAATTATAGGTTTTGTAGAGGGTTTGCATATTTTGATGAAGTATTGACAGCTAAGAGAATGCGACCATGACGTGTGTGCTTCAGCTGTCAAGTAGGTTCACAGTTGGTATCAGGAAATCTGCCCCGCTAATGAAAGTCTGGGGAGAGAAATTGGCAATATGAGGCCAAATGAAACTCACACAGAGTAACCTCGCCTCGATCCCTGTCCCACCCATGCTATCAGAAGGGAGGTGGTCTGATGTAGTAACGGAGGATTCAATTTCCAGAAGTCTGAAAGCCAGAGCGTTCCGTATTAGAAATTGGCTAAATCTATTTCGAAGTATATCCGAGAAAGCTGCATCCGATTATACTTGGTCGGTAGTTGGCCATCGCAGATGCATGTTCACTCGCAACCGTGCCGCGCGGGTCCGTGGCCAGATAACTTGGAATTATGCATCTTGAAACACGATAAGCCTCCACTGGGACCCTTTGGGGCGCCATCCTTGAAAATTGGTTTGACATGACCGGACGGGGGTCGTCAATCAAGGTGCAGAGCTGATGGTTTCCGCTGTTGGATTTGTTCCGGATGTGATGTCTTTCCTCGGCGAAGAAGTCATGGCGGCCTAGATGCAGCTCATAATATCAACCTTGCACCAGACATCAAATCCAATCTGTTATTCCGCTGGATGAACATTCACTTCCTGTCCGGGCATTCATAGTGCCGTTCTAGCATAAACATCTTCAAACGCTTGAGGGACTCACCAACGTCATGTGCACCGAGAGGCGATGGCTTCAGCAAGCCAGATAGACCGACAAGATAGTACTAAGGACATATTAGGAATTACCTTAGTAAGATCCATAATAAAGTAATGTCGAGGTCTATGGAACAAGGAGAAATACCTGTATGTGATGTTCAGGCATATCCTCATATACAGGTGGACTTGGCCCTTTGCCGCGCGGGGCATCCTTGTGTCAAGCACATTTATTCTATTGCAACACTGAGCGGTCTCAAGGGGTGCATGGCGTTTGATCCAACTGGCTACCGTAGGGAGGGCAAATCCGTTCGTCAACACTCGACATGGGTCATCCCTCTTCCCTCGGGTTCAACGCTGATCTATCCCCAGAACCGAATTGGCTAAAAATAAAGAACAAAACCAAATCCTAAGATTGTATAGATATTTAAGCATTGACGTAACCTGTTTCTCGTAGAACGTCAATACTCCAATTGTGTCAACTTACTCTACCACAAACTCTATAAGATCATCACGGATATCGACGACTATTTTGATTGGATAAAATTATCGCTACTTCCACTGCTAAAGAAGACGAATAACTTTTTTTGACCAACTCGCCAAGATGAAGATTTCTTTTCTGACAATTATCACCTGGATCAGCCTAATTATAATGGCTGAGGCTTGCGATAAGAAGAAATATGACCAATGCACTCGAGCCGCAAGAATGGGCTGTGCAGGCGTTTCCGCTGCCATAGTCAGTTGCGCAAGAGTCAGCCGTAAATATAGAGATTGGTTGAACTCGTCCAGTACATTATTTTAACATTGACCGCAGAAAGCGCTTGCCGCAATGGAAAACTGTTTAAAGGTCAGGGTGACTACAAAAAAGCCGTCACCTCCGCTTAGTCTACGGAGTGACACTCTTCGTCTTTCTTTTATTCTTCTTCTTCCAATTTTTTCAGCCCTTTTCATCGTTCAAACTTTTGACCTACATCTCTGGAATTCCAAGAAGGAAGTGATGGGATGATGGTGTTCGTTGCGGATTTTGCGTCTCAAATTTTATTACCCTTTTTCTCTTTTTCTTTAATAGGCGCTTGAATTCAATTATTTTAAATATTTTCATTGATGGTCACATTATCAACGGGTCTGCGTAGTGAGCACTGTTTGTAAATTCCTTGATCCCACCTCGAATTGCTAAGCGAAGATCGGTTACCATGTTTGGAGCAGAACGCAATCGAACTCGACTAATAAGAGGCCATCATAGAAACCTAAAATTTTTGAAGTTGCATCTTAGGCATCGAAAGGATCGATGAAGATGTCTTGGCGCTAAATTGTTGTAGAAAGCATGGTCAATGTTGATGAGTAGGTGTAGGATAGCTTTGTACGTTTGTGAGACGCTTGAATGTCCCAACCAGGGTAGCGCAACACCTTTAAAAAGCAACCCTCTTCTATTTCCAGAAGGATTATCTCAGAAACCTTGTGTCGGCGCAACTTCGGCTCGGTAATATTCAATTGGTGCCTGAAAACTTACGTGCCCCCGGTCCAGGTGCCTTGTCTGCGTGCCGCGTCAAACTTGACACACCGCACCCTTGTTCTTTGATCATATTGACTCCGAACTAATATCAACAATCTCATTCTAGTCCATACAATCACGTCATTATCAATGGAAGATCGCCGAGACATCATCATATCTATACACCCAAAGCACGTAGCCAACATTGTCAGCAGGGAAAAGAACCATGAGTTCCGTAATTACCTTCTTCCTGCTTCAGTCAAGCGACTTTGGATATATGAAACCAGCCCCCTCTCGTCTATCCGATATATCGCAACTATCAGTCAAGGGAAGCGCCCTGGAGAGATATGCAATTCTGATGGGCTAGAGAATGACGAGTTTGATCGTGGCGATCTGGAAGGTTCTGCCAAGTATGCATACGAAGTCTTGAAACTCGAACAGCTGCCAGCATCCTACTCCCTCAGCGACCTCAAGATAAAGGGATGGCTGAAAGGTGCCCCTCAGAAATACTGTTTTCTGAAGCCTGCTATGAGAGAAGCTGCTTCCACCCTACCATTACAGCTTGTGTTTGGGCCAGATGAGCAGACTTTGGACCCCAGTAAGGATGTGAACTCTGATGAAGAAGAAGAGCCTGCCAATGAGCGGCAGAGTGGGAAAAAGCCTTAAGGACTAATTTTTGGCCGTTTCCAAGTCCCTTGGATTCGTCGGCTATCAGCCCAGTGAAGCTAGCGAGGAGGAGGCCGAGGTAAACCAAGATGATGTAGAAGGGGAAGATACCAAGTCTTCATCACAAGACATTGAGGTAACCCGAACTACGTATATCATACGGGCTAGGCTCGTAGCGGTTAGAGGCGAATTGCTCACTGTTCATTGGTTGGAGACCTATAAATGTTTTTTTTTCTTATTATTATTGCTGTGGTTGGTTGCTTTGCGTATTCTGATCTAGGTGGCATTCATTGACGGTTGGTGATGGTCGACGGCAACAGTACTCAAAACCATTTTATCTTTCAAGGTTAGAGAAGTTACTCAGCATTTGTTGGAATTCAAGACAGGCATACACACATCATTAGGCCAGCTTCACCATCCTCGAGATCATATAGTCTTTGTGTTGCGCAGTAGAACTCGGGAAAGGTTCCACTACCTGCATGAACTATGGTTCAAGCTACTCGGTCTACGAGCAATCGAATCGTAAAAGAACCATAGCTCAGCTTTTAACTCAATCTGGCTTAATCCCAGCTCAGATTATGTACATACATGATCACGGCTAAGGTCAAAAATCACAATTGATTTTAAGGCATTGATTTTATTATAGAAAGTTTTGTTTGCCTGTATAAATATTTTGTGCAGGTATAATGTTTATGCACAGAATGTTCTTGAAATGCCGAAAACGACATAGTGCCAAAACGCCAACCAATGAACCAACGCTATGTGTGAAGCTGTCACGTGATAGCTTCCAGGTGTGATGCAATGCTCCAAATGCAACCCAAAGACGAGACGCGACCAATGTTAATCAAACGCTTGAACCAAGTACAACAATCAAGAACCAGATGAAGATGCCCACTAATAATGCGCGAATCTTTTAGAAACTGAATAAACCGCTGCGACGCTTCCCAAATGGATATATCACGAGCGCGCTGATGAACAAGCCAACCGCGATGCCGATTGCGATCTGAATCATGGACGCTGCGACGTCGAACGACACCGTATTGAGCGACTGTCCGTCCGATATCTGCACCGAGCTGGTCGAGTTCACGGTCTGAGACGAGTTGGTCAGCATGTTGGCTGTTTTCAACCCGCTCAACAAGCCTCCCGTCGATGCCAGACCTCCCGGCACCTGGCAGAACACTGCAGGAATGAGGATGGCAGCGGCCACGCCGTGTCGAATTCGAGAATACAGATTGGCCAAGACGCCGACGGCGAACGCGCCGAGCGTGCTGGACACCTGGGGGCTCGCCGCGAACCTAATGCTGCTGAAGTAATTGACGATGTACCCTGCGAACGAGATGATAATTGTGATAGGCATCTGGCGCCATTTGGCTTGATAGAGGATGCATATACAGACGACGAACAACGGCACAAACACAAACGTGAGGTACGAATCCATTGGATCTGTACATGTTGTCGCGGAGGTCGCGTTGCTATCGAAGAGACCGTAGAGGGCTGCGCCGACCGTGATGCCGAATCCCAGCAGCAGAGAGTAGATGATTGCGTAGACGATGCGGATTGACCCAGGGACGAGTGCGCGAGACTGTAGCTCGAGTGACGAACACACTGTTCTGTGTTAGGAACCAAGAAAAATAGTAAATCAAGCGAGAGATTCAGTACTTACAGACTGCATATCCCGGCAGAAGCATCACGATTCCTCCCTGAGCAAGAGACGAGAAGCAAAACAACTCCCCATTCTTGATACTGCCGAAAGCTCTGGCCAGGAAACTGACCAGAACGGTCGCGCTGACTTCAAACACGTTGTTGTAGAGGTTGGACTTGGGCGCCACGATAAGCTGCAGCAGCCCGACGAGGCAGCCAAAGAAGAAACAAAGGGGTAGGTCGATGAAGCGCGCCTTGAAAGAGAAGGGTGCCGCAACGGCACTCGTGAAGCCAAAAATCAACACGCGGAACCAGGCAGGGAATTTGTCCTTGGCATTGATGCGCTCCTCGAGCCTCTTGGTGCCTTCCTCGACGCCGATCACATCGTGCATCACCTCCTTGTAAATCTGGTGGACGTCCTTGAGCTTCCCCAGGTCGATGCCCTGGGCCGTGCGGACGATGCGCACTTCCGTAGTGTGGGTTGACTTGTCGTCGAAGGAGATGATCATGCAGCCCGGGAGGTACAGGAACTGGCCGTCAATCTCGAGCACGCGCGCCGTCATGCTCAGGTACTCCTCCAGGCGGTGCGTCGGCGCCCCGAAGAGCATCAGGGCGCGGCAGAGCTTGACGATGTAGTCCTGCCGGGCGAGAGTCTCGGCGATGTGCACCGTGATGCGCGCCTCCTCCTTCTGCCAGTACTGGCTCAGCCTCGAGCTGCTGCCATTGCGCTTATGCCGCTTCTTATCGAAGGGACCCAACTTGGGAGATTCAGAGGCTGTTGGCAGGTTGGGGTTGGCGAGCCGTGTTGAGGCTTCAATCAGGTTGGCCAGAGTATCCTGGGAGCGGTTCTGTTCGTACCACTTTCTACGTGTGGGCGTCGTTGCTCCTGAGTTGGATCCCCCGGTCCCTGTGCTAGAATGGCGCTTGTGCGAGCTCATGCCGCCGCCCTCGGCGGGCTTGTAGAGCTTCAGAAGTTGGGACAGGACGCTACCACGGTAGTGTTGAGGCACCGGTACATTATACACGCCGTCGTACGACCCGTCGTGGACCTCGCTTGGGATGATGGTGGTGCTGTCGACAACGGCAGATTCGCCCGCTGGTTCATCCGTGGCCCGCCCTCGGATCACCTGAGTATGCGCTCGAACGAGGTTGAAGGCCTCGCGCTGCAGCTGTTCATGCGCCTCGTCCGCTCCCACGGCGGTCTGGCTGTCCCCTCCTTCGCTGGTTCCCTGGGATTGCGTTAGGTTCTGGAGTGGGATATTCTCATAAAGAAGAGGCCCATAACTGTCAGTCATCGCCGTTCCAGGGCGAGACTCCAGTGAGGTGCGGGAGGATGGTGTAAGCGAGTCTCTTCGGACCTTCTCCGCCACCCGATTTGCGCGAGCCTGCGCCAGCGCGGCCTGGATGGCCTCCTCACTCCTCTCGTCCATCAATTCGTCGTGGTCCTGCCCGCTGGTGTTGGAGGTGTATGAGCTACCACGAAGGATGGAAGGTCTTGGCGGTCTGATTACAGGAACTTCCCGTGGCTCCGGCTCCTGGAGGGTTGAGCTTGTGGGAACGATGATCGTCGGCGGCTTGTTTGCTGCGGCTGTGCTGTTGAACCGCACGCGAGCCTTTTCCTTCTTCACGGCCGCGATGGCCTCGGCTGTCTGCGGGCTTGGAGGGGTGTCGGTCGACGGAGCGCTTCCATCTTGGCTTTCGGCGGCTGTGCTCCCGATGTTGGTGTCTGGGTAAGGGTCGGGGTAAGGGTCAGGGTCATCTTGGGCAGAGGATTTCGGTGTTCCTTCCATATCAAATACTGATGAGGAGGCTGGATGACAGATGGGACAGTGGATGGCTTGGGGAAATGTTTTTCGATTAGACGTATATGAATGGTGCTACCTAACAAGATCTATAGAGACGTGAGTGAGGTGGGAGAGAGGGGATGACTTATATCGGCCTTGCTTGGGGATGATGGAGGCAAGTGGACCAGGTCAGAGCCAAGCTTCCCTATATCGGAGACCAAATAGGCTCAATTACGACAATTAATGCGCCAGCTGCTGCCTCTGACCCACGGCGCTTGCTAAGCGGGTGTGGAAACGATTGTCTGAGCTTTCTTTCCCTCCGTTTGCGTGCTCGTGTTCCAAACCCAGCATCTAGAGCTAGAAGCTGCCGTGGGTCGTCCCGGGGCTCGGTGCTCAGTATCCGCGTCAGCGACCCAAGCAAGATCGTGACCGGCCCAGCACAGCCATAATAATGGTTTCTCCGGGCCTAGTTTTCAGTCAGGCAAACGTCAGACTGCAAGGACGAGGGCCCGGCGCCTGAATTGGACAATGGTTTGATGAAGAGGGTGCTTCCGGAGGGCCATGACAGAGTTTTTGTTATGTAATTAGTTGCGGATTAGGCAGTGCGTGGCCAAGTGTCAATCCCTTTCCTTCTCAAGACGATCCGCCGTCAACAGCTTGCTTGCGTGTATACGGTGGATTGGAATGGATTCAGGGCACGGTATGGAGATGGTCAGTGGCCCCGTAACAGTGAATCCTCCATGCACTTCCCTTATGATCATGGCGAAAGAGAAGCACTTTAGCTGTCAGTCTAGTGAAGGAGCCTTCGTCAGCCATCTGGAGAGAGAGTTGGAGCTTACGATGCCGATCCTGCTTGAGTACGAGGGAACGATTGGCAATATGAAGGGAGTGGGCAAGAGTCAGTCGTGAGAAGCGACGGCATACCAAGTTCCCGTTCCCCGAGTCATCCCCAGGTTGTAGCATCATGCAGGTACTTTGCACCATTGGGGCGGCAGCTCGGGTAGGCCACTTGCATTTGCTTGGCGTTTTGGGTTTCAGGGAGCAAACGCCCAATGCAGGTCGCATCTGGGGACCACGAGACTCCTGTCAGATCCGGCCATGAGGGAGACAGTGTTCTGAGTACCGGGTAAGGTCGGTTGTTGCCGCTGCACGAATCCCCAAATTGATGCCTATCCGGGTAAAGTCGAATGGGTACGACTCCATCATCGATCATGACGGTGAAGGAAGAATTGCAAAGCTAGCATTTCGTAGTCCGTAGTCTGCTGGTCCTAGTGGAAGCTCTCGCCTTCGCCCCCAAGGCCAAGGCAAGCCCTTTCCGCCCTCTGCAGTAGATCGGCTTATTTACATACAGATTCGTCTTTGTCACGCCAGCCAACCACTCAATTTGGACGTCAACGGCAAACGACACATAATTGAATGTCCAATGATGCAATATGGCGGGATTGTATCACGGGATCTGAGCCGTGCAGAAAGGAGCCTTGCCCGTGGCCTGAAAATTCTTCTCCCAACATTAGCATAAAGCCAAAGGCATAACCGAGGAGGCTCAGTGGTGACTGACAATGGCAGCATCGTATTTTTCCTGCTCCAAGTGGAGACCAGTTGAAACTTTCTCTCGTCTTACGCCGCCACTTTCGGGCCCTTTTAATGGCCACGAGTGCCCTAGTACAAGAATAGTAATAGAAGGGAACAGAGCACAGATCACCTCAACGCCCCTAGAGCCGAGACTTGATGAATTCTAAATTAGAGTGCTCAGTAGCCGCCAGGGCAGGCCGGTCATGTGCCTTGCAGAATCTGAACTGAACCGAAGAGCTTGGCTCGAACTTCACGTGCGTCCAGTGCTCCCAACGACAGGGCAACAGGGGAAGATCCGTGCCCAGGTACCAGTCTAGGGCTTGAGGTTTGCCTCATCCCCACCATATGTCCCCGAATTCCAGAAGCCTGGATTATTTTGGTGATGAATCTAGGGCAACTTAGCTGCTTTTGGCATAGCAAGGGGGCCATCTGATGGTCTTCACTGGTGCCGTCATGGCATACTGTATACCTAAAATCTTCTACGCCGGAAGGACACCCGATTTTGCCTGGGCCAACATGTACCAGCACTCTCGGAGCCCTCCCGGAGCGTGGCAGAGAGCCGGCAGTGGTGCCCATTCTTGAAAATAGATGTTTCGTGATGAAAATATTGAATGGCAGTGCCAGATGCAAGACCTATTTTTAATTATGGATACTAGTTGCCAATAAACGGCGTGTGCGCATTGAATAATTGTCGTCATCCCTCCACTGACGTTCTTTCTGTTCCCTCTGCGATTGAGTCCTTGCAGCAACTCCGCGGAAGCCTCGGGCGCCCGGCATGAAGAGATGCCAGGCCCCGGTCCATGGAGACAGACTTGCACGTACTCGTACGCACCTCATTTTCTGCCACCTCTGGATGCGAACACGGAGATATAAACTATTCTATGGATTTTAATAGAGCCCAGTCTGCTGTGATATCCCTCTCCAGGATAGAATACCTACACCGTCGCAGGTGGTGGCTTGAAGCTTTGCGACGACTCGAGAAAGAATGATGATGGGCCAAGTAAGCAACTTTCCTCTCACCAGCTAGGAGGATTACGGACATGCGAAATCTACTCTAATGGTCCGATTCAACAACTCCTCTCCGCCGAATTCAACCTCCTGAGCTTGCTCTGGCGGTGTTGGGAGCCAGAGCCTGTGGCGTAATACTGCACGAGGAGGTCAGATGCATCAAGACTGAATATTAGATATTAGCTCGCTTAACTAGCTAATGATAAAAAAAAACAAATTCATCCCGCTGAGTTTTACCACCTCCTTCAATTACTTCCGCTCCTTTTTTTTTTCTCGTTATTTCATTTTCTTTCCTTCTCCGGTTTCATCGATTAAACACTTGCTCTCTCCTTTACTCCATTCCTCCACTGTCTCTTCTCACATCCCACTTTCATCACTCCTTTTGTAATAAAGCAACGTGCTCTTTGGAAATTCCATCGGTATACTGGCTCAAGATCATGCTGAACTCGTCCGTCGGATGTTCGACTCATCCTTGTCAGCGCTCCAGGAACTCGACTCCCCGGGGTGGACGTGGTTGATGTACATGGTGTCAATCTCTTCGAGGGTCCGGTCCTTGGATTCAATGACGAAGAGGTAGACAATCGCGGCGAGCGCGGCACAGGAGCAGGCGAAGACGAGACCATAGAAGTAGTCAATCTCATCGATGATGAACCGGGTGAAGAAGGAAATCATGAAGTTCCAGAACCAGTTGGCAGCAGTGGCGAGGCCCATGCAGGTTCCGCGGTATCGGAGAGGGAATAACTCTGCGTTGACGGCCCACGCGAGAGGACCCCAGCTCACGGCAAAGGCAGCGATAGCCAGGCATGAAAAGGTGACAAGCAGTGTTCCGGCGAGGGGGGTGTTTGCGGGAGTCTCACGGTCGAGCGCAAAACGACCAACAAAAGCGTAAACCCTAGAATATACGAAGTTAGAATCGAGTCGCCGAACTTAAGGGGGTGGCAACGGTAAAACATACAAGAAGCAGACGGTCATCCAAACAGCTCCGGTAATCAGGATAGATCGACGGCCCCATCGTTGGACAATCCAAAGGCCGACGATGGTACAGAAGACATTGACGGAACCCAAGATGATCATGGTCGTATAGCTATTACTGATGCCGGTGGAAGCAAAGAGAGTGGTGCCGAAATAGAAGAAAAAGTTGATACCAGTGAGTTGTTGTCCGGCCATGAGAGTGATTCCGAGAACTGTACGGTAGAACATGCGAGGAGCAGTGAAGATCTCTGTCCAGCTGAAGCCATCAGCGCTCTTACTCTCTTCGTCCAGCTGGTCTTGGATATCGGTAATTTGGCCCGAGACTTCAGAAGACATCAGATCAAGACCTGCCAGATTGGCAATAGTCTTGCGGGCTTCCTGAATTTTGCCTTGGGAGCAAGCATATCGAGGGCTTTCGGGAAGGAACAGGATGCCCACGCCGAGGACGACGGCCCAACCAAAGGTCAGCCCGTTGGGAATTCGCCAAGACATGCTCGTTGGGTTCGATTCAGTGCCCCAGTTGACCATTTCGGAAGCCAAGATACCGAGAGTGATGAGTAGCTGGTAAGATGAGACAACAACGCCTCGAAGAGAGGCGGGGACGCTTTCTGACTGATACATGGGGACGACGACGGACAAGGAGCCAATGCTGAGACCTGTAACCAAGCGGCCGACGGAAAACTGTGCCCAGGAAGATTGGGAGGAGATCTCAATAGCGGTACCGATACAAGTGAAGAAGGCAGACAGGGAGATGGTGAGGCGTCGACCAAAAGCGTCGGCCATTTTACCGGAGGCGAGCGCACCGAAGAGAGCTCCAACACAGAGAAGACCGACGATTGTGCCCTGGCGGACGGCACTGAAGGAGAATTTTCCATTGGGTTCTGGGGTACCGAATCTCTGGCCAAAGTCGTTCATGAGAAAGAATCCTGAAATTTGTCCACTTGGTCGAGAGTCAGCTCAGTCTTCTGCGTGAATCGGGGATGGGGGCATCATACCTGACATAACCGAAGATGAAGCCTCCGATACTAGCCACAGCACCTAGCATGCAGGCCAGGAAGGTGACCTTTTGGCCCGAGGTAGACATTGTGTTTTCCGTGGGCTTAGTCGGAGAAGGATGTAATGATGATGTGTTATGGAGTTGTAGTAATGGTGAGTAAATCGATATTCTCTGACACTTCAATAACGCGATGTGATATTTGCCTGGGGAAGTTTGAGGGGAAACCAGGAAGCGAAGAGGACGAAAAGCCGTGGCTCTTTATAGGTAAACAAACAAGCACGACAGTGAACTTTACTCGCGTCTTTTACAACGTGGTGGTTGCCCGAGGTTGTTTAACCTTGCGCATGCCGAAACCTAAACCTACAGGAGTCAACCTACGTGTTTTGCAATGGCGCAAATTGGCAGGATGATAAAAAAGGTGAGAGTGAGGAGGATATTCGAAAAAAAAAAACCTCCAAACGGTAGGCGGCTTCGAGAGCGTTCGCCTGAACGTGTCGCTCTTTCTCTCCTTCTCATATGGATCGGAGGAGGTGGTGAGGAGCAAAGCCTCCTCTCCCGACCAGCAAAGACAAAATAAATAAACAAGCTTTTCGAGATCATGAGATTTCGCGCAGGTATGATCAGATACTTCTTTGTCCAAAAGCCAGGCCACCGCCCAGGATGATTAGCAGGGGAATGGTCCAGACAGTCAGGTGATCGTATAAGCTTTGACATATTGACCTAGAGCATATACTTCTGAAGGCTCTTTCCTCGGGAGTGATGGCGGGAGGCTTAGAAAGCAAAAAAAAGCCCTGGAGAATGAGGAAAAGTCATCTTGAAGGCTGCGGAAAACTCAACCCAGAGGAGTGGCTACAACAAACTTTTCAGATTTCCAAGTGGCGTGGCACATTTATGAAGTTGTGCTAGGTTGTTCTGCCCGATGTCGACCAAGAGTGCGTTTAAGTGTATTTGGATTTGGTCTATTTAGTTTGCCACAGGTTGCAAGAAAACGAAGGCATGCTAGGTTTACAGAGCGATTCTTTTCCGTCCAACTTCAACCGTGATATGACCAATCCTAGACTCAAACACACTACAGAGGAGAATAATTGTGGGTTTCCGGCCAGTACCGGGCTATTCTTGTACGTAATTAGAATGGCAATGGCTCTGTTAGGGGAACTTTCTCGTTGGCATCTGGTGCTATGCTACATTATATGCAATAGAGGGGACATATAAAAGGCCCTTTCTACACATTCAGTTTCAACCTTTGAAATAGTTGAAGGAGAAAACTGTCCAACTGGTGGTTTCAAGGCCCGCCGAGTTCATTTTTCAGCGTGATTTAATTCAAAAATGAAACACTGGGATACCATCCGAGCCTCATGGCCTCTTCGGATTATGGGAAAGGGTTGGGATCACCGGGTCGGATCTTTCTGATAGAAAATATTGCAGCATTCGAACTTGTTATTAACTATATGAGGTGAAGGCGCCTGAGATCTCCCAAGCCGAAGACGTTCAAGAACCAGCGGTACGGTTCTTCACTCGGTTATCCTCTTAGGTCCTGATCGATTACCGTCTAGTTGTACAAATATCGCTAGAGCTAAGTATTCTACGGCATTCTAGATCTATTTTATTCTTTTATTCAGCATCAGTAAATTAGAGATATAAACTGATGCAGGTATAGGTCTAGAGAGGAGCCATGAAGAAGAAGAAAAGTTGCCCTAGAAGTGCAAATAAGAATCTGCGGGGTTGCAATCCACACAGCCTTCATCTAGCCGGATTCTCTCCTCACGTTATTCGAAGAGGTTACAAGGTATCATGTGGGTGATATACATTTTGATTGGATCTACAATGTTGGGGCTGGCCCTGGCGAGTCCAAATCCCGCGCAAATGAAATCATCGGCATTTTCAGTTGCAGGAACTAGACAATCCATACAGGTCCTGTTGTCCTCGGCATATGAGCAGATGCTACCCCATTTAGGCACGCAGGAAGAACGGGAGGGGGAGTTTAAAGTGACGATCCCGCCTAAATTGAATCCTGGAGCCGTCTTGATACTATTGGAGCGCCTCTCTTCACAGCCCCGCATCCTTACTTTGGCATCGCAGTGACATCCACCTGTGTCCAGATGATTCTTGGAATGATGGAAATTGGTCGCAACTATTGAACCGAATGACCGAATACGGTATGCCTTTCTTGAGTGTTATGACCCACCGATGATCAGTGATATTCATGGATCATAAGAAGGCCCTCGCCTGCTCGAACCCTGCGATGAACGCATCTGCTGGTGAGGTTGTCTGTCTCAATCGACCTATCATTTCGTTCCGTTCTCTGCTTCTTATCTTTGTTTGAGTCAGACGCCATGAAGGGAGGATATCTTCTTCTCTCAGGCCTGCTGAGCTTGGCGCAAGTCGTGACTTCTGCTCCGACAGTCAATCTTGCCCAGTCTTTGGCAGTAAGAGATGAGCCCACGAAGGTTGTGAGCTCCGTCCCCAGCACGACATTCGCCGACAAGACAATATTCTCCCCACCCACAGACGCTGGCTGGACGGATCCCCGGGTTCTGTATGCCCGGATGATCCAGCTCGAGAGCGGCGCCCTTCTTGCAACTTGGGAGAACTACTCCCCAGAGCCGCCACTTGTCTACTATCCAATCTATCAGTCTCTCGATGGCGGACTGAACTGGGCAGAAATCGGCCGTGTCACAGACGACGTCAACGGTTGGGGTAACCGATACCAACCGTTTCTCTATCAATTGCCACAAGCTATTGGTGATTTCCCTGCTGGAACTATTCTCTGCGCAGGAAATAGCCTTCCTTCAGATCTTAAGCACACCAAAATCGACGTGTATGCAAGCAGAGATCAAGGCTTCACGTGGGAGTTTGTTAGCAGTGTCGCTAGTGGAGGCGAGGGTCGACCGGTGAACGGCTTAACGCCCGTCTGGGAACCCTTCATCCTGTATGTTCATCACTTTTTGGTTCGAGCATTTATTAGGCACTAACTTCTTCAATAGGACCTACAAGAACCAGTTGATCTTGTATTACGCTGACCAGCGTGATCCAGCTTATGGCCAAAAACTGAGCCACCAGGTCACCACCAACCTTCTAGAGTGGTCCGACCCTGTGAACGACGTTGTGACTGTCGGCAACTACGAGGGCCGCCCTGGCATGCCCGTTATCACAAAGCTACCAAATTGCAATTACATCTTTACCTACGAACAGTGCGGCAACGACGGCTGCAGGATTCACTACCGCCTCGGCCCTGACCCGCTGGACTTCCTCAACGCGCCTGACTACTCGGTCCGCTCTGACAAGGGGACAAGGCCATCGAGCTCTCCCTATGTGGTCTGGAGTAGCCTTGGCGGGGGCAATGGAACAATCATCCTCAGCGCCGCAACTACAGACAAGATCTACGTGAACAAGAATTTGGGTGCCGCGGACTCATGGATCGAGTTCAACACGCCGCAGCCTCGGGCTTACACCAGGGCTCTCATGGTCTACCGCGATGATCCTAATCTTCTGGGCATTATTGGCGCGGGGTGGCTGCCACCAAGTGCCGTCAACTACGTTAGCAATGCTGCAATTGATTTGACCGCGTTGGGTGTCTGAAGATCTCGGCCTTCGGTGTTCCTTGCAATATGTGCAATGCTAGCCATGGAAAGTTCTAGGGGAACCAAGAAAGCTAGAATTGTGTAGAGTAAATAGTATGGCAAATGAAAGAAAAGTAGAGGTTCATGCATTGAAATGCGATTATAACGCCGCCCATCATGCGTCTTATGACTATTCAAGGTTATATTGGAATGAGCCATGATAGCTAGAGTTGTAACCTATGATCTTTGCATCAAGAAAAATCCTTCCAGAGACCAATAGGCACGCGACTCGCTCGTAGGTCGGGAACACCAAAAATGGCGGAGGGCACCTCTTTCTATTCCGCAAAGGCATTACTCACTCTTGGCCGGGGCCGTTCTCATGCTCCTCTTGTAAATCCTGAAGGCCAATGCATTGGTCCCTAGTACAGCGGCGATGGTCGTACTTATTGCACATGATCGGTTAGCAAAGCACAGATTGGTAATGAAGGCGGAACCAACCCAACAACTCCGAAGAGTGAGATCAATGTTGTCTTCAGTATGTCTTCATCTTCAGGCGTAGGAAGCCAACCGGATATACGAGCGGTGCCGTTCAGGACGAAGACGCAATTGAAGAAGACGCCAATAAGGAGGAGCAATTGAAGAAGCGCTCTGGGTCGACTCTCCTGGATTCGTTCTTCAATTTTGCTGAACCGGCCGATGATCCCATTTGAACCATAGCCTCCGAATATGGCCTGATCAATTGGTTAGGAAAACTTGATACGACAAACGAGGATACGACAGAGGGACTTACAATGACAGCGACGTAGACGAGCCAGTCCTGTGTGCGTCTGGTCGTCTGGAGACTGTGCACGATGACAGCTGCCGGTGTGGCACAACCGGCGTAAAAGAAGACGTCGGCAATGTGAGAAGCAAGCGACTTTGACATTGCGACGGTTTGGTGGGCTCAGAAGCGCACGAAGACGGTCTGTTCGGTGATGAGAGTGAAAGGTCACGGTGTTGGAGGGGGGAAATGGAAAGGATTTAGCCTGGGAAAAGAGTCTGCCACATATCTCATATCTCACTGATAATCAGAGCCGCCACACACTTCTTGGCGCGAGATGATTGATTTGACATGATTTATTTTCCTCTCTGGTTGGTACAACAAATTCCTGGGCGGATCCTGAATCAGGCGACTTGGACGAGAGACTCACAGCGATTGATCTCAGTCCTCTATTTATTTTATTTAGCATTCAACACGTCGCTGATCATAATTATCGCTATCTACAGACGCGCTTTAGGCACACCCTCTACAATTTCACGGGCTTCCGCATTCAGCCGGCGCCACATGTCTTTCCTTAGCTCGTGGCCATCCATAAAGGCGCGGAACCATTCACGCCTAAACTTTGGCAGCTTTCTCCCAACACCGTCTTTCGGTTCTCCTGCCAGTGCGCGAATTGTCTCGAAGTACTCCTCGAAGTTGGGGAAGACCAGCAGGAACTTGCCACCGTCTCCCCGTGCCTTGATCCGGTCCGCCTCCCACTTGCGCATCACGTCGAGCGGCGGCAATTGAGCGCGACCGGCCAGCAGCCTCGCAGCATAAACCGCCTGCCATTCGAAGATCTTGAAAGTCAGTCCCGCCCCCACGGCGCCGACGAACAGCAGCGTGGGGTCGTGCTGCCAGACGATGTGCTGGTAGAGATCGGGGACGCGGTTGTTGCGGACGGGGACAGAAGGGAGGAAAGGTAGTGTCCAGCTGTAGCCCGTCCCGAATATGATGTGGTCGACGTTGGAGATGGTCTGCCCATTCTCCAGGTGGACGGTGCGGCCGATGCTGGACACGCTCTTGATCGAGGGATGGTTCTGGATGTTCGGGTGATGGAACGCACCGTCCCCGAAGTACGCATTGGCAGCATGGCCAATGGTGATGGCATGGACGAATCCAGGACCCTGCGCGACTCTGGCCAGATCAAATGCGATGTCTGCTGCAGAGACTGAAGCGCCCACGACGACCACCCGCTTGCCCTTGTAGAGATCTCTCCCCCGGAAGTGCTTGCTGTGAAGCACACTCCCTGGCCGCAGCTTCTCGAACTCGTCGATGCCCTTGATGGCCGGGATGTACGGCACTGAATAGTGTCCGCTCGCGACGACGACGGCATCGAACCATTCCACCCACCAGTAGTCGCTCTCCTCCCCGTCCTTGCGCAGCGTCACCTTCCACTCGGCACCGACCTTCTCCACGTTCTCCACGGTTGTGCTGTAGGAAACAAAGTCGCTGTAGCCTCTCCTGTTCACCAATCCTTCGACGTACTGCCTCATGACACGCCAGTGTCGAAATGGCGTATCCGGTCCATGCGCGGCTATCGACCGATCGCTCCGTTCGGCCGCAATCGCCTCTTGGCTGAATTGCATAGGCACATCTGCGACATTGGTCTCGAGGTACGGATACACGGATGACTCGGTGAAGCGCGGCCGGTCGGATTTGGGTGTGAAGGCCGGGAGCTTCTCAGGAATCGCCAGCGGTGAGTCGGCAGTTCTGTCGGCGAGGCCTTTGAAGTCTGAGATGGCCGGAGGGGGGTCAGAGTCGCCGATCCTACATGTCGTTCTTCATCTCAGTAAACGAGCTGCGAGCCTAGTCGTGACTAGACTTACCAGCATCCTCCAGCGGCTTCGCGCCGTTCAAACACTCGAACGAGGTCGAATGCCTTCTCTTGTGCCAGGGCGTCAATTGCGATCGCGCCCGCGGGACCTGCGCCAATGACGGCCACGCGCTTAATAGGCGGGCCGGTCATTTCAGATGCGCTGGATAGACACTGACTGATTCCAATGCCAATTGAGCCGGGCAGTGTTCTACAGATCTATCCAAGGGCAGAACAATGGCAGGTGAGGAAGAGAGTCGAATTGGACAACCGCTGGACCGAGATCGCGGCCACTAACCAGCTTTGAGAAACGCTCCGTCAGAGCATGTGGGGGGTTAAAACTGGTTAAAACTACTGACGCGATCGAATCCCACCAAGCACGCCATCGCAGGTGGAACGAGGAGCACCTCCACAGTCTTGAATATGATATTAGCTACGGCCGTTCCTGACTTGGTTTCCCTTTTGTGTTTATCGAGTCTTCATGCAAGCCTCTGGCCGTACCTTGTTGCTACTTAGGGTGAGCTCGACTCTAAGAGCCACACATTCAGCCTTGATAAATGATCGTAGAGGATAGGTTCATACATTTTAAAGTAGACGTGCATGTCTGACAGGGCAAGGGTCCAACGTTGCAGTTGAATTAGGTAGCATATCTAGCGCCGATGGTGCCATCGATGTTGTCACCAATGCCACGGTTATTTCTCGCCAAGTGGTCTCGTCAAGTAGCTTAATTTGAGGTGGTGTGTAGAATAATATTGTTGAAAAGACCTCAATTCCTTTCATGAATAAAGGCCTGACAGGCAGTCTCATCCATTCCTAAGCTGACGACAAAGGGGCGATCGTCTCAACCGCTTTGGCCGATATCAAGCCCCGGCAACATGGCGATTGGTGATGAATCCCCGCGGGACCATCATCCCGAAGAGAAAACTGTGGAGGGGACAGCTTCCAGCGATGGCCCCATCGAGACTGCAGAATGGGACCTCAAGGTCGAGGCTCGAGCTCGAAGAAAGTAAGACAGAAATCGTCCCCTTAGCAGCCTAGAGTGAGGCCCAGGCTAACAATAGAATGCGTAACATATAGGGTCGATTCTTCTGTCTTGCTCCTTCTATTCCTTGGATTGCTGGTTTTCCAATTAGACAGAATGAATCTGGCCAGCGCGCTCACCGGAGGCTTCGCGACAGATATCAAAGTGACGCAGGATACCATCAACTTGGGCAATCAACTCATGTTTATGGGCATCGTCGTCCTGGAAATACCTTGTAACATGGCACTTCAACGAGTAAGACACCTCCTCCCATTTGGTCTCGCATAACTAAATCTCTAAATAGTTGGGCCCTCGTAAATGGATATCCGGACAAGTCTTCGTCTTTGGTCTTGTCGCGACATTGCAGCTGTTGCTCAAAAACCGTACAGGCTTTCTCGTGTCTCGCCTCGTGCTGGGCCTCGCGGAGGCTGGTTACATCCCTGGGGCCATCTACACCTTGTCCACTTGGTACACAAAAAGGGAGCTGGCGAAGCGAGTGGCAGTTCTCTTTTTCGGTATGTTTGGCGGGAATGCTCTCAGCCCCTTACTGGCCTCCGGAATACTGAAGCTCGACGGTTCGCGTGGCCTTCGGGGATGGCAGTGGCTCTTTCTTCGTAAGTTACGATCTCGAACCTCTATTCTTGCATTCCTAACATCCTTTCATATAGTTGAAGGATTGTTCACCATTTGTGTTTCATTTCTCTTGCTCCTGTTCTTGCCTGGAAGCCCTGATATACCGAAGCCTCTTATCGGAAGAGGCTTGATCAATTTTTCTAGCGACGATAAAAAGGTCTTGCAAAGCCGACTGGAAGCAGACGATCTTGGAAAGCGCCCGGGAGCTCAAGGTCTCCCCATAGACTGGAAACTAGTTTGGAGTACCGTGTCTCATTATCGTCGATGGCCACATTACGTCTCAACATTCGCCGTCTTCTCCACATGGTCTCCTCTCACAACCTATACGCCCTCGATCATCATGTTAGTTGTACTATTAACCTATCCGTTTTTGTGAAGATTCTAATCCAGCTCGAAAGGTCTCTTGGGTTCGAACGTATTACGGCCAACGCTTTAGCCTCAGTGGGCGCATTCATCGCACTATTTATAGTTTTCACATTTGCATACATCAGTGACCGCACTGGCTATAGAGGAGGGTCCGTCATTCTCGCTCACGTCTGTTATCTCATAGTCCTCATTACAGCCCGCCAAGCCCATCCTCATGTAGGGAAATGGTCTCGGTGGGGACTGTGGACAGCAGTCAACAGCTTTGCTGTGGGATACCATCCAGTTCACAACACCTGGGTGCAGCTGAACTGTGTTGACGCAGGAGAGAGAAGTATCGCGATTGCGTAAGTTAATGCTATAAGATTATCTGTTAGATTCTTACTATACTAATGACTTTACTCTTAGAATGTGGGTTATGTCTGCTATCAGTGGTCTGATGGTAGGGACTCAGTATTTTAGAGCTAACGATACGCCATTGTCAGTCACCCTATCGAGGACCCTAATTTTGTATTAGTGCTAACAAACTTCAAAGTTATCAAACCGGACTTCGGACTATGATAATCATGGTATCTGTGGGAATGGCCTTCGCAATCATCCAGGTTCTGGTCTACAGCATACACAACAAACGTGTAGCTAAGAGAGGGGCCCAAGAACAAGAACGGCCCGTCCAGCTCTATACGATATAATCACCTGGAGATTAATTCAGGATTCTCTTGTAGTGTTACTATTCACTCTACTATTGTCCATTAAGGTCAAGCTTTACAGGAGCTACTTCCACACCAATATCCAGTTCCGCCATTTTTGCTGCGTGTTCGTGAAATAACAACTCGGAATTTTTTATGGGGATGCGAGAGATGCCCTCTTCAGTGGTGATTGGTCTTAAGTGTATCGTTATTCGTAGAAATATAAATATATGTGGCAGAGCCAACCCTATCATCTTCACTGAGTGAAGCATCAAACCGCAACCTCAACGGTCCCCTTGTCCTATTACTTCCAACTCTAACATCAAGCCAACTCAGCCCTACGCTCGCCCTCCGAGCTAAGCTCACTCGGTAGGTGTGCATGGCCCGGGGTTGACCGAGACCTGGACGAATCCGGTGTCCCAGATGAGGCTGTTGGGAATCGAGGCGGCGGTGGCATCATCCCCGGGCTCCACCCGCTGGCTGCCACAGATCGTCCGTCAATCTCAGAGGGCTGCTGCTCGACTTCAACCATCTCCCCAGCTTTCCCGTTGCGCCGTCGGAGTACGAAGAAGATCAGGACTCCTATGAGTGCCAGTGCAGCCAGTCCTCCAACAACTCCACCAGCGATCGCACCTGTGTTGTTTGGTTTGGAGTCGGAAGACGTCTTGTCGAGATCTTGGTTGGTCTGGTCGGTTGTGCTGCCGGATGTCGTGGTTGCGCCGGGACTGGCGCTGGAAGTGGTGCTTGATGAGTCTTTCTTGGCGAAAAGCGACTTGACATCGTCTGACCATTCTACACGGTCCAAGCCTCTGTATATCACATTTTGGTCAGTGTCTGCAGCTTTATCGTCGGCCCTTTAGTTGTTTATACGTACCCTTGGTCATACCACTTCTGGACAAGGTCGGGGGTCCTGTAGGCTGGAGCATCAGGTGTAAACTCGTCCTTCCACTTCAGCTCTGTCAAATCAAAGATGCCGAGTCCCTTCGGATAAGAGTCTTTGACAGTCCATCCGCCGAACACTCCAGCACCTCCAACGGTCACCATTTGGCGGTTTCCAGCCACTACGCAGTCGAATTCCGTTCTCGGGTCTTTATCGAAGTCCACCTTGGCCCAGTTGAAGCCTGGAATCGTCAGGACGTACATGTCGTCTAGAATCTTTCCATAGTCTTGATTCCAACCCCCATAGATGAATCTGATATTCTCTTCACGTTAGATAATCCAATGCCAAAATACGTCATGACTGCAGACTCACATCTCGTAGGTGCCATTGCCTTGCACGCCAACGGAACAGTGGTGATTTCTCATCTGTGGCTTAGTGCCGGTTGTTGGTTGTTTGTACCATTTCATGGTGACTGGGTCGAAAAAGTGCACGGTTTCGAATGACAGATGATTCGTGGCTTTAGGTATTGTGTGCTCCAGTCCTCCAAGCAACATGATCAGTCCGTTCGGCCCAAAGCTGGGTATGTATGTAGCGGTCGCCGCGTTGACTGTCCCGTCGTCTGAAAACGGAGCCTCGGTATGGTTTTTCCACTCCTTGGTCGTAAAGTTGTAGGAGACAACACCGGGAATGTCCGAGTTGGCATCCGTGTGAGTCTCCGGGAAGGCGCTTCCTCCTATCCAAAACCCGGCATCCTCGGTGCTGACATATGCCCCGTCTTCGGATCGAACCAGGTCGTCAAAAGAGTGATTGTCGTCTTCGGTGCTCCAGGCGCCGCCCCCTTTGTCGTCGGCGACAAACTTCCACACTTTTACAGGTGGTGGTACCCCCCAAGGTGTGCGGAAAATACGGCCTCCCCAAATATAAAAGGTCTTTTTGGCATCGTCGTGGAAGAACGCATTTTTCCATAGCGGCGAAACGGAATCGGGCTTCTCTGTCTCGATAAACTCGGCATCTTTTGGAGTCCAGCTTTTCGAAAGATCGAGTGCGAGCGTCGCATTCACTAGAAACAGTCACGCATTAAGTTAGCCAGAGAAGTAGCCAAGCACGCCAGAAGTGAATTTACCTGGATTGTTTGGTCTGTTGCTCGGATTACCCTTCTCTGCGATCTCGCCCCCATCCACGTATAGATAATTCCCAAACACGGTGGCTGTAATCGAAAGGTGTGAGTACTTTGCGATACCGTGGGAAACAGGGAAACGAGGGCCGCTTTCTTACCTCTTGGGTTCACTCGTCGATAGAAATTATCAGCCGTAGGGGCATTTTCTCGAGCAAGGCCACTTCCCAACAGGAATGCCAACACGCAAATCCATGGACTTCGCCTCATGGTGGCTAGAGCGTGAGCATCGACAAATCGCCCACCCGCGATAGTGGTTGTTTGTCTATCCACTCAGTTTGAAATGGTGAATCTCCAAGTGCGAACCACGCTGGTTTTACTGCCGAGCTACATGAAACGTCATTTCAGTTGTAATCCCCGGATAGAGCGTTCCTTGTCGTAATACAGGGGAGCCACGCCGACAGGCCAATCGTTCGATTCACCGGTCCCCACAGAGTAAGCTGACGGTTTCTTGGCGAAGCCTACCTACGTATGAAGTGTAGGTTGCGTATACGCGCTATCGTAAATCGGGCGACTTTCCAGGACAAAAGACCCCTCCCTAGGCATGTCTCAGCCTTGTCCGTATGTTTCGAGCATCTAGCGGTAAGGGCCACGATAAGTAAACATGAAGTTCAGTCTTCATTTTTCAGTTCATTGCCATAGCCCTCTTCGATAGGCAAGCAAGCAGGGAATCAAATATCGCGATCCCTGTCCCTGGCCCAAAATCACTTGCGGGCAAGCTGCTGGTTTTATGGGCCTGGCTAATATTAAATAAAGTGCACATTTCAAAATTAGCGTGTGTGATGCGGATCCCAATTAACATTCTCCCACTTCACGAGGAATGGCACAACAAAAAGCCTTTCCATTCCGTCAATAGCCCCTTCGTTTCCTCGTTATAGCCATCTATAGCAGGGCGAAGGAAGCTGACCATCATGGATAGAGCACTACGTAACCACAAAGTACCTAACACGTGGCGAGCCTGCTGGGTATCCCGCCACGTTGAAGTAGACGGGCGTTTGGGCGTTTTCTTCAGTGCGGATCATTCCCTTAAGCTGCAGCGCTTCGCCCCCGTTCCCTGAAACCCCCTTGACGGAAGATCGAATCCGTCGCTACATAGGAATGAGGCAAAGCGTGAAGACTGCGACCCTCATGGATTATCGCTACCCTAAACGCGAAACAAGATTGCACAATACCTATCTAAGGTTACAAGTTCGTGACGTAGGAAATGGCACACCCAAATAAGCACACAAATGAACACTCAAATAAAGAATAAGCGGATACCGGTAAGAAAGTTTAAGTAAAAAGTAAAAAACATCCATGGGAGTGGCCAGACCCGACATCTCAAGACAATGAATACAGCAAAGAATAAGAAGCTGGCGGTCAGCAGGAATATTAAAGGATATTAAAGGATAAAACAATCTCAATGTTTATTAATATTTAATACTATAAGTCTTTACCTCGTAATTTGATAGTTAGCTGAAAGAAAACAGCTCAAACATGCGTTTTAGGATAACTTAGGGAGCTCTGAGGTGTGTTATTCCTTTATCACCCCCCTGGGCCGAAACACCATGAGGCAATTTCTATATGCTGTCGGATAGAAGTGGAATCTATAGTTTTTTCTTAATGATCTCAACGAATCCTAAGAACTCCAAGAAAAATAGAAAAGTCGAAAATGTGCGAGGAAGAGGTAAATGGCAGAGTGAGGCGCCAGGGGTTCTTTCTCCAACATTCCTCATAGGAAAACACAGGGAGCGAATCGAAATTGTCGATCCCGTTAGAAACAACAGTCTTCAATTTCATTGCCAGCGCTCAAAATAGTTTAGAATCAATGTAATACAGATATACCAGTTTGTTTGATGGAAAAGCACAGATTGAACCTGAACATGCTGCTGGAAATGCTTTGAGATAAAACCAATTAGAAGCCGGTTATGCCGTTGGCTGAAGAATGATCAGAGTACGGATGTTATTACACTGTCAGTGATTCCCTAGACCCAATTCTGGCCCCCTGACAGTTTTTCGTGAAGATGACTGAAGTGGAAACAAGATTTTTGTGTTAACAATACATTGAGAGTCTCGTTGGCATCCAGATAAGTAAAGAACATTCCAAAAGAGCGAGATCATGGAGATCGGGCTTACAATAATAAAATGATCTTTCTGATAAAGTCATTGGGTATTTCTTGAAGTATGTATATGTAATTAGCGGCTAGATGAAAGCAACTGAACAACGGGCTCTTCCCGACTAGTACCACACCCAGCCCAAGTTTCAAAACCTCAATCTTGGAATCAAGGCTTCTTGTGGGCATTAAAGAACTCGATGATCTTGGGTGATAACCACATGTGCTCATTATTCCGACCCGGGTAATCGTGCCCTTGATCTTTTAGTTTCCAGTGACGTAGCGCATTTTCTTTGCCGCCGCACTTCCACTCTTGTAGAGTGACTCCTTTCCCCTTATCGGATGTCTTGGGCTCATCGCACTCATTTCTTTTCGCCCAACGAGACAACCAATCGGGAATAGCAGGGAGAGGCCCTCCCGCGCCCTTGCCTCCCTCATAGGGAATCGTCTTGTCGGCAGTCCCATGTGTCTCCATTATGGGCAGAGGGGAGCGCGCAGGAGTGCAGGATTGGTCGTTGACATCGGTATACAATGCTGCGGCAGACGGGGCGAAGGCGGCGAAGTGGCCCCCTTCTTTCGAGCAGGCTAGAAGACCGACGAAGCCGCCGCCATTCGAGTGGCCTCCAGCGTAGATGCGGCTCTCATCGATGCAGTAGTCACTTTTTATACGGTTTACGAGATCATCGGTGAATTTCAGGTCATTGACACCTGGCTTTGCATAAGTCGGGCCTTGCCAAGATTTCTGTATCGAAATGATCAGTGAGTGAACAACCGCCACAAATAAATGAGCTGCTTACATTGACGCCGGCAGGATATACGGCGACCATATTTGGGTTAACCTCTTCAGTGGACAATTGAGTCCCATACTCGATGTCCTTTGGCTGCCCTCCTTTGCCGTGGTAGAAGAGGAACAGAGGCTGGGGGTGATCCTTGTCATAACTTTTCGGCAGATGGATTCGGTATGTGCGGTTGATGCCGTCACTCTCAAAGGTGAACTCCCGAGATTCTCCAACGAATGTGTGAGCCTGTCCGCATCCTTTTGACGCGCGAGGACAGACTGCCGCTGCGTCGGTGCCTGAGACGAGTGCCAGAGCGCAGATAACTCTGTCAAGTACTAGATCGAGCCTCATGGTGCATGATGTCCGATTTGGATAGACAGTCCAGCCATTCTTCTAGAAGGACTATGTTGAGTTTTAAAAAATACAATAATTAATGAGCTTTCCCTGTCAGCACTGGCTGTCGCATCATTTTACATTCACGGGGACCCCATTAAAGGAAGACAGTCTATGTGCCTCGGGGGCGCTAGCGTTTCAGTCTACTAAGAATAGTTTTCAGCTTCATGAGTCAAGAGCACGATTTACTGGATGGGGAATCGGCAACGCCAGGTGCTCCATCCTATCCTACCTTAATTCCGTCATTTGAAATGCTTGGTGCTTGATATCCATGCGAACGTTCTGGCCGTTCTTGACTGATGGGTATCTATAATATTTGAGGAATAATTTTTGGAATTTATCTGCACTACATATTACCCAGTGAACAAAAATGGCCTGGTCACTAGGCGAGATAACTAGCTAATGAAGCTTCATTTCTTTGGCGTGGGCGGTGACATGATTAGATTGGGATTCGCGGGGCGGAACTGTCCTCGGGGCTGAAAAGTGAACGCAGATCTTCTGCAAGGATGTCCCTCCCTATTCTCCCTATTAACGTCATAATTCTTGCACACAGGAATATTTAGAGGGTACTTCTTACACCAAGAAGGAAATTCTCAATTCAAGAAAGCCTATCAAATATATTACCGCTGGGTTGTGGTTCCCATCTTTACTCCTCTAGCAATGATATCAACCCCGAGTAGCGCTCCTTGATCGTATAAGTGCCCGGGAGGCGATCCGTGCTGCAGCTGACATCTTTCCATCTGTCCAATTGAATCTTGTGCTCCTCAACCCTTTTCTTGCCCATGAGAAATGCATCTGACCCCAAAGCAATGTTCACAGACCACGGGAGCTTAGCCTCAAGTCCCTCCTTGCTAAGGATATTCACCAAGACAGTGGACAACTTGACCAAGTCACCTGGCATAAAGGCCATGGGGTCTTCCATCATCATACCCGCGATGTCTGCCATAAGGGGCTGATAGGCTTGGATCGAAGTTCCTTCGCTTCCAAAACCTGCTGTGCCACTGTCTCGTGGCTGGCCCAGGTTTGTCGGGAACCCACCACAAGCGAAGCTCACGCACTCGATGCCTAGCGGACGGACTTCCTTATGTAGACTCTCCACATATGTGCTCAGGGCTGCTTTGGATGCTGCGTAATGCGACATGAAGGGTATCGGACCCCATTCACTGGAAGAAGAAGTAAAGCCGATCCGGCCGTGTCCCTGCGCGCGAAGGAACGGAAGAATTGCACGTGTGACTTTCATGTGGCCAAACACGTTGACTTGGAACATTTGGTTTATAAAGGTCTCACTTTGCAAGATAGTGTTAGTTGTTTGAGGATTCGATGAGCGGGCGTATCAGTGATATATATGTAACGTACTCTGCGTCTTCGGCACTCTTTAGGGACGAGGTACCAGCGTTGTTGACCAGGACGTCGATATGTCCGAACGTCTCCCAGGCCTTTTCCATCTTAGCCTTTATTTCTGGCCATTCAGAAGTAATGTCTAAATCCAAGAGGGCGACATTATCGGACTTCAAGTGGCCCAGACGTTCTTCCGTCTTGCGCCCGGATGCGATGACCTTGTCGCCGCGGGCAATGATCTGATTAACAAGCGCGGCGCCAATTCCCGACGTGCTACCTGTGACCATCCAAACGAGAGGAGCCATTTTTTGCAAAAAGCTTGAAGTTGAAAGGCTTGATAATATTTTGAAGAATATACGGGTTGGGCTGTTGTTCGTAGGCGAAGTGCGAACTTGTTTCCTGTGCTGGTAATGAAGAGAAAGATTTAAAAAACGCTTTGAATGAGCGGAACGAAGCTACTTTATATAGAGGAAGTTCAACCGACTAATTCGACCTGAACGAGTATTTGATGGCTGGATGAGGCGGATGAGAGACATTGGTCCGGTCAGATCACGTGCCCACGGATGAAAATGCGGACGAAATTTGCAGCATCTGATCGTGAGATGCATCTACGCATCAAACTCGGTCCGGAGTCGGAGATCACACCCCATTTAACTTTACCAAGCTAGTGGGCTATCAATTCACGGCTTGATTTATGTATTGGTTGTCATTGAATGCGTTCAGCCTCAGAGTTAGGCACCCTAAATCGCTTGCTATCAAATGTCTGGAGCGGGGGCAGATGCCAGCACGCCTGTGCGAAAGCGAAAGTTGCGGAAGGGCACACACAGCTGTACCGAATGTAAGTTGGAAAACACCTATGTTGCCTTTAATCGTAACTGGAGCCATCCACTCTTGCGGTTATACCTCTAGAGCTGTTGATCTGTTGATTGGAGGCTGCTGCGTAGCTCTTTACCGTGAGAACAGAAACAATGCTAATATCCCTAACAGGTCGTCGTCGGAAGCTACGGTGCAATAGAAGGTCCATGGATAGCCCATGTAGCCCATGTTTATCTCGTGGCTCTCAATGCGTTGACCAGCGGGATGAGACGTTGGACAATGGAGGAAGTTCAAGGGTTCCGTTGATCACCTTCGCAACGCTGCCGAGTGCATGCGTAGGCAATGTTGATGATCTCTTTACGCACATCACTGGAGAGGGTTCAGGATTCCCTGGAGAAGCAGACTCCCGGGCTCCATTTGTGTCAATGTTGAATGCGGCTCAAGTAAGTGCTTCTTGTCAACAAGTAGCAAGTACAATGTAGGGCTAACTTTTATTCGAAAATCAGCCAGCTGCCTCTGCATCCCTTTCCGGAGTACAGACGAATGAGCCACAGCACACTAAGCGAGAACGGATCAGAGTGCAGAGATGCACTTCCTTATCCAAATTAATGCCTGAATATTCGAAATTGATGTCGGTTCTACTGGCAAATGGTGGATGGTGGAGTAGTTTTCGTCAGAAAACTCGCGTCCTGTCCCAAAGCACATACGTGGAACTTCAACAATTTGCTACAGATGCATATCAGAGCAAAATCCCTGCTGACCTTGGCATGCTTCTGATCACATATGCCCGCAGCTCTGGCGAGAATCAGCACCTGTATCACGCTGTCGAAAACATACTCTTCTCAGATTCGAGCCATGCGTATTCTTTGGGGGATTTAGAGTGTCTGCTCTTGTTGGCGAAAGCCTACAGCGATGTTGGATTACCGCGGCAGGCGTGGCATATGTATCGTAAAGGTATAGCTATCTCACAAGAAATGGTAAGTCATTTGATCTATATTCACTATTAGGATACTGCTCACGTACTCTCCCATAACAGGGATTACACGACAGACACAAACCTGCCAAACAAACTTCCATTTGGTGGGCATTCTACCATGGCGATCGCTTCATGAGCATGCTTCTTGGACTGCCATATGGCTTTAATGATGCACACTTTGGTGTAGATACCGAATCACTGATTGCAGGACCAGAATTTCTGGACCAAAGATTTGTCCTTCGATGTGCTTTTGTTGCTGGTAAAGTAATTGACCGCAACGTTGTACCTGTTCAGCCTTCCTCTACTTTTTCAATGCTCTTGGACGAACAAATGGATGCTATCGCTGCTTCTATGCCTGAAAGCTGGTGGGAACTACCGAAAGAGTTGCCGATGAGTGAGGAGGAAATCGAAGGTCTAAGGAATCGTCTCCTACAACAGTTTTACTTTTTGCACGTCAGGATGGTACTCCATCTCCCGTTTTTATTCAGCTCGTCTGAAACGGCCCTGCAAAAAGTCCACGGACATTCCTGCCTCGAAGCCTCCAGATCATTGCTGAAACGCTTCATTTTGCTACGATCCATTGTGAATGGCTCCAGCATCTTTGATTGCAAAACAAGCGATTTTGTGGGCTTTATGGGGGCTGTCGTTTTGACCGTTGGATGGTCTCGTGACCTCTCCAGTGCCGCCGCAGCTCAAACACCTGCAGCGGATGACGTTGCGTTATTAGAAAGGACTAGGAGCATCTTTAGCCGAGAAGAGACGGAAAAGGGGTGCCGCATTGCCGCCCAGTGTCGAATGACGCTTGAACTGTTATGCGAGCACAATGATGGGAGAGAGGGAGAGACGAGGCGAAAAATCACCATTCCCTTCTTTGGTAGCGTCAAATGGGAACCTTCGTCTAGCAAGCCTGAAAAGGGAGCGATAACTTCTGCTCAGACTGACGAAAGTCTGGATGCTTCAGAAACTGAAGGAATATGGAATCAAAGCCTCACTACGCAGAACTCTGGAATAAATCCCGGCGAGGTGCAAGATTTTGATCACTTCATGGGGATGAACTGGACATTGGATGTGTCTGAAAGTTTCCCGGAAAGAGATTTTCTTTTCCCGATAAATGTATCCGACATCAATCAAGACTGGAGTACTGCATGGGACAGTGGATGGATGATGTGAGATTGATTAAGTTGCAAGCCATGAGCGATACATCTCAAAATTAACGGATTCGGCTCAATGGACTTGCATAGAAAATAAAGAAAGTTCCATAACCAGGGTTTCATTCCTATTTCTAAGAAAAGTTCACGTATGTTCAATTCCTATCAAGTATGCTCTCAACGGATAGTCGTTGCTATTGAACTCATGAAGTTATTGGATCTTTGTTTGTTAAGAGTAAATGGTCAGTTGGCAAAGCCGCATAAAGAGCAGTAATTCTAGAAGTTGGTTGGTTGGCGAAACCGGGGAAGAACTTTTCAGCTCAAATGACGAATTGTTGGGCTGACGAATCCCCGTGACCTTCCTGCCGCCTTGACTGTAGTCATCATCCTGGCTCGTATTCGACCTCTACATAGGGACTACCCTAAGGCCAATTACTTGCCTCGTCAGGTTTAATATTAAACGAAAAGACTGACCTCTAGCTTCTAGACACTCAGAACTATCCATTAAACCAAGCTCCTTCCCTGCTCGCCCTCCAGTTTAATCCGTCGTCGGTATGCCCCTCCACTCAGCGGCGACAAGCGGCAACCAAAATAACGTGTGAGAAAGTCGCGCGGAACACACACGAAAGAAGCAGAAGTCTTATGAGTTGGCCCAAATTCAAAAAGATTTCACAATTAGGCACGTATCGGAAACTACCTGCTACATCATCTGAAGTTCAAATTTCCTTTCTACTAATGTAATCTATAAGTAAGCTGATTATATAAGTAAGCTGATTACTTCTATCTAGAAATTAGAACTTCCTTTTTATAATTAAATAACTTTCTATTATAAAATAAATATAACTTTATATAAAATAAATATTATCCTTATAATCTAAGCTCTTAATTAAAATCTAAAATTAAGTATTAGAGTAATAATAAAAGTCTATTAAATTCTATATATAACTCTTTATAATTAATATACTAATTATATAGTAAAATATAATATTTAATTAAAATTAATAAATTTATTAAAATCTAAAGAGAAAGTTATTATTTTATATATACTTAAGCTATTTATATATATATTTCCTCTTAGAATATATAGTATTAAGGAAATAATTAATATCCTACTATATATATATAATATACTTTCTATTAATATTAATTAAGCTTTTAACTTTATTAAGTAGTAACTAGAGCTTTATATATACTAGGTTTAAAAATATAATTATTAGAGAACTAAATATAAAGATCTAAAGATTATTATATCTTAATTTAGTTTTATATATAATTTAAAGATAAAATATAGTATTCTAGATAAAGATCTATATAATTTTAATAAGACTAGCTTTATAATAGATATTATCTTCCCTAGGATAATAATTATAATCTTAGAGAGTTATATAAAAACTAAGCTAGTTTAATCTAATAATTAGAAATAAGTAATTATAATCTAAAAAATAAATATAACTAATTAGATTTTTTTTTTTTTTATTATTCTAACTACTTAATATTATCTTAAGAACTAGTATTAGAAATATAATCTATTATATAACTAGTAATTTATAATAATTAAGAATAATTAGACTATTAATAAGATTAATCTAGATTAGATTAAGTACTTTAACTTCTATATAGCTTCTTATATAAAAAGAGTATATTAGATACTAATTCTTAATAGCTATAAGAGTTACTACTTAATTAACTTTAAGATCTATTATTAAGAGTAGAAGATTATTATAATCTATATATCTTCTTACTCTTTTTATTTTCTTTAACTACTAGATATTAACTACTTTAAATTATTTAAATAGTTATATAGATAAAAGATTAAGAATTTAATATAAATATATATTATCTATATTAATAAGTTTAAATTTCTCTTTATTTTTTATATAGTTTTCTTTTATTTTTTTATAGAGAAGAATATTTAAATAGACTTTATTAGATCTAATCTAATACTATTGTCATGCTACGAACAGGGGCTGCACGGAGCCCCCTATAAAAGGGCTGTAAACAGCCAGTAGATAGAAAGAACTCAAGCCTTAAGAATCATATTATCTCACACACAAGTGAAGGTATCGTGAACCTAGGCTTCAACCACAAGCTATCCGACTACGGCTACCCTGTAGTCAACAACCAAGAACCCATCTACAACGCCCAAGCTGGTTGCGGCCAGTTCTGAGCGTAACAACTATATAATCTAGAGAGAGTTCTTTTAAAACTAGATATAGTATTATAAATATTAATATTACTAGAAACTCTATTTAAAATAAAATAGTTCTAAATTCTAAAGATATTATAAACTATATATAAGATAAGTATATAGTCTAAGTATATTAAATCTTAAATCTTAGTTTATTAAAATAACTTTCTAATCTCTATACTAGCTATAGTAGATTAATTTATAAAGAGAGTAATTATAATAATATATTAGATAGCTCTTTTATATATTAAAGTTTATAATCTTTATATAGTAAATAAGATACTAAGTAAATACTAAAGAGCTAAAAAAAGCTATATATAGCTTAGAGGGTTTCTAACTATATAGAATAGAATAAATCTATTAAACTAGAAGAATATAGATAAGTAGCTAAGAGGGGAAGATTATAGAAGTAGTAGTTAGAAAGAGTAAGCTTATATAAAGACTCTATTATATAGTAATTATAGAAAGCCTAGTTATAATATCTAAACCTATAGGGAGACTAGAGAGAAGTTTAATAAATTAATTTCTAGTATTATTATTATAGATAATTAGCTATTATTATTTTAATTAATTTTATTATACAAGGGATAGGTAGAAGTAATTAGCTTACTTATATAATCAGCTTACTTATAGATTATATTACTGAGAATATTAAGAATATGTTATTGATTATTGGGTATAAATCAAAGGTTCACAGAACAGCCGTGTTCATATATGCAAGAATAAAGCCCCTGAGATAGCATGTCTGTATATCAGGTGTGCTATGAAAAGCTGAGTAACAGGAAGATAATAACGGAACAGATACCTGGCCATGACAAGTACGACAGGCAAGCCTGACTACAAATCGATGATGAACTTGCTATCTTATCAATATGGACAGGAAGGTACAAAGCTCCCTGTCAGGGTGGTATCTCATCAAAATTCTATGTAGACAAAGATAAGTGAAATGGCTTGGCAAAGATGACTTCACTCATCAAGTCAACTGCTGAAAAGCTACCCATAACGCGGAGAAGGGTTTTGAGCTATTTCGGAAAATGCTACTAATGCACCCAAGGAACTTTGATCAAGAACTTCCCAGAACTTGGATGGCTGGCCGCGCGGTCGCTCTAAAGACGATCCCGATCTCTCAACATGGCACTCTCCGGAGAAGAAAATGATCCATAGAATCAAGGAAAAGAAACTACGGGGAACTAAGCTCTCCCAATCCCCGTGGGCGGTTAGCAGTACGTATATGGTTCGTTACGAACGGCGAGCAACGGGGGTAATCTGGAGAAATTTGCCATCCCCTGATGTCCTTCGTTCTGGTCAATGAGCTGAAATAGGGTGGAATGGCGAGAGAGATGATAAGTGGAGTGTTGTGAAGGCAAACAAACGGGGAGCAAGAGATGGATGTTGCGGGTCTGACGAGAAGCCCCACGCCGCAAAACCGCCGAGCGCAAGAAGACGTAGAGGTCTGCGTATTTCCGGGCTGCGGTTGTAGACGGTGAGGAATAACGCTCACCTATGACACTGAGTCGGGTTGCCTGTTGCTCTGAGGTTTTTTACGAGAATCGGCAATAGCCTCCGACCCGGATATATGTCCATAAAGAGGTCTACCTACGTGTGCCTCGAGACGAAGTGAAGCCCGGCCCGAATGTGATTGTTAATAATCTGGCCTCCTGAGAAAAGTGGATGAGGGACGTGCCGTTGGGATTCCGGACAAGAGAAGGCGATTGTTCCCGACCCACTAGACCCTCAAACGGCCCGTTCAGTCCAGGAACTGGCCCCTCTGTTTACTTACGGACTGTTCCAAGATTGCAAGGGCCAGAACTGGCACAGTCCTCGGGAACGATGTGCTTGCGAGCCTCCATCGTGAGCCACATCGGGAAGCAAAGAGTGCCAAGCTAGGAACATCCGGATGTGCCGAGATCTGGCTAGATTCTTGGTCCCCATGACATCACCCTACTTTTTTTTTCTCCTTTTGTTTTTCCCATCATGAGTTCAGCTTGACAGGTAGGCATCCCCGAAGGCTCTTGACCCGCTGATCTCACGTTTGGCATTGATTGCTCACAATAAGTTTTGCATCTCATGCCTAATGAAGCAACTAGTAACTCTAAACGGGCGCCCATATGCAATGATAAGCCGAATGAATCCATGAGCGTAGAAAGGGCCGACAGCATGGATGCACGAAAGAGGATCGGGAGAGCAATGGAATTCGATGCCAACGGTGGAGCACCACGCTGCTGGAAAGTAATAATTATCAATCGATCAACGTTGGAAGGACGTGACGGAAGAAGGCCGGATGGAGCTGGGAAAGATGCCGGATCCGTCGTCGAGGATGTACGAGGGCAACTTTCGGCCCGATCGAAAAGGAAACCATCCACCATCCAGTCACGGGACCATCTGACTCCGTTTCAGAGCAAATCTGTGCTTTCAAGACCAAGCACAGACTGCTGGCTGGGCCTGACGATGTAGAGCGCGGGCGAGAATTCAATTTTGAGCGTCACGAGGCGCTCTCATAGCCTGTTCATCGGCTGCGGGAACTGCGAGGGAAACGATCGATATTCATCGACATTCAATGGACTGCCGGGCGGAAATGATTCAGTGACCCATTAATTTTATGCAGGCATATCGTCTCTTAATCCTCCGGGCAGAAGTCGGCTCAACGGCACGCTGCCATCCAAAGTGCATGCAACGACCCCATCCAGACCCCAATCCCCCGGAAGTGTTGCAGTTGAATTTTCATGGTACTCCAAAGCAATTGTCTCAATTCCCCACGGAGAGCAGGTAAGCTTAGTCTCCAGGCCATGACGAAGACTGTGGGTTGTGTGTTACGGCCCAACAGTCGGCTTTAATTTTGGACGGCATGGAAGTGTGTCAGTAATGAGATCACCCCACGGAGCCCCCCCACTGGATCACTCAATTTTCTTCCTCCGCTTGCGTGCCCGTGATCCGCAGAGTCTGCTTCAGAATGAGACCGAGACCAAGACACCACGCCGTTTCCTCGTGGTGGACAGGGGTGGGCGGTCCCCATTGCATTGCCACTGAAGACGGTCACTCCATCGAAATGGAGAGGAGAGACCCCTGGGGAAATAAGTTTTTGTGGAGTTGCCTTCATCTAGACCTGGAGGCGACGATGTTCTCCTGATATAAAAGCTTGGTCCACGCCCTTGGAACTGAATCATTGTCTTGCCTTTGTGCTCTATACAATTACACAATCAACCATTCAAACACACCACTTACACTTGATCCCCAATCCAGACTAAGACACCTCCATTCTGTGTCTTACACACTCCTCACAGTAGCCATGTCGGACAAGGCTGAAGAGGCCAACGAGGGCAAGGGCGTTGCCGTTGCCAACCTCGTTGCAGCCGAAAATGTTGAAGCCATCGAGGCCCCAGTGACCTGGAAGGCCTACGCCATGTGCGCTTTTGCGTCGTTCGGCGGTATCTTCTTCGGTTATGATTCCGGTTACATCAACGGTGTCAACGGTTCGCTCTTCTTCATCCGCCAGGTTGAGGGAGCGGGTGCCACCGCCCTCTCAGACCCTCACACCTCTCTTATCACATCCATTCTATCCTGCGGTACATTCTTCGGTGCGTTGATTGCCGGTGACCTGGCTGATCGCATTGGGCGAAAATGGACTGTCATCATGGGCTGCGTCATCTACTGCATCGGTGTGGTTATTCAGATGATCACTGGTGCTGGTAATGCTCTCGCTGCTATCGTCGCCGGCCGTCTCATTGCTGGTTTCGGTGTTGGCTTCGAGTCGGCTATCGTCATTCTTTACATGTCGGAAATTTGCCCTCGCAAGGTCCGCGGTTCTCTCGTCGCTGGTTACCAATTCTGTGTTACCATTGGTCTTCTGCTCGCCGCCTGCATTGTCTACGGAACTCAAGACCTCAACTCTACCGCTTCTTATCGTATTCCGATTGCTCTGCAATTCCCCTGGGCTCTCATCCTTGGCGGTGGCCTGCTCTTCCTTCCTGACTCCCCCCGTTACTACGTCAAGAAGGGACGCATTGAAGATGCTATTGATGCTCTTTCCCGCGTTCGTGGACAACCCAAGGATTCCTCCTACGTTCAAGCCGAGATTTCTGAGATTGTCGCCAATGAAGAGTACGAGCGTGCCTTGATCCCTGACACCACTTTCTGGGGCAGTTGGTTTGCCTGCTTCCGCGGCAGCCTCTGGGATGCCAAATCTAACCTTCGACGAACCATTCTGGGTACTTCTCTTCAGATGATGCAACAATGGTGAGCATTCATCTCCAATGTCTTCCAATTTAATCCACCTAGCTAACTGTAATTCCAGGACTGGTATCAACTTCATCTTCTACTACTCCACTCCTTTCCTCAAGTCAACTGGCGCGATTGAGAACTCCTTCCTCATGTCGCTGATCTTCACTCTCGTCAATGTGTTCTCCACCCCCATCTCTTTCTGGACTGTTGAGCGCTTTGGTCGTCGAACTATCCTCATTCTCGGCGCCGTCGGCATGGTCATCTGCCAGTTCATCGTTGCCATCGTCGGTATCACCGTCGGCTTCAACAAAACCCACCCCGATCCCCTCGATTCCACCAAGAGCATCGCCGACAACATCGGTGCCGTCAACGCCCAGGTAGCCTTCATTGCCATCTTCATCTTCTTCTTCGCTTCCACATGGGGCCCTGGAGCCTGGATCGTCATCGGAGAGATCTTCCCTATCCCCATCCGCTCCCGTGGTGTTGGTCTGTCCACTGCTTCCAACTGGCTGTGGAATACCATCATCTCCGTCATCACCCCTTACATGGTCGGTGAGACCAAGGGTAACATGAAGTCGTCCGTCTTCTTCGTCTGGGGCGGTCTGTGTCTCTGCGCTCTCGTCTACTCCTACTTCCTCATCCCCGAGACCAAGGGTCTCACTCTGGAGCAGGTTGATAAGATGATGGAGGAGACAAACCCCCGAAACTCCGCCAAGTGGAAGCCCAATGCCACTTTTGCTGGCACCGCCGTCCACAAGGAGATCGCATAGAAATGCTTAGACATTTCTATTTATCAGTTACAGGACTGAAATTGCACCATAATGTAGCATTTTCATATATTGTCAATAAGCGTTGTTGATTTTCAGTTTATATGCAGGCGAGGAGAAGAGTTTTATACTTCGGATATAGCCAGGCTTCAATAAAAAATATGATGTTAAAAAGTTAAAGCCATCCAGTACTTGTGATCATATCATGAAACCGCCTATGCCAACAGAACGGAAGCCAAACTCCTCCATTCACCATCTCTATAATAGTAAGGACCACTAGTTATATGTAGCCTTCAAAGCGTTCCGGTCTTACCCTTTTTCTCAATAAAATTTTCCAGCTCCTAAATGGAATCTCTACTGTCCTGAAAACATCAAGAGTTAAGGGACGTCTATTGAGAGATAATATCGGTCGCTGAATTACCAGACTCGTAGAATGGATTATGTCTTTCACTAGGTATTCGAATAAGGTTCTCTCCGGACTTCCCTTCTGGCCAGACTATTGCTACAGTGTTCAATGACTCGAATGGGTGCGAGGCTATCTTCCAAGGTCATCTAACAAACTATTGAATGTAAAATCCCCAATCATGGTGCGGATTTTCTGGTACTATCACAAACCTGGACCATCAGTCGCCACTCGACCATGCACTTGATCCAGTTCTTTGGTTACAAACTACTAAGAAGTTAGTTCTTTGTTCCAAGTAAAATCCCTCAAGCCAACATGGCAGCAGGCAAGCGGTCCAGGAGAGTCGGCGCTCTCCATGTCCGTTTTAGTTAAGATCTCATCGACGAAGAGAGAAGCTTCTACGCTCCTCGCTCGATTTAGAGTAAACATCAACATTGTGACTAGCCTGAAAGTATTCGGATAAAAGCAAGACACGGCAAGGTAGTTAAGTTCAGACACGAATGAGCAGGAGGTTATCATGACGAGAACATAACTATGGCATAGACACTTGTTTAGGTGTTCTGTTTTCCATTCAATATCCCTAAGCAATATTTACAAGAATCTAACATTTTCAGCTTCCCTGAACAGCCTGGTCAGGGGAGCGTACTCGATCCCATCATCATATCATGGTCGAGAAATGGGACAATGAAGATCTAGATTGCAGCATGCATCTCTTTCCACCTGGACTGCGCATCTAGTAAGGCTTCTGGCCGATGTAGTTGCCGGGAGGAGAGTAGCGGGCGACGACGAAGGTTCCCTTGGATCCCTTGGCAGAGGCAAGGGCAACCTTGGTGGTAGACGACCAGACAACTTGGGCTAGAAAAAGGAGTTAGTATATTGCGTTTAAATTTTATCGTGAGATGGAGACTTACTGTAGTGGCCGAAGGTCATGTAGTTGGATGAGTCGATCACCTCGCCGTTGTAGCTGCTCTTCTCGGAGATGAAGGCGTTGGCAGCGTTGACGAGAGCGTTGTCGGTGTTAGACTGCATGTACAGGTTCTCGCCGAGGCCGGAGACGCCAGAGTGAACCAGGTTGCCGCTAGCAGCAAGCTTCTCAGCGTAAGCCTGAGCATCGGCGAGGAGGCTGGAGTCCCAGGCCAGGTTGGAGACGCCAACCTCGGCACGGGCTGCGTTGTGTGCGTCGAGGGCGGCCTGCTGGTCGGTGGTCAGGCTGCCAGAGCCAGTACCAGAGGTGGGCTGGGCAGCGGCAGCGGTGGTGGTGACGGGAACGGCGACGGCGGAGGTGGACTTCTTGGTCACGAGGGTGGAGGCCTGGACCTGCTCGGCGCTGGAGATGGTAACGATGGCAGCCGAGGTGGTGGCGGGGGCAGCGGGGGCCGTGACGGTGACGGTGACAGTCTCAGCAGAGCACTGCTGGGAAGACCATCGCCAGGCTGCGGCGTTGGCAGCCAGCATGGAGAGAGCGAGGACGGCGGGACGCATTTTGAGTGTGATTTTGTTGGTACTTGTGTTGTTCTGTCTTGTTTCTAAACGATATGTCACCAGGACTAATGAAAGAGTCCGAACTTGTGTATGCGAGGGAATGAATAGAAGTTTTTATCTCCAACCAGGGAAAAGTTAAGGAAAGACTGCGGGTTGTGAAAGGACAGACAGGACAAAGAGCCTGAGGAGCAAGAACAAGAAGCCTTTGCAAATGGGACAAGCCCTCTCTTTATTTAATCAACGCCCACCTCCCCCATCTCCAATCATGGTTGCAGTCAATAGGGGCCAGCTGCCGGCCATGTCCCTCACTCATGTGCCTGTGGCGACATCTCCGGCGTGATCTAACACCGCCAACGTGCGACAACAGAGATCCTAGCGTGTTTCAAGAGCGGCCATGCTTTTGACGGGAGTCTCTACTATGTGCTAGACGCACGCGAGGGCCACGCTTACATAGCACCAATGATCATGGGGGATCCGTAGCATGGGCCAGGATCTTACCGAGTTGGGCAGGTCGGGGCGTCATCAAACAATGAAACGCCTGGAGCCTTTAATAACTTAGCGAGATTTCCGCTGCTGTTGAGGTCTAGAATTCGACAAAGAGTAGCATACTATCAAGTGCAAGGAGGTCTTTGTGCCTAACAAGGTGCTGGTCCGACCACTTGTCGATCACCGTTGGGTTTGTCCATCACCGCCGATTCAGTTGTCGATGGCCGCTAAGGTCGCATTTTTGACATTGCTGCCCTGCCAAGACGCGGGAGTACCTAGCGACAGGTGGAGAAACGTGCCTTGCAGCTTTTTTAAATTTCCTCCCAGTGCTGAGACAATGAGTGACGAGTCGACAGGGTTCGCTTCGTCTTTGCCCTCCCCTTACTTTCGGTTGCCTCTCCAGCTTTGACTATTATTCCCTGCCCAACGCCTCGGCTAGGAGCAATTACCTAACCCCCAAGGCTCTGTGCCTGGCCACGCCTTCGGATTGTGCCGTTGCTCTGCCCCCTCCGGCCTCAAGCCGCGGCGTTGGCGCTGCAGGGGTAAATCCGCTTCAATCTCAAACACGCCATCGAATTTACTCTGTACGCCGCCCCAAAGCTTGCTTTTTCGGGGCGCTAACATAAGTTTCTCAGCACGGGGATAGCGAGCTGGTCAACAACCGCCCACTGATTTCATTCCATGTGGGCTCATGTATGATGTGGTGAAACAAAGCACCTAGTCCGTTCGGCTGGCGTACCTACAAGAACAATAAGCCTCATTCAACGCGGACATGAGAAAGTCAAAACACTGGGTCAAGACACGTAGAACGAGTCTAGACGCCGAGAGGTCGGGCATCCTGGCGGGTAACAAGGGTTCCCCCTGACGCTAGATGGGTTGAATGTTGGAGAGATCAGCGCATCGATGAAACCGTTTATGCCCCTCAGCCAATGCACTGCGCGTAAAATCAATCATCACAGGCCGACCAGTCCACCGGGAGGTCGAAATCGAAAAGTGGATTATTCAATGTCCGGCCTCAACCCTAAACTAGCAAGATGGATCACGACGAGCCAACTAAGACATTGTAAGACATTGTTCCGATGCGGGTTATCGCTCATTGACATGACTCTTGTCAAGTTGGCCTTGTGTTGCCACTCCGGTTTCATCTTATTGGGCGTCTGTCGGGATGCAAGGTCCAGTGTCTCATTTGCCGACCATGCTGTAAATTCTAGATTAAGGTGCACAAATCGGAGTTAATACATGTGTTAGGCGAACCGCACTCACTTAGATGCACGCCAGGATAGAATCGAATAGAATAGTGAAATCAGATTCTCTTGTTTCACAGATCCCGGATGGACAGTCTATCGGATCTTTATTTTCTTCGCATTGACGACACTACCCACCGTGTTACGCCGTGTTCCCCTCATCATGACTCGCATTTTCTGCCTGCAGGAATAGTGTTGAGACTATGGTCACCGGTCACCAAGGTTCCATTATATCTGAGACTCGTCTACTGTAGTCAAATCTCAACAAACCACCATTCAAGGATCTGGGGATCGGAGTGCATCTTCTATGGATGACTACCCGCTTCTCGCTTCTAACTAATAAGCCGAGACAATGCGCGTATCAATCCGTCGTATTACCATTAATTACATATTCAAGCATTATGTCATAATTACCGAGTGCTCCCGAAAATCGAGATTAATATATGATTCCCCAAGGTATCTCCTACCCTACATTACCTGCACCTGATATTGAACTTTTCCTGCTTCACTAAGGTACCTTGGAACGCACATTGTAGAGGTATTTCTGCCCGTGGCGCCATGTTAGTGATTAGTCATCACATGATATTGATCTGTACTGTGAATGTACCGCAACGACGAGTGAGGTAGTACCGAAAGTTTTACCTTTTGCCGTCAACAAACTATGACGGCATCACCAAGCTGCACACAACAGTAAAAAATTTAGCCCAATGAGAGAGAGAGGAAAAGAACTAAAATAATCGTCCTGAAGATTGATTTTTGCCTACTATTACAATTGTTATTGCTGACTAAAGCATACTAGGCCCATAAACTACGTGAAGTCGCGTGTTGCTGTCGTGTTTTACATGTACTCCAGCTGCTTACCATATGCCTGGCGATTATCCCTGTCGCTAATTCGGTCGATCAAGTTAGCCAGTATTGCCGCTATTTCACTCTTTCATGTTTCTTAAGAGGGATGCATGCTTGATGCTCGATACCGCAAATCCAACCTTTCGAGGTTCCCGATCGCGGGAATGACAAAGACAACACCAAGGACAAAATGTAAATAAGTTGAAAGCCTGGCCGATGGAGAAATTTCAAATGTGCGGTGGTCAGCGAAGGCTAGTCGATTAAATTACAATGGGCGCCGACAATGAATGCGGGAGCTGATTTACTCATGGCGACCGCGGGCAGTGAGCCAAGGTTAACAAAAGTCAAAGCAGTCAACAAATACTCGCGACTTCTACCCATTGGAAGATGCGATCTTCCAATTCGTATCCTCCGATGTAATAATTAGGCAGAAGTAGCTCTTGGTCTTATTGCCCGGCTGCCTAGATGCCTCGTCAGCATGCAGCGCGTAGCGTCAACATCCCCATCATGATCCAATCACCAGCCAACGCCGTCCACCAGCTGATGGTTAGGCGATCATCAACATGGCCGCCATCAACAATACTCTGCCACTCCTGCCTGGATGGTTTATTTATTTATTCTACGCCGCGCGAGTTCAAGGCAGCAGCGGCATCCCGACAATTCATTTTGCAACCGGATGTAAACCCTGCGTATCACCATTCCATGTAGTGTCTGCCTCAGCATGCCTCAAGTAAACAAACCGAAGGCTGGCACGTCGCTGATCGAGGGGCTTCCGACTGAGATCCTTCTTCGCATTGTCGATAACTGCACTTGGGAGACAACATCCTCTGGACGCGCCCCCAAAACGATTGTGCCTCACAGAACATCCCATTCCAGACTGTGTCGCACCAGCCGCCATCTGCACGAGACACTCAATCGCGAGCTCTACGTGCGGAACCTGAAGCACGACAAACCAGGTGCTTCGTGCGTACTGTGGGCTGCCCGTGTCGGGAGGCTCGAAACAGTGATCAGAGCCCGTCAATACGGGGTAGATCTGGACACTGGGCTGATTGCATTCAGCCAGAATAGCCAGCAGGAAGATTTGAGCAATTACGAACCTCCATTCCTTCGTGCTAGCCGCCACCACCAGGCAAATATCATCGAATACCTACTGAGGAACGGGGTCAACAGTCATGTGGATCGTGATGGTAAAAACGCCCTTCATCTTGCCTGCATTGGTGTGTGGAAGGAAAACCAGAATACGCTGCGCGTCGTGCAACGTCTCATCGCCGCCGGGGGCTCCGTTCAGGAATTGAATACCAACGGCCGCTCACCCCTGGGACATGTGTTGAAGCACCAGAACTGGTCAACAGCTCTGATGTATGTGAGGGCTGGCGGGAACTTGGCCCACTGGAGAGCAGCGCCTCCCAATGATGATGTGCTGAGGCCTTCTCTAACGATACTTCATGCGTGCCTGGTGCAAAAGAAACAGCGTCCTTCGGAGAGGACACTGAGCCTTCAGAGAGAGTTCATTGCTGAGCTCCTTGACCGTGGAGTAGATGTCAATAGCGACCGCTACACTATCCCACAAGGCACGGAAATCCTCATCGGAGCACCGCCATTGTTTTATGCGGCCGCATTTTCTGACAATCCTGCCTGTACAAGTCTCCTTCTCGAGCGTGGCGCTACAATCCCGGACAGGGTCATGAGATGCAATCGACCCGAGGGGGCTGATCAGTGGCATGCGACACTCTACCTTGAGGAACCGCGCGGCTGGTACACTCTGTTATCTGCCCTCTTCTTCAGCGAATGGGGTGATCAGTACCGCAGGGTCAGCGACATGTCGCGTGTGAGCGAGCAGGTCAAGATCCTTCTCCGGCATGGTGCCTGGCTCGGCTATGTGCCTGGTCAGGATGCAAATCCACGAATGTCGGCGCTGGAATATGCGTGCATAGCCGCCGGTCAGGGCATAGAGACCTGCTTGTTGGATTTCTTGTTGGAGAATGCGACAGATGCTAACATCGACCGAGCGCATATCGATGAGATTCTTAGTCGCGAGAACAGGAGCAAGCACATGTCTGTTACCAAGAGACACCATCGGTCTCCAAAGCCAGTTGCATGCCCTCGGTTTGATGATGTGGTGGCCTCAAAGCTTCGAGAATTCAGGCAGAGACTCTTTTCAGAGTGAGAAGCGAGACATTACCAACACGGCGGAAAGTTAGGCCATGATAATTCATCTCGGAGACTAATTGGCTGCGCGTCTGCACATTGCGGATGAAATTCTGACGTCTCTGCCTTGGCCTGGGGGAGAAGCGGACTTTGAAATGGGTTTGCCAAGAAAAGCATTTGCAGAATAGGGAATAGCTTCGGAGACTGGCAGTGGAGCAAGTGGCACAAGGGTTTGGCTGATGTTTGGTCCGATATTGGTTTTGAACTACGGTGGTTCTTACCAAGGAATATCATATCGAGCTATCTGATCATTGGAGCGAGGTACGAGATGGCCGGCGGACTTCAACTGAGAGTCAGGATGAGCGCGCCGGCATTGGCTAGCAACGTTTTGGTACCATGATCTAATGAGCAATTAGTAGGCTGATGGGTTGAGGAAGATGACAAAACATGTATATATTACCGTGCAACTATCCCTTTGTGATTTCTCTTCTTCTGTACAATTGACTAGAGCATTGTCTCTTTTCGCAGTCTCTCCTCAGAATGACGCCAACATGGACTCCGGACAACACGCCCGATTTGAAGGGCAAGGTGGTTGTTGTAACTGGCTCTAAGTGCGTGGCGCATTCATGATTCTCTGACATAGGTATTTTCACACTGGATTGCTAACACTCATCTGCCTAACAGTAAAGGACTTGGTATTCATACGGTTAAACATCTTGCCAAACACGGGGCCAAAGTCTACTGTGACGCCCGATCGAAAGAAAGATTCGACAAAGCTCAACAACAGCTGTTGGAAGAGGATATGAACTTCCCTCATGACCTTTTAGTTTTCTTGAAATTAGACCTTGGGAACATCGATAGTGTGCTGGAGGCTGTGAAGGAAGTAAAGGCAAGGAAAGCAGCATCCACATCCTAAGTGTGTTGTCCTGACTCATGACTGAGCCTCAGTCGAATGTAACTCATCACTAATGGGTTCTTACAGTAAACGGCGCAGGAATGGTTATAAGCCAGTCAAGCGAGGAGAGCGAATGGGATGAAGTTATGACAGTTAAGTGAGTTTGCTTCTCTCTGGTCAGACATCCATCCTCTAACACTCGAAAGCTATATTGGGCACTTTGTTCTCACGAACGGACTATTCCCCTTACTGAAAGCAGCATGCGCAGAGAAGACTTCGGATGTTCGAGTAGTTTCGATTGCTTCCAACACACCCGGAATATTCCTACCTAAAAGTTATGAGTTTGGCTTGACTACCCCCGCCTGCTTTCACAAGGTCGTTCCATACTATCCATGGCGGTGGCAATACCTCCTTAGCCAATTCTTCGGAATGGACATGGTCCACTATAGCATCGCCAAAGTAGCCACTATGCTATTCATCAAGGGACTTCAACAGCGCGTTGATGAGCATAACCTACCTATCCTTTGTCTTAGTCTAAATCCAGGCGGAGTTGCGACAGATGGCGCGGAAGATATTCTGAAGCCACTATTCAGGCCTCTTCTTCGAGTTGGTCGATTTACACCTGACCAAGGGTCATATCACTCTCTTTGGGCAGCCACTGCTAAGGGGCCCCGACAGGGCTTTGGAAAATTTAAGGGGAATTATCTCGAGCCGATTGGAGTCACCACAACACAACACCCGGTAATGGATGATGAAGAACAGCGCAAGGGGCTTTGGGACGTCACAACAGCCGAGGTTAATAGGTTCCTTGACTCTCGAGGTTTGGGATCTTTACTAGAATGGAAATGAGTTAAGGCCATGCAAATATACCACGATTGTTTAATGATGGTAAGAACTAGGTCAGATACGACTGGAATATTACATGGATTCAACTTTTCGCCTCTACTGAGATAGTTTATTGTGTGATGTAACGAGAATAAGCTTTGGTATTGAAAATTGACTACTTGGGGCCCGCCCAACTCTTCTCTGAATGCTGGCCTTGGGCTAGAGTAATTACGGTATCAAAGACGAGCCATGAGCCTAGCTCTGCCATCCCCGGTTGCGGGATAGTTCATACCACCAGTTCCGGAGCATCCATCCATCAAAGTCCGTGATGACGGAAGAAGAACCTGCGAGCATGATGAAGTTGGAGATACCGGTTGGTGTCCAGTCTATTGTCTGTTAGAAAATCATAGTCCGGGAAAGGGGAAGTAACACAGATTGTAGACTCTGTAGAACACTTACCATAGAAGTCGTCAAGACCAAAGGTGTGACCCATCTCATGGAGCAAGATATGAATGTTGTCAGAGCTGAGAGCACCCATGAAGTACTCGCGACCAATTCTCTGGCCCCAGTCACCACCAGCACCACCACTGAAGCCATCAGTAAGCCACAGAGAATTATCGTAGTGGCTTGCACTACCACCGGGACATCCACTATAATCTCCATCTTGGTGGAAGAATCGACCACATGCCTCGGCGCACTGAGGAATACCGCTACTGTCTTTATCAGTGTAGACTTTGATACCAGAAGTTGACCCTTGCAGTAAGGAGGCATCCTTAACAGCCCAGCCAACGACCTTGACCTCGATGTTCGAATAAGGGAAGTTATCATAACCGTAGAGCCACGAGAACCATTTTTGATACTGCTTGTTGACGGCGGTGGCGACTTGGGTGCGTTGGGCCTCTGTTACTGCTGTCGAAGATTCCCATCGAACGCATACGTTGATTTTCCTACAGTTCTGTTAGTCCATGCTAAGGACGCAGCAACTGGAGAGGTGAGCAATATTCAAGGCATTTTCATACCCGTTCGTGGCTTTGATTTGATCCCAGCCGTAGTTCTTGAAGCCAAAAAGGCCATTTGAATAGGTATTCAGACAGTGGTCCCAAACCTGCTTCAAAGGTGTCGCCAAGTTTGAAGGTGGACTCCAGCCGCTCTGTCGCTTCGCCGGCCTGTTCCAGAGAGTAGTATCTCTGCTAGAAACTTCCGGCGCGTCTCTTGCGATTTTCCATTCTCCTGCATCTTTAGCATCCGACATATCCAGGCCGGAGGCCAAAGGAGAAATGGACAACAGTGCAGAAAGGAGTGTGATACGCATGATGGGCCAGTAGTAGTGAGTACCAGGGAGTAGAGATGGCGTTGATGATGCTTCTCATAGACTAACTTTCTAAACAGCGACTATGGTGGCTTTAAATATTTCTTTCTGGCCAGTGATTTACGAGGTGGATGTAGCGTTCTAATTGCCTTTGGCATCTAGCTATAACCCTGTCTGGTTCTCGTTTCACTCTAAGGAGCTAAGTCTGATGTCCTGGGTAGAGAACATGCTCCTAGTGGTGGGATTGGAGAGTGAATAGCAAATCTATACGAGCTTCGTTTTGAATACCCTCTTTTTACTGAAATGGTAACTAAACGGGTTTCTATTCGAACAATTCACCACTGAGCAACCTTCATTGGGTCTCCGCAACTAGATGGTCCGTCCCCTAATGCGGAAGGTAATGAAAGATCAACATTGTGTATGATGAAACAAATGCTGGGAGCCCCTGTGCGTTTCGGAACATTCTAACTTCAGATAGGCTCCCGTGGGCGTTTAACTCAATTCAGCCCGGATTAAAAGCATAGCTCCGTCTCGTGTTCAACGAAGTCTGGTCATGCTTTTCACATTGCCTGACATGGCTTGCATTGGAGGACCACTTTCAAAAAGCTGATGACCTCCTACTCCCTCGTTCAAAATTTCCAGAAGAGGCACCGGGGTATCATCCGAGGATTCTCAAGGCGAGTTCCGGGGTCCACCTAGGAAAACCCCTGGCTGTTATCCAACTCTAAGGGGTAGAATTCAGTGTCGCTCGATTGCTCATACCAATTTAAAGGACCTCTAGCTAGCTTTCTCGTACTTAGAGAATGTCCATTTAAATTCCTGTCAATCTTTCCCATTTCTGGCTTCATTAGTAGCCCGATGTGCTTGCAGGGGACACGGGAAAATATGCTTCTTATATGCTCAGTATGAAATTACCACCAATAGTTAAGAATATCATAGTAGGATCCATCGGGATGAAACAGTGGCATTGCACTGTTCTGTGAGCTTTCCTGGTTTCTTTCTTTTCTTCCTGCTATTTCTACTCGTGACCAGTTGAGAGATGTAACTACAACCGGAAGAAGTCACGAGATTCAAGACTATGATGAAAAGAAAATAGTGCGAAATAAAATGAGAGCGTGATCTTGCTTGATATAAATCGAAGAATCTCAGATGCAACCAGGCTTCCATTACTCCCTATTTCCTCCCCATGCTGGCGCCCACCAGTAGCTCAAGTAGCAATATTTTCGAAAGGCCTTACACCTTTTATCCATCTGGTTCCGCTCCGATACGCTAATAATCACGGAAATATTCCAGCCTCGCCTGTGTAGCTGATCTTCCTTTGTATTCACAAGTTGGAGCCTAAGGTTTGTTGTAGTATCCGGGTCGATCGGAGAGCGGCATCGAGCCAGTGTATCTCCTTGTCTCCAGCGAGTCTAGGAACTTGAATTGTTAAGGAGTAATGTGTTGCCATAATATTTGAGGCTTGAGTATGCTACCGACGGGCGGTGGCAAGCAGAGCATAGTCTTCCTCAAAGACCATCCCCGCACCTGTGTAGCAGCCCTGGCCTTGATCCCAAAGCTGACCGGCGTCCGCTATGGACGGTACAACATGGTGTTGCTTATCATATGTCGGGTCTCAGAATCAGGAGATGAAAAGAACTGGGATCTTCGTGTTGTCTGCGATGGCGGTGGCACCACCAGACCTGAAGACTGGAATTAATAGCAAACGTCCGCGTAAACTCAATATCAGTGAATATGGAGAGCCATAGAGTCGAAATTTGGGCTATAATGTGGAGATAAGGACTGCATGTTGTCAGACGACACTATCCAAGAGGAACCTCTCAAACTTGAAGAAAGGTTGGTAAGGCTTGGAAAGTACGAAACAATATTCATCGCATGACAAATCCTTCCGCCTAAGCGTATTCGAGACGCTGCTGACTGCATTAAGTCAGCAGGGTGATGTATTGAGGTGCCATTGAATTCGCAAGTTACCATTGAACCACGAGCTCTAGTTGTCCTCGGGTAGAGGCTTTGCTGACTTGCCTCGTAGCACATCACCACCCCGTGATGGTAATGCACCTAACGATTGTCAGCATCATTTTCTATAGGAGGCTACATGCGCGAGGTATGATGATAATTAAACTGATTACTAAACCTGGTTCCCACGTTGGAGGGTACCATCCACGTTGTGATGCTCTCTTACGCCAAACGCGCGTCGAAACGAATACGCCAAACGCACGCCCCAGGAGTCGCAGTTCGCATCACGAAGATGAAAGAAGTCAGCACGAAAGATATAGAAGCAATGAGCGGTGTAAAATTGACTATAAATTAAAAGAACTCTTCCTACTAATAATGAGGATAAAGCAGAAGAAGCAGCCAAATATTCACAGCAACTCGGGGCCAAGAACAACAGAACACATGATGAACACTTTTCTCCATCTCGCCTCACTCGGGGCTCTGGCCTTGATTCCAACCGTAGCATGTGAAACCACTACAAACACAAAGCTATGTGTCGAACTAGAGGTTCCCGTCCCCGTTAATGCAACCAACCAGCTCTTTGACCAGCCCCGAGTTGACAGCACCATCGACGCCATCGACTGGACTGTGTGGGTTTCCACACGGACTACTCCCCCAGCTAGGGATCGTGTGATCGGTAATAAGACTATCAGCGACACATTCAAGATCAATGCCCAGCTGTGCGTCCCATCGGACAAGGGCCCCAAAGCGGATATTTTGCAGATTGCCACCCCAGGTCTTGGCTTTGATAAACGGTCAGTGATCAATTTGCGAGTAAATCAAAGAGCGAAAAAATTACTAATATATTCTTGGATGTAGATACTTTGACGCGGAGATTCAGCCGGACGAGTACTCCTACGTGAATGCTGCCCTGAAGAAAGGTTACTCGATCCTTACCTACGATCGTCTTGGCACCGGCAAATCCCAAAAGCCAAACGCCTACGACATAGTTCAAATCCCGACGGAGATCGAGATCTTGGCGAGCCTGACGAAGATTGCGCGTAGTGGAAAGCTGATTAGCTCGTCCAAGGTGTTGTCCACCGGCTCTAGGACCACCATTTCTGACTTTGTGCCCTCAAAGGTCGTCCAGATTGGGTACTCTTTCGGCTCGTTCCTCATACAAAATGTGCTTGCTCGATACCCTGATCTCGGCGATGGCGCCGTATTGACAGCCCTTTACCCCAATATCATTCCTTTTGAGAAGATGATTGACGTCTTGCATTACGACCACGAGTTCCCCAAGGAGAATGACCCCGCCCGTTTTGGTGAATACAGCTCGGGCTATTTTGTTCTATCAAACAAGGCCGATCTCCAGAAGCTGTTTTTCCAGAAGAGAAGCTTGGACCCAGCACTGTTGACGTATACCGAAAAGATCAAGCAGCCCGAGACTTTGGGTGAGTATGCCTCTGAAGGGTTGAGTTCATATTTGGTCGCGGAAAATTTCAAGGGCCCGGTTCAGGTGAGTGCTCAATAAATGCGGTGCATCCTCGGATGGAGTTCAACGAAGAGAACTAACCAGTTTTCTCTTACGCAGTTCTTCATTGGCGAGTTTGACAATTTTGTCTGCAGAGGCGACTGCAGGGGCATCTACGATCAAACGGAAGCGGACAGAATCTTCCCTCACTCAAACGCCACGTACTATCTGCAACCCAACACTGGTCACGCGCCGGGACTGTCGAAGAATGCGTCTGCTGGATATGAGGTTATGTTGGAGTTCTTGGATTCTCATAACCTCTAAACTGCGCAAGGGGGTACCCATAGATCTTGCTCATTGTTATCGATCTTGCTCAGTGTTATCGGACTGGCTCTATGGCGGTACTTCGACACAATCCACAAGCTGAGGAACACTAAACCAGGACATGCTTCTGAAATAGTCGACCATTCACTCATGGCTTGCGCTTTATTCTATAATCTAAATAGACTTCTATGTCTGCATCTCAATCTCGTTATGTAGTCGCGCCTATGGCGAAGTTTACGTGTAGCAAAAATTGTGCCCAAGCCACTAACAAGAATCGAAGAAATCACACAATTTAGCTGAATAAGGATTCAACTCTTTCGGCTAATCGAATGAGAAGGCTTGACCAGTAGCCACTTGCAGACGAGTGAGATTGACTGCGTCAGTATCCCCAACCCCATACTGCATCTACGTCTTCTTGCTCTGGGTCGCAAGTTACCTAGCCTAAGCCGGGGGCACCATCTTGACATGACCACCAGGGTTCCAATCATGATGAGTGAGTAAGCCCAGTGGTGTCTTCATAATCTCTATCTGAGGACACGACCAGATATCGAGACTGAGCATTTCGAGCACCCGATGGTATGGCCTGGTGATTGAGTGGTGACCAGCCAAGCACTCATCAGCGTAATTTGTGGACCAAGCTCGCTAAAATAGGCCATCTTATGCCCTGTAAATAGGTACCCACGGTCCGGGGGGCTGGAAGTTCAATTAACAAGCGGAGGCAGTGGCTCCGTTTGACCAAGGTCATTCTCCTGGAAGCCTTCACACTGAATTGAGTTCACATCACCAGGTCGGTCCAAGATAGTTTCATAATATAATTATTCCTTATTTTACCCTGTCCGTATTGCTACCCGATGTATATCTTCTATCTTGAGCGTGTGGTGTCAGCTCAAGGCGTCACCATCTCCGCTCGTCATCCCAAAATCGTACAACATTCTGATTCCCTGCTCTGCAAATGATTTCGCCCGTATGAATCCCCAAAGAAAACAAAGGAAAATTTAAGGAAAAGAGGTAAAAAGAAAATTCCCCCAAGGATGCCAGGGCACCTTTCCCCCCTCATACACGCAACACTTCAACGACACAAGATCGGCTCGTTGGCGGACCGGGAGGAGCAAGACGCGACCGACAGATCGACAGCCTCCGGATTGCAGCACGTAGGAACATTGGACGGTGCAGCAATTGGCATCAATCATTAAAGGTTCATATTTCTATCTCATTATTAACAGACTGCCCAGAGCCTGCCCTTATGTATGTGGGCTTGTTTAGGGAAAACAAATGCTTCCTCACCAAATCAGTGACATGCTCTCAATAACCTTCTCCAGTGCTGCCAGCAGTGTGGGGACTGTGAAAAATGCAGTTAGTATACGATTGGAAAGAATGGCAGAAGTGAGGTAGGTATGGAAGAAACGTACTGTGAGACTCCTCGAAGATGAGCATGGGTCGGAGGCGGACGGTGTTGACACCGCAGGTGCCAATGTTGACGAAGAGCTTCTTCATCGACTTGACGAGGGTGGCCGAGTCGACGGTGTCGAAGGCGATGTATGTGCTGGGAAAATTGTTAGCAAAAATCGACAGACAGAAGCATGGCAGCGTCAATAACGTACCCTTGGCCCTTGCCTCGCAGGTTCTTGATGTACTCGGGGTACTTGGCGGCGAGCTTCTCGAGCTCGGCGTAGAGGACCTCACCGACACGGGCGGTCTGCTCGACGAGCTTCTTGTCGAGGATCTCACGGACGACGGCGCCGCTCATGATGACACGGGCTGGGTCACCGATCCAGGTGTTGAACTGGCGGTAGGCCTTGTCGGGGACGAGCTGGCGGTCGCCGAAGAAGTAGCCGGCCGTCTGGGCCTTCTTGGAGAAGGTGACGATGTCGGGAGGGGAGGTGAGGTTCCAGTGGGAGTGGCCCCAGAACTTGCCGGTGGCGCCGAAGCCGGTTTGGACCTCGTCGACGATGAAGGTGACGCCGTGCTTCTTGGTCAGGTCGCGGAGGCCCTGGAAGAAGGCGGGGGAGGCGTGGTTGTCGCCGCCCTCGCTCTGGATGGGCTCGACGATGAGGGCGACGACGGGGAAGCGCCACGAGGTGATGAGCTTCTCCACCTCGTCGAGAGAGCGCTTCTCCTCGGCGGCGTTCTCCTCGACGTGCTTCTCGAGGGGGTACTTGAGGGCGGGGAAGGTGGCCTTGGGCCAGTCGAAGGAGGGGATGTCGAGCTTGTGGACGGCCTTGGAGCGGGTGGTGGAGAGTGAGCCGAAGCCGCGGCCGTGGAAGGAGTTGGCGAAGGAGAGGACGGCGAGGTCGGGGGAGCCGGGCTTGGAGTTCTCGATGCAAGAGGAGGTCTCCTCGTGCGTCCAGTCGACGCCCTCACCACGCTCCTTGCGGCGGTGGAGCATCATGGCGGCCTTGAAGGCCAGCTCGTTGGCCTCGGATCCTGACTGGGCGGTGAAGATCTTGTCGAGACCCTCGGGGTGGATGCGGAGGAGACCGTTCTTGAGGATGTCGTGCCATTGGCTGGAGGGGAAGTTGCCGACGGCAGGGCGGTTGACCAGAGCAGAGATCATCTCGGGGGACTTGGCAGCCTCAATGAGGGCGGGGTTGTTGTAGCCCACGGGGATGGAGGCGATCTGGGAGTAGACATCGAGGAACTTGTTGCCATCGACGTCGACGATGCTGTTGCAAGATGGTTAGCTCAATTCGACCCTGATCACAGTTAGAGGATGCATACTAGTTGCCCTCGCTCTTGTCGTAGTCGGCGACGAAGTAGACGGCACGGGAGTCCCAGACAGAATCGAGCTGCTTGGCGGCGGCCTTGGACAGAGGTCCGGGGATCTCGGCCACGACCGAGGACTCGATGATGGCAGGCATGTTGACTGTGCTTGTTCGAGAGAGAAAACGAGACTACCTGGGTATCAAAGAATGCAAAAGGAAAGGTTCTCTCGAGCTTGCAGTCAATGGATTGTCATGAGGGGAGGAGGAAACCCATCACCATCGAGGTGGACGGGCTTCTTAAATCATCGCTGACGGAGGCTCCCCCCACGTTGGCTAGCCCAAGCCACCGAATCTCCCCCGAGCGTGTGTCTGTCAGGCCCAACGGCTACCCCGTGAGTGAGTGGGAGATAGAGAGCGTGTATGCGGTCTCATGCCGGTCGGCGAGTCGCAACCGGCCCAGAGCCTGATCTGCAAGCCAGCCAGAGACTGCTGGCTGTGGTTGGCCCAGAACGAACTATCCGTTCCCGCCCTCGTCACATGCCATGGCACGCCTTGCCCCTTGCTTTTTTTCTCCAGATTGGCCCAAAAACTAGCCAATTCCAGGATCGGTGCTGGGTCTCGGTGCGCCCCTCAGCCAAAGGAGCGACGAGCGATCACGGCTTGGACCCACGCGGCTCGCCTTCAGTCCCGGGCCGGTCTTATCTCAGGCGGCTTGAATTCATTGCTCTGTGGCTGGACTGGACAGCATTGATCAGTGAATTAATTCATCAGAATTGCGATGCCGGCCTCTAGCTGGCAGTCTTCTCCTCCAGCCAAGCACCCCCGTGGTGCTAGCCTTGCTTATCGCTCGGTCTGGAGAGAATCCTCATAGAGCACGCCGTTCTCGCGTCACTCTTCCGGCCTGATAAGCGGATGGGTGCCCTCCTCGATGTTCAGCGGGTGTGCCGGTTCTGAACCTACTAAGTGCCGTAGTCTCAATCGTAGCTGTATAAGAAGAAACATGGTGCGCCAGCCGGTGTGATGCATTGTAGTCGTGTCCGAGTCCAACGTGAATGCCAGATCTCATCCTCCCTGCACCTAAACAGGACTCGTACAGGCCAGAGACCAGGATCAGATACCGAGTTCGGCCAATACCCCAACATAATGGCGATTCAGGTGCGCCTCCCCATCTCAACCTTGCTGCACTGCAACCCCGATGGGCGGTTCGTGGGCTAACAACGTGTTCGTTCCAGCTCAGTGATACCTCCCTCTTGAGGACTGAATGCTACGTAGACGGGAAATGGGTTCCCGCCCAGTCCGGCAAGGTCTTCTCAGTCGAGAGTAAGCCCTGTCGCTCCGAGATGTGATCCCACGCAGCCGTCAACATTATTAACACGATGCTCGCTTCCAGACCCATCTACCACGGCCCAAGTTGCTGTGTGCCCTGAATTCGACGTCGCCGACACCGAAGCCGCCATTGTGGTTGCCCAGAATGCCTTCAAGACCTACCGCAAAACCACTCCGCGGGCGCGTTCAAAGCTTCTGCGTCGTTGGTACGACCTGATGATGGAGAATGTCGATGATCTCGCCCGCATCATCACTGCCGAGAACGGCAAGCCGCTGGCGGACGCCGTGACCGAGGTCAAGTACGCAGCCTCGTTCCTCGAGTGGTTCTCGGAGGAGGCTCCGCGCATCTACGGCGACACCATCCAGGCGAGCAACCCAGACTGCCGGCTCGTCACGATCAAGGAGCCCGTTGGTGTCTGCGGACTGATTGCTCCCTGGAACTTCCCAGCTGCTATGATCACCCGCAAGGCAGGCCCTGCTCTCGCCGCCGGGTGCACGACCGTCATCAAGGCCCCAGCCGAGGCACCTTTTTCGGCGCTGGCTCTCGCAGAGCTTGCTCACCGAGCTGGTATTCCTGCAGGTGTCGTAAACGTCATTACTGCCCTGGACAATACACCCGCGGTCGGCCTGTCCATGACGACGCATCCGTTCATTAAGAAGGTTTCGTTCACGGGATCTACACCGGTCGGCAAGCTGTTGATGAAGCAGTGTTCCTCTACGCTCAAGAAGCTGTCCTTCGAACTCGGCGGAAACGCCCCATTCATCGTCTTCGAGGATGCCGACCTCGACGTCGCCGTTCGTGGCCTCGTCGCGTCCAAGTTCAGAATCACAGGCCAGACCTGCGTGTGCGCGAACCGTATCCTGGTCCACCGCAACGTGTACGACGCCTTCATCCAAAAGGTCCTCGAGGTGGTCCGGACATTCGAGATTGGCGACGGCCTCGGCGAGAAGACCACCCACGGCCCCTTGATCCACGGTCGCGCCGTCGCCAAGGTCCACGAGCACGTCCAGGACGCTGTCTCGAAGGGCGCGCGCCTCCTCCACGGCGGCCAGCCGCTCACCCAACTCGGCCCCAACTTCTTCGACATCACCGTTCTGGCCGACATGAAGCCTGGAATGAAGATTTGCACCGAGGAGACGTTCGGCCCGGTCGCGGCTTTCTTCGCCTTTGACACGGAGCAGGAGGCTATTGACCTGGCCAACGACTCTGACGTCGGTCTTGCGGGCTATTTCTTCAGCAAGAACGCAAGCAGGTGCTGGAGAGTTGCCGAGGCGCTTGAGGTTGGCATGGTTGGTGTCAACGTCGGTAAGTCCACAATCACCTGATTAATTAGGTACTAAAATTTAGGGAATGCAGCTGACAATATTGGTTTTTACAGGCGCAATCAGTGATCCTGCGGCTCCGTTCGGCGGCGTCAAGCAGAGCGGATTTGGTCGCGAGGGCAGCAAGTATGGAATTGACGAGTTTCTGACAACCAAGATGATCATGACCGGGATTGATTCGTAATAAACAACCCTCTTTCCTGGGAACCTCACAACTTTCCCTTGAAGGGAAATTTATTCCGCCTTCTGAGCTTTTTTATGAGAAATGCCGCTTTTTTTACTTGGTTTTAGATGGTCTGTGTCGGTAGACACTGGGGGAGAGTATTAGATACCATAGATTGAGGCACCACAGCAATTCACAATAGATTTGATTATATATTAAAAAATGGCTGTTATTTTGCCTAAAACCAACGTGCCCATCATGCCATATTGTCTGCGGCATTTACATGCCATGGTCATCCACCTCGTCAACAAACCTTGACCGCAGCAACCCCAAGCTCTCGGGGTTCTCGCCGCGGCCTCACCTCCTTCCTCTTGACTGTAACGCTATTGCCAACACCAGGAATTACCGAATGCAGAAGGGAATCTCGATGTGACCCAATGAGGGGGCTGGCTGCAGCCTCAGCGGGCCTTGCCATGGGATTACACACCTTCCTCGCCCTATCAGCATCTGCAGCCTGGGGATGGGCTAGAAAGTTGGAAGCCTCGAGGAAGCCTGCGGGGCCGTGCGTCGGTGGCCTGATGCCGGAGTGGTCTGAGTCTACGGAGCTTGGGTCAAGGTGAAGCTGGAGGATCGCCGCCGAAGCGGTCGGCGCGCAGGCCGGAGCCGTCTGTATGGTGGCTCCTCGGCTCAGCCTTAAGGAGGTCTTTGCCTTGTGAAGCTGGTAGAGTTCTCGGTTTGGAGAAACACTAGAGATCATCGACGATGGTTGACAGGCATAATAGATTGGTGAGTAGGTTGGTCTATCTCAGGAGGACACTCCTCAATCGGGACCCCATCTTGCGATTCGTAAGCTGGAAGTGTCCATCTCACGGCTTAGTAGCGCTCGTCCTCCCAACGGAGTACTTGCAAATATCATCACGGAGTGGCGCGTGTGATGAGGCTGGGTTGAGGTTCGTGGGCCGGCCTGAGCACTGCAGAAAAAATCCTGCACTGCACGCTGCCATTTCCAGCCCAAGCAATTGACATCATCAGCCGGCTGGCTGGTGTTTGTCTCCCTGGTCCGGACCCCGGGCTCGTATCAGCGATGCCGTAATTATTCATGTAATAGCAAGACGGCATTGTGTTGTTTGCTAAACAATCGACGAAGCCATCACCGGGCCGGTGCTACGAGGCTGTGGCTGCGACTTTGCTGCCGGATCCGCTGCCGGGACAAGACCAGCGCTCTCCCCCCACACAACCCGGTCTGGAACTGGCACAACAGACCGGCAACCCAGATCGTTGCCAAACAAGAGGGCGCTAGCATCATTGATGCCTGTCGGGCTGCGCGGTAGTTGGTTGCATTCGATCGAGCAGGATGCCTGCCTGTGCCTCCCCGGGCGTCCCGGTGGCTGGAGCATTGTGCGGAGAAGTGAAGCCTGAGCCAGGGTTTTGTGAACAGATTTTGCGGGGCAAATGCCATCAAGAACAGGTGGAGAGAGCCGAAGGCCAAGATCAAATTTGTCTGTCGAACCGAAGCCGAAGCCGAAAGAACTCAACCGAAGGAGACAGGATGCTGATTTCTGCGACTCACGAGACGGACCGGTTAGAGGTCAGGGACGTTGCAAATTTTATCATTTCTCATTATCTTCCAATTCACCGCTTGTATAAATGCTTGGCGTGGACTGTGAGACTCATCTCTCAGAGCCACTTGGTTTTCTTAAGCCAGACCCTTAAAACCAATGCTTGGCGAAGCGGTCATCACGAGAATCTTTGTTCCACACATACTCTGACGCGATGGCGACGTCCTCGGCCAGCTTGTCGCCGAACTGGTGCTTGATAAAGGCCAGCATCATGTCGATACCGGCCGAGATGCCAGAGGATGTCCAGATGTTCCCATCAACCACCCATCGCGCTTCCTGAACCCACTTGACCTCGTTCCTCTGGGATACGACCTGCCACACATTTTTGTCAATTCACGGCGTTAATGAAGCAGCAGGGGAAGATGTAAACCCACCCATTTGAATGACTTCTTGTTGGACGTGGCCTCTCTGCCGTCCAACACCCCAGCCCTCGCGGCCAACGCACTCCCAGTGCAGACGGTAAGCAGGTACTTGAGCTTCGGGTACCGCCCCTTGATGAAGTCCACCACCTTTTGGGAATGCTCCAGGTCTCGCGCACCAATGCCGCCCGGCACGAGCAGCACCTCGATGTCGTCGGGCGCATCGTCGAAGGTGTGTGTTGGCACGACGCTCTGCCCGATGGTCGGCGGCGTAGGCACGCCTGCCACCTTGTTCAGCGTGGAGATGGGATTGAGTGTATGGCCCAGCACGACGAACTCGATGGCCTCGGTCTTGGACACCTGGTTGAGCATGTCCAGCGGGCCGAAGACGTCGAGGGCCTGGAAGCCCTCGAACAGGGCGACGGCGAATTTGAGCGGTGTGCTTGGGCTCATGGTGCCGGTGATTTCAATACTAAAACTTCAAGCTGGATCTGTTTGCTCGGTGAGGGGACGGCAGTTCCGGGCGTGTGTCGTGGTTGAGCGCTTTAACAGCAACAGCCATCCCCTCCGACTGCGGAATCGCGGATGCTTTTAGTAAGCGGATTCCTGGTTGTGTCATCGTCAGTGGATGCGAGAGGAGAGGTGAGGAGAGGTGAGGTGACTCACACTGTGAGTTTGAAATACATTGGCAGAAGCAGTTTTGAATGGGAGCCGATGAGCAAATAATGAATCAGTTTGCGTAGGCAATACAAGATGCCACCCTTTCGCCCC